ACATGATTTAAACCATTTCGCTTGTAAATCACAACAATCAACAGATGATGAAGACACAATTTACTTGGGTCACCGTAGTTTAATTCAATTAATAACATAATATCATCACAATAGTGATAATCATCATGATAATCAAATTGCAGGACGAAAAGAGGTAAAAAACTCATGATAAACTAGCAGCGTGTAAAATTTGAATGATATATTGTGAGAAAATCATTTGAATAAATAAATTATAATGATAAATTATTATCATAATAACTTATTATTATATTAAAAATTTGGAAGCTCAGATTAAGAGTGAAAATAATAGTAAATGAAACAATCAACAAGCAGAAAGGAAAACCTTGAATTCGTGTTGATATTTACCTGGAAAAAAAAATGATGGAAATTCATCTGATGATTATCACGATTTTTCGTGTTGATTAACTCAATCGCAATTCTGGCCTGAGTTCATTTTATTATCATCATCATGTTGTTCATCATCATTATCAACAAGTTAACAAGTATTATCTTCATAGAATCAGCTCTTAATTGATAAAATGTGAAAGTTTCATCATCATATCAATTTCATTGATTCGCGAAAACAATCAACTTATTAGGTAAGAAAACAATGTAACTAATTAAATAGTAATAGTTATCATAATTGTTGTAGTAAAAACAATAAGTAGGTGGATTAACAAAACAATTAATATTAAAGTGATAATTGTTTTATTAACATTAAGGTAAATTCATTGAGAAAAAAAAAATTAAGGTAACTCAATGAGTTGGACAATTGATAAATTGTTACTGGTCAACGAAAATAACATTTCCTGATTGATAACAATTAGATATTTGTTTGTTGGTCAGTCTGATCATCAACAACAACTATTATTTAATTGCTGGTGTTACAATCAATAGTTAAAGTGCATCAAAAGTAATCATGATGATTAGTGATTAAGGATTACATTTTTTTCATTCAACTTTTTTTTCCATTTCATTACTAACCATTTAATCAATTGTAATTTAATCAAGACAATCAACTTCTCATATAGTAATGTTATTGGTAATTTCTCATAATAGTGAAAAATGATAATATTTACAAGGAAATGATATAATCAAACAATCAGCTGAAAATAATATTGTATTGATATTTACGATCAAAAATTCATCTGATCAAACTAACAATTTATTTCCTTATAATCAGAAACATATAAATAACAATTAGTTTTAATGGGTTTTAATTAATGAATATTTTGACTTTTCTGTGTTTTTCAGCAAAGGTTCAAACTTTTACATTCAATTGTTACTTGTACCATGAATTATCATTATCACATCCTGAATATTATCAAAATTGTTATTGTTGTTAATGATCATCGTCATCATAAAGTGGACTGAAAATTCATCCTGACGACACTAATGATGATGACCATGGCTTCCATTTTGTTCCCAACCTCAATTTCAGCTCATCATCATTATCTTCCTTTCTCTTTCTTTCTCTCTTTCTATTCTTCTTACTTTCCTTGCTCTGTCTATTCTCATCATCGTCATCATCTTCTTCTCCTTACAAGAGAAATAATAATAATAATAATAATATGAAGAGAAGAGAGAGAGAGAGAGAGAGAGAGAGAGAGAGAGAAGAAACCAGGTCAGCTGATTAAATGGTAAAGACGATTACAAGGATGCGTAACGGTATCAGGTCATTTCTACCGCATACCAATGATGATGGTAGTGTATAAATACCAACGGTAAACTAACGAGATCAATTATTCAAAGAAAAAGTTTCCATAGAAACAAAAAACGTCATTGTAACAACTCATCAAAACATCAATGACCTTTGCCTTTAGTTATCAGTAAAAAATACTAGGTCAGGTCAGAATACAAGAAGATAACATTGAATAAATAGAGAAAAGAAAAGTTCTAGAAGAAAGAATAAAAAAGAGATCAACAAATAGATCATCATAATCGTTGATGATTAAAAGGTTGGGCTGTTTATTACTTTGAAAATTTTCGTATTCGTTTTTAGTTCAAATAGAAAACTGGTTTCAACAATTAGAAAGTAATAACCAGTAGTTAACCATTTCGCCTGCAATTCAGCTCATCTTCATTATCAACAACGATGATTACACACACGTAACTTTGTTTTTTTTTCATGTAGAAAATAAGAAAGTGACTATAGGGCATCATCATCATCATCATCATCATCTTTAGTATCATCATAAATGATTATCATGTAACTGTGACCCGTTCATGGAAACCAGTCTATCTGTATTAATACTCGGACTGAAATGAGGCTGATAATATTATTGTTGTTGGTCAAATTATGCCCTCAAATTAATGGGATCAACAACAATTAACATTGATTTTCATCATGAATCAAGATTTATGTTGTTGTTGTTGTTTAAAGGGCAAAAACAAAAAATCAAACTTCAGATATTAAACAGCAAAGGGATTCAATTAACTGATAATGGGTTAAATTGTTCATATAATTATTAGGGGCTGATTAAAAGTTTGCTAATCTAGTCGATTATAATTATAAGCATTTGATTGTTATTTTAATTATCCTAATCAATTGGAAATATCTTGTCAACATTAATAACAATCTAAAGAACCTGTTGTTGTTGTTGTTGATGATGATGATTATTGTAATAATTATCCCGATAATATGATTAACGATTATATAAAAACCCTTATCACTTTGTCCTAAATTTCAATTGAAAATTTGCTAGATTAAATGATTTACATTAAATCAGTTTATTAATTGTTGCTAATTATCACAACTATATTGTAGCTAATTAGTTCAACTGTTTTAATCGTTATGAATAATAGCTGATATTAATCATGTTTAAATTGTGATGAATGGATTGTCATTTAACTGGTTACTGTTAATCATTTGAAGGTAACTGTTGTTGTGGTTAACGGTTACCGGTCATATGATTACAATTTAAATGAATTTAATTGATCAATTGTTTCAATCAATTTTGAATAAAACTGTTGACAGTTAATCACCATTGGTTTGACAATATTGGAAAAAGTTAATTGAATTGTTAATGAAAAGGTTTTTTATTTGATTACCGTTTGATTGGGTGATTATGATTAACATAATTGTGATGCTACTGGTATTTGAATCTAATCTAAATCAGTTATGACGAATTAATCAAATTGTTTTTTTTTGTTAATTTTATCGATCCTTGTGATACTTGATTAACAAATTAAATCTAATTGGGAGGTTTACATTTGCACACAATTTAAGATTTGAAACAATATTAGAGTCAAAACCAAAGGTTTTCAGTTGTTTTTGATTCAATTTGATTTTATCGTTAGTTAATCAATAAGCCAAGTAGCCAATTGTTAATTTCAACAATCAAACTCATCATTAAAAGTTGATGAACAAAAAAATCATGGCTCATTTAATGAAAATCCGTTTGATTGTTGTTAGTTGATTTACCTGAAAAAATGGTTTCAAATTAACAATCAACTGTCAATGTTAGGAAATGATGATGAAAAAAGTGTTATTATTATTATACAACAATAAAAACATTGGAAACAAACTCAATCCTCTTCTCTCTCTCTCTCTCACTCTCTCATTTTATCATGATGATCATCATCATTATCTTTGTGATACCTAAGAAAAGCTATGATGATGTTGATGTTGATGATGATGATGATGATAAATCCGTTTACCTGTTGTATACAATTGAGTAAACAATTTACTTGCAAGAAAATGTTTACCAGAAAATTAGGATTAGATTTTGATCCATGAAATTTTTCTCACCCAAAAACCAAACCGCAAACAATCATGAAATAAAACATGGTGATGATGATGATAATGATGATAATCTCTAGAGATCAAAGTGTAAATCACCACCAGCAATGAGAGAGGAAGAGAAAGAGTGAGGGAGGAAAAGGAGATGAAGGAGATGAAGTGTATACACTGAATATTCCCACCGAGTGGAAAGTTGTTGTTATCATTTTTGCTACTACAAAATTATCAACATTTCAGGTGAAAAAAATGATAACCAAATGAATATAATAATAGTAATCATGATGATTAACTAGTGGAAAGTGATTAAATCCTTCTTGTGGTAATGAGTGATACCCAAAAATGAAGATGAAGATGATGAGAGAGAGAGAGAGAGAGAGAGAGAGAGAGAGAGAGAAAAGATTGTTCAAGGATGAATACAAATAACCATAAATCACTTTCTTTAATTTAAAAACAAAATTAAAGATACTTAGTAATTGTGATTCGTTAAACAGACAATCAAGAAACTAACCAGACACTAATCAAATTAAAAGCCTCTTAAAATTTTACAATATTACGGATCATGTTGATAACAATGGATTAAATTTGTATAATTAGCTAATCAATCAACTTGAATTATTGTGGTGTATGAATTTTCAAAAATAATAACAATAATAATTTAATTAATACAATTTCACTGATTGATAACAATCAACACTGAATCAACAATTGATGACGATAAAGTTACTACGACCAACAGAAAGTAATTGAATTTAAATAGTGAAATTCAAGTTAATTGTGATTAGAAAGCAACAAAAAAAACTCACATGAACCTTTCCCTTAAGAATCAAATTGTCACAATTTGATTATAATTAACCAATTCAATTTACTAATTTGATACCAAACCCTTTTTAATTGTGACAATATTGCAAACTTTTCCCTACGATCATCACACAATCAAAGAAAAATCATCAATTTCTGACCTGAATCCACAATTAAGAAAATAAAACAAATGAAAAAAAGACGACAATTTAACTGAATTAAAGTTGAAATTTGTGAATCAAGAAAAGTTAATTCAATCAAAACTAAAGCCGAAAACAATTGTCTTAAATTACTTCAAATCATCAACAATCAACAACCAAAAACTTTTCACAGACAAAAACACAATTACCACAACTAATACAATCCAAGATCAGATAGATTGACAATTAAACAAACTAATAATCAAATAATTTGAATAATATTCCAACAAGAAATGTAAATAAAAGAAGCAAAAACTTACCAATTTAAGAAGCGAAAAAATTTCCAAAAAAGAATTGCCCATAACTATGGAATTAGAAGGAATAATTTCACAAAGCAAATGTCAATTTGATCAGCGTTCGTAGTTCTAACAATCAAAGTGAGACACAGTTAATTAACTATAAAATAAAAGGTGTAATTAGTTAATTAAACAGGAGAATAAACAAAAATCAAATAGACGTTAACACCAAAGCGACAAGTTGAGAGTGAAAATAAATATCGTTAGTAGGGGTTCGGCTTTTTTTCCCTGCGCAAAGAGCAGATTAATTTGCTCTCGGTCAATTGTAATTAACCGTTTGCGCAAATTAATCTCCTCCCACTAACGTTGTTTTCTCCGTGTCTTTGGTTGGTAGCGACATCTAACCTCGAGTGGACACCGAGCTCGGCACAGTGACACCTTTTATCGGGCAAAGTAACTAATTAGAAAATTTAATCACAATTAGTTAATTGTGAAGAGAAAATGAGTTCAAGGTGAATCTTTGGATCTTACATTGAATTTACTTACCTTGGGTTGGAAATAAATGGTTAATCAAATTAATTGTTGATCATATTTCTTTTTAATTGTTATTATCATTACATTGATCAAATGGTTTTTAATTAAACTTTTGTTTTTATTGTGATAATTGTAATCATAAATGATAACCTATTACATTAGTGATTTTTTCACAATAATCTTAATTGTAAATCCAAATCCAACCCAAATAATAATAATAATTGAGATAACAAATAGTAATATCTGCTAATCATGTTACAATTTAATAATTATAACTAAATGAGAGGAAACAAACAAAACAATCAAATTAATTCAAAGAGCGAGAGAGAGAGATTCAAATATGATAATAATGATGATTATGATGATGAAAGTGATTTAATACCAGAATTGAGAGTGAAGTGAATGAGTGAATGATCAGTTAATTGTTGTTAATTCATTTTCGCCCCCACCTTTGAAATAGTCCCATCCGTTGACAGCGACAATTAGTGCCCCACAAATTACATTTACACAATGAGCTACCGCAACAGTCATTTGGCCTGAGGTCACAAATGGCTCCACGTCTTATACAAGTGTGTCTATGGATCAACAATTAGAGGAACAATTATTCAATTAAGAGAAAACAATCAAATCAAATTTACTCACTTTTTAGTTAAAATCAGTCTAACTAAACCACCGTCACCATAGTCTTCCATCATTTCCGAGGTCACTTGTCGATCTGACAATTAGCAGAAATAACAATCAAATATCAAATCAATTCCATGAGAATAAAGGTAATCATTATCATCTCCATTATTTTCAAATATCTTATTATATAGTTAGAACTTTTTGTTCCACTCGAAGTCTGAACATTTCGAGCATTCTATCGATCTATAAGGTGGAAAAGGTTAAGGAAACTAAAGCGAATTTAGAAAGTGAAAAAGTCGATAATCATCATTTTTCATCTTCTCTTTCAATCCCAATGGTCAATCATCAATAACGAAACCAATCAACGAAACTATTATTACCATTCTCATGGAAATTAAATATAAACCTAAGAACAGAACGATAATAAATATAAGAGAAGAGAATAAAAATTGAAATTCTTTTTCCTTTCCTCAACTTCTAACCTGGAATATGAATATTTATGTAAATGAAAAATTCTTCCTCAATTCTCATGAAAATTTTCAACATTTTCTTCATCATAATAGTTGAAACTATTTCAATTCTCTTATTCATCATTCAGTATTCTCATTTCAGTCTCCTCCTGAATAACTGACCATAAGAATTCATTGTTATCCATGGAACCAGAATTTCAATCTAACAATTTAATCTAAATCAACAGGTAACTTTTTCTTGTACAATAAAATTGTCATTTAATTTCATCTTATTTACGATTGTCGTTTAAATTGAATTACTTTTCTCATTTGGTAACAATCAGAATTCAAATTGACGATTTGTTGACAAACAATTTAATCATTTTTTCACTTAATTCAATTACACTCGACAATTTTGTCCAATTATCCTGCAATTTAATTGGCTCATTATTCAATAATCAAATTAAACCATCAAGTTAATTAAGCTGATTAATAATCTCATGTATGTTAATCAACTGATTATGATTAAAAACTGAGCTATTAATAGAGATTCAAATCAAATTAATCATTTGGTTTGATTTTATTTGATTTGATTTGGGATCAAATTAAGATAACATTAAGATAATATATCAATAACCTTTGGGGATTTCGAGTGATAAAATAAACAACAATTAAGGTTCTAATTGTTATCTTGGATTAATTGTCAACAATCAGTTGTAGATAAAAATGATTAACATTATTAATTAATTTCTATTAGGGATTTGATTAACTATCATGAGTTTATCTGAATGTTGATTTATTGATTATCAATATTTAAAACGATTAAGTTAATAGTAAAGTTTTGGAAAATCAATTTATTCAAACAATTGAAAAGTAAATGATATCAAATCGTTTTAATTAAAAGTTAATCACGTTGATTAGATAATCAGGTGACTTAAATTTAAATAAATCTAATTGTAAGTAACTTAATCTTCATCGATCACGTTGATTGTAAATAAGGGAAATGATTAAGGAGATTTAAAGATAATTAATTTAGATTATAAGACGTTTAAGTTAATTGTAATCAATTAGTTCGAGATGATTTCCTATTAGCATACAATTTATAGAGGAAACAATTTATTAATCAATCTCTAATTACGATTGTTTTTTGCCTTAATTGTTGCTCAATGGGTGATGGTCACTCTTAGTGGTCAGTTAAGGGGAAAAGGATACAAGTGATGACGATAATAGATTTTGTTAGCAATTACAATTTGATTACAATTTAATCAATTATCACCATCGACAAATCAATTTAGTTTACACACCAGGAAATGTAACAATTTACGTTGACAGTTTGATTACAATTAACTTGATAGGTTCAAGAATCGAGGGAAAAGTTTACCATTGGAAATTATGTTTATATTTATTTTTTCTCATTCCTATTAATCATTATGATGATTAAGGAAAAAAAATATTTAAATATTCACAATTTGAACTTATTTCAATTGAAGATGATGATTCAGTTGGATCTTGAAACTTAATCTTATTGTTCATGAAGTTCTGACTGAATAAAATGAATAATCTGATATACCTTGGAGTCAATTGTTGAATATTATTCAATGAATAACAATCAACTTTAAATGTTACAATTTAAATGCTATCACTTTGAATCATCCTGAAGGTGTGAACATTTTACTCAGCAAAATTTAAGATCAATTTAAATTACTTTTTATTGTAATATATCACAATTAAAGCTAATCCAGTTGAGATAATTACTATTATTATTATCCTTGAATGAAACACTTTGTTCAAATCCCAATGATGAAACCTAAATAATCCTGAGATTATCAAGACAATCACAATTTATTGATTACGATAGTAATTAACATTTCGGTTTTAGATTTTCCATCCTCTTTAAACACAATTAAATCAAAAGTAATCAATAGATTAACCAATCGGAATCTTCAGTTAATCTGTTGGGTTAATTTAGTTGGACTCGAAACTATTTCCACTTGATTACAATCATAATCTAAATCTTAATCCAGTTATCGTTAATACTATTAAAGGTAATTGTGATCAACCAATTTCATAGGATAACAATCAATATAATCACAATTAAGTTTCGATCAGACTCTAACTGGAGTAATTGTAGTTGGTTGATTATTTTTGAAGATCAAACTGATTAGCATGGATTTTTTTTTCTCTCCAACAATTAACCTAATATTTAATCACTTTCAGTCAAGTATTTCCTATTAATAACCATGATTATCATCAACTAACAATCTTCCCAGTCAATCATGGTGACGATTATGATTGAGTTGGAGTGACAATTATGATACATTGACATTTAACTTGATTAATGATGTTTATCAATGATAATAGTAGTAGTTAATAGTAGGCTGTGTAATTAAAATTTCAAGTGTCCAATGATGATAGGGAAACAATTTAGTAATCAAGTTAACTGTTGTTGTTTAACTGAATCGGGTTCAGATGAAATCAATGAACAATTTATTGATTTTTTCTGAGGTAAAAAAACTCAAAGTTTCAAATCTTTTAAAACATTTCATTGATCCTGATCGGAACTGACCATTAGTAATTCTGATGACCAATTTACTATTGAAATTTTCTTCAAATATAATCACAATTAAATCATCAGCATTTAATTGTTGTCATCATTGGTTCTTTAACTTTGATTTTCAAGAAATTGATTGGGATCAGTTTTAATTTTTCTGTTACTGATTTGATTGTTCAGCTTAACCGATCACAGTTAACTAACTATTACAATCAAACCGCAAAAGAAAACCATAGTTTTTAATCAACAATTGAGTTTTAGCAAATAACTAAATCAACAACCGATAAATTTTCATGGTAAACAATCAAGTTAATGGATTCCCAAAGGTAAAATTGTTCATATTGATCAAATTTCAACTTTTACCGTTACTTTTGTATTAAGTTAACTGTTGTTAGTTTTGTTGAAAATTTTCATCATTTCAAGTTAAATATTATTTGATTAATTTGAACAATATTAATAACATTTAGTTATATTGTTTCAAAGTTAATCAAAGATCAACTCTCATGTAATCATCTTGAGAGTTAAGAACTGTTAATAGCATCATTTCCGTTTCCTGTTTCGTTAAGAGCCTTTTTATTTCATCCTAATTGATTGTAATCAATTGATTAGTTACCAAATAATTAATCTATTGATCTTTGAGTGATTCATCATTTGACTTAACAATTTAAGTGATAAAATTAATTATCATTGTAATTAAAGTTGAGCAACTGATTCATTATTTACAATTGTTGACCTTTTATATCAAATGAAATTCATGAGAAACTGAATCAGATTAATTTTCACTTAGAACTTTTTTTCTCAAGGTAAAATATTTTCGAGGAGAATGAAAAAATTATTATTCTCATCTGAATGTTTCATGATATTAGCCTTTATCTCTCATGTTCATGATATGTAAGATGATGAGGATGACAAGGATGATGAGGATAAAGATGAAGATGAAGATGACATCCTAGATTTAAACTTCTGAAAGGTTAGATCATTGATCCAAGTTTGAACATTCACCTCACCAGAATTGTGAACAATATATTTGCTTAACCTTTGGATCAATTTAAATGTAACAATGATTTTCAATCAGATGATTTAAATCAATCACGATGAATACGATGAATCATCAATTGTTGATCAACAATCAATAATAACTGTTCATCTTTGATTGTTAATCAATCTCTGTATTCATATTGGATTGTCACAATTAAACTCAATTGAATTGGATGAAAAAGTTTCAATCCCTTTTGATTTATGCAAATGACTCTTGGTGATGATGATTCCGATTGTACTATTAATTGGATTAAGTTAATTACTGATCAGCAAATTGTTTCCTGACAATTTAATTTACAAAAAGGAAGAGGAAGTTAAATAATTGTTTCTCTGCTAATTTAGTTACATTAAAACAACAGGGATAACAATTAAATTGTTGGAACTATCCAAAGACAAAGACAATTAAACTGCCGGGTTGTTAATTGTTGTTTAATTTGATTAACAATCAAGTAAACCCAATTAATGGTTGGATATAATTTTGTCCCTTTTTCCCTAGTTTAGTTAATTAAATCATCACAACAATTAAAAAAAAAATATTCCGCTTTAAATTAACTAATAATGCTGATAACTAATTAACTCCCAGAAACAATTAACCTCGGTTGATTTTGTTTATGATTTTTACAATTTAACAAGTTAATCTAATCACTTTTCATCAAAAGTTGATATTTAATCAATCAATTAGCAAGAAAATTAAGTGATCACAATTAACTTAAGTGCTGTTATCTTATTATTCAAACAGTTTTCAAATCACAATTGAAATAAATTAATCATTCACCGATCAACAATCAGCTATTAATAGTAATTTAAACTTGAACAATCAATTTACTGATTATTATTACTTAAAATGAACAATCAAATTGTTGATGAACTAAAACAAAATCAACTTGCAATTAGTTTCGTTCAATGTTATCAGAAAAGTTCAGAGGAATGAGAAATTAACTTGATTGATCAGATAATTAGAGAGAAAATTAATCATAATTAATGTTAACCCATAATTAATTTTCTCCAATAATCAATAAAGTACAAAATCAACTAATCAATTCACTGATTATCTTAATCACCAATGAACTAGGATCATCTCGAATCGATACCTGAAAGGCAAAAGTGTTTAGAACTTTTCGAACTCTCGAACTCTCAATTTCTTCTTGTAATCTTTTGATATCAATGCAAATGTAGATTCCTCCATCATCATGATAATAATATAATTCCCTTGAGGATGAAAAAATAATAACTTGTGATGATAAATTTTTCATCCCGATAATAATATTATCACTAAATCACTGTGATAATGTTATCATGTTTTTTTATCTCAACTAAATGCTAACAAATATCATCAACAAGATTTCAATCAGATAATCATGATAATAACATGATGTTACTTTTCATGTTTATCATGAAAACTTTTAACTTTCCCTGTTAAACTTTTCATAATAATCTCATATGAATAGTAATCGTATATGGAACCGGAAAAGGAAAGGATGTGGAAACTGAATTGTTCATGGAACTGGAAACTTTTGTATCTTCGTCAATCTCTTTTACTCTTGGAAAGGAAAAAGGTCACCAATGGGTCACGATTATTCTGATGACATTTAATTCGAGAAGTCGAGTTTTTTTTCACTCCCAAAATGACTAATCAATTCTCTGTTCATCTTAATCATCATGAAACCTGAAGACTTGGTAATTATCATGACTAATCGATGATATGTTGAAATTTTTTTCTTACTCTTTTTTTATCTTGTTCATGGTGATGATGATGGATTCTGATGATGATGAGTGGAGAGACACTTAAGTTACACTGGATGTTCAAGTGTTCATTTGATATAAAGCTCATAATGTAGCTAATATTCAGATGCTAGAGATAAATGACCTTTCACAGTGAACTGATCATGATGATCAAGTGGGAGACTTGATGATGATGTCGTTTTCTTGGCCTAAATTAGCTATTCAATAATCTGCTGAAAAGGATAAACATGTTGATCTTTTCATGATAATTGTTGGGATGAAGGTGGAAAAGGTCTAGATAAGTTCTCATGAAATTCAGGAAGAGGAGCTAAGATTATGATGAATGGTAAATCTATTTAATTGTGATTTTTTGGCTTCATCATCATCATCATCATGGTTATTTTGATGATAACATATAAAAAAAAGCTTTCAATGGTTAATATCTCATGAGAATCAAGGATTGAATTGGAATTAATTTGAGGTTCAGTTGAAAGAATTGAAAAGAATCAATGAAAATAAGATGAAGATGATAAAGAAGATGAAGATATTTTCATTAAGAATTAAATATTACATGAAAATGATTGAATTCGGATGAGGTTGGATGATTAACTTACCACTGGTACTGTAAATTCCTGATGATGATGATTTGACATTGAAAAATGTTGACAGAACAACAATTATTACCAAAATACTGAAAGCAAAGTGAAATTTAATTGGTCTTAATGATTTACCAGCAATCGGTGAGCGATTGTCATGATTATTTGTTAATTGCGATGAAAATGGTTCAGTTAACGATAAATTTAAATCCTCCATTGTCAATTGAAGGATTTCAAGACCAGGAAAGAAATAAGAAAACTAATAAACCCAATTAATTGATTTAATTGTTTCACCAAGAAGAAGCAGAAAAAAAATAAAATAAAACTTTTTAAATCTCCAATTAGATGGGAACACGAATAACAATTAACTTTATATAAAGTTTAGTTATCACTTGTATTCAGTTTAATAGCGATTTGGTTAAACACGAGGATCGATGTAAAATATTTGATAAACTTTCATTCAAAGTGATTTACAATCAACAATTGAATCGAGAAATCCACCTGAATAGTTGAACACATGGATATAAACACCCTGAATGAACTGAACAGAATGAAATTGACAGGTTAATGATAAATAATCATAACAACAATTAGGTTGATGAACAAGATGATGAAAAAAAAAACTGATTATGATGATGAATCTGAGGTTGATTATTATTGTTGTTTATTATTATGTTCAATGTAATTTCATCAATGATTCAGTTTCAGATGAAAGTTGTGAGTAGTTCTGAATAGGAAGCAACAGAAAGTTGTTGATGATAAGAGAGAGAGAGAGAGAGAGAGAGAAAGATGATAATGTTTAGTTTGAAGTTCTCAATCCAGGCAAATGCAATTCTATATCAAAGTGATGTTAATTTTCATGATGATATTTTTTGTTCCCACTCGAGTTCACACACACGGTGAAGAGGAAGAAAAATCTTCTTCCCTTTTTCATCATCTTCTATTCAAGAATTATCATCATGCTCATGCTCAGGTAAATATTTTATCTTCAAAATATATCATCAGCCAACAATAAGGTTAAATTTTCCATGAGGATGATTTTTTCCTGAGAATAGAGAATAGAATTTCAGAAATCAATTGTTAGATGGCGATATTAATAACATGGAATTAGAAATTCAGTCTGAGAAAATTTCGAAACTTTCATGCTAATTGAAATTCAAGAAATTTGAACTTCTCCTGTTTCCGAAGTTTCCTTTTTCCATCCAAGAATTTAGATTATTAATTTTTCTAATTGTTGAGTTTTCTTTTCTTTTTTTTTGCTCTTTTTCTTTATTCCAATTCTCTAACCATGATAATTGAATGCTCACATCGAATTTTGTTCATATTCGTTCAAGATCTGATCTTTGTTCATTTCGATTGAGTCTTTTTCTTTTCTTTATTTCATCACTTTTTCTTTCTCTTCCTGTTCATCTCTTTCTTTTTTCTTACCTTTTCTCTTTCCTCTCATCATTATCATCCATTGGTAACAAAGTAACATAAACAAATATGATATCAACTCTATTGTGACATCTAAATGAGACTCAAGGGTCTACTTATCAGAATGAGAAGATGAAAAAGAATAGAAAAACTTGGAAAATAATGGATTCTTCTTCTTCTTTTTCTCCTTATCCAGATAATAATACAACTACAATGAGCCTCACTAAGATCAAGAATAAACAATAACAGGTAACAAAAGATTTTCGTTCATTATTATATTTGAATAAAAGGTGAAAAAAAACTCCCAGCGAGCAGCGACACCTATTGATAGAATTTCTCTCCAAGCAGAAATTTTCTTCTTCTAAGATGAAGATAGAAGCTGATGAGAATTCTACCTCTTGATGTTAGACTTGGCTTTCTCATCTTCAATCATCATGTTCGTCATCAGAATGATGAGGATGATAAATGTTACAAGATGGTTAGAATGCCAGAGAAAACAAGTAATCCATATGAACGCAGGCTCAACAAAAATGAACGAATTCTGTCTAGTAGAAAAAAAATTTTTTTCGAACCTGAACTATAATCTTTTCTCTCTCTCTCTCTATTTTTCTCTTCTCTTTCTCTCCCTCAAATAACGAGAAGAAGAAAATAATAATCATCATAATAAAATCAGAAGAAAAAGAATTTTTTGTCTTCATCTCTCTCTCTTTTTTCGCTCGAATTTTATTCTGTGGTTCCATCTCTTTTATTAACATTCTATTCGAGTGCTGTAACATATTCCATTCGTGCTATTGTTTCAAGTGAAATCCATTCAAAGTCAACAGAACAAAAATACCAACAGTTAACAAATCAGCTTACAGTTAAGTTGATTCCAACAATCAACTAATCACTCATCCACTTTTCACCTTCCAACCAACAGTTTTAATCGTCGAAAAGTGGATAATAACAATTACCAGCAATTAGCTCGTATTTAGATCGAGTTGAAAGGAAAAAAGAATAAAAGTTCTGAAAAGAAGAAAAAATTTCGACAAACTTTACAATCGACAATTAAATCATATAAATAAATCATAATCAAAGTAAATTTAAGTTACCAGAGCGGAAAAATCATCAAAAATGTCAACAGTTACTGATAATCTGTTATCATCATCAACCAACAATCAACTGATTGTACCAACAACTACAACAGGATCTTCATTGGTTAACATGAGGAGATCATCTCGTCTATCAACAATCACTTTAATTGTCACAATTTTGATGACAATTTTAATCAACCTGAGCAACAGCAACAATTATCAAGTTGAAGCCTTTTATAATACCAATGGTAAGTTATCAACTTTTTTTTGCTTGTTACGAATCAGTTGATTGTTGTTGGGTTTTTACAACAATAATGATACTCATGTTAATCAGCGTGATGATGATTAACTAGTTAACAGCCGACGGAACAATAATAAAATTAATCAGATCGGATTAACAATTTACTCAAGGGAATCGTTGGTTAATCAATGTTCAAGTGTTTTATTAGATTATAAGATGTTAGTTAATTTGCTTTTTTTTCATGATATATTTTCAAGAATATAATCTCAACAATATAATAACTTTTTCCTCTCTCATTCTGATACATGATAATCCCCGAAAGGATTGGAAATTCAACACGATGAGATAATCTAATAATAAATATGATCGTTATCCTGAAGATATAATAAAAAAGAAGAGTAGGAAAAAAAAGTTCTGAGAAAATTTTCGTTTTATCGAAAATCGAATCATAAAAATATCATCAAATTTGTTAATTCATTTCTCATTTATAACAATTGCAAGTGAATATTAATTTTCCTTCAAATGTTCATGTTACCCTGACAATCAACATGAGTTTTACAATTGATTTAGACTCATTATCATCGCCATGAATCATGAGAAATGAAATTGTTATAACTGTTGAATTGAATTACTTGTTGAAATAAACGAGTTGATCAAATTAACATATGTTACTTTTTCTTACCTGAATAAAAAGTTCTGAATGTTTTTCCCTTGTTATCCCATGAATGTCATAAGTATCATGATGATGATGATAATGAATTGATTTATCATTTTGCAATAAAAACATTCAACAAACTGAATCAGTTTAATTTGATCAAAAGTAAAATAGATTCTCTTTTCTAATTCAGTTCTAGAAAAGATCATGATAACCTGAGTATATATTCAGAGAAATATGAACAAGCTTCATGAAGAAATGTTCAGAGAGAGAGAGAGAGAGAGAGACAAATCTCGATGATGATGATCATCTTCAGAAACTTTATTCGAACTCAGAACTTCCTCCCTCTCTCATATATTATATTATCTTCTCAAGGTAAATAATATTTTCTTCCATCATGATTATTATTGAATAATATTGAGAATAGAAAAAAAATTGTTACTTCGATCAATTTAATCTTCATCTTTCTTTTGGCCTTTTCTTATCGTCTTCATCTTCATCATCATCATTATCATCCTCATCCTCTGATCAAAAACTGAATACAAGAAAATATCATCAACTAACAAACTCCCAGGCTACCTGATCAATATTTGATTAACATGATAATGACCATTACCATTAGTTATTAACAATTAACTTATTCCTTCAGTATATTTGATTGTTGGAAAGTAATTACAATCATTATTATCACCTCTTAACATACAAATCAATTCATTCAAATTGATTATTTGTTGGGAGGGAAAAAGTTTTCAAAAGTTTTCACAATAACAGTTTATTAATATTTCGGTTGGAAAATTTTTTTTACACCAAACTATTTATATCCATGATGATGATAGTTTAATAATAGTTGATTTGAAATTTTCCTAAAGGGAACTGATTATTGTTGAATTAATCTGATAAATTCTGAAAAATTTCTGCTTCCATGATAACATTATCATAAACACATTAACTTTTAGTTTGTTGAATTTGAAAGCAGAATTGACTGAATCTTATTCAACAATTTAAATAGTTGCTACAGTGAATTAAATTGAGCTTAATCATTTACTATTCAATTGGAAAATCAAATTCAACAACATTGTGTCTCAATTGATTCTGTGGTTCAAATGAATTAACAATTTAGTCGCAATTTAGTTGCTACGTCAACGTTAATTGTTCATGTCACTGTCTCATCATGATTGATTATCATTAATTGTTACGATATTTTAATAAAAATTGATAGTTAATCATTTTCTCATTTACTTGGTTAGTTTTTTTTTCACCAATATTGTTCACTTTGATTGTAATTAATTCAGTTTCACATTTATAAATAGGATTACAATTATAATCAAAATGTCAGTGATTAATTTTTGCCTCTCAAATGATTTATCCAAATAGTAATTACTTGAGACCAGAATCCTTAGGTTAATCAATTAGTTGATCAACTATAATTTATAATCAAACATTTTCATTATCATTTATTATTACTTGTTAGTCCCGTTAATTGCTGTTAATTAGTTTGAATGATTAACTGTTAACTAATTGTTACAAGGTGAAATTTACAGGAAAAAAACAACTCATCGAGTGTTATAATTAGTTGAATTGGGAATGGAATTTTTTTTCTTCACTTTAATTGTTTCTCCATAATTAAATTACACCAATTTACTAATTAATTGTTTACTTTACTTTTTTGCAAGCCTTTTGATTGTCGGGAAACAGTTTCCAGCAATTAATCCTTGTTAATTGTCATGGAAAGCAAGTAAATTTAAAACAATCAGACAAATGATATTATTCATAATCAATAATGATCAACACAATTAAGGAAAATCTTGCAATCAATAAATTGCCACTTCTTAATCAATAAAATTGTTACGATTCAATTCATTGAACATTTGGAAGGATAAAAAAAATTATTTACCATGAAAATCATGGAAATCAACTGAATACATAGAAAGTTACATATAATATATGAATTAGAACTTTTCTTTTTTTTTCTTTTCTCTTATGTTCCACTCGAATTATTGTTTTCGAACTCGAAGAAAACAAAAAGTGATTCCATTTATATAGATACAGTTATTTACTCATGAGACATGATATCATGTTGTCTATCCTTTCAGGTTACTGAATAAAACAGATTGAAATGACATCGTTGATGATAAAAGGATGATAAACATGATGATAGGTTGTAAGTGTTAATATTGTCTTCAATTGTTGATTCCGTAAGTAAAAGTATCACAATCAAAGTCACAATCAGAAACAATCAAGACAATAGCAGATAATCAAACATTGTTACTAAAAAAAGATTCACTTTCATTTCTGATTCATCATTTTATCCTCATCCTCATCCTCATCTTCATCATCTTGTCATCACCACTAATTTAATATTATTGATTCAATTGATCAATTTTTTTTCATTCCATTTGATTAACTGAATCACCAAAAGTGTCATTAAACTTTTATATGTTTACTTTGATAATCAATTCTCAAATAAACAATTAACTAATTTAATCCACTAAAATATTAATGGCTGAGTCTTAATGATTATCAAACAAATAGTCATTATGATTATCCCTTTAATTGTATTGGTCTTTTTATGATATTAAAAGCAATTTAATCATAATAATTGTCATCATTAACCTCCCAACAATCAGCATTATTGTCACGAGAACAATTAATTTAGCCATTTAAATTGACCAAATCACTTTAATTGTCCATTGAACAATTAAATTCACTAATACTCTCTGTCTTAATTTAGTTTAAATTTAAATTCATATTTAAATCTCATAATTTAACCTCTGAGCTTTGGTTGATTAGTAAATCATTTGTCGATGATGATAATTTAACATTGAAATGAAGCCTAAAATGAAAGTGAAATTAAATTAATTTGATTAACGATAAATTTGTAATTCAGTTTTTTCTCAATCAACTTTAATTTACTAATCACTAATTCACTAGATCAAAATCAATAAGTAATTAAACTCAACCATCAACGATAATTAATCACATGTAGCAACTGATTGACATTATCATTAACATCTAACGGTTTAATTAACTTGATTGATTTCAAATTGAATATAAGGTGAACAATTAACCGAAAAAACTAACAATCAAAGTGAATTAAAATAGCAAACAAACTGTTTGATTGTAAATTAAAATTCTGATCTCGTTCATGGGGAAGAAAAAAAGTTCTGAACAATAAGTTAACCTATTAAAGTCATTGTATCAATTCAATTGTTACCATTAACCATCATCACCACCAAGGCGTAAGATTATCATGATAATCGTTCTGATAATTAACATGATAACAGTTGAACAATCAACTTGGGAGTGATAACAATTCCCAGCGATGAAAAGGTTACTTGAATTTTATGGAACAAAAAAAAATTCTATTTTCTTTTTCTATTCTTATTTTCTATTCTCAAATATAATAATAACAACTTCCTTTTTCACCTCACACTTTTATCTATCTGTTGATATCCTGTTCTGTTTTCCAAAGCCTCGAGCTGAAGATTCTGAGGATCATTGATTTTCAGGGGAATTGTTATCATCTTTGACTCCACACGTAAATTCAGATTCCCTGGAGTTCATGTTGATTCCTTCATCATGAGCATCCAATTAACCTTTCATTTCAATTCTGAATATCAACCATCATCATCACCCATTTACCAACCACAATCCAACCACTTCCTCCCTTAGTGTTCAAAGAGTAACAATTTAAATTGTTGGTCAACTTAATTTACTCCAACAGATTAACAATAATTGATATTTTCTTATTGACTACTAATATTTATCAAGATTATTGGTAAATTGTTGCAATTTAATAATCAACCATTGATCATGAATATCGATCAGTTTTTTCGTGTTCCATTCAATTAAGTTTAATTTGATCAGACAATCAATGTTTGAACAATTTACTAATCATTACGTTGGCAGAGGTAACAAAAACTTAATCATTTAATAAACCCAATCAATTAGTGATGACGATGACACAAAACTTTAATCATTGTCGTTAATAACTAGGGAAAATTAAAACTAATCTGATTAGTTAATGAGCTTAAATTGTAAATCTGATTATTTTTATATCATATTAATATAAAAACGATTTATTATATAATAATATTGATAATAAATCAAGCAATTTAAAAATTGTTATTCAATTAGATCAATTAATTGAATTAATGGTCACGAATTTGAATCATTATTAAATCACCATCAGCTCCAATTATCAATAATAATTATCCAATTAGAGTGGAAAAACTATTCTCTCCAACTAATTAGATGAATCATCAGTCCCAGAATTGAGTTCAATTTAAATATTATCAAAAGTACAAAATTTATTGATTGATTTTTTGGATAACAATCAAAGTTATTGGAAACTTTTCCACCACTTTCAGTAAATCACATTTCTGACAAGTTGGAGATATTTTCATGACAATTCAGGTAGAAATCAAAATAAGCTCAACTAACTAATGAACCATGAAAAGGTCATCTTCATCTTCATCTTCATCTTCATCCTCATCCCTATCATCTTAATGACATTACATTGAACTATCATCATCTTTGTCCACCAAATGTCCAGTCTTGTTTGTCGATATTGAAACTTTTTCGTTCATTTATATTTCTGTTTATTCATTGATTCAGTTTCTGATTCACTTATCATTAGGTTAACATGATAACAATTAAGAAACTGAAAATGGAATCAAACTCTTAACTTATAAATAGGAATGAAACTTTATCGACAATTTAATGTTCGATAGGAATTAATATCATTCCCTGAGGGTATTAACTTCTAAATGGAGGATGTAATAGATATTTAAGAGAGTTAAAGGTGAACAGAATTTTCCGATTTTCTATTGAATTTTTTTTTCTCTTCCTTTTTTTTTCTTCCGGAAAAGGAAATAAGTTGTTTTTGTAACTTCCTTTTTCCACTTTTGTCGATATTAAATTTTTTTCCCTTTCACTTGATTCAATCAAGGTGATGATTTATTTTCATGATTGTTTATTAATAACAAATGTTGACAATTAAACTGTTACAATTAATTGACATTGATTGACAAGTTTAATTCAATCGTTAATCTCAAGTTATTATTGGACGATTAACTTGATTAGTTGACAAATTAGCAAGTCAATTGTTTATAACTTTTATCATTTCCTGATTAATATTGTTTCCTATTAACTAATTTATATATAAATACAATATTAATGATTAGCTATTATTGTAATGATTAACTTGATGATGACAATTTACTAATATTACATATTTGCTATCATAAATTATTTACTGTCAATTGTGATAATGATTTAATCTAATAAGTGACAGTTCAATATGATTACATTGATAATAACAAAACAATCAACAATCAACAATTTATAAAGATTTAAAATATTAATTAGTTGACAATTTACTCTGAATGAAACAATTAACTAATCTCTCTCCTCTATCTCTCCAATTAACTTGATAGATCCCGAAGGCTTTGATGATTATATTTTAAGCAATTTACAATTAGCTGGTGGAGGAGAATCAAATTTGATCATTGATTCCAACAATTTACCGTTCGAAAGGTTATCCTCATCATCGCGATTATCATCGGCATCGTCCCCTGTTGGTTCAGTTATCACCATGAAAAGATCGTGTATAAAACGATCGGGAATTTGTGATAATCGTCCGGCTGATTGTTGTTTAAATTCAGTTTGTCGGTGTAATTTGTGGGGAGCTAATTGTCGTTGCCAGAGAATGGGACTATTTCAACGACTTGGACGTAAATAATTACAACAATCAACTCTAATTATGGTCAATTAAACACGAACACAATTAACTTATTATTATACTTTAAACTTTATCGATAGATTTTTGTTTTTTTCCCTTTTTGTTAATATTAATTTTGTGATTGTCTATTGAAACAATGTTACTTCTTGTTGTTGATTTAATCAATCAATAATTAACGATAATCAAAAGTTAATCAACTCATCATCAGTTAATTGAAGATAACATGAATATATATAAATCAATTAAAGCTCAAAAATCAATCAAATTAATCATTAGGAAAGGAATTAACTTTTGTATCAATTTGCAATTGTCTTCCTTTCAAATGGTTAATCAAAATGTAAATTAACTCGAGGACAATTTACTTAATCATCGTATGGAAAACAACAGGAGAAAACTTTAAATTGATTGTTGAAGAAGAAAAAAAAATTAAATTAAATTGTGAATAATGATCAGATTTAATTGACAATTTCTATTGCATTTCAATGTCTTTCAAAAATTTTCATCTCTTTCAGTTTTTATTGTTTTTCTTTTCCTCTTCCGGTTTGTGACACTTTTCAACTTCCTGTAAGACATTTAATTTCATCATCATCATCATCATATGTTCAACAAGTTAATTGTCATAGACAATTTAATTTAAACCATGTTTTCAACAATTAAGTCTTCTTATAAAACAAAAACATTATTTACCGTTATTATTGTTATCCAATTGATTAATAACAATAAATGTAACAATTTTAGGTTTAATTATAAATGAACAAGAAAATTATAATCAATGACAATTAAATGTATTAATTATTTTGGATCATCTTGAAAACACAATCAATTGAGTCAATCAAGTAACTGGATTAACGGTCAATCGTTATTTTCATTTAATTGTAACATTAGGACAATAATTTACAACTGATTTAAATAATGAGAGAGTAGGATAAGGGAGCAAGTGAGTGAGAGAGATGATTGATTTAAATCAATTCGAAGCTTCAATTTGTCCAATATTTGATTAATTCTTAATGATGATCGATTGGTGAGTATTTTTTTGTTGTTGATCATTAAGATTTCCAATTGATTCATTGAGTAATTCAGTTGTCAGATTGTTTCTCATCAATTGAATTCTGATCACTGAATCTCATGAATTTATATCAACATGAACAACAAGTTACTCGAGGCTAAAGTTTGATAATGGTAAATATTATGGTCCATTTGATTTGGACAGTTAATTGATCCATATGATCATTTGATAGCAATTAAATTGAAACACTCAATTAGATCAATCATGTTTTCATATTGAAAACTTTGGACTGAACATTTCAAGGTAAAAATAAAGGTAATTCTGTAATCTTGTTGATTAAGACGTTGAATGAACAATTAAAAAGATAATTAATTAGAGTAAGAAAAGGATATTATTTGTATTGGATTGTTTATCTGGACGATTGTTAATCCAAATCAAAGTAAATGGTTCAATTTGCTTTAACTGTTATTAGTTAATCTTTGGTCTTCTATTATGTATTAATATTAATCGGATTGTTTGGTGAACTACAATTAAGTCAAATTTTTAGATCGATTAACGATATAAGGTTGATTGTTTTTTTCTGACAATTTAACGATAATAAATTAAGAATACGATTCAATCATAACCTGGAATCTAAATGATGTATTGATCATTTATCTCTCTCTCTCCACTCAATTTCTGATATCGGATTAACTTAAATCTCAATCTAAATAATACAATTGATGATCAGGGAGAGAATCAGTTTATCTCCAAATTTCATTCCAAGAAGGTTCAGTTAATTCATCTATTGAGGTGAAATCATTTTTCTTTGACCATGAAGATGAAACTGAAGATGAATCAGTCCAATCGGTCCAAGGTGAGTGGTCAAGATGATGAGTCGCAGGTAATTCATGATGATCACCATGAAGATGATGATGATGATGAGGAAGATCAGGTGAATGATGAACTGGTTTATCCCAAATATCAGTTGATAAGATGGATTCATGTTTATCCCAATTAAGAAGTGGATGATGATGATGATGAGGTTTATGAGAATCGTGATGATGAGAATGAGAATGAGAATGGCCTAAGGTGTGATGTGACCAAGAGGGTGTATGAGGCCAATTGGTCACTGGCCAATGTGAATGATACGACGGAACCTTAATCGGTACAACTATCGGTTTCCATGAATGATCATGACGGGGATGAGCTTTCCACCCACAACAATGTCCACCGCCACCTCCACCAGTAATGATTATCTTATCACCTTTACCCTTTTTATCACTGTTGGTCAGTATGATGTTACCTTTTCCACACCCACCAGATGACCAGGAGTCACCACAACCACCGGAACCACCGCTGATGATTATGTTGGTTCCTCCGTGTTTTTTACATCCAATTAACATGAGAAGATTGAAAATTAGCAGAAAACAAGTGGACACAATGACCACACATGAACGAGGCACCATTGTCTCTGGAACTGTTAATCCAGTTGGAGATTAAGATTAAGAAATTACAATCAAAATTAATCCACAATTACTATTAGAAATTAAATCACCATCACTGAGTTGAAATCGAAAGTGACAAAACCAAAATTCAATTTTTCTTTTCTCTTACTAATCTTAATCTCTTTCATCTAATTGTGAACAGTTAATTCATTGATTAGCTAATTGTTAATCTTTTATTCTAATTGCTACATTGGCCGATTCCATTGTTAGTGGCTGGTTGTCAGCAATTAATCTAATTAATGGTCTAATTATCACATTTTTTTCTCAACTTTTATCGTTATTGTTATTGTTCATTTCGATTATATAATTTTACTAATTGTTGATGGAAAATTAATTGTTAATAATGTTTTGATTTTCATTTCTAATTTCGAGACAAATTAAGAATCTTTTCTCTACCCAATTATCTTCGTATTGTTTTAATTGGTTAACATTTAATAACCTTTAACAATTAAGGTCTAATATCATCTAATTGCTGTTGAAATTAATTCTATCCTTGACTTTAAATTGTTTCTTCATGTTTACCTAACCCACCATCAGAATTAACTGTTCAACTGAACAATTTATTGTTTGTTTAACTACAAAATGGTTATCATTTAATTCAATTAACATTTTCGTAACTTAATTCTATCAATTTCTAATTAAATCTAATTGATTAATCTTTAAATGATTTAAGAAAATGTCATTTGTTTTCTTAGATATTAATCATTAAGAGGAATTGTGATTAAACAGGAAAAGAAATTAATTTCTATAGTTAATCAACTAAGTGTAACTAATTTATTTTGATGAAAAAATGATTGCGAAAAAAAAATTGACGATCAACTGATTAATACTTTAAATTACTCGATCTAAATATCATGTATTCAGTATGGTAATCGGATTAAGTTAATCAAAGATTAACTGGTTAATTTAATTTCTAAATTATCCTTTCATTTCATCTGATTTTGATTCTCATTGAAATTGATTAGTAGAGGAAACGTTGGATTGTTATTGTTAGTGATTAATTACTTTCAATCATTTGATGGTTAATCAAATAGCTGAAAGTTGCTAATTGTTGGATGGTTAAAATGTAAATGATTTATTTAGTTAAGTTATGAGATTATATCACATGAATTAAATCATTTTTTATCGTGAACTTTTGACAAGAATTGGTCCACATTAATGTTTTTCAGTAGTTGAGTTGTTAAAGGATTTTGAGTTGATGATGAAGATGAAGATGATGTTGTGATTTCGACGATTGTTTTTGGTGCTAATTTGCGATGTTGCCTTTGAATCGCTAAAACGGGAGCGTTTTCAGCTCTTCGTCTTTTTAGTCCAATCGAATTGTAATGATTAAATTTCTCTAGACTGACTCGTTTACTTCTCATCACTCCTCTTGGTAAATTCATCACTGGCAGGGTTGGTGATGAATCGGTGGAAATTGTTGCCGTAGTGGTTGTGGTTGATGTTTTTTTGGTTGAAGAGACAAATATTGGTGTTGTCGCTCGAGCTGGAGAAAGATTTAATTGTGGTATTGGAGTATTGTCTTCGATACCCGATGAAGCGATTACGACAGAAAGCGGTGAGGGTGGTACTTGCTTCTTTTCGGGTGTTTTTAGATCCTTCATTAAGTCTTTAACAACATATGAATTAGAATAGTAAGTTGCTATAGGAGTCGATAGTGAATCAGAGTGATTATCTGTTGGTTTAGGAGTTGATAAAGAGGCTGTTGATGGAGAATCATCTAGAATCCTGATTGGTGTAGTAAAATTTTTCAATTCTGCAGAAAAAGGTGACGAGGGGACTAATGATTTGTCTGGTGTTTTAATTTCTTCAAAAAGGTCCGTTGTCTGGATAAGAAAACTTCGAATGGGTGTTGACAAAGGTGACTGGTTATGAGCCGCTCTCGGTGTTAGTGATAGTGAATTAAAGCTTGATGTCGGTTGTTGAGGTGGTTGAAGGTGTTGTTGTTGTTGTTGTTGCTGCTGCTGATGTTGCTGTTGCTGTTGAGGTTGAGGTTGAGATTGAGATTGAGGTTGAACTGGTTGGTGAATTGGTTGAGGTTCCGGAGGTGAATGATGTTGTATCGCTAATTGCGGCGGATGAAGTGGTTGTGGATGTTGTTGATGTTGATGGTGATGGTGATTATGGTTATGGTTATGATGGTGTTTCGGCGGAGACAATTGTTTCTCAGGTTTGTCATTACCAGTTACAAGACTTAGAGTCTCACACATCCTTTCAAGTTTATTATAATCTTCAAAAAGAACAAAAAAATCTTCCAGACTTTTGGTAACATCTCTCATTTTTTCATTAGCAAGTTCAATCAGTAAACCATAAGCTGGATTTTTAAGCTTAGATATACACTCATCAAGCTCAGTCAATTTGGTTGACTTAATAGTCAAATCAGATTTTAAAATAATTAAGGCTTTTCTTAAAGACATATACCACATTTTGGATCGGTTACATTCATAGTCATTGTCCAGCTTATTAAGAAAATTAGTATTATACGAAGCCATTGGGGTTACCTGACAGATCACCATTAAACCTAAACACAAAGAGAAAATCAATCAATAGATAAAAAAAAGGAAACAAAAGATAAATTAAATTACTGTAATTTAATTACAAGATAAAAAATAAAAGAGAACCAAATTGCCGCCATATGATCACAAAAAGAAAAAACAAAATATCGGATCCAAGATTCGAATTCTTTTCTTTTGGTTGATCCAATTCGATGTTTCGATGTATCGATTTGTTGTTTATTCTTTTTGAGATTAACCAACTCATAGAAATTGATTGAATCAATTTGATTCTGTTCCAATTGTCACCGGTTCTTTTTTTTTTTGTTAATTTAATTTCTCCAATTGCAATTTATTTTAATTACAATTATGTCTCTTCTCACTCAATTAACCTCTCCAATGTTCATCTTTTCTCTTGTCATGGTCTCTTATTTTCTAGTCTGTGCAGGTAAGATTGTATTTCCATTCTTAGTTTAACTTGTCAAAATGGAAAAATTCAATTTCATTTTGATCATTTTTTTTTCTTCTCTTTATTTCCATAGGTATTATTTATGATATAATTGCTGAACCACCTTCAATTGGGTCTACTGTTGATGAATTTGGTCACAGTCGTCCAGTTGCTTTTATGCCTTACAGAGTAAATGGACAGTATATAATTGAAGGATTAGCATCCAGTTTCTTTTTTACCCTCGGTGGTATTGGATTTATCTTATTGGATAAGACACATAATCCAACGACACCCAAATTCAGTCGGATTTTGTTTATATCAATGGGTTTTCTTTTTGTTATTGTCTCATTTTGTGTCACCTTTATATTTATGAGAATGAAATTACCGTAAGTTTATCTATTGGAATAACTAATTTTTTCTCTAACAAACATTTCTGCTCTTCTTTTCAGTGGATATTTACAATAAGAAATCAGGGAATGCCGATTATCATCAATAACTACTTCATATCGCCTCATTTTCGAGAAAGAAATTCAAAAGTGTATAAATTTAAGATAAAATTGAATGAAACAATTAAAACACAACGGGAACTTTTATTATTAAAAGGATTTGTCAAATTAAATTGGAACATAATCACCAGAATTAAGAGCAGAAGAGTGAAGAATATGATATCATTAGAATACAATGTTGATTAAGTTTTTTTTTCACAATTACAATTACGATTAAGATCAAACTATACATTCTTCACAATAATCTGTAAATGGTTAGTTGAAATTTCCTGCTGATCGTATGTTTATTTTGGACAATTTAGGTTAATTGTTTTATCACAAAGAAAAAAAAAATGAAAGTGAGAAATAAAGAAACTCCAGTTACAATTCAATTAAAGCTCAAGCAGTTGATTCCTCGTTAATTTAGTCCTCGACTAGATAAACACAATATATATAACATTTTTACGGGTGAAGGTGATGAGATAATCAAAAGAATATGATTAACCTCATGTTTAACAATTTAAACGGAATGAGATTGATGAAAATTGTGGGTAATTAGTGTTGAGTTAATTGCACCAAAAGTCATTTTCGCCGAGAGAATGATTAATTATTTAAACTACTGCAACTGTTGACAATTGAGACAATTATGTTGATTATTTTTTTTTTCTTAACTCGACTTTTCAACTTGTTTACCTTTAAGGTCCAACTAATTTAATTATTGCAATAATCATAATTTATATTCTTAACTATTAAAGTTGTTTTCAGGATCATCAGAGAGTCAATTCCATTGATTAAAAGGCAGTCTTGTTAATTGGAATGATCAAGATGTATGGATGCAAATCATTCCAATCTAATTGTCAGGTAATCAGGTAAACACAAGTTCCAACAATTTGATGATCAATCATTAATTAGAAACTATAAGCTGCTTGGCATCGACGAATCTTGAGGTAAAATTTGTTAATTGTTGTGTTGATGAAGATGAATTAAAGTAAATTTTGATGATGACCAAGTGTTTGTTTGTTACTTTGGTGTTTAAATCATAAGCAAATCCAATGATTGAACAATCAGATATTAATTAAACTGGTTAATTGGAACTTGGAGTCTTTTTTTTCCTAATTCAATAATTGAGTCGCTTGATTTAACGATGATGATTAAGATGAAGATGAAGATATGATCCAATCATAATTATAATAATACTATTGCTTGTCAACAGGAATGTAAATTTCCCCAATGATAATTAGTTTGATTTGTTTTGCCAATTTAAAATAAGTAAAGTTAATTTGTTTCTTATCTGCTACAAAAATGAATCAGATGATTTTTATGATGCGATGGATAAGATTAATTTGAATCTTTCGCAATTAAGTTAATATGAATTAACTTTGGATTGATGTTTTCTTTATCCCAATTAGTCCATTAGTTTAATTTGAGTTGTTATGATCAAGGCAATGATTAAGACGATGATGAAGTTAACGGTGATGATGAAAAAGCCCTCCAATTGAAATCGATAAAAAAAGTGTTGATTAAATGTCCAAGCGGAATTAGTTTGTTTCAGCTTCGTTAATTAACAGAAATTAACGACGATTATTAAATATTGTGCTTCTCCATATTAATTGACTAGTTAATCAAAAGAAAATCTAACAGGTAATGTCTTTGATATCGTAAGTATTGCTTTTTAAACGGTTCACTTTTTGTGTTTCTTTTCAAATTAACGTGTAATTTTTGTAGTACTCCTAATTTACTCAATCAAATTAACAGGAATCATCATTAATCATCAATGTCGTCATCGAATTGCTAGATCACTTTAAACAGTCTTTGTCTTTTCCATTTGAAATATATTATTATTGGAATTTATTTCTTCTTGTTCCTCTTTGGTTGCAATCAATTTATTGTCTCATCTCTTTTAATACTGTCCAACAAATTGTTGAGCATTTGGGTATTGCTGTTGGCCGGGAGGTTTCTGTTGGGCTCCAATAGGATCACCATAACCACCACCAAAACTATCCTGAGCCTGGGGCGGGTAATGTGGAATCGGTGGTCCCCCGACGCTACCAGGCATTGGACCAGCTTCGGGTTTCGGGTGGAATTGTGTCTCTTTGTAAACAAACCACATACTAGCTCCCCATAAGAAGAAATTAGCAAAACCAAATATCTAACGGATAGAAAGATAAAAACAAAAGTTACAATTAGAATAACGGTTTTGATTAAATAAACGACGATTAACTAACCAAGGAAACATTAAGTGAAGCCCAATTACAGAGCTGTTTAGTTGAACAAGCAGCTGTTTGATCAACACACACTTTTATGTGTTTCTTGTAAGTACCAGGATTAGTGTAGTATTTTAGATCAGAAACACCGGCGGCCCAAGCACAAGAGCCCGCGAACCAGAAAACGGTGAAAATACCGGTAGCAACCAAATCAAGAACAGGAATCAACGGGTTGGTTGCATAAACTGAAGCTGAGACCATGTAAAAGGCTAAAGCTCCGGCACAGAATAACATACATAGAACACCGGTAGCGACAAAAAATCGAGCCGAACTTGAAAAATCCATAGGAAAACTACGAGATACTGTGAAGTTTGGTGAAGTACAATTAACTACCGTATCAACTTTGTTCTTTTCCAATTCAAATGGATAATCAATTTTAAATTCAATCTTCCGGATAATATTCTCATCTTTCATTGTCACCTTTGGTGAAGAATTACTCTCGATGGGAGGACATACAATTTCCAATTCGGATGCTCCCTTGAAACCAGAGGTGGTTGCAAATGCGAAAATAGCAAAAATCTATAATATAAAAGAAAAGAAAAACAATTAACAATCAATTAACCAGAAAATGGAAAGAGTAATTGAGAACAAAAAAAATATAGAAACAAAAATGTCTCCAATCATCTGATCCTATTAATAGAAGGGGTTTTTTCAGAGACTATAAAAAGCCAAAAGGAAAACAATCAATTGAAGATAGTAATTTAAATTGTGATTACACAATCAAGATGTGAATTGAACTTTAGAATTAGGAGAATATTAATCAACAATTAAATTAACTGGAAAGAATGAAATATTAAACCGATAATTAATTCTAATTCAAGGTAAACCAGACACCGTTAGTCAACCCAATTGGGTAAATTACTAGTGAAAATTATTACCACAGTTGATTGACACAATTAAAGAATAACAATCAACTAATCCCAAAGAGAATCAATAGAAAATTTAAAGTAAATTGTAAACAATTAAAATGAAAGAAAATGAAAATCAACTTACCAATTGAAGTATACGAATGAAACCTCGAGGCTCTTTGATTACTCTAGTATTGAGTTCCATGGCTAATGATTAGATGACTTTCCACAGGTGAGAAATTAAGTGGAACAATTTAAGTTAGATGTTGATTGTAGTAGAACAATTAAAGAGTAAAATGTAAAAGAAACAACAACAATTAAAACCAATAAACGCGATGGAAGAGAAAAGCAAAACCAAATCAACCTTAAATTCACTTCCCACTGAGAATTACCTGAAAAAGGTAAATATGAGACAATTTAATTCGCTGACCTGATTCCCCTTTCAGTCGTTAATTGTGGGTTGAAGATGGAATCAGATATTACATGTAATCATTAAGAAAAAAGAAAAACAATAAGAATACAAATTAATTAGAAATTGATTGAATTACTAATTGGAAAATCAACCGATCACTTTAGAAGAGAAAAAACAAACAAACATAGAATAGAATAGAAAATAATAGAAATTCAATATTCTCTTTCTTTTTTCTCTGTCTTCTTTTATTCTATGAATCAAAATCGAGTTTCATTCTCTTTTCTTCTCGATTATGAGCATGTTCTCAATTTTATCTAAATTAAGAGAAGTTCAGAGTTGGAGAGCGAAAACTAATTCTTATTGATTAATATGATTACTAATCAATTCTCTGGATGGAAAACAAATCCAATCATCTTATCTTAAATTGAACAACAATCAATAAGATTGTTTGAATTACGGTTATCTTAATTGTTACAATTTAACTAGTAAATCAAGAGAGAGAGAGAGACAATTATTGTGATTGTGATTTACTCGCAAATCAAATCAAAATGCGCGACATTTAATTGTTAACACGATTAATTAGATTGTTTGAGAAGGTAAATTACTTTTTCTTTTTCCAAATTATCATAAGTTAATTGTCACCTTAATTCTTGAATGATAATTGATTATCTTTCACTTTAAAATGGTTTATTAGTGATTCGATCGTGCGTTTAATTGTTGATCATTTTTCGTCTTTAAATGCTAATCATTAGTGGCAATTTTTTTCATTGTTATGTTAATCACTTTTTACTCAACTTACTTACAATCAGTTGATTATTGTAATTAAAGTTTTAATCATTATTTATGTTACTCATTCTCATGTTAGTAATTAGAAAGTTTTTCCTTTTCCATTCAGCAATTAACTCACTTTTCTTAAATTGTGTAATTGTAATTCTTTGCTCTTCCTTTTAGATGATGAAATAGTAATCATCATTATCGATCAAGTTAACAGATTCTGTCACTTGATAATATTTAACTTTTTTTTGACAACAATTAGATAATCATCTCAATTAACATCTTCTCACGAATAATTTTTCAATGGTTAATGAAACAAGAGTAAATAGATTGAGAGATAAATGATAACCATTGATGAAGGAAAGATAATATAAACTAATCATCATCATCATCACCATCACTATTTTAGTTAATCATCTTAATTGCAAAGCTAAATCATGATTGCGAACAGGATAGAAAACGATTCAAAAGTAAATGGAAACACCAATAGTTGTTATCGAAGTGATGAAGATTAACCGTTCGAGTAATTAAACTGTAATCAACAAGAAAATAAATGATTAGTTGATTGTGAAAAAGGAAGAAATTAATTAATTTAATTCATTTGCTATTAAATTTCAAGATGAAAAGGTAACAAACGATAAATATGAGAAAAAGTGTGAAAGAGAAAACTTTTCATTAAGAAAATATCAAGATGAGGAAGAAAGAAAAGGAAGAGGAAGAGAGAGAGAGAGAAAAGATCACAATTGGATGAGATTCGTGAGAGAGCAAACAAATTGCTGGGAGAGAGAGAAAGTGATAACCCATTACAATTAGTTAATCATAATGATTTAATTCTTACTTGGGTTATAACTTAATACAAACTCCTAATTCGGTTAAAGAGATGAGGGTTGGGTCAACATTTTGTTTGTATAGACAATTAAATATAAATGCATTGAGATGATAATGAAAAAGATGAAAAGTTTTCAAAGAGTGAGAAAAGTTTTGAAAAGAGGAAGAAGAGGAAGTGGGAGGGAGAGTGGAAATCATAATAAACCCTTAAATATTCAAAATCGACGCCTTAGAACCAAGAAAAGAAAAACATTTGGGTTTTTTTCCCTAGTGGAACCTTATTATTAACTATTGTTACTTTTAAATTCAATAGGTAATTCGTAAGCTAATTAGCTTCATTCATTGTTTTCATCAAAAATGTAATAATAATAATAAAGTTATTATAATAATTGTAATAATAATAATTACTTGAAAATTTTCTGGTTCTTGGCTAAGTCAAGCCTAGCTATTTATATATTAAATATACTTGTATAATCACAATAGAGTGAGAAAATTGAGAGAGAAACAAAAATCATTGAAGATTAGCTTAACTATTCTGTGTATATGTCGTTGTTTCCGGCTTTGGTTCATAATGTATTGATAAATTAGGAGTAATAAAGAAAAGATGAAAAAAAAAACAAAAGGGAATTTCGTTCACATCGTTGTGACGAAATGAGCTTGACTTTGGCGAGATCGATCAGCCTTCCAATGTCAGCTTATGGTTAGAGAGATGAAGAGGAGGAAGATGAAAAGTGAGAAAAAATGAATTGAAATTGGTATGTGATAGTTTGAATGAACGAACTTGCGAGGGTGGGATGAGAGTGAGATGAGAGACAAGAAAAAGAAATGCAAATTGACAGTGAAGAGAGAAATAGAAAAGAGAGAGAGAGATGAGAAGATAAGGGAGAGTAATGAATGGATGATAGACGGAAGTGGGAGGAGAAAAAGGCATTTTTAAATTATCTTTCAGCCTTTTATCTTCTCTTTCTTACTCTCTCTCTCTTCTTATTTGATTTCTCTTTCAACAATTTGCTTTCTTTTCCTTGTGATGATAAATCTGATCATCTTGTTTGCATATTTGTTTTGTGTTGATGCTCCTTCATCTACATCTGATTGGCAAAGATACAAATGTACCGATCCCATCCACAATCAGCTAGTACGTAGGGTAGATGAACATTGAAATCTAATCCGTAAACAAATTCACTGTGATTTTGTCGGGTGATGATCAATTTTGATTTAGATGATAAACCTTGATCGGAATCAAGGTAATTCCAAAGACGAGTGGTGAAATCATATGAAACAGAGGCAATTATTGAGGCGCTATGAGGACTAAATCGTACTTTTTTCACTGCTCTCTCGTGGCCTTTAAGTTCCGTTAATGGTCCATTATTGACAGAACGAAGATCCCAAAGTTGAATTGTTTTATCGGAACAACCAGAGACTAAGATATTTGAATCATATTTACACCAATCACAGGAGAGAATCTCTGATTGTGAGGCTTTGATGATTAGACTAGCTTGACCGGGGGGTGTTGATTTGTCCCAAACACGAATGGTCCCATCTCGTGAACAAGAGGCAAAAGTTGATGAAAGTAAAGGAGACCAGGCAATTTCGTAAACTAAGGCTTCATGACCATTAAAACTGGTCAATTGACGAGCATTCAAACCATCCCAAATTTTAATCGTTGAATCCCAGGAGGAGGTTAAAACAGCGGGTTGATCAGAACGAACTTGACTCCATTGGATGGAGCTAATTACTGAATGATGAGCTGGTATAACTGATGAAAGTTTAGCATCTTTTACTGGACCTTCGACGGAACAACCAGGATCACCAATGTCCCAAATTTGAATGGATCCATCGGCTCCAGCCGTCCAAATAGTTCCAGCATTCACCTCGGACCAGGTCAAATCAAAAAGACCGTCTTTTGGCCAATCCAATTTACGTAAACATCTGATTCCTTTGTCTGAATCATGATCCAGAATAAATAGACAACCTTGTCCTGAAATAGTTACAATGTTTCAGAAAAGTAAGAAAAAAACGTCATAGAGCATTAAACTTGATTCCGAACAAAGAAAAATCTTTGATAACAATGAAAAAGAAAAAGTAACAACATGAAATCTCTTCATGTAGAAAATGAAAAGGTGAAAAAAAAGAGAGTAGAAAAGAAAGAGATCAATATGGCGGGTAATCAGAATTAAACAATCTATCAAAAGAATCATCAAACTTCATGTCTCTCTCACTTTCTCATCAACCTGACAAAAGATACTTTGTTACAACTTTTTGTTTACTATTGCGTTTTTTTTCCTTCTCTTATCCTGTGATTTTCTTTTCGCTTTCAATCCTCAATTTTATCATTATCATAATCACAATCAACGTAATAATCACCAACAATTACATCTAAAGGAACTTAAGTCTTATCTAAATGATAATAAGATAATCAATAAATATAGTCAATATTTAGAGAGAGAGAGAATAGTGATTGAGAAATTGATATGAAATCGATTTGATTGGTGGGATTAGTGGGATAAGATTAATTCTAAGATATTAAATAGATTGGAAGACGAGAGAGACTTACCAACTAGTCCATAATTCTGAGATGCAGCACAGGCCAAAAGGTTTGGTGAAAAAGGAGAAAACTTCAAACCGTAACCATGAAATCCATGAGTTTCAAAGGTTAACCTCATTGCTCTCTAATGAAAGGTTAATGTTGTTGAAAGTGTTGAATGTTGTTGAATGTTTCAAATTAGATGAGGACGTAAACATAAAGGAAAGATAACAGGAGAAAATAGAGAGAGAGAGAGAGAGAGAGAGAGAGAGAGAGAGAGAGAGAGAAAATATGAGGGAGAAAGATGAGAAAAAAAGGATAAGAAAAAGATGTTGTGTTTAAATGCGAAATAAAATTTGATTGATTAGCCGGTGAACAGAAGATCATTTCAGTTAGAGATGAAAGAGGAAGGAGATGGGAGAAAATGAGAGAGAGAATACATAATATTATGTACACAATAATATTTAATATGAAACATGTTCAGACTCACAGGTCTCTCTCACTATAGCTACATAACATATTCCATAACAACACATGAGAATAATGAACAACAATAACACCAAGACAGAAAAGATGATGAAAGAAAATGATTCGCACACGAAGACACACAAAACAAGTCTTTCAGAAACTAAGACTGTTTATCATTAAAAAGTGTGAAAGTAATAAGAGTGAGAGAGAGAGAGAGAGAGAAAGGGGGAGATACAAGTCTGAGTTTGTATTTAGTAGAGTAGATGATGATAATCAAACGTGAGTTGAGTGATGATGACAGTGATACGAAGGTGAGAGCAAAGGGAGAAAAGAAAAACAAAAAAAAGATCAAATGGAATCAGAATGGGATCATCACTGATGATGATGATTTTTTTACTGACAATCATCTGTGTGAGAGGAAAGAGAGAAACAACAAAAGGGAGTTCACGTTAGAATGAAAGTGAATAGGGAGGGAGAGAGACAATTCAAGCAGAAAAGAGGGAGAAAATGGAGGAAGAAGTAGAATAAACGAATGGAAGAAGAAAAAGAAAAAAAAATACAATTAGACTAAGAGAAATTGGAGAAACAATCAGATGGATATTGATGATTATGAATAAACCACATCAATAAATCAGCATAAATGCATCATGATCATCATGATGTTGATCATCAGCATCATTTGAGAGGTTGAGTAATCTGTTTCTCAGGGAAAGAGACAAATTCAATCCTAAGAGTGTGAGTCTCATGATGACAATAAAATACATATTAATATGTATCTGGTTCCATTAGTGTTCATTTTTTTGACAACAGTTAATTGAGAAAAAGGGGAAAACTCATTACCATGTGATGCGGTGAAATGAAAGAGAAGAGGGAGTGGGAGGAGTACAATTATTCTTTAAGGTGTACACACACCCCTTATAATTAGAAGGTATGTCAATATATGACTAGGTAACCTCCAAGTGAGATACCTTTTCTTTTTGAGGTCATATTTAAGCCGCCTCATGATATTGTGGGTGTTACACTGTTGGGATATCACTTAGTGTTATTGTTTCAACTAATTCTGTTGATCTCAATTGGATTATCTGATGAAAGAGGGAGAGGGAGAGGAAAGGAAATTCAAATTGACAAAAATAGTGGACGTTTAAGCGATTATTTTTAGCGATTGTTATTGGTGTTGATTCTTGAGCGTGAGAGGATTTCACTAGGGCGGAAAGTGGATAACAAAAACAGAGAGAGGGAGAGGGAGAGGGAGAGAGAATTTTTTGTTGAAGAGAAGAAAAAAACACAACAAACAGAAGCTTATGTTTGGGTTCTCACTTTTTGGGTTACTTATTCTCTTTACCTGATTGTTAATTTGGTTTTGATGATGTTGTAGATGTTGATGATTTGATGGTGATGATGAAGAAGAAGGGGAGATAATTGTAGAAAGCATTTGTCAACATTAGTAGACATCAGATGATTAGGAGAAAGAAAATTATCTCAATTTGGATGGTGATGAATGTTGATTATTTTCGCGATGATCACAAAAGAATTTCAAATGTAATAATTAACAGAGAGAAAGAAAATCACCTAAAGAACAATCAACAATACTAAATATTAAACACAGTGAGAAAAGACCAATGGTTCCCCAATGGAGGAGAAGAAGAAGAAGAGAGAAAAAAAAATGAAAACTCAGCCAAGAAAAAGAAGAAGAAAAGTAAGATGATGAAAGAAAGAAAACAAACACAAAACACAGAATGGAAGAAGAAGACAGGAGAGAGCGATCGAGAGAGAGATAAAAGAGAAAAAGGAGAGAAAAGAAAAACACTCACACGGAGAGAGAAACGAAAACAGAAAAAGAGAGAGAGAAAAAAAGAAGAGAATATTAAAAAAGAAGGATATGTTCTCTTCTATTCTAATATCACAATTAGTTGTTCTCTTTCTCTCTCACTAACTCACTCAATCTGTTTCTCTCTCTCTCTCTTCTATCAGGATTGGTGATCATTTGTTAATAGTGTTACTTGTGGCGGTGATGATGATGATTAGGATGATGAAAATTATGATTGAGTGAGGAAGAGACAGTAATATAAATCACGAGAATCCGATTGCCTCACAAATTCAGCTAATCTATTGTTATTACTCAAATAATAACAATATCAACGTCAGAGGATGTTGAATGTTTACTCACAAATCTTATGTACACACAATCATCATGATCGTCAGGAGATTTACCTTTGTTTTTGGTTGTGATGATTGTGAATGTTACTCACACTCAACTAAATCCAATTGTTTTCCAAAGTGTGTGGATGGAGATGAGAAAATAATGATACTCAATGAACAATAACAAATGAAAAGAAAAACCGTAAATGTCAAACAATTAACGATAAAAAGGTTAATAAGAGAAGAGAACAAGAGAAAATAAAAATGGCGAAGAGACAAAAAAATAGAAAAGAATTTTAGAAAATCGAAACGGAAGAAGAAGAAGAAAAAAAAATTGATAGAAAATTAGATTAGAAAAGGTTATCAACGTTTCGTTGGTTTATCTCTGTGAGACATTAAATTGTTTGATTAAATGATTATCTTTTTTTTTCTAATTGTAAATATCTTTTTAATTGTTCGGCTTTTTTTCTGCTTTTCGGTTAATCGAATTAAGTATTTTTTTTCTCAAATTAAAATTCCCTCCAAACTTTTTGTTTTCTTTTCTCTTTCATTTGTTTGTTTACTTTTTGTTTTCTTCTTCGTTTCTCTTTTACCCTTTTGTCTCTTCATTTAAATTATTTAATTAACTTACAATTCTACTAATTGTCTTGGTGTTTAATTGTTGTCTTTTGAAATGTGAAACTGTGCAAACATGATACATGGAGATGGTGATGATAATTGTCCTTGACTTTATATTTTTCTCATGTGATGATATCAATTGTCATGTTGTGAGTTAATTGTATTGATTATTACCAATTTAGAAATGTAAACACCCTCCCATCATTTATCAGGTATTTTAATGAATTTTCTGATTAACTGATTACCTTTTCTTTGACCTTTTCATTGAAATCTGATTAGTTTACATTCTCATTTCCTATATTTGAATATCAATCTGATTCTTTTTTTATTTTTTCTTTTTCTTTTCCATCTCTAGATTTGTTATTGGAATCAAAGGTCGTCTTAATTGGATATTCTCTCTCTCTCTCTCTCCTTTTTTCTCTCTCACATGATTATTGATGGTCACAAGATTCTGATCTTGTGGTGGTATTTACCATGGATTATTGATTAATCGGTATCATGATTGTTAATCAACATCACGCGCCAACAATTATTATTATTAAATTGTTTTGATTGTGTAATTGTAAAGCTTTCTGATTATTAAGGAAAACTGTGATTTTGTTTTTATTTTTGTTACATTAATATCAGATATCTTTTTAATTAACATGATTCCTCTGTTAATTGGTGATATAATCAACAAACAATTAATCAGCTGATATTTGTGAGTCAAGTTTTGCTTACCTGTGAATCTAAACACAATTGTTGATGTCAATCAAATCTTCAATCACACCCCAATCAACACACCTTCACCTTGGAAAGTAAATTAAATTGAAAGGTAAATGATCATTTCTCGTTAATTGATTACCCAATTCTTACATTTTTAATCACTTCTATTAATAATTAATGTCTATTCTATAAATTGAAACTTGAAACACTTTTAGATTGAACAATTTAAAATCAATTCAATACCTGACTTTTTTTTCAATTACGAAATGAAGAGTAATTTGTGGTTGAAGTAAAATAATAATGAATTACTCATTTAATTATCTCTCATGATGATGGAAACCTTGATTAGTGAAATGAGAATCCAACTAATGATGACAAAAAGTAAACATGAGTTTTTTTTTTAATTTTCTATTGCAATTAAACTATTACAATCTAAATGTTTTCCTCTATTTACAGAATCTGGTTAATGGTTAATTCTTATCATAGGAGATGATTAATTATCAATAATTAGCCGACAATTACACCGAATAAGATCAACTTTTAGTTGTCCCGCTAAAGTGATGGCAAAATCTTGGTAATTGTTTGTTGACAATTAACTGTAATCCTGTGATGGTCTCCTAATTGTTTTGATTTGTTTGGTTAAATTAATGTCTCTCAATCCTAACAATCAGCATCAGACTGGAACCTAAACTTTGTTGATTGTTTATCACCCAAGGATATCCTGTCAATGGAAATTTGGATTTCCAATTAACTAATTTCAATCAGATTTTAAACACTGAAATCACTAATCACTTACCATCAGAAGAATGATGATCAACATGAATCATTAATTTTATCCCTTAATTGTAATTCTAATTGACATCATCACATTTAAACCAATGTTATTGCATGTTAATTGCTTCATCTTCACGAAATACAAATCAACAACAATTAAGGAGAAACTGTTTCATTGGTAAAAAAAAATATTAATTTTCTAAACCTTAATCACTTTACTCTCACAACAATCTACCATTGATTAATTTAGTTTTCATCGTTATATCGCAAGTATATTAATCAAGGTAAATTGTATTTTCTATCTAATTGTTGAAGTTGTAAACTATTTCATATCAATTATACAATTAACTTTTCTCTCCTTCTTATTAATTGAATAGGTCTCAAGGTTTGGTGTTTTAATTAACCTGTTGCTCAGAATCAAAGTCAAAAGATGAACCGAATCAGCTATTACAATTAACATGAAATCTTTGCTGTTAATTGTCCATGTAACACAAACAATTAACCAGAAAAAATCACAATTTAAATTACAATCATCACGATACATGAAAGATGATCATCATTGAGAGTTTCCAATTTTCTGGTTACCTGTCTAGCTGATTGTTGGTAAAAAAAGATTGTTAATTAACCTTGAATTAAATTTTCATAGAAGATGATTAAAAAAATTGACTGTCTAAATCACTTTAACCAGGTAATCATTGTAAGTAATCAACAGCCATTGTCATGATTAACTTTGATTGCTGTTGGTAAACAAGTACTCTTGAAAAAAAAACTTCCAGCAATTAGTGATACCTGAAAATGAACAAGGTGTTACTAAATCATTTAATTAACACGATGGTTAATCCATTGATTGTTAATAAGAGCCCAATCCAATTAACTCTTAAATTGTCATCATCATCATCTTATATAACTGATGATTAACTCTTGAAAGTTAATTCTCATTGATGGTAACAAACAAATCATCAGAAAAGCAGAAAATTATCATGATAAATTAACGAGAAAACTTAAATTAAACTGAAAAACGATTAGAGAAGCAATTTAGTAATTGTAATCATCTTCTGCTTCATAATTACTAATTAAAGTATCGATACAATGTAATAATTTCGGATAAAATTGAACAGTTAATCATGAACATGGAGCATGAGAACAATAAATTACCATCAGTGACAATTAACCAACAATCAAAATGAAACATCAACAATATTAATCACAATTGAAAGTGATGATCAAAACTCCACAATTAAACTAATTAACATGGAGAAAACAAAAGTTAACTAGACAACCGATTGTTAAACAATCAACAAGCAACTTGCGAGTAAATCTTACCTTTGATCACAGAATTACCAAATTGCAACAATCAACTTCAATAAGAACAAAAATTATCAACATTAACTTTTCTATTAACCAACAATTTAGGTAATTGTGAAGACAATTTAAAAGATTGGCCAACAATTTGCTCAGAAAGAGAGAAAACCAAGAGAGAGTATTAATATCATATGGATAATGAACATTGGGCGGGAATGGAAATGATGATGATCATCATTTCTCTTTCTCTCTTCTCTTTCTTTTCAAATCCAATGTTCTTTTACAGTTGGAATGGGCTTTTATTCAACAAAAACCAGCCTTCGAAGTGAATGAAAGTTACTAGAGGAAATGAAAGAGAAAGGAAGATAAATGAGAGAGAAGATGAAGACGAGAGAGTGAGAGAGATAATTGAATAAGCCCTAAAGTGAAAAGACAGGAACTGCCCTTAGATTTGTCTCATTTTAAATTTATCTCTCATTCGAGTAACAATCAACTAAATTGTTTCTTGTTCTCCTTAAATTAAGTTGATTTTATTGATTCCATTTGAATGCCTTTCCATAAGTCACTCGAAATGTCCAAAGACGATTCAACTGTTTCTTCACCTTTTAAATGGTTAATTTCATCTAAAGGTGAACTGTTCAGATCTTTTCTTGCTGAATTAGTTGGAACTGCGATTCTGGTCATTTTTACCTGTGGTACTTGTACGGCGACAGGTACACGACCTGATACCCTTGTGTCCACTGCCCTTTCCTTTGGATTAACTGTCGCTTGTTTGGTCGCTACTTTGGGTCATGTTTCCGGTTGTCATATTAATCCAGCGGTTACAATTGGTCTTCTGGTCAACGGTCAAGTTTCACTTGTTCGGTCAATCGTCTACCTGATCGCCCAACTCATCGGCGGTGTCGCGGGTGCCGGTCTACTTTATGGTGCTCTCTCCAAACCGGAAACACTTTGTGCCACCGTCTTATCGGTTGACCCGATCCAAGGGATAATCGTCGAGTGCTTAATCTGTTTCCTTTTGGTATTAACTGTTTGCAATGTTTGCCAATCAAATCCGTCCAATGCTCCGCTCTTAATTGGCCTCGCAGTGACCACTGGTCACTTATTTGCGGTAAGAACAATCAACAATCAACTCCACCCTTTAACCCGATCCAATGATCATCAAGTTACTCTGTTTGATTTATCATTCTAATTGTGTTTTCAATTTTTCCATTGTTTTTAGTTTTGGAGGGAAATGTTGAATTTAATTGTTGATTAACTTTTCTCTATGTTAATTGTGTTGATTGTTAATTCTAATTGTTTCCTCTCTTTTTTTTGTTATACAAAGAATCAAAGGTTTATATTTACCTGAGTATTTAATTTTTAGATTCATCAACAATTAACCAACAGTGAAAAGTTATTCATTCCTATGTAAATTTAGTGAAACAATTAACTGAGCAATTAACTCATTGTTATCCAAATCAGGTTCATGTTTACAATTAACTGATTAACCTAAAGGTAAAAATAAAACAATGTTTATCTTTAGGTTGATTGCTTACTGAATATCTAATTGTGACCTTGTAAACAAATTAACTGATTGTTGTGTTTAATTATAATCAACTACGTGAACTCAATCATTTTGATCAAGTTGATTAACTATTTAAAGATTAATAAGATTAAAATGAGATTCTCAAGGTTTAATTTGATTCTCATCAATGGATTAGATTAATTATTTGGATATGATTTAGTTTGAATATCTAATTGTTATTACTAAATGAATGAGATTAAAAGTACAGTTTTAATTGTTAGTTAATCGTAATCATCTCTATTATAATTATCTAACCCTGAAAGTAAACAATTTAAAAATCATTTTTTCTACAACAATTTAATTAACTTTCTATTTCCTTTTCCTAATTTGTTTTTGATAAAAAAAACAAATACTTTTAATTGTTGTACTTATTTCACACAATTAATTGACACATTTGATTTAGTTTATTGTTTTAACACTATCTCGTTAATTGCAATTTAATTTTTCCTCATTGATGATTTATTAACTGATTGTGGAATAGACGGAAAATGATCAGTTGATTGTTGATGATTAACTAAACCTATTCACCGGATTTCCGAAGGAAAAAGTTTCAAGGTTGATTTTGACTTTTTCTTTTCTTCTAAATTACAACAATTAACTCTTCTAATTGTTATAATCTCGTTGATTGTGAACAATTAATGATGCTCATCAATCCAATGGTGATCCAAAGTGTGCCTATTCAATTGAAGACTATTAAGATTAATTATTTTCTGTCAGCAATTTGATTGATTGTTTATCTTTTTTTAATCCTGATGAAAATTTTGTTACATTTAAACAATTGGGATGAATAAATGATCAATCAAATCAAATTAACGAGCCAAGAAAATAGAAGACAAGTTAATTGTAACAATTTAATGTTCTTCTCATTCTAACAATTAACCTAAAAACATGATTAACTTGATTGTATCACCTTAATTGTGTCTGTTGTTTAATATTAACTTTGTCTTGTCTCAACAAAATTAACTAATCATTTATTAAAGTGATCAGTTAAATTGTTTCGGATCTTTTTGTTAAATTGTTGACGAAAACATTTCTAAATCATTAGATCATCACAATTGATTGTCAGTGGGCTTTTTCAGTAATTCTTCCCACAATTAATTCACTAGATGATTAAATCACTTGAAGTGAAATCACCAAGACAATTAAGTGAATTGTTAAGGATTTTTATTCCTACTCGAAAATTAAACTTCGACAATTTAAATTATTACATTAATTCTAAGTAATAATCTAATCCACTAATTGTTGGGCCAATCAGTTGATCATTTTTCGCTAATTGAATCAACAAATTCACACGACAATTAAATCAAAACAGTTACAAATCGAGTCTCAATTATCTAACCAATGGATCTTCAATTAGAAGCGTTTGTCTATCTTTTCATATTTAATTGTGTTGATTGTTGATTATCATACAATTTTCTGTAACTAAATTAAATGTCTCACACTAATCATAATCCTTAATCATTTAAATTGATTAAACTAACCGAAAAGTGGAGTTAATTTAATTCCTTGTACATTGTTACTTTTACCCTAGAAAAAAAAGTCTAATGATCAATCAACCATAATATTTAATTGAATGATTGATTAGCTTAAAGATAATCACCAACAATTAAGTCTTGAGTTACGGTTAATTCAAGGTATTAGTTAATCATTTGCCCATCATAATAGATTAACAGATTAATCGTAATTGGATTTATATTGTTGGAATCTATTGTCAACATGATCACAATTTATTTCGAGAGTGATATTAATTGAGATGATTTATTAGTCAATTAGAATATGAATTTTTATTTTTATTTTTCTCGGATCATTTGATTGTGCTGGTTAATTGTTGGTCTTCCCAATTTCGTGAAGATCAAGTTAATTGGTTGGGATGATTTTCTATTGAAAAAGGAAATGATTACATCTCAAGTGACCAGTTGATCTTTTATTATGATTGTATGAATGGTCAATGTTAATTGTACATCAATTAGAGTTTCTAATGTTTCTCACGATACATGAATTCTCCATTAATTGTTATCCTTTTCTTGATGATGGTCATTTCTAACTGACCAATTGATTATCCATATTCTAATTTACTAATTGTCCATCTCCTAAACAGATTCCATTGACTTCTTCATCAATGAACACTGCACGATCTTTTGGACCTGCAGTTATCGCCGGAGTTTGGGACAATCATTGGGTAAGTCTACATGATAATTTACCATCATTAATTTCCAGAGATGATGTGATTAGTTAATTGTCCCTTTTTCCACCTCAAATTTGAATGTTCAGTTGTTAATAATAAGCAAATTGTTTGGAAAAACACATGATAACATTTTCATTGTTATTCTGTTATTTTTTTTTACGTAAAGAAAAGCAGGAAATGTTTTTCCATTTTAATTTCTCTCTTTTATATTTCTCTGGGCAATTTGATCTCGTCCGTTGATACAATTAGCTAATTGTTATCTTTTCCTCTCTCTCTTTAAGGTCTATTGGGTTGGTCCCTTACTCGGCGGTGCTCTTGGTGGTTTTGTCCATCGATTCATTTTCCTCAACAAATCAATTTACGATAAATGTGAAACCTCAGCCAAAGGAAACGATGAAGTACCGAATGTGACAACATCTATTTAAATCACTGCTTGATTAACCCTCTACCCTAATGATTAGTTAATCATCGGTCCATCTTCACTACTCACTGATCATCAAAGGTGTCGTTGTGTCAATCAACTGAAACAAAATTATTCTTATTTTTTTCTCATTACTTTTAAGTTCTTTGAGTTTATCATTTTGATTTCATCTCTTTTTTTGTTTATCCATTTTTTCAAAACAAAACAAAAAGAAAAACCAAAAAAAACAAAACGAAACAATTAACCAAATTATTCTTACAATCAAGTGCCTATCATCTTTTCGGATCAACTTAATTGTCTTGGTCAAGTGCACAATCATCAGGAAAACTTATCCACTCGAAAAAGAATCCAGGAATCCTTAAATTAATCGCACAAGGAATAGAAATCAATCCAATCGAATCAAATTTAATTTCTAACTCACTTTGTCTATTTATTGACTAAACCAAATTCTTTTCAGATCAAAATCTCATTCTTTTTTATTTTAATTCTATTCATTAATAAAAAAAGACAATTCTCCATTCTTATAAATCGTATCAACTTTTTAATCCACAATTTAATCAACAATTAAATTTAATTTCTTCAAATGAATCTAATTGTTTAGAGAATTGAAAAGTGGCTCCATCTGTTGGCGCTTTGGAACAAAAGGTAAACATATGTTCACATTTTCACTTGTGAGTCACAAATTGCAAGTTGCTTGATGTTTGGATCAGTTTAATTTAGTTTTCTTTTTTGATTAATTACCATGGATGTTGTTCGAAGTAATTTCGTTGAATTATTGCCTAAGCTTCGTGAAGACATAAGGAACTGTGATTTAATTTCGATTGACACTGAGCTTTCTGGCCTTGGACAATCTGGAAACTCTTATTTTGATACATTGGAAGAGAGATATTGTAAGATTAAAAATTCCATCTCTAATTATCTTCTAATACAATATGGCCTGAGCTGTTTTACTAAATTACCAGATGATGACGATGAGAATGGTAAAAATGGAGGATATTCTTGTTCCAATTATAACTTCTACATCTTTCCCTACAAAGTTCCGGGTGCGGTTACTCATAGAGATAGAAGTTTTCTTTGCCAAAGCTCAGCTCTCACATTTCTCTCTGGACATGATTTCGATTTTAACAAATGGATTCGTGAGGGTATTTCTTATATGAACATTGAGGAAGAATCTAATCTAATGTCAACTTTACAAGGTAAACATGTTACCCTCAATACTACAACCGCTGATTTGAATTCCACTGGTAAAAGTCTGAATGAGTCGACGATTCAACCTTTGATTAACACTTACCCGATTCCCGATGAGCATAAAGATTTTATTGAGAAATTTATGTCTAGTCTCAATAGTTTTGTCTGTGATGAGTCTCGAAGTAGATGGAATACTGATCCGTGCTCATCGTTCAGAAGAAAGTTGATCTTCCAATCAGTTAAAAGTTTAAATATCACCAATTTAAAACTCACCTCAGTCCAATGTATGGAAAGTACAATCGATAGATTCATTTCAATTGAGAAAATTTCCTCGGAACAAAAAGCCAAAGAAGAGAAGACAATTATCGATGAAGCCGTTGGATTTTCACGAATTATCCAAGAATTAATAGATTGCAAGAAACCAATTGTTGGTCACAATTTACTACTCGATATGGTTCATACAATTCGTCATTTCATCGCACCTTTACCTGACTCTCTGCACGAATTTAAAGAAATGTTGACTGAATTACTTCCCAATACTTACGATACCAAGTTCATGGTTAAAGCTGATTCCAAATTAGAATCTAAATTTCAGAGTAAGTTTTTCTAATCAACAATATTCTATTCTAACAAATTCTAATTGAAACGCTTTCTTTTCTTCCACAGATACTGGACTCAATGATCTTTTCAATGGAGTTCAAAAAGCTCCATTTCCAAACATCCATGTAAAGATAATCAACAAACCCGAAGACGAAAATGATAATGACGAGAAAAAAATTTCCTTCCACAATGCTGGTTATGATTCTTATGTAACTGGTGTTATATTTCTGAATCTTGTTCATTACCTTTATCCAAATAATAGTTTGATTAACAATTTGCCCCAATTGTCAAATTATAAAGGAAAATACAATCTAACTTATAGCTTTGATATTGATCACCTTGATATCACCAAAAATCAACAAGAGACTGAAAGATTTAATGTTTTCCACATCACTTTTCCCTCTTTTTGGACGAAAGCGGAAATTTTTGACCTTCTCTCACCATTTCGACCTGGACAAATTGGTTGGATCAATGATACTTCCGCTTTTATCGCTTTGGACGATGTTTCTAATAGCAAAGATGTCAACCGGGTACTCACCATATCGAAAGGAGGTTCATCCGAGTGCTCAATTAAACCTTACAAAACTTTCATGGAAGAAAAATGTTCAACAATTAACAACCAAGGAAAACGTAAATTAGATGAACATTTAATTGAAGATGAAAAAACCATCGAAACGTCAACACCATTAATCAAAAAGGCGAAATCATCTAACAAAACAGTAACCACTCACGAACGAACCATTTTTGACAATTGTGATGATTGGTAATTACTGTTGATTAAACATCAAGGTTAATTTTTTTCTAATTTTTTCTAATTTTTGAGAATTAAAAATTTCCTGTTAACTTATTTGTTCAACTTGTTTCTATCATATAAAGATTGTCATCTTCGTTTATTCAAAAATTAACCAAATCAACTTAGTGTTGATTAATTTTCTCACTCTCTCTCTCTCTCTCTATTTTGATGAAATACAATTTGATTTAAATAACAATCGCAATCACAATTTGACAGAAATTTTTTATTATTACAAAAAGGCAAACAATAATAATAATTACCTCTTTTTTTTTTGATTAAATTTTGTTTGCGTTAAAATAAACAATTAACAATTTGAATGTGTATTAAAGGTGAAGTTGATTAGGTTTTTCAATTAAGCTTTTACTTGGATCACTTTTTGTTAGCTCTTCACCGACACTTAATTGATTTGATGATTACATTTAGTGTGTTTGTGTGATTAAATTTTCTTGATTCACTACAATATGGATTTTGAGAGATATTGATTATTTTTTCACTTTTTACAATTTTACATGATGATTTAGTCTTTTTTTTTATCATCATCAATATCAAAGTCATCACAAGTATATTTGATTATTTAGTGATGATTTGAATTGATTAGGAGCTGAGATTTACCGTTTAAACAATGATATCATTATTTACTGTTGATGATCGGGTATTGTTAATAGATACAGTTGTAATTGTGGTTGTAGTTGTAGTATTGGGAGTAGTTGTTGTTGTTGTTGTTGTTGATTGAATGTTTGGATTAATAGTAACATCATTGTTTTGATTTAAATTGGGAAAGGCTGCTTCTCTTATCACTTGCTGAAATAGCCTATGCCTTGATTGTATTAGAGCATCGGTTAACCATTGATCTGGTGGCGGAGATTCCACTCGATTTTCACAATTAACTGAATGTTCAGGTGCCAGTGTGATGGGTGTTATATCGGCTTCTATACTGGCGAGGATTGATGAATTACGCCTGGATGGATTTACTTGAGTACTTCGGTCAAATCTTAAGCGAAAGTTACTTGATAAGGTTCCAGCGTAATTGGCAATTTGACGAGATGAAATTGATGCATCTAAATTGGAATTGTTAGCAATTAAAGGTGTTCGTTCATTGGCACCATCTTCATTTGCTTCATTTTCAAAGTCAGAATCAGAGTCTTCACTCATTCCAGGTAAAATGACCTGCCCTTTACATACAGGGCAAACTTTTCGGTTCTTGGTTAACCATGGATCGATACATTTCACATGGTATACTGGAAGAGAAGGAAAAAACAAATAATTAACAGACATGAATCTAAATAAGATTGATAAACAAATAAAGATTACAAGATATGGAAAATCTTGGTCAAATAAAGAGAAGAAGCAAATTGAGAAAAAAATCACTCGAAAGATACAAATTAATTGGTTTCTCTCTCTCTCTCTCACTACAATCAACTTGTTTAAACCAATTACGACCAGATTAATTGAACAACTCACAATGGCCACAAGGAAGGACTCGAAGCTTCTCGCCTTCGGTATATTCATCAAGACAAATTGCACAAGTATCAAACTGTTCACCTGTAGAAAGAGAAAAAGCAAATCAAATTAGAAAATTGGTCCAAGATTAATGGACGAAAAGTTGACATGTGAGATTTGATAGACAGAAATTGTGACTAATTGTCAGGATTGATTTGATTGAACATCAATGATCAGTAAATTGTAAATGAACCAAGGAACAAGTAACAGTTAAACTGATGAAAAGGTTACATAACATAAACAAATGAGATTGAGTAATTCTTGTTTACCTTTTTGATATTTGGTGATTGGAATTTGTTTGAGATACTTTTTCTTTAATCTATATTTACTTCCTCGCCGGAGGTTCCGTATACATCTCATTATCTGCAAAATCTAGAAAGATATAGTAAAAGCATATTCTTGGATAATTTTAAGATATGTCAAGATCAAGGAGTTAAGGCTTTAAAGAGACATTGTGTTCAAAGTATTTAGATGTCAACAATTGAGATTTGTAACAAATAGACATGAACAGGTAACATGCAGATTGTAATTAATTTGACTTGTTAAAGCGAAACTCATTGATTAATAAGACGATAGCTTAAAAATATTTAGTGGGATACATGGAATGGACATTGATTTTTTCTTTGTTAGTAGAAAAAGACACAGGAAAAGTGAAAGAGATTCTTGTTAATTGGGAAATCGGGATATAAACATGGAGACGAAGATGAAGAAAAGAGTTGAAGATGAAAATGAAAATGAAATTTATCTTTACCATGAAACAAAACAATACAGTTAAACAGAGACCAATGGTTATTATGAATGGCAAGAGGTAGGCATTTATATCTATCGGTGGGTCTGGATCCATGATGGTTAACCCACGAGATGATTAATTAAAAAAGAATTAAAATTAAATAAAAATAAATGAGAAAAACTGATTTAAGAGAAATGAAAACAAGACTCAAAAATCAAAATTCTTCATCAACAACAAACAAATATCGAATTCTTTTTCTTATACAACCAGATGGCGACACTCGGAAAGAATTAAAATTCTTTTCAAATTGTTTAATTAATTAATCTAATTATCTTTGAATGACCAAGGAAATTGGAAATTTTCTGCAATTATCGATGAAAATTTTAGAATAACTTGAGAATATTTTAGAATTGGAATAGTGGGAATTTCACTTTCTTAAGAAGAGATGATTTTCTAAGATGAATAATTGATCGAAATATTTGATCAAGTTAATTGTCAACATTTCGAAAAAATTAAATGGATTCGACTATTTAATTCTAAATTATATTTGATGGGTCAATTTTCAAAGAGCAATGAACTTTTATTCTAATGATTAATTTACCTACTTATTCATAATCACTAGATGGCAACAATTTAATCGTCTGAAATTGTGAAAAATTGGTCAACAGAATTAGAAATCAATTGATTTGATTTCAAGTTCCACTTTCATGATAATTATTTAGGTGATTTTCTTGTTGAACAATTGATAAAATTTTAATTTCATTATATCGCGATTGTAATTGGTAGAATTTAAAAAATATTCATTTTGATTTGTTGAATTTCTTGAGATGATTCAGTTGAAAGTTCATCTTTAGTATTTATATAATTTTCTTTGCATAAATAAAGAGTTTGTGTTTATTAACAATTCGCATAATTTAACTGAATTAAGGAGAGAAAAAAAAATCAAAATATCGGCGAAATTTTGGTTCAATTTCGATCATCATGAGGAATATTGGAACTTTAATAATCACGGAACATGAGTTTATCCTCTTCTTTCTTGATCCATTTGACGATCATTTGAGCGGCATTTAGTCCCATAGATTTCGTGGTTGTAGGTTCTAATTGAGCATATAATTGGAATGTCGGAGAATGCCAGCCAAGAATGACCACTTTATGCCGATCAGATCGAAGCCAAAAGATTTTAAGTCGAGAAGATAACATTCGATGAGCAACAAAATGGATCAATGGACTAATTTGTACAACCGAATTAAATTGTGAAAGTGACGAGCGAAATATAGATTGCGACCTTAAGGTCATATACCAAAAGTATTGTAGACAAGGTATATTAAGATCACTAAACGGAGGTGAAGTTAATTTGATCTTATTAAGACGTTCACCTAAATTGTCCTTTACCATTTGACAATTGTGAAAATCCTCCTTATCGGTTGTTAATAAGATCAACGCTAATTGTGGTGATGAGGATAAATGTGAGGATGGTGATGAGGTTGCCGAGGGTGTGGGTGATGATGACGATGAATTTTGATTGTTAAGGTAAGAAATGTGTCCATGCATAAAAGCCGAAGCATCGATCCGAGGTAAACACAAGGGTAACCATAGACTTTCAACTGATTTTAATTGTGATTCGGAGGCCATAACCAAACATTGAATCAATTGCATATCAAGTGGACTTAATTTTGAACATTTACTATTATAATTGGAGACGGCGAGTATTTTGGTTGACGGGAAATCGTCTTCATGAGTTCTTAGGAAAATGTCCGGATTGGTTTCGCTGGTTGAATAATAATAATTTGAAGGTTCGACTGTTAATAATAAACCAAAAGCGATTCGTGATTTAACCGATGATATACTTGAGTTAATTGCGTTGGTTATTGAATCTCGAACTGTTTGATTAAGTGGATAGACTGGAATTAAAGCTCTATTAACATATGATCGATGGTAATTAACTTGATGCGGATGAGAATTACTTGAAGGTGAAGATCTAATTGATTGTGAAGATGAAGAAAATGGAATGGAAAGTGATGAAATATAACCATAGGTAATTGAAGAATCACTTTTAAATTGTGAATCTTTTTTACTATTGTTAACATGAGATGATTTTAGATTATCGAAGTGTTGATTGTCGAAAGTTTCATTTGAAGAAAATGTTAATTGTTGACCAGCATGTTGTCGACGACAAACAATCGGTTTACCAATGAAACCTTGTTCGATTAGTATGTGAACCATTTTCTCGTTTCCTGTCAAAAGCCGTCTCAAGTCAAAGGTAGCTCGTTGTTCAAAAACTGATCTCAAGGTCTTTTCGGTAATCACGGAAACCAGTTGAGCGTGAATCTGGTTAATCAATAGGTTACCATCAATTCCGGAAAATGTGTGAGTTACAACAACGAAAATCAATGGTGTCCGTTGGCTGAAGATAATTTTCAACCCTGACCGAGTTACGATGAAACGAATTGTATCTTTATGAGTATCCTGGAAACAATTAACCAAAGCTTGACATAAAGGTAACAGGGTGACAATATCTTCACGAGTCGTATATGAATAAATCGGTTTACCAGATTCACTAAGAACAAATAATTCAAGTAGATTAGTTTTATGGTCAATTTGTTGTTGTTGTTGTTGTTTCTGCCAATCAACCGATGGTGTTGTTGTCTCTTCATTACCAGGAATGAGTAGATTATTTGATGATGATGATGATGATGATGAGTGAATGTTATTTTCATCATCTTCTGGATTAGATTTTGACTTGGTACAGTTAATTGTTTCCCTTTGATTCAGTGATTCTGGTGAAACCGGTGGTGAAGGTGATGAACATGGAGAAGTAGATGAGGCGGTGGAAAATGAACCATTTTCAATACAATCCGAAGATGACATTGATTATTTAGAAAAGAATTTGGTGAATTAATTGGGTAAACAAAAAAGAGAATTCAAAAAAACAGGTCAACAATCAACTAATTACAATGGAAAAAATAAACAACAAGTTAATTCTTTTTCTTCAACAACAACTGATTCTTTTTCTGTTGTCAATGTTTCCCCTTCTTTTTGTTGTCGTCACTTTCTCTATGTAAACGCCTACAATTGATTAGAATCAATTGGAGGGTAAATTAATTCTCTCTAATTGTGAATTAAATTAAATCATAGAAATTAACTTAATTCTAATACAATTAAATGTTCCATTAGATTGGAACAATTTTCTGTTAACCTTTTTAGTTGATCGATTTTTTTTTCTGTGTTTACCTTTGTCTCCAAATGAACATTTGATTTTCTCAATTAATTGTGACAATTTTTAATTGTTCAACAATTAGGTTAACTATTATTGTCTTTATTCAATCACAATTTATTGATTGTGATTCATTGGATTGTTTAATTGATTGTTTAATTCTATTTCAATTGAATAGAACTTTTTTTCTTTCTTTTTTACTTTGACTTTTAATTTCGATTTCGATTTTGATTATTATGGTAATTGTTTAATTCTAATTAAGTGAATTAATTGATTGACGAATTTAATTTTTACAATTAAAGGGTATTGTCTTTGCAATTGACACTTTGTAGTTTAATTGTATCAGTTTGTTAGTTTACAATGAGACAATTGAATTGTCTCAATCGAGGTAAATTGTTGGGAAACTTGTTGAAAATCACTTTAATTTAGTTACATTTGAAATCAAATTTCACTCATTGAAAAAGTGGTAACAATTATGATTACTAATCAACAAGAGGATCAATCACTCACCAGAGACATAGTTAATCATTACAATTTAATCAATGATTGTCTGGGAAAAAAATTACAATCACGAGTTAATCAAATGTCTATTAGCAAATCCAATCAACTCAAATTTCAGCAATTAAGAGCGTGGTTAAGTTAAGTGGTAATAATCAATTACTGGCCTAACAATTAAGACTGAATAAAGTTTTTTACCATTGAAAAAGCAAATTCCAACTTTAATTGCTGGCTCAAGATGATTAATTGTTGAAAAATTAACAATTTAATACCAATAATTATTTGAGTAAATGTTTATTAATTAGCTACAATTAACTTATTACTAATTATCTCAATGTAAATAATTGAAATTAACGAGTAACAATTAAATTATCATAAATATACACATACGAAATTGCCTTGTTTAATACAAATTAACTAACAATTTAGTTAATCAATTTTTTTCCTCATCATCAATAACAAATGAATAAAAAAATATAATCATAAATCAAATCAGTTGATTGTTAATCACAAATATCAATATGATTTTTATTTCTAGTCAATTAACTAACTAAATAGTTAACAAAAAATTAATATTATGATAGTAAAAATGAAATAAAAATGATTAAAAGGAATCAAAGTTAATCATGATCATAATCTTGATCAAATCAAGTTAATCAATGACTGAAGAGGATATAATTAAACTAATTAGAGCTCAATAGAAACAGTTATTAGTTAACAGTTTAGTTAATTACACTGGAAATCCATTGAGAGAGACCGTAACAATTAACTCCAAGTCCTTGAAGTAAATCAAGCAAATTAATGAACAACAAAAACGACAACAATTAACCAACTGATTAACCAAAAAGTATGAAAAAAAAATCGAATGAAAAAAAACCGATTAACTTAAATGATAAAATCGCGAAAATCTAATTGATTGCTCATCATTTGCATCAATTAACCAGGAAAATAAATGATATCGGATTAGTCAATAGACGACAATTAAATGAGTAAACGTCAACTCGAATTAATTGTTAATCGGAAAAAATTAAATCGCAAGAGTTGGAGGTTAATCTTTTCTAATTTTTTCCTTCTTCGAAAATTTCAAATTTCCATTTCCTCCTTGAGAGAGAAAGTGGAAAAAAAAAACTCGAGAGAGAGAAGGAAAATTGTAAATTCGAAGCACAATTAACAATTATTAGAATATTAGTATAGTGGTAAAAGAGAAGAAAATATTATCGTCGATGACGATGATTATAACAATTAAGGAACCAAAAAGTAAGAAGGAAAAAAATTAATTCGAAGGTTGGAAAAGTTGCAAGAGAAAAGAAAATTAAATTTGGCGCTCATTTTTTTTTCTCTTTTCTCTTTAAAGAGTAACCGAAACTCCGCCCATCGTGTGAGTCTGGAAAATCAGTTGATGTTAGTGACGTGGTTGTTACATTTACCTATTCACCATCGAGGTATAAGTTAATCTCTCTCATTTTTTTCTCTCTCTTCTCTTCGTGATTATTAATTTTCTTTTTTGTTCTCTTCTTGGTTGTTCAGTCTGTTGAGTGAAATTTTATTCTAGTTGTTATTCTAACTGGTTAATTAATAGTAATAATTAGTGATTGTCAATATGTCAGCTAAAGCCGTTTGTGAAGCTAGTGGGAAAAATTTGCTTAACAAATTTCTCAATTCAACCTGTTCACCATCTAAATTTGTTACCGTTAACGAGTCAACTAATTTTGAGCAAATTGTTCGTGAAAATGGTTGGTTAAAAACAGAAAAATTGGTTGTTAAACCAGACCAATTGATTAAACGTCGAGGTAAATTAGGTTTAATTGGTGTCAATTTGGATTATCCTGATGTACAAAAATGGATTACAGAGAGAATGGGTAAAGAAATTCAGGTAAGAATATTTTTTTTCTTTTCTCTTTTCCTCATCTTTACAATTCTTTTTTTTATATTCTTCTTCTCTCAAACATATTCTATGGTCCATTTAATTTTCTATTGTCGAAAAGAACATTTAATTTTCTTTTCTAACCATTTATTTCTTTTTCTTTTGATTTTTCATTCTTTCTAAGAAGGTTTAACCTTTTTCTCAATTGTATCAGGTATTGATAAAATCAATGTTATCAGTTAACTTGAAATATTTACCCCTTCGGGTTAATCTATTTAAATCATTTCGACCTTTTTTTTCTCGCTATATGTTGCAACCTTGATTAAAAAATGTTTCCCCAATTTAAGCGTAATGAAACTGTTAATTGATCTGGTTTTCGATTCTATTCAATCGACAATTTATTTTGACAATTCGCTATTTACACCATGAAATATCATGAAAACACACTCTCTCTATTTACACAATGACTAATTTACTCTCAAGGAAGATTATTTTTTAAATAGTTCCTCATAATGATCATGAAACTTGACTGTTATTGATCTTTCATTACTATTTTTTGTTCTCTCCATCATTGAGTAAAAATAATTTTCCCTTATCATATTTTTTGTCGTTGTTTAGAATAATAATCAAAGGGAAAAGAATTCGTAGAATTTTTCTCATTTACTCATAATTATAATCAGGATATTTACGTCAAGTTTACTTACAATTATTAGTGAAATTTTCTATCCTTGATCAAGGGTAAATGTTGACAGTTAGAACCAAATATCTCATCAGCTGTAGATCCTTTTAACTCTATAACTTGTTTTTGGTTCTTTGTCATTTTGTCGATTGTGTTTGTCTCTATATTATAATTAGTATTTGTATTGAGTAATTTTGTTCAATTCTTTCATCATTAGGTTGGTAAAGCTCATGGTAAATTGAGAAATTTCATCATCGAACCATTTTTACCTCATCAAGAGAGTGAAGAGGCTTACATTTGTATCTACTCTCACCGTCATGGTGACACCATTTTGTTTTATCATCAAGGAGGTGTCGATATTGGTGATGTTGACTCGAAAGCCATACGATATGATTTATCGATTGATGAGCAACCCACCGAAGAGCATATTAAATCCAAATTATTGGTTCACATTTCAGATGATAAAAAGGATAGAGTGACGAGGTTCATTCTTGATCTTTATAAGGTTTACATTGATCTTTATTTCACCTACTTAGAGATAAATCCTTTGGTGATAACCTCAAATGATATCTATGTCCTTGACCTTGCTGCTAAACTTGATGCCACCGCTGAATTTATCTGTAAACAAAAATGGGGTGACATTGATTTTCCACCTCCCTTTGGACGTGATGCTTTCCGGAAGAGGCTTATATTGCTGAACTTGATGCTAAAAGTGGTGCTAGCCTTAAATTGACCATTCTTAATCCAAAGGGTCGTATTTGGACTATGATTGCCGGTGGAGGTGCATCAGTTATTTATGCGGACACTATTTGTGAACTTGGTGGTGCAACTGAGTTAGCCAATTATGGTGAATACTCTGGCGCTCCAACAGAACAACAAACATATGAATATGCCAAGACAATTTTGAGCTTAATGACCAAAGAGAAACACGCCGAAGGTAAGATTCTTCTTATCGGAGGTGGTATTGCCAATTTCACCAATGTGGCATCAACATTTAAAGGAATTGTCAAAGCTCTTCAAGAATTTCAAACAAAACTTCAAGATCACCAAGTTTCCATTTTTGTCCGACGAGCTGGACCCAATTACCAGGAAGGTTTACGAGTTATTCGGGAAATGGGTAATACTTTGGGTATTCCGGTTCATGTTTTGGTCCCGAAACTCATATGACAGCAATTGTTGCCATGGCTATGGGAAAGAGAGAAATTCCCCAAATGCCCCAGCCCAATGTTACCACAGCTAATTTTCTTTTACCTGGTGGAATGATGCAAGGTAATAACTCGGGAGTACAAAATGCAGCAAAAAAAGATAATTCCGTAATCGGTAACAGTAGTTTATCATCAGTTACTGGTGAATCTGCACCCACCTCGCTAACCTATTCAGAAAAATCCCTTTTCACTCCAACCACCAAGGCAATTGTATGGGGAATGCAAAATCGAGCTGTACAATCAATGCTTGATTTTGATTTTGTTTGTTCTCGTAAAACTTGGTCTGTTGCTGCCATGGTTTATCCTTTTACCGGTGATCATAAACAAAAATTTTACTGGGGACACAAAGAAATTCTCATTCCTGTTTATAAGAACATGTCAGATGCCATGAAGAAACATTCAGACGCCGATGTGCTGATTAATTTCGCTTCCCTTCGATCAGCTTATGAAAGTACCATTGAAACTCTTCAATATCCTCAAATAAGAACCATTGCTATCATTGCTGAAGGAATTCCAGAAAATTTAACTCGAAAAATGAACAAAATGGCCAATTCAAAAGGAATTACCCTCATTGGACCAGCTACTGTCGGTGGAGTTAAACCTGGTTGTCTGAAAATTGGTAACACTGGTGGTATGTTGGATAACATTCTAGCATCAAAATTGTACCGACCTGGTAGTGTGGCTTATGTTTCCCGATCAGGAGGAATGTCAAATGAACTTAACAATATTGTCTCTCGGGCTACAAATGGTGTCTACGAAGGTGTTGCTATTGGAGGTGATCGTTACCCTGGAACTACATTCCTTGATCATTTACTTCGTTATGAAGCCGACCCTAACATAAAGATGCTCATTCTACTTGGTGAAGTTGGTGGAATTGAAGAGTACGAAGTTATTGACGCTGTTAAGTCCAAGAAAATCACCAAACCATTAGTTGCTTGGTGTATTGGTACTTGTTCAACAATGTTCACCTCTGAGGTACAATTTGGTCATGCCGGTGCATGTGCTCACAATGACCGAGAAACCGCCGTGGCTAAGAACAAAGCTATGGCTGAAGTAGGAATCTATGTTCCAGCAACATTCGACGAACTTGGTGTAACTGTTAAATCAGTTTACGATCAATTAGTTGCCAATGGTAACATTGTACCTTCTCCTGAGGTTCCACCTCCAACCGTGCCAATGGATTACAATTGGGCTCGTGAATTGGGTCTCATCAGGAAACCCGCTTCCTTTATGACCTCAATCTGTGATGAAAGAGGACAAGAACCTTCATACGCTGGTATTCCTATTACACAAGTTATCAAGGAAGATCTTGGTATCGGTGGTACACTTAGTTTACTCTGGTTCCAACGTCGTTTACCCTCTTATGCATGTAAATTTTTTGAAATGTGTCTCATGGTCACCGCTGATCATGGTCCAGCCGTGTCTGGTGCCCACAACACCATTGTCTGTGCTCGAGCTGGTAAAGATCTGGTTTCCTCTCTTGTTTCTGGTTTGTTAACAATTGGTGATCGTTTTGGAGGAGCTTTAGATGCTGCAGCAAGACAGTACAGCGAAGCTTATGATTTAGGTTTACATCCAATGGAATTTGTTAATCAAATGAGGAAAAAGGGTCAACTCATCATGGGTATTGGACATCGTGTTAAATCAATCAATAATCCTGACATGAGAGTTAAATTGATGAAAGATTTTGTCAAACAAACTTTCCCATGTACACCAATTTTAGATTTTGCTCTTGAAGTCGAAAAAATAACAACGTCAAAGGTTAATATTTGATTTACTACCAACCAGAAATCAAGGAATCATCTCTAGTTACTAATCTTTTTTTTTGAAAATTTATATTATCCTATTTACAGAAGCCAAATCTTATTCTCAATGTTGACGGTATGATTGGAGCAGCAACCGTTGATCTACTTCGAAGCAGCGGATGTTTCACTCTCGAAGAAGCTCAAGAATACATTGAAATCGGATCTCTCAACGGTTTATTTGTTCTTGGACGAACCATTGGTTTCATTGGTCACTATCTTGACCAAAAGCGTCTCAAACAAGGACTTTACCGTCACCCATGGGACGATATCTCTTATGTTTTACCTGAAACTCAGTTTGCCGGCAACTAAACAGAGAAAAAATAACTCATTTCAACATGAACTATTTGTGTGTTCGTTTCAACGTTTTATCATCAAAAAATTAGTCGAAGTCTATGTTCAGTTTCCAATTAATTTAATTACTTCATCCCGGTGTTTGATGGTAAACGTTTTCAATTTAGCTCATGATGCTGATGATTTTATTTCCCTTTACTCTCTGTCTCTTTTTCTCTCTATTCATTATTCTTTTTCCTTAATGAATTTGGATTCCAGATTTATTGTTATGATAGTTTAAACAAATTTAATTATTATTAAGCTAAATGTTAGGGAAAAGATGGATTGATTAGCAATCACAATCAAACAAAACAAAATGCTGAAAATATCATTTCACTCACTCAAAAAAAGACAAATAAGTTTTCCCTTCTCTCCCTTAATACTGTTTTTGACCATCCAATGATTTGACCAACAATTTAAGGTTGTGCTGAAAAAAATAAGTTAAACAAAATTAATTAACAATTAGCCTCACAAAGCTATAATTGGGTTTCCCTCTGGGCTCAAAGTGATCTTTGAAGGTTGTGAATTCATTTACAAATAGATGTAATTGTATTTTTTAGATCATCAATTCCGTTTCCTTTTTACCACCTTCACTTTCTTTGTGTCTCTCTCTCTTACATCTCAGCATTTATCAATTATACTACTTCTTTTTGTTTTCTTTACTAAAGAAATGTGAGAGTTTTTGAAATATCATATCAACCTTTTGATTCTATTTCTTAATTTATTGATTTAAATTATGTTAACCATGACTAGAACAACCTAATCAATAATAGCTAACTTTTAATTGTTTGAACATCTCGTATAGTCAAACAGTTAAAACTTTTCTTTTTCCTTGTAAAACTATTATTTGAGGTTAGGAAAAATTTTTGATTCTATCAACATTGTTGATATTTAAATAAGTTATTAAAACTTTGATAGAGAAAATTATTAAATCACAAAATGATTACCTAATATTGATGAAACTTGGTCAAAGACTTAAAGCAAAAATTACTTAGCTGGATACACAATTGATAGAAGTACAATCTCTTATAATTTTTTTCCTTCTTTTCCTCTTTGTAAATCACTTTCTTCCTGATAATTTGTATTTTGACCTTAATTCACCTTCATTCACATTCCCTGATGTAACTTTTTGTTTCCTTGTTTTGTCTGGTAACATCTTTTTCCCCTGAGGTCATTTCCAAGGTAACTTGCTCTTATCCTTTTCTCTCTCTATCTTTGGAAGGATAATCCAAAAAGTATCCATTGTCATCATCATCATTGTAATCAATTTGTTTTGATTCTTCAACCAGAATTGGACTAACAGGAACCATCGTTCAATTAATTGATTATAACACAATTTATTGAATTTCTCTCGCTTTTGCCTTTGTTTTTTTTTCGTTTGTTCTGTCACAACAAAAGAGACATGGAAACATTTCCCTTTTCTCATTTCCTTACATCAAATATGGTTAATATTATGATATATATATTGTTCAAGAATAAATTTACGTGCCATCGGTGTTGAAATGTCGTTTATGTCTATTATTTGATTATACAAGTAATCAAATTAACTGTTATATCAAAAATACAAACATCTAACAAAAAAAGAGATGAAATTAATATCTAATTATCGAGCCCAATAAGGTAGTTGAGTAGCAAATTCCCAATCAGCTCCCTGAATAGTAAATAAAATAGTAAATTAGTTGATTGTTATCGGTGTATTCAGGTGATTAAATTGATTACTTTGTATCTTAATGCGTGTAGATGAAGAAACTGTTTTGATATGATTGGTGGTTCTTTATAAGCTAAACAACATGTGTAACATTCAGGGCAATAAGAATCTAATTCTGGTTTATAACAATTTCTGTTGAAAAGAAGAAAAAATAACAATTAGGTTGATAATAATGTAAACAATTAAAATCTTACTCGTGAGTATAATCAACCCATTCATCGTTACGATAATCTTGTAATAGATAATCATATTCATTGATACAATCAACCGATTCCTCTCTAAGTTCAGCTATACGTTTTGCATCTTCAATGTAAGCTAAGTGGTATATCTGAAAAACAATTAACCATTTGAAGTGATTATTATTGATAATCAATTTAAATGCTCAATATGAATACCTGTCTATCAGATAAGCCTCCGTAGTCGCCATTTTTACCACAATTTTGTCCAAATGCCGTTGAATTGTAAGTGAAATCATTAAAAATTGGAAATCCTAAATATTGAAGATGAACTCTAATCTGATGGGTTCGACCGGTCAAAGGTGAACAGGAGATTATACTTGTCCCTTTTTTGTGATCAAATTTAATTTTCTTAAATAAGGTGACACTCGGTAGACCCGAGTGTTTGTCTACTATAACTGGTCCAGAGATACCGAAACAACGGGCTAAAGGTACATCAACTTTGATCTCGTCGCTGTGATTAAATATAAACGAAAACAAAAGATTACACTTGATTGTTGAATAGTAATTTTGATTACTTACTGGGGAAAATTTCCTCTCACTTCGCAAATGTATTCTTTGGATATCTTTCTATTGGCCATTTGATTACTTAATTCTGAAGCTTTGGCTTGATTTCTGACTAAAACAATTAAACCAGAAGTGACCGAGTCGATACGATTGAAACCTTAAATAATTAGAAAGATAACAATTAGCTGATTATTAAAAGTTTCAATTGATGATAGAATTGACAACCATAAATTGAACCATATTTGTTTTTGGCCATAGTAATTAATGAATTGTACTTGTATTTACCAGCCGAATGCATCTAGAAAACAAATAATAAAAGTTAATCATCTCGATTGGCAGTTGTGATCAAACTATGGATTAACTTACCGGTATTCCAGGAGGTTTATCAATAACTAAAAATTCATCGTCTAGATGAACAGTTTTAAATGGTAAATCAATGATCGGATTTTCATGGAAATGAAAAACATGAGATAAAACATCAGAAGGTTTCATGACATAATCCGGCGAAACTTTTTCCTTATTAACTCGAATAAAACCCTTCTCAATGAGGCCATTCTAAAGAAAACAAAAGTGTCAATCATTCATTGATGTATTGGAATAATGTTACAATGGATTAAAAAACAAAAAGATAATCAATTTAAACAATTACCATTACTTTTTTCGGCGGTTTAACCCTATTCTTAAAGTAGACCTCACAAATGTATTTACCAACCCAATCTCCTAAACAATAAGCTTGACTTATGTTAAAATATGGATAAACAAGTTGACATCCTCTTTCATAATAGTAAATTTGTCCATTGACTTGCCTGTTAGATGAAAAAAAAAGAGTTAATTAAGATAAAATCGAAGAAAAAATTGAAGTAAAATTAATTTGGAACTTACAATTGTTTAGTAAACCGAGATTCCTTTGGACTATCACTATAGATTTGATCAGCAATTTCTTCCAGCGAAACACATTGACTCAACCAACGATTACAATCTAATCTACAAACGGTTGATAATTTAATAGAATTTTTTAATAACATGAAAAAGATTAAAAAAGAAACAAACAATTAAAGGTAATCAACAATTACAATTGAACAACATTGAATGAGATCAACGAATCAATGAAAACATTACAAACACGAGATTCTCAAGAAAAGGCGGTCAATTCAAATGAACGAATTTAAATAAAATAAATTTTTCTCTTTTCGAAATTTATCCAAATTAAATAATTCTAAACAATTAAGGTAATTAAATTGTTCTTATAAAATGTGGATTAATTTTCTCAACAATCAGATGATTGATTTTCTATAGATTATAAAGTTATTGTAGATCAATTGATCGGATTATCATTTGCAGATTAGAACTTTTATCATAACAATTAATCTATTAATCTATTGACTAATTATCGATTATATTTGATAATAAGTTGATTCGGAGGGAAAAGAAAATGACTAGTCGATTAAATGTTCAATTCGATGCTCAATGTGATGGTTTTATCTCTCGTGTGTGAATATTGGAAAATGATGATTACCAATTGATTGAATTAAAAGAAAATCTTTGACCTTTGACCGAAAAGAAAGAGAAACAAACAGGTCACCAAAGATTTAAAAGGAAAGATACACATGCTCAAGAGAAGAGCAAAGGTATTGCCATTAACATGGAAGAAAATTGATCTCTTGTAAAGTAATCACAATTGAGATTATTCCATCATCTCGAACATTAATTAATAATTAAAAAGGTGCAAAGATAATACGAATAAATGGAAAAAAAAGAGAAGTTCGAAAGTTCGAAAGAGACAGAGAAAGAAAGAGAAAGTAAATTCGAAGTGAAGAATGTTCAGTTATTCAGTAGAAAGAGAGAGAAATTAATCGAAAGAAAATATTTGCAAATCGAATGACAGGTAAAAAGAGAAGATGAGGAAGAGAAAAAGGTATTGAGAAGATGAAGATGGTTGATTGGAGAAAATGATGAGAAAGGAAAAAGAAAGAGAAGATAAAAAGAAATCGAAAGAGTTTTGATCATGTTCGCTTCTCATCTCGAATTGGACTGCAAGTGAGCGACAGAGAAAAAGACACAAGGTGAAAAAGAATAGAAATAAACGACAGAGAAAAAGAGAGAAAGAGAGAGATGAAGATGAGAATAACTGTAAAAGGATGAGAATGATGCTAAGGAAGAAAAGAATATGATGCAAAGAGACTGCGGAAAGAGAAAAGAGAGACAATTCTGGTTTTGGAGGGAGAGAGAATATTGGAAGTGAGAAGAGAAAAGATTTCGAGTGAAGATGAAAAAGCTGCGGTTTTAATCTAATCCTATTTCTCGACTGATGTTGTTAATCATTTGCATTTTTTTCTTTTTTTCTTTTTTGTTTAGTTAATTAAGTGATTCTAATTAATGAACAATTAAGTGTATCATGTGTAGACCAATTTGGTGTCCAAGTGGACATCATTGTCCTGAGGTGAGTATTTTTATCCATCAACATTTCTCTTTGTTTGTTTTCTCCCTCTCTCTCTCTTTCTCTCTTCATTTGTCAATTATTAACCATTTTCTCTCTCATTTATTGTCAATATTTCCTCCAAATTCACAATTAACTGACCATTTAACTAAATTAATTGTTCATCTACTCGAATTAGAATCAACATCAGTCTCATATTCTTCTTTAAATAAGAAAATGTCTTCTTCTTTTCTATTCTACATCTTATGTTTTCTCTTTTCTTCTCTTGTGCTTATTATTCATCATCTTCTTTTTTCTGGTTCTCTTTTTCTTAAATGTTCCCATTTTTGTGCTCTTATATTCACTCTCTCATTATCTCCATCATCTTAATTACCTGATATCAGTGATTCGATCAACCTAAATCCACCAGTTAATCAGTTTCTCTTCAATAGCAAATATCCCCTTTTGGCTTCTTATCTTTTCATATTCTATTCTCTCTTTATCCCTTTCTTTCTCCCTCTCTCCCTCTTTTATATTCTCACCATCATTTCTCTCTCTCTCTCTCTTTGCCTTAATCATCTATTGATTTTGATGGTGATTACACTTTGATTTGATTTGATTTGATTTGGATTTGCAACAAGCACCAATCTCGTTTCACACTTGAAAAAATCTCTCACTTTGTTTTCTCTTCTCTAACCATCAATATGATTGTCTCTCTTTAACCAATAACATATTCTCCCATTTAATAGTTAAACATAGGTGATTATCTTTTCATCTCACTCACTCAGTTATTCTCTCTCACACACACACAAACATATTCTCTTCATTTCCATTTTGAAATTCATTTCAATATATCTCTCAAACTCTTGTGTATGTGTTTACCTGATCTCTTTTTGTGTTTATGTTGACACTCAATCGATTTCTTTTTAATCCTGTGTCTTAATCCTCTTCTTTACCTGTATAAATGCTTTCAAATTAAACCGGTAAACCTTTTCCCTGCCATTTCTTACGTTAACTTGCAACCCTTTGATATTGAAGGAGGTCACCACCAACTCTTCATCATTTAACCTTTAACTTGACCACAAAATCTTTTTTTTAATATTATTTTTGATTGTTTCCAATTTCAAAAGAAAAACAAATCATGGGAATTACTGTTCCACCGGTTAGTTTACCTTAAACAAAATTGTTTCTTCTTGCGAGGGAAAATTGATTACATTGTATTTTCATCTATTAATATTTACCATTGAAAATGTTGAACAGCTAATCAGTGACAATCAACTAATTCACTTGATTTTTTTCTCCACAGGGTCTAACATGTATGCTTATGTTTGCCATCTTCTCGGCGGCTTTGGGGATGTTTCAATTCGGTTACAATACTGGTGTTATTAATGCACCTCAAAGGGTACGTGTTGTTTTCCTAAATTTATCTTAATTGTTTCGATTGTTTCACTAATCAGTGTTTTTCTCTAAATTGTACTGTTTTTCCCTTTTGTGATACAGATTATCGAGGAGTTTATCGATGGCGTTTATAAAGATCGAACGGGAAATTATTTATCACAAGAATTAAGTGACTTCCTTTGGTCATTAACTGTTTCCATTTTTGCCGTTGGCGGTATGTTCGGTGGTATTAGTGGCGGTTTAATTGCTGATTGGTGTGGGAGGTTAGTAATTATTATCAACTAAATCTTGACGAATCATCATCATCTTAATCATCATTTGAATATGATACAAACTGTTATTCAAATTATTTAGAGCATTTTGTTGTTATTGTTATGCTGGTACAATTAACTAACTTCTCTGACGACAATGATGATTATAATAGTTTCTAAATTACTGTTTAGATTGTTATTGATTATCATTTATACCTTTAACTAACTGTCTAATAACGTAACCAAAATAATTAGCAATTAGTGAACATTTCTTTTTCGTAGTTTTTATTATTATTATATTTGATTGATTACCAATCTTAAGATTATTGTAATAGTGAATCAATATTTAATCAACCTGTCAAAAATTAATTCCTTGCCTATTTTTACTCCTTCGTAACAATTTACTCAATCATTCAGTAATTGTTACTTAACTACCAACTTAGTTATCATTACAATTATTCATATTGATTCATTATTTATTTTGATGATGATTAACAGTTTTAATGTAACAATTTGTTTCCATGATTAGTTACAAAAATCAATTATCAATCTTGAATTTCATGACACCTCTTTCAACCCATTTTAATGATTATTATTAATATCATTCTCATCATTATCATCATTAACTACAATTAGAGCTTACATGATTATCTAATAGTTGGTGATTTAATTCAGAAATTAATTCTACCCTGAATAATAATAATAATAATTAAATTATAATAATGAGTTGGTTACACGACAAGAAAAAATATTTCCATTATCAAGTTAATTTGATTGTAACAATCAAGGTAACCACAAGGTGAAATAATTAAGAAAATAGTTAAATGATTGGATTAATTTTAACCAAGTCTACAGGATAATCGTAAATTGTTGATTATCAACAACAATTATAATAATAGTCATTAATAACACTTAATAAGTTTAATCTTATTGTCCCTTGATTGTAAGATAATTACAATTGAATATTATATCAACATTGATTATGTTATAATCAATGAAATCCGCAGAAAACTCAATTTTCAAGCTTAATCTTTGGTGTATATGTTTACTGATATTAATTGATTAGGTATAATAACTCATCTGATGATGTTAATTAGTGATATCATTAATCAATTGTTTAATTATCTCTATTTTTTATTTACAGGAAGTGTGGCCTTTTACTTAATAATGCGATCGCCATTTTGGGAGCTACATTGATGAGTTCGAGTCAACTTTTCAAATCCATTGAATGTCTAATTGCGGGTCGATTTTTCATCGGACTTAATTGTGGTATTAGCACAACGTTGGTTCCAATGTATTTATCAGAGATTGCGCCCATTTCTCTGAGAGGTGCTTTAGGTTAGACAATTTAATTTCTTTTCATCATCATCAATCATCATCATTATTATTTAATTATCTCATTCATTGTTTACCTGAGAATTTGAAAATCAACTACCTTTAGTTTTATTCAAATTTCAACTCATTCAATGTTGATTATTTCATTTAATTAGCCAACGATTTGATTTATAGCGAGACCATTGTGATATCATTTCTGATTAATTCTGTTTTCCAATATGTTTAATTACAATTAGTTCTGTTTTCTTTTGAAAATTCTGACTCTTGATTAGATAGACCTAATGGTTTGATCATGTATTTGTTTTATTGTTGGTTAATTGTTTGTTTTTACTAGTTAATCACTTACGAGAAAATTGATTGTAACATATATAATTATCATTTTGACTATTAACTTTTTCCTTATTTTGATTGTCATTAAGATCTCACTAATTGTTACAATATTATTACAATTGATTATCATTAAGTACTTGTTATTTATTGTACTTTATCAATGATGAAGAAAAAAATTCGTAAAAAATCACCTTGAATCAGGCAATTCCAGAAATACGATTAAGTTTACGATGTTAATTGTTATCAACTTTCAATTAACTTATTGGTTCTCACTTAATGAGCTAATCAAGGTATTTAGAGATTCACAATCAATTTCTCAAGCAAAGCAATCATTAAATCGTCTCTCATATGATTACATTAACTGTAACATTTATTAGTTTGTTACCCGATGAACCGATTATCATTAATATCATAAAAACAATCAATTGTTAATTAATTGACGTTAGCTCATAAATCAAACATGTTGAGTTAATTAACTTTCAATTTGAATCAATTCATTTTAAATATTCATCCATATGTTTATTTACATTTGTATTTGTCCTACTGTATTAACTTTATTGATGATCGTGATTAGCTAATTGTAATTACATTTTGTAACTTAGTTACAAAATTTTGACGATTAATAATTTACATTGGGACTTTTGTACAAGTTAATTATTCCTTTTTTGATTTATTATTAATGTTTATATCATTTTGATAATTATGCAAACATAAATGATCATTAAAAGAGTTATTTAATTAACATGATTTCACTTTTGACGATTAGCATGAACGAGATATTGATTAACATGATCATTTATCATCAGTTTTCTTGGTTATTCAAACTTATCTACGAATGCGCTTAATTATTGACTTAATTGTTTCTCTCTCAACAGGAACCGTTAGTCAATTAGCTGTGACAATTGGTTTATTATTGGGCCAAGTTCTGGGCATTCCTTATATTCTGGGTACAAAAGACGGCTGGCCTTTCTTACTAGGAATTGCAATCATTCCCGCTGTCCTTCAACTTTTACTTCTTCCAATGTGTCCAGAAAGTCCAAGATATTTACTCATCAGTAGAGGTCAATTATTAGACGCTAGATTTGGTAAGAATTTGAGATTTGATTGGACTTGTTATTGACCGACGAAAATCTAACATTAAACTGTAATATTTAATCTCTTAAGCACTTCAACGATTACGTTGCTCAACTGATGTCGATGAAGATATTGAAGAGATGAGATCTGAACATAAATCACAACAATCTGAAAAACGAGTAAGTTAATCGTCACTTTATATGAATCAAAAGTTTTCGTTTCTCATTAATAATTTTTTTTCTCTTCACTCTAAATAGTATTCGGTTTGGCAAGTTATCAGTAATAAACAATTCCAAAAACCAATCACCATTAGTATTGTAATGCAATTATCACAACAACTTTCCGGAATCAGTGCTATTTTCAATTACTCGACGGCGATATTTAAAAATACTGGTATTAACTCTGAAGCGGCACAATTTGCCACCATAGGTGTAGGCACTGTTATGGTCATTATGACCCTTGTTTCAATACCTTTAATGGACCGAGCTGGTCGTCGGACCCTCCAATTATGGGGTTTGGGTGGCATGTTCATAACCAGTATATTTTTTACAATTTCATTATTAGTTCAAGTAATTATCTAATTTCACAATTCCACAATTTATTTTAAATTACAATCAAATCTAATTGTATTTCCTTTTGCAGTTTATATATCAAGGAATGGCTTACGCCTGTATCGTCAGTGCATTAGCATTTGTAATATTTTTCGCCATGGGACCAGGTAAACAATTACAATTAATTGTTGTCAATCATAATGTCTAATTGATTTTTGATTTAAATTTTCAGGATCAATTCCTTGGTTAATCACTGCTGAGCTTTTCTCACAAGGGCCTCGATCGGCAGCCATGAGTATAGCTGTCCTAGTCAATTGGTCAACTAATTTTGTTGTTGGAATAGGTTATCTTTTTATGCAGGTTCGTTGATTAACTTACACTAATTAAATTTAGAACAATTGATTGATTTCTCTTGTTTTTTTTTTCTCTATCAGAATCATCTTGGAGACTATACATTCCTGCCATTCACTGCTTTCTTGGCTATTTTCTGGACATTTACGTACAAAAAAGTTCCCGAAACAAAGAATCGAACCTTCGAGGAGATACAAGTTCTCTTTCAAAATAATTCTGGTTTAGCGGGTATGGAAAGTATAGCAGATCGACCCACAACCTCCAATGTGCTAGATGATAAACCAAATGTGGAACCATGTGAGTTAACTCACTTTCACCAAGTTCCTGTAAATTACACCGCTGGAACATCCAACACATCTGAACATTAATCAGTCAATCATCATACCAGCGATAAACAAACAAACACCCTGCATGTCCTCCTGTTGTCATTAATCATTTTTGCATGTAAATTGTCCCACGTGAAATTCACAGAATTGTTTGTATCTTGATGTTTTTCCATTGTGTTAATACTGTTTTCTCTCTGTGATTTTTACACGCTTACCAAATACTCACCTAATGGACCAGGTATGCATCATAATCATCATCATCATCACTGTCACCATGGAGGAGGTGTTGGTGGTGTTTATCCACCTCCACCTTTAATACCTCCCATAGTATCGACTAGAAAAAAAGTTTCAGTCGCTGAGATTGATGGTGATACGTTAACTGCTAATCACGTTGACGAAGATCAACTTTAACTAACTTTAATTTTGAATCAAAGATACAAGAAAACAAAATCCTATTTAACACAATTAACAATTTAGAAAGTTTTTATTAATATTTTCAATTCTAGCCTACAATTGGAAAAACAAAATGTAAAACTTTCCTTAACAATTAACTTTCCATCCCCACTAATCATTCATTTATGTTTATTTTATGTTTATTTATTAATTACTCTGATTGCGATTTTGCACTAATTGTGATGATTTATACTAATTCTTGCATTTTTTTTTCTTCATTTCTTTTCAACAGCACAAGAAACAAACGATGAGCCTCAAGAACCTAATGCAATAGAAAAATGAAACTTTTCTAATTGTTAGAAAAGCTCAAATTGTTAATCCTGATTAACGGATAATCCATTCAACTGCTCAAGAAATTAACGTTTTTTTTTCTGACACCAGATCAAATTTTAATCACAATTATCTTCCTTTTAAATCAACTTTAATCAACTGAACAGAATCAACGATAACTGTCTCTTGATAACGGGTGATTCCGTTTCCTTTTTTTTAATTACTATTATTTATGGTGTTTTAATTTCCCTCACAACCCCAATTAGTCAATTATCCATATTTTTGTTTCTACAATTAACTACCTTAAACTGTAAATTGTTATCAAGCTTTTAATTGTTTTTTTTGTAAACAATCCAACACAAAATTCATCGGAACAAAGATCACATTGATTAGAAGCTGCTCATACTTAATTGTTTCGAGACAATTATCGTTTAATTCCCATCGGATCCTTTTATTACAACATTTAATCATCATGATCTGGTTAATTTTCGTTAATTGTTTGCAATTTATACACAAAACATCTCTTTTCTACATCAACTCTCTTCACAATCAAATAGGTGCCAATAAGTTTATTCATCTCTTTTTTGGATTAATCATTTTAATTGTTTCCAATTTGTTTTCTCTCATCTTGACACCACAATTAACTTTAATTGTCACGATCTTACACCATCAAGGAACAATTTTCTAGGTGCTCATATCACACCAGCGAACCTAAATCAACTCTAGATGATTAATTAATCCAGTGATCCCAAACAATTGATGAAATCGTTTAAATTGAACAATTTGCTTATAATTAAACTGTTGTTAATTGATCGCTACCTGAATCACATAATCTTCAATTAACATATGCAAATCATTTGATTTTAATGAATTAACAATTGTAGAGGAGATGATAACAAATGAAGAGCCAAACGATTAGTTAATTGTTGGACCTCGTGTTAAATTCACAAATTTGATTAGTCAAATGGTCGTACCCAGAAAAATAATCAACCTCAATCATCAAGTAACTAATAAGCTACAACTATGCACATAAACTTAATTTACTTCTGCCTGATTGTTAATCAAAATTATCCTACAATTACGACAATTAGGACACTACTCGAGTTGTTATCAATCAATGGACTGATTTTCACATTTTCTGTGCTTCCTTTAATTTGATTCTAAATTGGTTCTAATTTTGCCTTCGAGTTTGATTAATGGGAGAGAAAGAGATTGAAAAACAAAGTATCAAATTGTAATAATTGAAATTCCGATAGCAATTCTAATTACAATCAGTTAATTTGTTTATTATCATTTGAAAACAGTTCGAACGTCTAAACTTTTCCAACGACATTGATTCCATTGTTTAAGTCTACTAACTCTGCTTTTAATTACTTAATTAGCATCAATGTCAAAACGACGACAATTAAATGATTGACCGATCAATTGAACAGTTTTTCCGCAATTAATAAGGAATAAATTGTGCCTTTAATTCATAGGAATCTATGTAAACATAAATAACGAAATTGACCTTCAAAGAGATCTAAATATTTACTAAGTGATTCTTTCCATTATTCCGCTGATTAATTAAAAAACTGGTCAAACTTTTTAACTAAATTGTGACAATTAAATGACTAAAACAACTAGACTTAAATTGTCGAGTGTCTAATTGTTATAATTGAAACTCAGTGTAATTAAATTATTAACAAGAAAATAGCACAACAATTATAAATAAAAAGAAAAATGTTCTTATCAAAATTTTAATTTTCTCGTAATTTAATCAACAATCAAATGTCGAGTTTAATTTCTCACTAATTGTAGTTCGAAACTTATTCAACTCGAAACAACTTTCGAAAAGTTTAAAGTTAATTTCTTTACTCAAAGTTAACACTCATCATTGGTACACAACTCGAACACAATTAAATTGAGATTAATTCCTAATTGAGATTCTGATTCACTTTGAATTGGTTTAATTGATTGATCTCTGAAAGAAATTGTTATTCAATTGATTACAATCATGATTGGTTGAAATTGCTTGTTGATTGGAAAATGATTTAAATCTGTAAATCATGTTATCCAATTTGAGCTTATTTATAAATCTTATTACGCGAGAAAAGTTAATTAACTGGTAAAATATTCACATTGATTGAAGGGAACACACAATTAACTAACTGGGAATCCCGTTGATTGTGATCTTTGGGGAAATTTAAAATTATTATTCCCAATAACCTTGATTAGAATCAGTTGATTTAAATGAAAATTGAGATACAATTTAACCTACACACTGTTGATTGTTACAAAGTTAATCATAAGAAACTTTTTTCTTTCTTCGTTAGTTAACAAAACTAATTGTAAATCGATGACAATTGCTGAGTTTATTGATTGTTGTGGTGACAATCATTGGATTGATAAGTTAAACACACACACGATTATTAATTATGATTAGTAAGCTAATTGTTGGGTGGATAGAAAGATTATCTTTCTTGATTATCAGTCATTGACTTGTTTATAACAATTAGAATTGACCTTTTCAATCAGGAACATTTAAATTTAATAACAATCAAATTTTCATTTGATCATCTATTAGATTAACAATTAGACCTTGATTATAATTGCAATTAAAAAAGGTCAAAAACAATTGAATTAATCGATAAAGACAGTTGTTAATTAGTAATAATCAATACGATCCAGAGTCAAAGTGAACAATTTGATTAATTATTAATATATTGTCACAATTAAATTTGTATTGTTTTATTGGCTGCTTGATTGTAAACAATTTAGTGATTGTTACAAAGTTTTCAGTTTAATTTTAATTTGATTGAAAATATTTATAACTTGTAACCAATTAACTGGTCAGTTTGAAAACTTAATTAAAAATTAACTTAATCAAAATGATTTTAGGTCAAGAGTTACAATAAATTGGTGTTTAAATTTTGATTTTTTAAATTGTGTACAATTAATTGTAACTATTAACATGCATACACACACATTAACCAATTAGTTTCATTATTAAACAAGATTAAGTTAATCATCCTACTGTTTTCAATCAGAATTGATCAACTATGAAATTGAACAATTAAGACGATCAATGTTTTGACCAACCAAATTGGAAATGTAATTAACAATTTAAAATTCAAACCTCGATTAAGCCTAAATTGATGAAGGATGATGATGATGAGGTACCACAATTAACAATCAGTGTAAACTAATATGATTATGTTTAATAGCCGATACTAAATTGTAACTGATTATGATACCTTGAAATGAGATAAACGATAATTATTGATTGTAAAGAGTTAAAGTAATCGCCTTTATTCAAGGTTAATCAAATCGCAATTAAAGGTAAGATGATAATCAGGTATCAAAGATTAAGATGAAAACTATTATTTCTCATCAAAAATTGAACATCGTTGATTAAACTAATCAAATCTTTTAAGGATTTAGCCAATTATTTGTTTCTATTATTAAATCAATCAACAGGCGTTCATTGTTTATCATCAAATCTTAATCCTTAATCTTGCCAGAATTAACCTTGGATTCACCGAGTAATCAGTTAGATGAGATTTTTTTATTCATTTTTTTTGACAAAGGAAAAAATTTCATTCAGTTTATACTGAATGAAGATGAAGATGATGATGATGATGATGATGATTATAGTATTATGATGTTCAATGTAATGAAGGCGTTCTCATGATAGATCAGTTTGATGATTGGCCTCAAAAGGAATTAAAATTTTCACTTCGAACCAGAATAATCGATTCTGACCAGCCCTGAAAATCTGAAGAAAAAAAATCAACGGGAAACCTGAATTCTGAAAGAAAGCATGGGAAGATAAATGAAAGAGAATCAGGATGACGATGAAGATGAAGGTGTTGACCAATTCTATTAGGCGACCTCACCTTTTGCGAAAGAAGAAAAAGTTTAGTATAAAAACGAACTGAATCCAAGTTGTAAATCATCAGTTTCGAAGTATCAATCGAAGTAACAATTTAAAACAAACTTTCAATTCTCACCAAACAACAAACACCAAACTCAACTCAATCAAAATGAAGACTGTTGTAAGTATTCAAATTATTACAGTTCGAAAACTTTTTTTTGTTCTAATCGTTTGTTTTTCTTTTCGTTTTCTTTTCAGATGGTTCTCCTTGTTATCGCTCTCTTTGCCGCTGCCACTTTCTCAGTTGCTCAAAGCCAATACTACGCTGCTCCTTCAGCCGCTTACGTTGGATACACCGGCTATGGTTATGCCGCCGCTCCAGTCTACACCGGATACGCTCACACTTACCCTGCAGCCGCCGCTTACACTTACCTCAAGAAATAGATTCGCCCCTCAGATGACCAATGGCTTTGGATGAATGAATATGATTTGGTTATCATCTTTGTCTTCCATTACCTACTCTCTCTCTCTCTCTCTCTCATTCAGTTTGCCGATCAGTTTACCAGTCAATCAAAATCTCTCACTCACTCACTTTCTCTCTCTCTCTCTCTCCTTTCAGATTCAATGTTAGTTGTTATCCTATTTGGTTAGTTTATCTTCTTGTTAATTGGAAAAAGTTTCGAAAACTTTTTTCTTGTTTTTCCTGTTACATGAATTCACTTTTTCAATGCAATTTAATAAAATGAATTAAAAAAAATTAATCTTCACTTTGTTTCCGGTTAATTGTTACAACAATCAATTCTCAACCTCGGTTAATATTTTGTTGCAATTGTTTTCATCAACTTTGTTTCTAATGCAATCAACTTAAAGACTAATTAAAGGTAAGAAATCACAATCAAACTCAATTGTTTGTTTACTTTCTTTTAATTTTAATCTCTCATATTCTAATCATTTCCAATCAAATGATGTGGAAAGTTTGATTAACTGTTATTAATACTTGACATTTACTTTCGATGAGTTGTTTACATCATTTAATTACTTGATTGTTTTCGAAAACTTTAACTAATCAACTTAATCATGGTTGATAAAATATTCAAGAAATTTTGATCGCTAAACTTGAACTTCATGAAAAGTTAACATGATTTGATCAACTCAATGATTACTTTCATGTTTTTTCATTGTTTTCTGATCGATCTAAATTAACTATTAATGATAGTTAGATCAATTGGATTATTGAATGAAAAAATTCTGATTTTCATCTAAATTTATTATGAAAGAATTTTTTTTTCTAATTAAGTTGAATGGATTGGATCTTTTCGCTGATTTCACTTCGACATAATGGACACAATTCCAACGATTTTGAACAATCTTCGCAAGTACAAACATGACCACAGGGAATCAGGATGATTTTACTCTGGAATAAAAAGAAAATACAAATTAGTTGCCAATTAATTAGCTAATTAACTAACCTGTTCGTCCAAACAAATCACACACTCAATGAGCTGATATAACTTCATCGGCGGAGCACTTGGTTTATGATCAACTGATGAAGTACTTGGTGGACTTGATTGTTTCGTTGGTAAACAAATATCGATGTGTTTTCTAATTATTGGAATATGTTCCTCTTTGATCCCAAGTGATTTAAGTTGATCATTGGTTGAATCTGCTAATTGTTGAATCGACATCGACGTATCAGTTAATAGAGGTAAGTATAGTTGACTTAATGATGATTCTAATTCATCTAATAATTGATTTAAATGTGGATCTAAATTTTCTGTTTCTTTATCGGAACATTCATTAGATTGATTGTTGATCATTGATGATGTTAATCTTTCGATAAAGTTTGGTAAAAGTGAAGAATCATTTTCTCGTTGATTAATTTTACTATTTCGCTCATCAATAAGATCTTTCAATAACGATGCTAAGGCCACTCGTTGTCCGTTTATGTTGGTCGTTTGTTGGTCAAGATTATTTTTTTGACGCTGAATTTCAGCTCTGGTTAAATGATAAAGTTCATGTTCGATTAGTCTAATTTGCTCTGACAGAATAAGAGTCTGAGTGTTTTTCATGTTGACGAAATTACGAATCGCACTAATTAGATTTTCATCTTCCTTGATTAACTCTGATTGTAGTGATTCTTTGGTTAAATCCTTGGAAATCATGAATTGTCGAAGCTTCTCTTCCAGAGAATCAAATGATTGGTCATGATTGATAATCGTAAATTCATCTGTATCTTCATGATCACCAGTTGAGTGTTTAATTCGCGGTTGAAGATTCTTTAATTGTTCAACTAATTGGGATGAATGTTCCTCAATCAAAGCTAATGCTTTTACGATACTTGATTTATCTTCTACTTTTTGCAAACAATGATTCTAATCCTTTATGTAACATCAGCTGATCTTTTTTCATCTTCATCAGTGTTTCTTGTCTTTTATCAATCATTTTACGATTCGAAATTTCCATTGATTTATTTTCACAAAGTAAATTTTTCTCGAATTCAATTAACCGTTTCTTACGATCATCCTAAGGAATCAGAGATAAATTGTTAGTAAATTTGATTAATGAAATGCAAGCGCAACAATTAATTACCTTTTTAGCTAAATAAGACTTCAAATTATCCTTGATAATGAAAACAAAATTGAAACAATTAGTATTATGAGTTTTAGTTATTAGTGATTTAGCTTAATTACTTCAGTTGAAGGTTTCGATTCAGTTATCACTTGATCGGGGACATAATTTGTTTCCATAGGTTTAACTTTATAGTTTGCTAATTGTTCACCTAATTTTGAATTGAAAAGAAATGGATTAAACTGATTAGTTTGATAATTTAGAATCTTTTTTACTTAATTTATACTTACTCTTGAAAAATTTGGTTAAACTTTCAATTCCTTGATCACAGACTCGTTTAGGTGGATGTTTAATATTAGTCCCGATGATTAAGAGCTTTTCCAATTTGATTAGGTTACAAATTGTAAATGGAAGTTGAGTAATCAACTGATTGTAAGATATATCAATGTGCTTAAGATTCACCATCTCACAAAAGACACTAGGAAATTGATTAAGTTGATTGTGACTTATGTCAATTGTTTCCAGAGATTTCATATGGACAAAAGATTGAGGAACACATTTAATCATATTATGAGTTAAATACAATTCCTATAGAGAGAAAATTAAATTTGTAATTAGTAAATTGAGAATTAAACCAACAGGTTGAGTTTATTAGAATCCAGAGAATTGGTTGATTACCTTTAAATTGACTAATTTACCTAAATTTGGTGGAAGACAATTCAGTTGATTTCTGGAAAGATTCAAGAAAGTACATAAGTCAATTAGATCGACCAGATAATTATCAACATCATCGGGTAGAGTTGACAAACAATTGTCATTGAGAAGCAAACGATTTTTGTGAAAAATGCGACACTGACTGTAGATCCCTTTAGGAAGACATTTAAGGCCACAATCGGTTAGATCTAAATTGGGCTCGGGGTTAATTTGAGCCTAAGATGATAAAGGAAAGACAATTAGACAAACAATTAAAACAGAAAAAAGCCAAAAACAACAAATGGAAAACATTATAATTACCAAATGAAGTTTATTCTGCCATTTACTTGACGTTTCCTCAATTTCTTTGGTCCTACTGTTGCTATTGCCGAAAAACAATTTACGTATAAACATTTGGACCACAAAATGATAACAATTAAGGTGGAAAATAGTTTGACAATTAAAGTAAATTAAATAATTCCAGTGAATGAAAAAAGTAAACAAATGTTTGTGATGACATCTACTATGAGTGTTTCTAACTAATCGCTCTGATAATCAATCAATTGGAGTGTTTTTTTTTGTCTAATTGGCATTTTTGACAATCATAAGCTACACAATTACATTTGAAAAGATATTCATAATTAAGTTTGATTATCAGCACTTGAGAGTCATTGTTAAGATCAATTCCACAAGAACTTTAAATCAATATGAATGAGAGAACGATAATATATTAATTTCTTGATTGATTATTATTATAGCCTAAGGCCTTTTATTGTGCAATTTTTCATTTAGCTGAATTATGAACAGTCGAATAGTTGGAAAAGGGCCTGATAATATGGTTCTGGTGTTTTTAGAACCTTTTAGCTATTCGAACTGCAAAGTATTACCCTGCGCTTCCGGGAGAGGATACGAACAAAGTGGTTGAAACAATTTCTCTCATTTTGTTGTTCATCATCATTTACTTTATCATCTTCGTTATCATATTCACCTTCAAATCAGATTGACAAGGTAATCTCAATATTTAACCGAATCTCTGAAACTTCATCCACCATCAGGGTCGAGTTTCTAATAAAAAGCACACAAAAAATTCTTGGCGTGGACATATTGACATAGAAGAAGCGATAAATTTTATTTTCGAAAGTTCTGGGTAATGATTTCCGGTTCGAACTGCTAAATGGTTCTAGAAACAGGAACCGAAAACATTGGCCCCTTATTCAACCACTCAAGAGAATTGAATTTTCGTTGATTTGGTCAAGAGAAAAACTAGACCAAGAAGAAAGACGTAAAGAAGGTGAAAAATTAAAATTAAAATTGGATACAAATAATATCGTTATTGTTTTTAGTTTATTGTTTTATATATTTATTGTTGTAATTACAGTTTATAATGAAAAAAAGTATTTATGTTAACTATTAATAGTGATTTTAATTATAACAAGATTATTTATGAATGAGCAAATAACCTGAACAAAGAAAGTTGATTATTTTCGTTTTTATTGATTTTTCAAGTTACTTATTTCGATCTCTAAGTTATGTTGATAAGTTATTGGTAATATATGTTCTATTGGTACTATTCTATTCGAAATTGATGTATTATTGTTGTAGGTGTTAATGTCGATCTGATTTTGAAAATCCATTTCGATATTATTATGATGTTTAATTTTAGGTTATAATTATCATTATCTTCCAATGATAATTTTTCTAAATCGACAGCATTTATTTGTAGAATTTTTGATAGATCATCAGTGAATATATTTGCATATAAAGAACAAGTAGCATCCATTATCTTTATATTCATAACCATGTTTTTGTCCGATTTAACACCTTTGTTGCAATATGTAAAAATGGTTTTTCTAATTTTTTTACAATTAGAATTTGGTTATGCTGTATACAGGGCTATTCAGCTATTTTTACCGATGTTTTTTGCGATTTTCTCAGCAACTAAGAGTCAGAGAGACACGAGACTTGAGTGTTATGAGTTTGACCGATACTCAATTTTCATATCAAAATATCAAGGTCATTTAGGTCAGCGGTAAAATAACACGTTTCAAGGTCATCTGAAGGTAATTAAACAAAAAAGAATATGCAAAGATACTACTGACAAGTTTTTAGGTTTCTATGAGCTTTGCTATGCACGTTAAGATAAATTTACCGATGACCTAAATGACCTTGATATTATGATATGACAATTGAGTACCGCTCAAACTCATACCTCCCAAGTCTCGTGTCTCTCTTACTCTAAGTTGCTGAGAAAATCGCAAAAAACATCGGTAAAAATAGCTGAATAGACCTGTAGAGTGATACTGATTGAATCGATATTATAGTTGCAACAATATTCGAAGTTAATGTTAAATTAGAACTTTTGTAATTGATTCGTATGATATTTTGTTAAGATACGAGTGTTCATATAAAGCTGAACTCAATTCAATTATCTCCTTTTGTTCATTATCATTGTACCATTTATTGAGAATCATTTCCTCCGGTAATTCTGGTGGCAACTCCGAGTTTGTTTCTGATGTCAATGTTAATTTTAATCCTTGGTATGAAATCACACGTAGCTTATCAATTTTTATAACATCTCCTACATTAACAACATATTTCAGCCTCTTTTCCCATAATGTGATCGAAATCGAATGTGATATATCGTCCAAAATTATAATATCTTTTTTCAATTTTAACATCCCATCTTTGGTGGTTATTTGTTGACAATCATCACTTTTGTGAATAATTCCAATGATATTGATGATCGATTCCAAAGGTAGAGTAGGTATTTGAACGATTTTAGTGAAAACTATTTTAACGATTACAATAACAATAATTTTTAACAAATTGGTTATTGATCTGTATTAAAGCAATTGATTAGTTGTTATTGTTTTTTCTTGAAAAGCAATCTTTGATATATTGCTTTTCATAATTGAAAAGTGAAAAAAAATTCGTCGAATTTTGAATTTACTGGCTTAGCGCTTTTTCTTTTTAAAGCTTCGGCTTGTGATCAGATGTTTTCATCTCATTTTCTTGCTTTTACTTATCAATTTTTACTCTTTCATTGTTTTATTTTTAATCTTAATTGTTGTTCTAGTTTAATTTGATTTTATTTCATATCCTAGTGTTTCTAATTGTTTTTTATTTGTTCTCAAAACTTTTGAATGGTTTGAAGGTGACCAATTATTCCGGTTACCATTGTGACTTAGAAAATCAATCCAAATGGAAACTTCAACCAGTTGTCTTGTGAATGTTGATGGAATCAATTATAAAATTGATTTAAAGATAAAAAATGGAGAGAAAAGAATTGACTTGGACAGTTTAAAGAAACATCTCTCTGAAACAAATGAAGAGGAGCTCTCACAATATGATATATTTAATAGTGAGAAATATACAATTGAGGTAAAGTCACTCGACTCGGTTTTCTAATTTAATTAATACATATTTAGTTCTATTTACATACGATTAACGCTTTATTTTGCTCTTTTTAATCTTCTTTTCTAGATCTTTGACCCTCACTTTCAAGAGTTTGTACAAGCCGATAACAGTATTGAGCTTTTGGACAAGACAAAATTGAGAGTCAAAAGTGTAGATATTAGGAAAAATACTCAACCTCCTATAGTAAATGGACATAACTCCGTTGAAGATGAGGTTCTATTGGTTAAAGATTTCGAAGACAAGAGAGATCTTGTCAATATCGTAACCAAGCTTCACATGAGCTTTGCATTAATGCCCAATCGTGCTCGAAGGAGAAGTTCAAATCACATTTTAGAAGAGAGTCTTAAAATGAAGGAGAAATTCTGGTCCAGTGTAGCTGAAGAGATGACCACAACTCGGAATAAAAATTTCACTCCTGATGAATGTAGTACCACATTTTTCGGTTTACTCTCTCAATATCAATACATTTTAAGGAAATACAAACGATACACCGATGATAAGGTTCAAAGTCTTTGGCCTTTCTTTAAATCATTTCACTTCAAAATCGAGTGTAAATTGTTTGCCAAAGGATTAAGTAATCTGAAGAATAGCTTTGACAGTATGCGAAAAGATGGTGGCGGTAATCAGACCAATAAACAGAAAACATCAGAATGTACCCGATTGGAAGAAGATTTTAATTTAATTACCTCAGTGTTAACTCGAATTAATTCATTTCGAAAGCCACCTCGAGCAGCCGTTTGGAAATCAATTGGTGAAGATATGGTTGATTACAATTCACTTAACAGTCGAATGGCTGGTTTTCGTTGGCAGAAACGTTTCCATGAGCTTCTAACCAAATATGTCCATTTATCTAGTCAGGGAAGTCAATTAGACAAAGAATCCTGGCCATTGTATAATCTATTCTCACAGATCGACATTGGACTTTTCATGAAATCAAAGGATGGAAATAAATCCAGACCAAGCCAAAGATCAAGATCAAAACGAAGCAAAAATCACACCAGCGGCTCATCTCCTATTCCAATTGATCTATCAGATAGTGAATCTGAATTTGTAGTAATCGATGAAATAATTGGTGAAAGTGATCGAGATACCCCATGTGTAGATCTTGAAGAAGAGGAAGAAATCAACGATTGTGTCCAAGAATTGGTACAAGAAATTGTTGACAAAGTAATAGAACTCATGGAATCATAAAGAAGATTTAAATCGCTAATCGTTTCCTAATTAAGTGTTTCTCGTAACCAAATCACAATCGATTCATTTGTCACATAAACTCAACATTATCATCATCTTTCTAAATTATTTTTCACTTCTATTAATATATAATCAATTTCTGAATCGTTCTTTTTTTCTCTCAATCTTCTTCTCTCTCAAACAATTCAATTTCTCACCTAATTAATAGGTTTATGTTCATTAATTAATGTTCATTCCAATCTTTTCACCACTAATCTAAACCAGATACACTTCTTAATCCAGTTTAAATCAATCCCAATGATCTACAAACAAAAAGACATTGAAACAATTGAAGTGAACGGAAATTTTGGATTAGTAATTAGAAAAAATTAATCATCATTGTTTTGTCTTCTAATTAAAAGTAACTCTTTTCTTCACAATTTATTTTGACCATTTTAATAACTTTTAATTCACTAATTAACAATCGTCTCAACTTTTTAAATGATTAATCAAGAGAGATTGAAATGTCTCTCTCTCTCTCTCTCTCCAAGTTAATTATCATCACAATCAATTTAAACTAATGAAGGAAATATCAACAATATATTAACCGCTAATTGTTCACGGAAAAATGGTCAATATTTGATTTGGTTGCGATAGAAAACAAAAACATAACTATTAAAATCAATGATTTGATAAGAAAAAGACAATTAAGATAATAAGTAATTACGATAAACTCTTTGTAAATTATTTCCTTCTTAAGACAAACAGTTAAACCATAACCTTGACAATCAATTGAACAATTTAAATGCGAAACACTTAAATGACCAGAGAGAGTTGAAGAAAAGTTTCAACAATCAAGAAACAATCAACTAAAGAGAAACAAAATTGCAAACTAACTCATCGAATCCATAAAAAAGTGATTAAAAGATCAACGATTAGAACGATGATCGGTAAGATGAGCGTTAATCCCCGAACTTCATTAAAAGGGTCAAAATCGACAGAGGAAGGCCCGGAGGGCCTGGGACAATCAAACGGGCGCACAATTAACCCAAAATTCAGCTTAATTTTAACACTTTGAACTAATGAACACCCATGATAAGTGTCTTGTATAACCATAGGCTCCACCTCCAACCATTAACTGCGTTAATTTAACGCTCATCTTACCCGATGATCGGATCGAGTCAATTAACTAATTAATAAAGTGAACTCTTTTCTCTTTGGTCTTTCTGTCACTGTCACTCTCTTTCTCGCACTCGCTTCTCCAGTCTCTCCACTGCCGCTTGAAGAATCCTTAGTTACTTTCAGTTCCACCAGATTTCGCTGTCTACCGGCTGTTTACTTTGCGATCACCTGGTTAACACTTAAGCTTACGAGGTCTTAATGTTAATTCAATTTATCGTCTAAATGATTGTCATTGTTTCATTTTTATTAGATAATTATTAGGAACATTTGTGTGATTTAAATGATGGAACGTTGATTGTCTTTGATGACTATCGATTGTTACAATAGGAAGAGAAGTTGTAACCTGGTTTGCGTTTGATTCTCAAAAATTGAAACATCAAAAATCTACTTTTATTTCTTGTTTTTTTATTCTTCTCTCTTTTTATTTGATTGTCTGATTTTTGGTGAATTTTGGTGACATTTATCCTCTTTGTTCTTTGTGTTCTTTTACTCTTTGTTTCGTGTTTTACTGGTTATCGGCCTTGTTTTCTTTTCTTTCTGTTCCAGACACAATAATCCTTTTCCATTTTCTTACCTGATTTTGTTTTCTCTTCATCATCATCTTCTTCTTCTATTGAAGAAAAGGATAAACATCCATTAACATCCAATGGATGCGAGATTTTTACTTCAAACATACCAAGAAATACCTGTTATCACTCGTTACTATTTAACAGCCTGTGTAGTTACAACTCTTCTAGTACAACTTGGTTTTATTACACCTTTTCAATTATATTTCAATCCGACTTTAATTGTCTCGCAATTGCAGTTATGGCGACTGTTCACTACTTTTCTGTTCTTTGGTTATTTTGGATTCTCTTTCATTTTCAATGTAACATTTACTTATAAATATTGTTCCATGTTGGAAGAAGGTTCATTCCGGGGAAGAACAGCTGATTTTTTCTATATGCTATTATTCGGTGGTGTTTGTATGACGATTATCGCTCTATTTGTTAACCTTCTCTTCTTGGGACATGCCTTCACAATTATGCTCGTTTATATCTGGTCTCGTCGAAATCCATGGGCTCGAATGAATTTCTTTGGTCTAATCACTTTTCAAGCACCTTTTCTGCCTTGGGTGTTACTTGGTTTCTCTTTCATTCTTGGTGGTGAAGTTTTAACTGATTTAATGGGAATATCAGTTGGTCATGTTTACTATTTTCTCGAAGATGTCGCACCAAACATTACCGGTGGCTATCGATTCCTTGCGACTCCCAGATTTATGTGAGTAGAAGATAATTGCTGATTAATCTATTGTAATAATTGTTCTATTGTTCTAATTGTTTCGTTTTCTATCACTTATATATAGTAAATATCTAATCGAACCTGCTACTCCTCGAGAGGAGGAACGTCCAGAAGAAAATAATAGGCAAGGAAGATTCGAATGGAACGAAAATAATCAACCAATGTGATCTTTTAGTCATGAGAATATAAAATAATAACACTGACCATATAATTTGTCACATTCTCTTTCACAATTCTTACACTTTTTCTGCCCTCTAATCAAATCAATCATTGAAAAGAGACCAAGTTCTGTTTCTTTCCAATTAATCAAACCTAAGGAAGATTATTACAAATAATGACAATGGTTTCACCTTTTCCTGGTGCAAAGATTATTTATTCAACCTCATAATTGTTTCTATCTTACCATCTATACCATCTTATAGTTTAATTTATCTAATTCATCAAATGATTTGTTCGCTTTCCGTTAAGTAACAAATTGAATTTGAAAAAAAAGAGCCAAATCTAAACAATCAGAGCAAAAGAAAACCTAAATTGTTACAATTTGGACACATTATGTGAGCTCATAATACAGTATTTTTGCATTTTGCTTTGAATTTAGTGAGTTAATCACATTTTGATAAGAAATGATTTGGAAATAAAATGTTGAAATTATGAAAAAGTTCATTTAATCAACTCTGCAACTATTTTACTCTATTTTTTAACCTTTGATTAGATTGATTCCTTAGGTATCTAAGGACCCCAACTTGCTCTAGCAGCACCAGAAACGAAATTGTAATCGGCTAAATGTCTAAATGCAAGTCGAGACATTTTAAATTTAATGAATTTCCCTCTGGCTCGAGATGTGATTCCACATCTCCACGTTAATCGACCAATGTATCTGTCCCGAGGCAGAGTTCCTAGTTCATTTAATGCCAATTCCTGAAAAACAGAATAAATTAGATGTTAAGAAGGTCACAATAGTTTAATTTGCGAAATAAATGACAATAAATTACCTTGATTGTAGATGGAAGGAAATTATTTCTCATTAGCGTAACATAATTTGTATTCAAAGCATAATGATAACAATAAACATATCGTCTTCTTACGTCTCTTAACATTCTCCAATTGGACCATTTTAAACATTCAACTGGTTGAACACCAAACTGTGGGATATTAGGATCGAGGACAAAACGTTTTCTCTTAATTGTGGTTGAATAAGTTGAACCGGTCATTCCAACGTCCAATTTATCAGGTCTCAGTTTATAAGGAACAGGAGGAAAGTGAGCAGCGAATTGAGTCTTAGCTCCACGAGAAGGTTGAACCAAAAGGTTGACCAAACTCTTGGACACATCCAGAAGTTTACGAAAACCAAAATAAGACATTTCAATTAGAAAAAAAAACTTAAATTAATCAAATACTTTTCTAAATCATAATTGTCTCCAATTCAAAAAGATAAACAAACCAAATGAAACGAGAAAAGAAAAAAGTGGCGACATCTATGATTCGAAATCGACAGAAAATGACCAAAGATGGCGACATGTTGCTCGTTATTAATTAATTGTTGTGAAGATTATCTTGATCACAATCAGGGGAATTGAGATGAAATGAGAGAATTGTAACAATTTGTTCAATCATTAAAGAGATTTTTTTTCTTCGCGTTTTGATTAATGAGTGGAAACGTTTTTCTTTTAGTTGGTTGTTAATTTACAAAAGAGATTTAATTTATTTAATTAATTATGAGATGAAAAAACGAATGAGAGTATGTTTAAGTATAGTGAGAGAGAGAGGAAAGAATGATGAGATGAGATGAGATTTATTACAATTAATGGTGGTATGATTGATGTATAACAAATACAAGTGTGTGTTGTAGTTGATTTGTTGTCGTCGATTTTGTTGAATAGTAGACATTATGGCAAATACAGTTTACCTGAGCAGGTTGTCATGGTGACTTTAAAAAGGAATTTATTATTATTAGTTTTTTTTTCTTATTAAACCTTGATTAATCTTCTATTTTACTTTCTCCTTGTTGGTACATTCTCGCCAAGTTCTGGAATCTTGGCCCCCATCCATTAAGATAATCGAAATCTTGTTCATTATCTTCGTTACCTGATGCCAACGAACTAAGAGATCCAGCGTTACTACCGCAGCCTTCGTAGGCATAATTTCTAAGATCATCGAAAGGAGGTGCATTCGGATCTGAGTCGACTTTATTCAAATTGTCTTGTATAAATTCCCCAATATCTAAATGAGCGCCTGGGGGATATTGCCTTTGTCGACCAGATTTAAGTAGTGTCCCTTTTGGATCTTGTTTTAAACCATGAGGATCGATTGGTATCCTCAATGGTGTTATATCGTAAGCGTTCATATCATCTTCTCCGCCTCCTTCATCATCATAATTGATGATATTTTCACGAACATCGTCATCCATATCTCCATGTCCAAACTTTTGATCGGTCCTTCTTGTTCGAGAATAGGCGAAGATAACTAAAAGTAAAACTATTGAAAACGAAAAGAAAATAAGTTTTCCATTAGAAAATGAGAAGATTAAATTAGAAACAATAGAAATAAATTTATCTTCCATTGTGTAGAGAAGAAAAATAAAATTCTTACTCAAGATGTTAAGAAGGCAAATGAGAATTGTAACCAAGGCAGCATTGCTTAATCGCATGACCTTCTCTTGACGAAGAGCATTGCATACATCACCAGAGAAACCCTCCGGGCATATACAGTAAAACCCTTGTCCTTTGTCACGATTAACACAAGTTCCACCATTGAGACAAGGGTCAGCTAGACATTCATTTGCATCGGTACAGTTATCATGATCTTCAGTTCGTATGAAACCAGGCTCACAACTGTTAAGAGGAAATGAGAAAAGATTAGATTAACATTCATCAGTAGGCAAGCGCGAAAAGATTTATAAGCAAAGCATCGTGATGAGTTTATGTTCAAAAATTAAAAAAAAAACCTTTCATGATAACTAATTTTGCGTTGTTTTGAAAAATCAGTAAGTTAATAAAGGAAATTGATGATTAAGTAACGAAGAGAGAATTAGCTTCATCATCGATAAATTAATGATGAAAAGGAAAAGAAAAAAGAGATTATATATATAATAGTATATTAATAATAAAAAAAAGATTTTGGTACAATAACAAAGTCAATAGAAAAGATGATGATGGCGATAAAAGAGGTTAAGCTTGAACTAGTGTTGACCAATTGTTTAGATGGAAGATGGAGAGAGAGAGAGAGAAAGAAAAGTTGTGAATAAAGCTCTTTTCTATAATGAAATACTTAGTACGTTAAACAATACGAAACAATACAATTCAAAGATAATAAAAAGATGAAAGATTAAGCAAAGGGCGAAAAAAGAGAAAGAAATAAGATCAATAGATGCGAATGATTAAGTTTAACTTACGAGCAATCAGGTAACATCCAAAGATCATAACAAACAAACGGACGCTGACATAATATTCCTTGGCAAGGGTTATTTGATGGACAGCCATCAATAAGGCTTCGGAATTCAACAACTGCAGCATTTTCTGATCCGTTTTCCATTGGTAAGTAGCGTTGCTCCAATCTTATGTCATTCATACAACCTGAACACAAGACAACATGAGATAACAACAATAGCCCAAACACAATGAATCAACCAGAAAAATTGGTAGATAATAGAAAAATGAATGAGATGGGAAAGAAAGAGAAAAAAGAATGAGTTATGTGATTAGTAATACTTTTCAAATATCATGATTTGAGGAAGAGAGATAATAGACATTTTTAACACATCTAAGATGACCTTAAATCTATTTAACGGAAAATAAATACTTATTGATACGATTGTCAAAGAATCAAATAATAATTGAAATAAAAGGAGAGAGTTGATAGTTTCAATGAAAAAAAAGGTTAGGCTTCTCATTTAAAGGATAGAGATGGAGGTTGGTGAACTATTCACGTACCTTCTTGGAAATCATTATCAACCATTGTTACTCCTGGACCAAGATATTGCACATCACCTCCAGCGACAACATTTTGCCGTTCAACTGTCATCAATTGGTGGAGACCAATATAATCAATTATCTCATTAAAACGTCTTCCTCCTCCACCATCCAGGGCGATTGAAGCTGTGCTACCATAACGTGATACTTGTACTGTGTGCCATTGGCCATCACTCACTGTAATGTTGGGAAGCCATAATTCACGTTCCTCTGCAGATTTGAGGCTATTTAAATTGAAACGGAATCTGAGTTTCTTATCCTTGATATCAAGAATAACATATTCACGTCCATGTTTACTGGTGGCACGGAAAAGTTCACCAGATTTTTGGCGAGTTCGGAACATAAGTTGAATATCAGTTTTATAGGGATCAGGTTCAAAGGAAAGAGCATATTTGATGTAGCTACTATGTTGGAACATTTTTGATTGAGTTTCTCTATCACAGCGAATACCAAAGTAACCTGGTTGGCAAACACAACGAGCATTATTGTATGAGGCCATACAGGTACCGTGTTGGCAGTTACGAGTTACTGGATTGCTATCGCATTTTTCTTTTGCTGGTTGACATCCAACCAAACTATTAGAAAGGCTACCAGGGGAACCGAGATCATACATTTGACTGTTGTGAATAAAATTCCTGATGCACCCGGTAAAGCCAGTCTTTGTAGGTTTGTGCATCCAGTTGAAATATTGATCCAAATCTTCGGGCAGTTTGTAAATACCTCCCAATTGTAGAGGTGCGTTAACATTAAGAAATTCATTAAAAGGAACGATATGTGATATATTTTCACATTTAGATCTATCTATGTGCAAAGGTTCACGAGAGTCTTTAGGATCTACAGTTGTACCAGAGCAATGATCAACCATCATTCGAACAGTCTCTTTATCCCAAAAGATATCAATATGATGCCATTCACCATCATGAAGGTCACCAAAAGTACGCACCGTAACTTCCGTAGTACCAGAACCAAAATCAATCAATAATCTAGGATAACCATTGTAAAGTTCAAGAGAGATGAAGTCAGAAACCACTTGAACACCAATGTCAGGCCTGACTATGGGTCCATTGTAAAATATAAGTCCACTGGAAGTAAGAGTTGTAAATTCAAGACTCAAATGTGACTCTTGACACTGTTGAAGAGGTGGGAACCACGCCCAACCATTTCCATGGAAGGTTCGAGTTGTCACTTGACACTGTGGACCATCATAACCTTTCAAGCATTTACACAGAGCACCAACCGATGAATCGGTACACCGACCACCATTGGCACAAGGGGGTGGATACTTGCGACATGTTTCCGGTTCACTGAAATCACGAGCACCACAAACACATTTAGCTTGAATCCAAACATTGACACCAACAAATGCAGTTCGATTAGCGTTAACCAGAATGGGTGTTCTTGATACCTTAAGTTCATTGTTACAACTACCCTCACAGTGTAAACCTTCCATGAGACATTCATCAATTCCAACCATTGTGATGTTAATTCCGACTTCTCTTTCAATGTGATCACGATTCACAGCCACAGTACCATCGAGATAAGTTGATTCATAGTAAGGTGAACCATGAACAGCAAATCTAATGTCAGTGATGGGTGGTCTTTCTTGCCGGGTAATTACACTAAACACATCAATATTATCCGGTTTGGTTTTCATTATGACAGACAAAGCACTTTTAAATTTCTCATATTTACTGATTTTCTGGTAACTGGGAGTTTGCCAATCGTAGGTTCGAACAAAATCTTCAGCTGTTACTCCAGATACACGAAGGGAGCCCGATTTATAAATAGCTTCTTCAGGTATTTCACGAACAATCACAGTAACATTGGCATTCACTTCTTGTGTATGTTTCCGATCGTAAACCTTGAACTTCAAAAAGTATGAACCTTCTGATACATTTTTCATCATTATCATTCCAGTGTCTTGATTAAGCTCAAAGTTTTCGTGAGCAATGTGATCTTCCCAGAAAAAGGTTTTATCTGGTAAATCCCAATCATCTTGATCTTCTACATGAACTCTACCAATTTCAGTTGGAGGTGATTGACCCTTGAAAGAATAAATGAAAATTGATTTACTACCAGGGTTCATCTTGTTGTCATTAATGTCACCAATGATAACAGTTAGAGTGCTGGTTCCAGTCATTGAAGGTGTTCCATTGTCTTTTATGATTATTGGAATTTGATATTCTTTTTGAACTTCACGATCAAATTTAACCTTTGACCTAACAATGGCCATACCGTCACCGTTAGCACCGTTGTGATCATGGGAGAGATCAAAGAAGTTTTTAATGATTTCAGGTGCATTAGGATCCATTCTAAAAGTGAAAGGAGGCCCATTGTGCTTAGATCTGTCATCATCGTCAGTTGCTAAAATTTCTTCAACTTTTTGCGGAGGCTCATGTTCCATGATGACTGGTCGGTAATCTTTCAAGAATCTTGGGTAATTATCATTGATATCACCAACGATAACAGTTAAGGTGGCAGTTGCAGTTCTAGCAGGATGTCCATCGTCAACAGCTAAGATTTTAACATGATGTCTTGGAATATCTTCACGATCTAACATCCTTTGAATTCTGACAATACCTTCTTGATCAATGGTGAATTGCCTCTTTTTATCTGATGAACGATCAATCATGTAGCTAACTTTAGATTTACCTCCTTGATCAGCATCGGTGGCAGCAAATTTTGTCAATGTTTGTCCAACTGGGCTATTCTCAATCACTGTTACCTCAATGTTAGGCTTTTCAAATTCAGGTTTATTGTCATTGATGTCTTTTGGTTTAATATAAACCTTGGCACGACTAGTGTGTGCAGGATCATTTGATTCACCTCCATGATCACTGACAATGATGGTTATATTAAATCCGTATCTTTGGCGAGGGTCTTCATAGTCAAGTGGTTTGGCAACTTTCAAGGAGCCTGTACCATCATTATTTGTTACCATTGTGAATTTGTCAGAGCCAAACTGGCCAGGTTCAACTTTATAGTTGAACCGGTTTGTTTCCAGAAGATCACCATCATTAACGGAGACAACCAATATAGGAAAATCTGGTAATTTATCACCTTCAGTTTCATCAACTTCAACGTGCCACTCAGACTTTGTGAATGAAGGAGGCATGTCATTGATATCTTTTATTTTGATAGTAGCAGTACCTGTACCTTTTAAAAGACCTCCGTCCATTGCAACCACTTTAATTGTATATTCAGGATTAGTTTCACGGTCAAGACAACAGACTGCAGTTGAAATAACTCCAGTATCCTCATCAATATTGAATATTAACTCTCCATTTTCATTTACTTGATTTTGTTCAATTGAATATTTTAACTTAGCATTATGACCTTCATTGATGTCATCATAATCAGTAGCGGTCATTGTCATAACAGTCATACCAGCAGTACCATTTTCTGTCACATTTCCAGTGTAGATGTTGAATGGGAAAAATGGTGCATTGTCATTAATATCTTTCAAGTTGACAAGAACTTCAGCAAAACCAACTAATCCATTACCGCCTTCGTCTTCAGCGAAAACAGTGAATCTCCATTGTGATCTTCCACGAGGCAAATCTCGGTCCAAAGGTTTTAAAATATAAATGTCTCCGGTTGTTGCATTTACTTCAAATTTCCTATCAGCTTCACCTTTGTCTTCAGTACCTTGGCCAGTTAAGAAATAGACGATTCCTTGTGGTCGATCTTTATCACCATCAGTAGCAGTGACAGTAAGAATCTTTTTAGGAAGGTTACGATCATCTTCTTCAGTGATTTGAGTTTCGTAGATTGGACGATCAAAAACAGGGGGATGGTCATTCACGTCTTTCACTTTAATGACAACTTGGGTGTAATTTTCATTGAGATTATCAGATGCAGCCAATCTCAGTTTATACTAAAATAGTCAAGTGATGAATCATTTGATGAGTAGGAGAGAAACAAAACAATAGTTAGTATAATGGGTGTTGATTACAATTCAGAGAAAAAAAAATATTAATAAATTTCCGGGTAAAGAGGAAATAAATAGCATTGAAAAGAGAAATTTCAAGAAAAACGCAATTATAAAAATCCTCTAGAAATGAATCATCAAACAATTGGCGGAATTGAAAAGTTAAAAGGATTTGGGCCAATGATACAATCTAATCATGTTTAACCTAAAAGTTAACAAACTGAAGATTAAAGTTCAAGCTTGTTTGAATTAGCGAGATTTAAACCATAAACAATGGTCTCTAATTTACAAAAAGTCCATTTAAAAAGAATTGAAAAACTATTGTAAATAAAACTCAAATGTCCGATAAAAATGGTTTGTTTATAGTAAACACTTTTCTTCCCATAAGAACAAATTGCTTCAAGAAGCAGCAAAGCATCAGCATCGAGTTTCATGAGAAGAAAACATTATGCATCAAATTTGCCTTATCTTTTGTTGATTTTTAATTATTCAACTTAATTTGTTGAAACTTACTTCTTTTCTAGACTCATAATCTAATGGCCCTGCAACGTAAATGGCTCCGGTTTCATTTTTGACAGCAAAAGCACCACCAGTGTTACCCCTTGTGATTTCATAACGAATCTTAGAAGCTGTAAATTAATTTGTCATTAAAGTTTTGTATTAGTTTTTTGATTTAAATGATAACAGAGACAAAGAATCATTATAGAAGTGTATTGATATTTACATTCATCCTTGTCTTTGGCAGTGACAGTGATAACAGTATGTTGAATGTCCTCATCTTCATTAACTTCCGCTTCATACAAGGCTTGGTCAAAGTAAGGAGGATTGTCATTTTTATCACCAATACCAATACGAATGTATTTTGTTACTATTGTGAATTGTTAAGGTAAGCAAATGTAGAGGGGAGAGAGAAAAAAGGTGCAAAGATGAGTAAGTATTTGAAATTGCCTTAGGCAAATGTAAGATGATGTCACTGTAGAAAGGAAACTTACCTGAATTGGGCTCACCAGGGTTACTTCCTGGCCTAGCTGAGGGTGCGCCATCAAAGGCTCTGACCAAAACGGCATAAGCTTGTTTCTCTTCACGATCAAATTCATTTTTGGTGAAAATTTCACCCGATTCTTTGTCAATGGAGAAAAATCTTTCTGAACCATCTTTTGATTTCTCAATTGCATAAAAAACCTAATGAAAGAAGAAAAGTAATCAACATGATGAAATCATGAGATGAGATTTGTGGTGAATAAAAAAACGAATTGTTGATGCGATCAAAGTAAATACAAGAGGACAGATAGAGAAATAAATGAAATTAAGAAAAATATCTGAAAATAAATTCTCACCTGATTGAATGGTTTAGTTCCATCTCGATCAACCGCATGAACTTGAGTTACTTTTGTTCCGGCTGGCATACCTTCCAATACAGTTTCTTGCTCTCGTTCAATAAATAAAGGAATCTCATCGTTCACATCATCCACAACAACATAAACAGTACATTCTGATGCTAATTGTTGGACTCCGTTATTTTCAACACGAACTGTCAAGTTGTAATGCGCCAATTTTTCATAATCTAGAGGATAATTGACTTTAAGATCAGCCCATATTCCATCGTCATCTGTACGCTGAGTAAGGTAAAAATGATCCCGTTTATTTGTTTGTTCCGTGTTTCCTCTTATAAGAGTATAAAAAACAGTTGGATTGTCCGCAATGCCTGAAGAAGCACGCACAGATTGAATTGTGTCTCCCACTTTAATATTTTCCTTAACAGTTACTGGTCCATACACAGGTTGATCCCAGACCGGGGGATTGTTCGCACGGTCAACAACTTCAATGAGAATGGCAACAGTGGCAGTGTGTTGAGGGATTCCTCGATCAACGGCTATTGCTTGAAGATTATAATTGGTCCGATCAAGAGGTCGTTGAAGTCTAATCCAACCTGAATCTGGACTAATGTAGAAATAGTCCAAATCAGAGGGATCTCGTCCTGCAGTTAAATTGTAAAGAATGGCTCCATTGTTATCTGCATCATCATCAGAAGCAGAAACTCTCAAAATATTGGTTCCAACTTGAGTATCTTGTTTAACATTTTCACGATATTCTTGTCGGTCAAACAAAGGTGGATTATCATTTATATCAGTTATTTCAACTTTAAATGAGCAAACACCTTCAAGAGGGGGAACACCTTTGTCAACAGCTTTCACGGTGACACTGACAAAACGACCATCTTCACCTTCACGGTCAAAAACCTTATTTGTTTTAATTTCTCCAGAGATTTCATCAACAATAAATTTGGTTCCTTTTTGATTGGGTTGTTGTACAATCGAATATCTAACCTGACCATTATGTCCTTTGTCACTATCAGTTGCTTTCACTACAGTTACAGAAGTACCAGCGGGTGCACCTTCTTGCGCTGTTGGTGAGTAAGATCCACACTCTTCGAAAACAGGTTTGTTGTCATTCACATCGGTAATAAACACTACAACAAGAGCTGTACTTGTATGAATCATTCTTGATCCATCCTTACAACATGATCCATCGTCACGAGCAGTGATATGCAATTCATATTTATCCTTATCTAATACGAAAGGTGCTGATTGAAGGCGAATGACACCAGTTCTTTCCTCTATTTCAAATACACCTGATTTATTACTTCCATTGGCAAATCCAAAATGAATGGCGTCACCATCTTTATCACTGGCTACTACAGTAGTTACCAAAGTGGATGGACCGGCGTTTTCGTCGACATTAGGAGTATAAACATCTTGACTGAATTTGGGTGGTTCGTCGTTTTTGTTTTCCGTGTAAATTCTGACGGTGGCTGTTCCAGTCTGAGGTGGATCACCTTTGTCTGTTGCGCGCACAACCACCTGATAGGTGTTGTTGACATCTGCATCTAGTCTTCCATTTGAGTAAATAATACCTTTTTCATCAATTTTGAATTCATTGCGATCAATTGTATAAACAATTTCCGCATTTCTACCGGTATCAGGGTCAGTTGCTTTCACCTCGAGAATTTTGGTACCCACACTAACATCTTCATGTACATTATGGGCTTGATAATCAGGTAATTCAAATCTGGGAGAATTGTCATTTACATCGGTAACTTTGATTGTCAATTCAACGGATGTTGAAAATCCACCAGAATCTTCAGTGGCAGTGACAATTAATGAGTATTGCTTAGGTTGACGGAGATCTTCAAAATCTAATTCCTTGGCCAATTTGACAACACCACTTGTTGGTTCTATGTTAAAAGTACCCGCTCCTTTTCCTTGAGCTCGAAGCGTGTATCTGATTTCTCTATCAGCAAAAGATTTAGCTTTGATTTCAATGATATCGGAATCTTTCCTTTGATTTTCTGGAATGGTAGCATCATATTTGGGCATGTAGAATTGAGGTGGTCGGGTACCCCCCATAATGGAGAGCCTTTCCTCTTTAGTGGACTGATATTGTCTATCATTGATTGTACCAGCATGATCTTCAGCTTTGACATAGATGGCATACTCCTGATCAAGCATGAAAGGTTCATTTCCTCTTGTCCTCACTTCTCCAGATCTTTCATCAACTTCAAAACGTCCACCAGCTAGATACAAATCAAACAGAATAGAAGAAAAAAAAGCCAATTAATAGATATTCACAAGAAAAAAAGATTCTAAGTGGCAGAAAAAAAATACTCACTTCTATCGCGAACTAGGAAATAATGGATGTTATGATTAGTATCAGGATCACGAGCCTGTAATTTAAACACTGAGGTTCCTGGTGGTGCATTAAGCTGAACCACAGCTTGCATAGGAAGAGGCCGGTTGACAAAGTAAGGTGGTTCATCGTTAACATCACGCACATTGATCACAACATGTTGTTTCTCTGCGTCATGATTATGTCGCTTCACAAAAACCCAAAAGTCAATTGTTTTCTCTTTACTAAGTTGTTCATAATCCCATGGTTCTTTCACTTTAACATCACCATTGGGTTCAACAGTAACCCAACGGTTAGGAGATTCAAGTTCAAATCTTTCTGAGTCACTTTTTTTATCAAGAGTAAACACAGTAGCCCCTGCGATGGAGCCTTCACTCTCCTTGAAATCAAAATTTTTCACAAACCTTACAACCGAAGTGGTCACGGGGCAAACCGAAAAAATAGAATGGTAAGAAAAGATGACAAATATCAACCAAACCCATCCAGCCATTATTCCAACTAATACCGAAAAACATTCATAGATGATAGATTAAGGTGGTTTGTTGTGTGTAAGTTGATATATAAATTGGTGATGGATAGAAATTAATTTTTTTCTCTCTTTATACACAAACACACACAGACAGAAAAACTTACACAAGAATTATAACAAAAATTAAATATAATAAATAATAAAATGGAATGATAAAGATGAGAGAATAAGATGAAAAAAACACAATAAAAAAGGTAAAGAGAAATGTTAAAGATGAGAGATGATGATGATGAAAAAAGGGAAGATAAAAGGTGGTTCAGGAAGGTTTGGTCATCTCATGAACCTTTGTGTAGAATTTACTTGCGCAGTAAAGGTCAGTTTTTCTTGCAAGAAGTTGAAGCAAGTTCAATGCTCACAGAGAAGAAGAGAAGAAGACAAATGAAGACAAGAGAAAGAGAAAGAAACAAGAAGAGAGAGAGAGAGAGAAAAGTGAGAGAAGAGAAAAAGATGAAGACAAGAAGATGGCGCTTAAGAAATTCAAATTCATCTTCTCTTCCTTTTCTCTTTCTTAAAGAAGGGGAAGCCAAGGGAAGGGGAGATCGTCCGCGAAGATAGGGAACGTTAACGAATCACAACCGTCATTTCCTCTCTTCTAATTAGCGAGAGAGAAAATCGTTTACATTTTGTTTTCTTTTTCAATCTGGTTTTCTATTTCCTCTCACCTCAATTTCTATGGTAAAAAATATGATAATTAGAAATTTAGGGTTTCCTTTTTTTATTTATTCTTTTTTTCTCCTTCCATTTTTTGGTGATCACATTTCTGGATTAAACAATTGATCCATGATTTGGGTTAAGGTGATTCTATCAAAATTTCGTAGAGATAAATTCAAGGTAAACTGTTTCCGGGCCAATGATAATTCAACTGGTGGTTTCTCTTTGAATGTTGATTCTTGAGATTAGGAAAAAAGTAGATTAATTATCAGATTAGGTTAGAAAATAGTTTGAGATAATTGTTCATTGGCAAATATCATTTACCTATTATATATTTGGATATAAATCGGGCAACAGGTAGATAAGTGTCCGGATTTGAACCTAGTAAATGTTTTAAATTGTAATTGTTTTTCTCAAATTCAACGTTAATCCAATGAGGACCGAAATTATCAACATCAGAAATTACGTATAAATTTAATTTCGGTACATGAATGAAGTTGATTTTTAAACCATCGGTTAAAGTGATTTTTTTGGTTACACTTCCAGAGCTGATTAAATTGTTGGAAGAAGAGATAATTGAATCAACCATGATGATGATCTTTTAAACAATTGACAAACAAAAGAAAAATAATAAGGATTCAAAATTAATTAACGGATGGAAAAAACAATTAACAGAAAAATAATCAAAAGAGAAAAGAAATGAAATCAATTTTTCCAACATGAGATGAAAACACTTTGTTTTCTTTTCTCTGTCTATTTCTCTGTCTTTTTTTTGTCAGTTATTCTAATTTAACTTAACTTTTGTTTACTAAAAGATTTAAAATTTTGATTAACAATTAATTTGTTCCTTCGTTGAATTGACCTTTTAAATTCTAATTGTCAATCATTGGACTGATTTTTCCAAAAATTAATTTTTCTAATTGTTATTCAATTTTTGTTTGATTTAAATTCTCAATTACTAAAGTTTGTAGATCTTCAAATTTGATTAGATTTGAATTGTAATCAATCGGAGAGAAAAGTAAGTTAATTTAGTTAATCAACTGTGGATCATTTACAACAATTGTGTTTCCTTTTAATTACATTGTAACTATTTTTTTTGTTCCATCTCACAATTAATTTAGAAATTGAAATAATTAAAACCGTTGGATGATTGGAGAGACCCTTTAATTAAAGTATATAGGTGATTGTAAAGAGGATAAATACCTTGTCGTTAATGGTGGTGACAATTTAATGATTTGGTTAAATTGTTCTCATGGTTATCCCGTTGGTGACTCCTTAAGGTGGGCTGTTTCTTAATCCAGTCCAGAAATCAAGGCCATGTGAGGCCTCACCTTTTATGTAAAGGAAAAGCATAATTATGACTTTACCATTGGCGAAGCACAAAAAGTTGATTACATTGGATAAAGAAAGTGATTAAAAAGAGGAGATGAGACAAATTGGAAAACTGATTTAATGTTAATCATCGTTCGTCATTAGCTATGGGTATACAAATTATTCTGTTAGCAATTTGAATAGCGACCAATTTAACACCAAAGGGAAAATGTCAAATTATTCAAATACATTCACTGATTATATTTATTAAGATGCAACAATTTACCCAAGACACTCAAGTAATTTGTGAATTGCTTTCATCTCCAAACCTCAACTAATTAACTGAACAACCAGATAATTCACATTTCCGTTACAATTAAGAGTTGACATGACAACAATCACAATTCCTATGACAAGATAAAGTAACGATTGATCCTCATTTAATATCATCATCATCGTGTTGATCAAATTAAATAGTGTAACAATTATGTTACTTTTATGGCAATTGAATCAATGGAAAACAAAGTCAAACCAAAATCAAATTGGAATCAACAAGTTAACTTGACGAAAAAGATAATTGAAAGTTAAATCCAGTTACCAACTTGATCATCTCCCTCTTTTTTATCAACAATCAAATTAATCCATGAATCTGTTTCAGTTATTCAAACATTTGCTCAACAATCAATCAATAACATTTATTGTTAAATCAAATAGCTATTTGATTACTAGTAATCAATTAACTTCAGCAATCAACATCTAATTGCAAATAACAATCTTTTTTGATTGAAACAATTTGACAATGAATAACATTGTTAATTCAACGAGAAAGTTAAATTGTGATCCCAACAATTACGAGTTAATAGTAATCAATTCTAAGATTAGAATTGGATTAACCTCTAAATCGTTTGAAATTAAACTTGATTAACATGGGAAATCGTTGATTGTTTAATCTCCATCGGGAGTATTAATCACTTTGAGAAACAGATTAAAAGTGATTTAATTATAATTACAATTTAAATGTTGTGATAAATTCCAATTCACAGAATCAAAAAATTGTTAAATTATCTAAAATTTAGTTTATAAATTGTTACAAGTTAATCAGTTGGACTAATTTTCTCTGGCAACTTTTATGATCATTTTATTCAATTCTCAATCTACAATCAATAAATTGAAAATTTCAGTTAACAATTAAGACATGGAAAAGAGGAAACAACTAGAAAGATAATCGTAATCAATAATTAACTTAATTGTTAACCTTTATCCAATAATTGATTGTTCAATTTTGTTGTCATTAATTTTTTTCTCTCTTAATTCAATTGTATTTTTAATCACAGATTAAATCAACTAATTATTGTTCATTGTTGTCAATGTGTTGGTATCATTACAAAAGCACTTAAATTATCGCTAAATTGTTTTCCTAATTATGGATTCTCACAAAATCTATTGTTATTTTGTACTTGTAATTATATCAAAATTACTGATCAATTAACCTAATCAATGATTCCAATTGAGCTGATGATTAGTTGATCGATTCAAGTTGAAAATTTGTATTCCAACATTTGAAAGGGAGTAACAAAGAGTATCACAATTAGAATTTAATTAAACGTGTGATTTAGTGAGAACTGGATTAAAGATGGCAATTAAAACCGCCGATGAAAAAACTCGATTGGTCTCTGGTCCATCTCGAAAATATGGTTCAAAGGATATCTCGATGCCTACGAAGTTTACGATTCAGTGCCAAGGTAAGTTGATACAATTTGATTGTTGTTAATTGTTTCCAAAGTGATTTAAATTGTTCTCATTGAAATTGACCATTTCCGGTGGTTAATCAGCTTCTTTTATAAAGGAAGTCATCTTGCTCTTTTCATCGTTGTGATCATCATAATGGTTTCCTTTGTGAGTGCTTCATTAAGTTTCGGACTCAAGAGACTGGAAGAGATTTAAAATTAATCACTAATCATCAAAAGACGATCAGAATTACGGATCATATTCATGGGGAAGATAATTTGGATTCATTAGTTGAATTGCGTTTCCATTTGAGGTGAAAATGATCATGGTGATTTTAAACAATCCTTTTTGATTATCACTCCATTTAGTGTTTGTATTAATCGTTACAATCAATGAATAAAAACTTTGTGCCTTAATCAACTTGATTTCGTCTCCTTGTGATTTGATTTCCATCAAGTTTATCGTAATTTCAAGTGAAGCTGATTCTTATTCCAAGATTATTCAACTTATTGATTGTAGTTTTGAGAGGAAAATTAAATGAATAAGAGTAACAATTTAAGATGAAATTTTCTCATTGTGGAAAATTAAATTTGAAAGGTTCACTTGGGACAGATTCTTTCAGCTTTTCTCTCTTTTTACAGATAATTGGCTTAGATCCTATTTTAGATTCGGATAAACAATTAGTGATCTTTAGTTGATTACTTTTACACCGAAATTTTTCCTCTTCTTTGGCCATTTGTTTACGATAATCTCCAAAATAATTGGCCATCAATTGTCGCTTCCTAATAAAAGGCGTTTTTGGATCACTCAATGAATTGTAAACTCTTCCAGCCTCGGCCACCTTTCGATCATTCATTTTCTTACAACTATCACTTTCTCCTCTTAATATAGATTTCAAATTAGTTAAACACCAATTAAGTTGAATGGAAAACTCATCTTCCTTATCAATACCAATCGTCTCCTCTGGTTGATTAGTTGTTGAATCAACGGCATCACTTGGTTTCGCTTTACCTTTACCTTTATCTAAAAAAGCAAAAGAACAATAATTTATAATAATAAATATTCAAAAACGAATCAATAATAACAATCAAAGATACAAAAAAAATAAGAATAGAACAATTTAACTAACCTTTCATTGTAGTAACTCAGAAGATTTTTATATCCACAAAGAATTTACTCTCAATAGATTGAATCAATTGAAGGTTCGCAAAGAGTTAAAGGTAATGACTAAATATATTTTCACTTTTTCTCTTAATAAACCAAAGTTAATTATAACAAGAGAGTAACAATTAAGCTGACAATTAATAACAATCTACCAGACTAATTGATAAAGGAAAAGACAAAGAAAGTAAATCAGAGCAAATCAATGAAAATGTAAAACCGAAAATAAGATTTTCAAAAATAGAAAGATGAAGATGAGTAGTTAACTTTAGAAATTGATGATTAACAGGATTAACAGTTCAAACATTCAAATGATTAAATAGAAGCTTAAAGAGATAAAAATTAAAGAATAAATTGAAAATAATTAACAATTAATCAATTAAACAATGAAAAGGTGAGAAAAAGAAAGTGTTTACATCCAAAAGCCAATAGAAAACGAGTAAAGTGTTGAGCGGATTAATCAAAATAAAAGAATATCAGTTGAGCGGAAAAAAAAATTCTTTTTACATTCAAAGTGGTTTAAGAATTTAATTGTAATCACAATTTAACGATTTAACAATTAACAGGTTGATTCTTTTTTCCATAGAATAGAAAACATCACTTTCTCAAGCAAAACCCTTTCTCTTTTTTTCTCCATTTTTACCTTTACTTTTACTCTTTCATTGACTTGGAATTGACAGTTTATCCTCTCTCACATTCGTTGTCACTTTTAATTTTAATTATTTTCTCTCTCAACTAATCAACACCTTCTTTATGATCCTGGACTCGCCCATTCAGGATTTAAATTACATATAAAATTGTCCATCACGATGATAATCAGCATCACTTTCATTTCTTCATCTCATCTGATCAACAACAGCAACAAGTGAACAACAACAATTTGTGATTAAAAAGTTTCTCTTAATTGTCAACTTGATTCGGTTTAAATTTTGTTACAAATTTTTTCCTTCTCACCGTTTACACAGCCAAACTAAATTAGAATCAAAATGATTTCAATCAAGTCAACAATTGTCATCGCTCTTTCAATCGCCTGTTTGATTAGTCTCTCACTTGCCAAACCATCAACATCAACAGCAACTCCATCATCAGCGTCCTCATTGACCTCAGGGTCAAAAGTTACAACCAATTCTAAAGGTAAATAATATCAATGTAATTATATAAGTTTACGAGTTTTCTAAATGTTTTGTTTTCTCAATTCCCACAATGATAGTTAATGGAACCTCATCTTCTACCCGTGCTCGTGGATCGCGATCAGGTCATCAATTTGACCCAAACTATTCCGTCTGGGGTCATCCCGCTCCAAATACTCTCTCTCAAACTGGACGATTCGATATGGTTCCACTAATCCCTATTGTTCTTCTCTTCGGTCTTGGCCTCATGTTGATTCCATTCTTGACCTCGTTCATTGCCCACGTTCTTTATCCCGCTAATGTCCCCGCTGGACGAAAACGACGATCAGCTGATTCTCTGTTTTCTGGCTCTCTCAACGAAATGCTGATCAATGTGATGAAAACTTTAGAATCATCGATTGAAAAATATGCTTTCTAAACCAAAATTCACTTCGAACTCACCAACTGACCAATTAGTCCTTCGAATCTTCCAATGGACAGTTAATTGTATAAAAAAAATATAAACAACACTCGAAGATCATGAAACAAAAACAACGAAACTTTCATCTCATTTTTCAAACTTTTCGCTCTCTAAATTGTGATTGTTTTTCATTTTCTCTTAATTTCTCTAATCCTTTTGTTACAACATTAATTGTCTTAACAATCATCAATTAGTCTAAATTATATTTACACTTATTTGATTGAAACAAATTGTTCATCCATTGTTTTGATTAGAAAACAAAACATAAATACTTTTGTTGTATCCATGAAAATATAACTTTTTTTCGTTCACAAATTATAACGATCATTTTAATCAATTCACAATTGAACAGAATTAACTTGACGAATTGAATACAATCTAAATGATTATGAATAGAAAGAAACAAAATTATCAAAGCTTGATGATTTCAGAATAAAAATATCAACAATATACAAAAGAAAGAATCAAATTAACAATTGAATGTTAATCTAAATCGATCCAATGAATTTAGATGAATCCGTGATAATCTAAATTGATTGTCTCTCGAAAACAAGAAACACGGATTCAAATAAATGGTAAATTGTTACAGTTAAGATTTCTATGTTTACCTTAATCAGGTCACTAATTGTTATCATGGGAGATTGACAATTTAGAGAGATTAACAATCCGTTTGATTAACGAGAAAATCTTTTCAATTTTTGTGATTCTTTTTTCTTTCGCCTCGGCTACGGCTTTTTAATTCCCTTTTCAAGCTCATCATGGAAGCGAAACATTAAGGATCTTCAAATATATTCGACAATTAAAGGATACATTTAATTCTAATTCAAGGTTGATCATCTCTCTCATTCTAATCTTGGTGATTAAATTAATTAGACTAAAACGTTCACTATAAGATAATCTCATTTCCATCATGAAAGTTTATTGGTTTTTCAGTCTTCAAGTTGAACGTTACTCTGTCCAAATCGTGATTACAAGTGATTAACATTTAAATTGTTACTATTTGATGATGTTTATTTGTTCCCAGTGATTAAATTGTTGGCGAATAGAATAGTTATTAGTAGATTATTTTGTATTTTCAGTTATTTTTCGTTTTACAATTTGGTGAATTGTCTTGTCAATTAAAATGTTGATTCTTGTTGTGTTTAGTTTGATCAGTTTTCTATTAGCAAGTTTACCTGCTTATGGTGCTAACGAAACATCATCTTCGGCCTTGGATTACACTCCGTCAACGTATTTAACGGGTTCAGGCTCACAAGCTTATACATCGGGAACGGCATCGGCCTCGGCTTCACCTTATTGGGAATATCCAGTCCACCAGCGTCCATATCCAATTGACATTTGGAGGCATCATCGGTACGATTATTGGGATCCAAGTCACGATTTAATGTACGGACGAACTGATTATTATTGGTTAATCCCTGTCGCTTTTATCATTGGTATTGGTGCACTTTTATTGCCCGTTTTCAGCTTATTTTTCACCGCAATGGTCACCACAGGTACGATCAATTTAACGGCCGGTCGTAGGAAAAGGTCAATTTTCAACGAACCTGATCAACTATTAACAAAGTTAAACAATATCAAACCAATCTCAGTATTGGTCAGTGAAATTCAATCAGCAATTAATCGGGTTGGCTCATATGGTCAAAAGTATAAAAAAGCTTGATTGTTGATAGTAATTGTACAAACATCAAGTGTCAAACCAAATTGAGAGACCATGTAAAATAAGTTAATTGTTGCCATGGAACAATTAAAAATCAAGTAAACACTTAGAATCTGCAATCACTGATAACTAAATTGTTTCACCAGGTTTACAATGTAAATATTATTTTCATTTGAATGGAAACAATTTATATCATCTATTTATCTGATTTATATGATATTCATCTAATCATAACACTATTATTATTATTATTTTATATCATTTATTTCAATATTTGATTTTAATCCAATCAATCCAATCACAATTAACTTTTGTATTTGTAACACAATGTGTCCAAAACTGATCTGTATCAGTCTATAATTAAAATTCAAGTTTTTAACCACAATCAACCTGTTGATTAGTTGATTTTTTCACTTTGATTCAAATTAGAATCCAAGTAAATGTTGATTGTAACGATTAATTATCTCGAATACTTGTTTCATTAATCGACTATTATCATTCGCTCGCAATTTATCATGATACTCTTCGTTAACGGCCACCAGATCGGACAATTTTCGTTCGCAATCTTTGATCTTTTTGTACACTTCGTTTTCTTCGAGATTAATCTTGACATTTTCGACTAATTTTTCTAAATCTATTTTGTCACTTTTTAATTGTCGAATATTTTCTTCGAGAGATTTTTTGTCCACGATAAGTGAACTTTCCTTCTTGTCGATTTCATCTCGAAGACCATCCAGATTACCGTAAATGTCGATGTCCTTTATTAACGAATCAATTTTGGTTCGAAGTGATTCCAATTCCGAGTTTATCTTTGATTCTAGTTGATCAATTTTATTTAAATCTAATTGTAACTTTCGCCTTTCGTCGATTAAGGTCATTTTTGTGTCTCCTCCTCCGCTACTGCCCGAGGTTCCGTCGTTACCTTTCAATGTCTCAATAAATCTTATATATCGACTCGATTTGTCTACTAGGTCAGCGATCGATTCTCCAAGTGAGGTCATTTTTTCCATCTCATTATTTAGATTGACCGAGAAATCGGTCAGAAAACTGTCGATTGTTGATTCTTTTTTCTTCAGGTCACGAAATTTTTCCGCAGTTTCTCCGTCTTCGTATGCTATTAGCGACGATTTTTGCTCTTCTATCGATCGACGAATCTCTTCAAGACGATTCTCGAGATCGCTGATCTCTTTGTTATCTCTTCGAACTTGAGCCAATAATCGACTTCTTTCATCGCCAGTATTCTGATCACTGGTTAGATCGTTTTTCTGTCTCTCCAATTCTCTTAATCTATTAAGTCCATTTAGAACTTCTTTTCGAAGTGATGAGTTCTCATTACTATTCGATTCTTCTAGTGTTCTTTTCTTTTCGGCCAATTTCATTATCTTATTTTCCAATCGATCTGATTCCATGGTCAGTGAACGATTAAGACTTTCAAGCTCTTCGAATCTGAAAACGAATCAAACATAAACTTAGAACAGGTGAAAATAGGATAACTGAAAAATCGAAATTGACCAAGAAATGAACAATTACCTTTCTCGTTGTTCGCTGGTGAATTGCCTTTTCAACGAATTCCATTCAGCTTCGATTTTCTGAATTTCTCTTTCACCAGAAGATATTTCATCTTCTTTAGTCTTTTTTTCCTTGTATTTGGCCTCCAATAACTCGGATAATTCAGAGTTCTCACTTTTGATCGCGTTAATATCTTCCAAAATGTCCGCTGAGTTTTCACCGATTCGCAGTCGATCCCAATAATCGTTATAAACAGATAACTCAAGAGTCGCTAATTTCAATTCTCGAGCTAATGTTTCAGCTTTTCGCTGCCACATGTTCAGTCGAGCCTCTTCAGCGGACATCAGGTCACATTCCTTGGACAGAACAGCGATTTCCATGGTTAACTCGTTCATTTTAGCTCTTAAAACACCCAACCAGTAAGTTTTATCTTGAACCATCCGCCGAATAGCAGCCGCTGATCGACCTCGTCCAGTTTTCGGTGCCATCAAACCAGTTGATGTGATCGGTCGAGCAGTACTAAGTGGCCTCGCCGATGACATCGGTCGATTTCCAAGACGAGAGGACAAAACTCTACTAATAATCACCGAATCCATAATGTCCAAATTTACCAAAACAATTACCACTTACTACCAATGCTAAGGTTACATTTAATTCAGATTCTTTTTACTTTAATGATCATTTCAATCACAAAACACTCATCAATTCTTGATCAATCTAATTGTTACACGTTCACAAAAAATATCCTCTTAATGATTAGTACTTCTTATTGATCACAACTGATTCCTGACAAAATAATATTTAGAGTAACAATCAATAGGTAAGAACCAGAAATTCATAACAAATGGTTACCATGGAAAAGAAAAAAAAAACTTCGAAATGACATAAACTTGAGTATAGTTTATTATTATATCCAAAATAAGTGACAATCAACTTCTAAATTGTTATCGCAATTAACCAAAGGAGCAATTAATTACTGAGATGATCAAAGACAGGGAGAAATCAACTTAACATCTCCAATCGTTCAATTCGCTCTGAATATTATCAACAAGATCAAACTTCTAACCATACGACTTACCCATATCATTGACAAATAGAATATTAAATTTAATCAAACAAGATTCAAGTTGATTAATTTTTGCGACAATCAAAAGACAAAATCAAAAGAATTTAGAAATTGTGAGAACCGTGACATCTACCGAAAGAATATGGAAGCTCCTTCTTGATTAGATTTTCTTTTCTTTGTTTTTTGTTTGTTTTTCTTCTCACACATTCATGAGTTAATTGTGTCTGTTAACTGTTAACTGTTTTCGTGATTTCCAAATTGATTAATTCCCCTTTTAATTAGTGTATTTCTTACAGCCTATCAACATGCCTCTTTTCATCAATGGAGTAGTTATGGATAAATTTTATTCGGACACTCAGTCTCTATTTGATGCTCATCCATCTCTCAAAGTAAGAAGAAGAAAAAATGAACCTAAAATTGTTCTTTTTTGTCATTAAGAGAATAGAAAACCAAAAGTGAAAATTTTGTTCTGTTATGTTGATTAGTTTTTGAAGAAAAGAGAAAGGAAAAGAAAGGAAAAATGTCTTGAACGGTATTTCTTTGAACGTAATTTATTCCTTTCACTCTCTTTTTCTACAAAAATTTTCAAGAAATGGTGGCTACTGTTTTTTTTCTTTGTTTTAGAATATTTTAACTCAGTTATTTCTTTCTTTTTCCTTCTTCCTTTTATTTCCATCCTTTTTTAGGAATACTCTCGACGATTGTTACCTCAGCCTCACAAAAGCGTTAGTCCTGTTGGATCTTTACACGTTATTCAAAGAGAATTCGCTGTCGTTTCTCCAAATGATTGTAAGTTCTATTCTCTTGAAGAATTGGTTCATTTGCTTCCATTGAATAGAGGAAATGTTAATATTGATTCATTTTATCGATCATTCTATCATCTCCAATGAAACAAAAAGAGTGTTTTTACCTTCACATTTGATTAACAATAGATGGAACTAATTTTTTCGCTCTCATTTCAATAGTAAACATAAGTATCGTTGGAACCACCGAAGCGACAACTTGTAGCATTGTTGTACTTCGACATTCGGGTAGTGGTGTTGTTGCTTTAGGCCATTTCGATGGTTCAGGTAAAGAAAAAGGAATCAAAGAGATGATTTGTAAAGTTGAGGAATATTCTGCTACTACTGCTGGTGAATTTGAACTACATATGATTGGTGGATTCAAAGACTCTAAATGTTACTCAACTGAGCTTTGCCTCGAAATTTTGTGTAAGTTTGATTACTTACTGTTCAATATTATTACAGATTACGTTTGTTTGTTTCACTGAATTTTTCTATTTATCTCTTAATTTAAAGATTGTTTTCAACGTCAACCAGTGAATATCCACTTGATCACTGCATGTGTTTGTGAATTGAATAATTTTGTTCGAAATGATATAAATCTTCCCGTTATTCATGGCGCTGCTGTGAACGTTAAAACTGGTGAACTCTATCCAGCCATTTTTGCTGATAAAGGTCCTGATGTTCCGCTTAGATCTAGTCGGTTGTTTTCTCCTGGATCTCCAGATATGTTGATGATCTATGAAACCTACGGGGAATATGGTGGCCTAATGAGAATTGGTCCTTTCAATTATGAACCGGTTCGATGTATTGATGATTGGATGGAGCTTGGAGATGATATTATTCTTAAGGTAAATTTAGAGACAGACGAAAATCTTCTAATCGTCTTTCTTGTTACTACAATTTAATAATTTTTCTATTCACTTTTTATTTTCTAGTATCTTTCAACTTCCCCTGAAGCTGAAGGTCCAGACTATGTGGCCGATGTACGAAGAGCTCTCGCGTTTATCCAGAAGCACCCATTTCCCTTTTTGACCGTTTTCATCAAATGTCAGCCTCGTTTTTACCGAAAAAACGAATACGGCCAATGGTTATCATTTCAGTGAACCAAAGCGTTCAAACAAAAGTGAACCAATGTCAGGCTCTTCATTATTTTCTCATCTTCTTCAATATTTTTAATTCAACATCGAAATTGGTAAATTAACCTCAAAAAGTGACGATCATCGTTCTTTTCGCACACGTTAATTATTTCACTTCACTTTCATTTTTAAATTAACCATGAAACAAAAACTCGAAACTCGTACACCGAATTGTGCCATGACCATACGATTTCATCTTCGGATGAAATGGACAAGCTGAAAAATTCAACAAAAAGAAAACTCAATCGCAATTAATCTGCTAATAATCATTTTTTTTTCTTTATCATCAACAATCAAATCAAACATAATACTCGTAATTATATTTACGCTGCTTTTAAGTTTCATTAGGAAATTTGAATTTACTTTTTTGCTTTTTGATATAATCAAATCAGCCCAATGATCAATTTTAATTTTCCTCATGTTTTTGCTTAATTTTAATCATTTCTATATGTGCATTGCCATCTAATCGCAATCTCAATCAAAAACAATCACCTTAATTTGTGTGCCTTGAAGCTGCCTGACTAATTGCCTTTTTATCATATGCAATATTTCATATGCTTTCTGTGTGTAATTAATGAATTTATTTCCCTAACGATGTAATCATCTTAATCATAAGTAACAATCAAAAAAAGACAATATCAACAACTAGTTTGATAATAAAAAAATTTCAATTGAAAGGTTGATGATATTTGATTGATGATTAATTCATTTAAAACAATCACCATCAGTTATCAACTGTGGATAATTTTTAACCATCAGCAACAATTGACTAAATTGTGAACAACAATCCTGACTGATTGATTGATCAGCTTTCAACTGTTTCAATCATCAAGATTTTCAGATGGAAAAATAAATCGGAACAATTTAAAACAATGAGATTAATCCTGAAACCAGTTAATCAACCAGAAATGATTTACGATCAAATTAATCGAGGGGAAAACACCGGATTGAATAAACCAGTTAATTGTTGAAAAATGAAGTAATAATTTATTGGTAAGAAAAGGAAAAGGCTTAATTGTTGATTAATCACAATGGATCCATTAATTAGCTTTGATAAACACTCAATGTTTGCGTTTTGCACTTTAAATGGTTCACAAAATTGATAAAAATCAAGTCACTTTGATTAACTTTGATTGTTATCAATCAATTTGAAAGTTGTAACACTAATCATATGGTCAATATTTTTCCTTAGATGATAAAGTTGGACTGGACACTGTGATCTGATCGACGTCCGAAGTAATTGAAACAATGGTGTTGATTAATTTCGGATTAGTTGAAGCCGATTTTTCGTTCATTTCTTCACCTTGGTCATCTTTATTATCTTCGATGTCGCCTTCGTCCTTAGAAACTGATCTTTCCATAGAATCTTGTTTATCCGATGAGAAAAGTGCCTTTAATCTCTTCATTAGAGTTTTCTTTTCTTCGATTGTTCCTTTTTGTATTCTCTCCTCTTCGTAATCTTTGACTTCGTTGAGCACTAAGAAGAAAAAGAAGAAAACAAAACGAATGATAAACTTGCGAACATCGAATTTGAATGTAAATTCTTACCTCCTATTAGTTCCATTCCTTCGATGGGTATTTTGTTCAAATGAGCTCGAAATTGTTTAGTTACCTTCTTTCGAATCGCATCCGCTTCAATCTCTTGCTTAGTTCGAGGTATTCGGCATCGCATTATGCAACAGGCCACAATCGTAGCGATTATGCCGATCAACATGAGGATCATAACAAGATGCCAAACCTTAACTGTGCTAAATAACGGTTGCTCCAAGAAGGCATCGATTGTGTCCTCGGCCGCTTCAGCCCCACACTGGAATCAAACAGAGAAACGAGTTAAATTGTTTGGCTAATCACAATTAAGATCATTTAACTTACTGGATGACCATAGGTGGTGATGACTGAATGACCAATGATTATTAGTCCAAGAAATGGGAACACAAACGAGATCATTGCTGTTAATTGGTGAAAATTGTAAAGATAATATTTGATGGGAAGATTATTTATATTAATTAGATGATTAGTTGATTGTCGATCTACCGAGAAGATAATCAAATGAATAAGATTAAATCCTGAACTTGAAGAGAAACGAGACTTCATCACCGACGAAACCTTGGTAACCAATTGTTTTAATTGGATGGAAAATGAATTAATTGTCAATAAAATCAACGAGTCGAATAGTGAATAAGGGTCACAGTTTAGTTCACTTCGAGAATAGAAGGTTAATGAAGTCAAAAAGAGCATATTTTGGGTCCAGGGCCTAGAAAAGAATAAAAATAAAGGAGAAAAACATAAACACCGAGAGAAAATACTGAATAATTCAATTCATGGTGAGATTATTTCGATTGCAATTAAATTGAGTTAATCTCGAAAATTGAAATGAATCCAGTCCATTTTTACTATTCCCCTTCCAATGATTTTATGTTGACCAACACGATAATAAGTTGATACAATTAAAGGAAAACATAATAAACTTGGTAGTTAAAACAAAATGGTCGCTGGTTGATTGTCTCTCACAGGATTATCGTGATGAATTTCAATTTCACATGATGGACAATAGACATTAACATGATGATGATAACAGGAAGAGAAATTAATTAATAATTTAAATGATAGAAAAACATTAGAAATTGAGAGAAACTGTTTTCTTTTTCAATTCACCTTATTCTCAATTCCTTTGATTTTATTATTCCAATGAAATGATTCTCGAAACAATAAGATGAACCATTTCCAACGATTTGATTATCATCATCTTTTATCTTCTCCATCATTTCTCTCTCTCTCTCTCTCTCTCTCTCTCTCCTCTTCCTGTCTTCACTCTCTCACTTGATGATAGAAAATATTTAAGTTCCTTTGCAATAAGAACCACCGCCCTTGTATATTCATTAATTATTCATCATTTTACTCCAATTTTCCATCATCATTATTTCAACTTGCAGGTAACATTTTGTATTACCTTTCAGGTGAAATCATAACAATCAACTTATAATGATTACATAAGAACACAAATGACAATATTTAAAGGTAAATCTCTTGGGAAAGATATGAAGAAACAATTGGATTAAATTGTCAGAGAGAAAAGAAAACAAATCCTCGACAATCAATAGTTTCGATCAATTTAAATGTTGTATTAATCATATTCTATTGTCAACTTGATCAACACAATTGACAATCTTTAATATGAGAACAAAATTTTAACTTTCTCAAGTCAATTTTGCATAATTAATGGTTAGCTAGTTAATTACTTTTCATATCAACATTTCCTTATTACAGTTAATTAAATATTCCGATTAAATCATCACAAGACTTTTTTCTCTGTAATTTGATATTCATATTAATGATTTAATCAAATTAAAAGAATAGAAAATTAATTACTTATCAAAACGTTCGAGTTTTATTAATTAGGTGAACTTATTGTCTGCAAATTTGTACTAAATTTTTTTTTTGGTTAACATGAGAATCAGTTAATTGTTTAATCTCCACTAAATCCCTTTGGTCTCAAATCATTAAGGTTTGAGAATTAAGTAATAAAAATAGATTAAAGGGATTAAATTAACATTAGAATTTAAATCTTGTGAAAATTTCAAATCACTGTAAATGTTGTTTCATCAACGTTTCAAACGATTCAGTTATCGTGCTTGCTATCCCGTGATTGTTGAAATTAACGCTGATTCTAAACATTTAATGACCTTGAAAATGAATTTTGTTGAATGACCAGAATGAGCTTGGAATTGAGATCGAAACTTGAATCTGGGCTCTGAAAAGTATTCAGAAAAAAACTTGTAGGAAACTTGATGAAGTTTCCTGTAATTTAACTGCGATTTTTTATCTTTCATTGTAAATGAATAGACTCAGAACTTGGAACTTGAGTTAATCATAATATACGAACTACCGAAGGACAGAATAAAATATTACGATTTAATTGCTTTGTTTTTAGTCGTAGTAAATAACACGAATAATGTGAGACTTTCATCGTGAACATTGAACGAAATGATTGCAATCATAACTAGGATCTTACCCCAGATTTATTATTAATTGTTATCAATCAATATTATCATTAATATTATAATTATTCGTATAACAAGATCGAGAGAGGAGCGAGTGAGTGATGATGATGAAGATGAAGATGAAGATAGTGAAAAGAAAATTGGAACGATAAAGATGCGAAAGATTGAGAAATAGGGAAAAGAGAAGGTGGAATTGGATAAATGGTTGATGAGAGGAATAGACAATTGTCTTTTCATTAGACTAGTGGTAATCAAACAATTAATTGTTGATGGTGTGAAAATTTGTTTACAATATCAATGTGATTATACACAAAGGTCGAAAATTCTGTCCATGGCAAAAAAACATCGCTCATCCATCGGTTGGTGGTGATTCTCTTAGCGTCTTGGTCGTCATTAGTACCCTTGGTTGTGAGTGCGAGGAGAAGATGAAATAAGTTTTTTTTCTGTGAATTGAATAGATTGTGAAGATGCTTAGTTGTGTTTGCGTTTTGATTTGTTTAAAGGTTTCAACAGAGATGTAACAATTTACTAATTGATGAAGATTTTCCTTGTTTTAAATAATTACTATTATTGATTTTCCATCATGGTTAATTTGGAACGATAGATAATCTCTTAAAGATATTTACTTGTGTTTAAGGCTTTAGGTCATTTCTTTGATTGGCTAATTGTGATTAAAGAAATGGTTAGAGAATGAAAAAGGTGTCAATTAGCAGGATTTGTCTTCGTTTTCTTGATCTGTTTTGGTTCCAGAATTGTAGATGAAGAGAGAAAGAGGAAGTAAAGGGAGAGAGATACATAATTTTCGCCGAATGATTTTTATAATTAGACTTGAGAGATGATGATGTCGATGATGAAATTGTGAGCATCCCATTCTTAAGGTGAATATCCTCATTTGATGGGTCGAAAATGTAGTTCTAAATCTTGGCCACTTTTCCAAATAAAATGTCTAACTGACCGAAGGTCCATATTTGGATTGAGTACTTGATCTTGACAAAGTAATTCCACCTTTTCCTCTGGCAGTATTTTATCATCTTCTTTATCCAAATTACCAGAAACACTGGAATCGGATGATCTTTCTTGACTATTATTATTGTGACCAGTTGAATTAGTTGACGATAATCCTCCAGTTGAACCATTACCACCAACTCCTGAAGCTGTTACTCCAGCTGAAGTAGCTGTTGATCCACCCGAAGGATTTCCAGTACCACCGGTTGTAGAACCATCAAGACCAACACCTAAAACTTTCTCATAAACATGTTCAATAACTTTTCGAACTTGTAAAAGATCATTAGCTGTTAATCGATCTTTTCTTTGATATGATTTAATACCAGAAGAGGGATGAGGTAAAAGGAAGAATGATGTTTTCGTAAACTTTGGCAATTTATGGAAAAATAATGCTTCACTAATCCATAGAGGAACATTTTCTTGTAATAACATGTCTTCCGTTTCCCGACGAGCATCGCCCACTAAAAGTCGTAATAATGTTCGATTACTTCCTTCGCTTAAAATGATCGGTGTATGAGCTGGAACACTAAAATATTGATTGTAAGGTCTTTGGATTACAATTTTTCCCGATTCTTCTGACCTTCGACCAGATTCCTCTAGATTCTCTTCATCGCCCCCATTGACCAATGGATCTCCATCATGTTCACTGGACCCGGAATGATGACTACGATTATAACTGTGTATTTGTGGTGGCCAATGTTCAAAAAGCGCTTGAAGTAGTAAATGTCCAAGGTTAATTTTAGGATCGGATGGATCGTTGGGACTGGCGAATCCAAATTCTTTAGCAGAAACCCAAGCTGATAGGCAGTCAGGTTCTTCTAGGTGGATTGATAACATTCCCGATTTCAGATTAACTATAAACCAATTTGGCACATAAATTGATTTAAATCTTTTCTTAACCTCTTCCTCTAAATCAACCTTTCCAAGATCTTGTACTTTAATCGCCTTGAGCACATCGTAAATTGCAACATTACAATCAGTATCTTTGGTAAGAATGAATCGTCTATCATTGAGAATTTGATACTGACGAAGAGCTGGATTACCCATTATAACCATTTCGGGTTTATTGTTTAAAGGTGGAGATAAATCAGAATCATAATCATCCCAATTGGAATGGGAAAAGTTTTTCAATCGACTATGAGAAAGAGACCAATTTTTGATACACGAATCGGTGGTCGAAACCCAGATACTATTGTAATCCGGTGGGACGAGAAGCATTTTCAGTATGGGTGCACTTTCCTCACATATCACAGCCCGATTTTCTGGATTCCTTAAATCAGTCATGATTAACTTTTTATCTCTTCCACCTGAATAACACTGGGTAAACGTTTCGTTAACCTGTAAAGCCCAAACACCTTCATCATGAACCCTCATGGTGAGAATGCATCTTTGCTGACCCAATGACCATAGACGAATGGTACCATCACTTGAAGCGGAGAGACATTGAGTTCCCTCCCGGTTAACCATTAGAGCTCTTACATTATCGGAATGACCTTTAAGTTTCATTAATTTCTGGCAACTTCTTGGATCCCAAACACGAATAACTTTCTCCGTTGAACCGGAAACAATAACTGTACCCGATGGATTCATGGCAAGGCTATAGATTGAATCTTTATTACCAGTAAGAGATGAAGTGGTAACTGTATTATTGGAAGCTGTTAAGGCGGTCAATGTATTTGCATCCCATAAGAATATTGCTCGATCCAGGCCAGCGGAGGCGACCTGTTCCTTGTCCTTCGCATAGGCTAACGCTTTAACATAATCCTTGTGGGTTCGCAGGGTGGACATGCAGAAACCTTTATGAGCATTCCAGACCTTGACCGTAGTATCACTTGATGCGGTGATGAGATTCTTACCATTGCAACAAATAACAATATCATTAACCCAATCAGTATGGTGCTCCATTGACTGGAGATAAGGCTCTTTAGGATTTCGTAGATTCCATATTCTAATGATAGAATCACGTCCAGCTGAGTACAACCGGTTTAATGTTGGATCAAATTGTAATGAATTAATTCCTGATCTGTGAAACTTTTCCACCTCATCACGAATTACATAGGTTAAGCTAACCTTTTTCCGACAATTGTGACCAGACATAACCAATAATGTGATGAGAAGCCGATTAATTTTGTTCTTTTCTATTATACAAACAAAAATTATCTGACACTTTGTTAATCAGTAGATGGTTAAATTAACTGAATATAGAATATAATTTAAATATGTCATTGAAAATAAATTGTATTCACAATTGAATGGATTGAAATCAATTCTTCCCATTCATTTGTTCGCAAGGAAGTAATTAAAAAACGAGTCTCACTAAAAAACACCACAAACACCAAAAAGTAACCAAAATAATAACAATAAACAATAAATGATCATTTAAATTATATTTACAAAGAATTAGAAAAATTTGTTTATCAGAAAAAATAAACAAAACGGATTTACGATTTTCTCCCAACAGATGGCGTTCGTTTCGAATTGATTTTTAATCACTAATTAAGAATGGAAATTAATTGTAACAACCAAAAGAATCAGTGATCGTAATTTATTAACATTGTAGAATTTAAAGAGAAACTAATTAGTGGGGTGGTTAAAGAAAACAAATAGAATATTTGATTGTTAGGGTAATTTAAAGGGAATTGATTAATAGAATCCTGTTTGTTTTTCCATTTCCAAACAATTAAGTTAATTTGGTTTTCGTTTTCTTTGGATTTTATGATTATGTTTTCTCACGATAAATTGTTGACGATTAATTTTTTATCGTTAATTGTTGGTGTTCAGTTTTCTTTTTCTCATGTTAAGTATTATTACCAAGATTTTACGACGATTCTTCATCCATTTGTCTTGCCAAATGATTCGTACAATTTATGGTTTGAAAGAAGATCAGACAATCAGTTGATTAGTATTCCACTTCGATCGGTTCGGTTAAAGGCCACTGACTCGTTGGCGGATGTTTATGGCTTTTATATTGATCATTTGATTTTCTTAGTTACACTGGAAACGGATTTTCTTCTGTCACCTCAATCAAAGACGAGAGTTTTAAAAGCGAAACAATTAAACCTCACTAATGATCAATTTGCCAATCGACAATTAAAGCCAATCCCCTTTTCAAGAAGTAAATTTCTGGTCACTTCAGTTGGATCAATTGGTTTTCGTAAGCAATCAGTTAATCAGTTCAATATAATTGAACAGTATAGTCTTGTAACTGGTGCTCGTAAATCAAAATCAGCAGATTCACCGGTTGATTTGATTAATTTACAGGATACAATTAGCCTTCCATTAGATGGAATCTCAATTTCTGATGAGAAAATTAATTTCCAAAGTCAAATTGTTGATCAAGTTTACGATGAAAATTTCACATTCATCTTATTGAAATTATCCCATTCAAAGGAAACTAATTATCTCTTGATAAGATTCTGTAAGACGAAACAATTATCATCGATGATTGGATTAAAGTTAATCATTGTGAACAATCAGCAACCCAGAACATTGTCTCTTGCCATCTTAGGAGACAAACAAATCATGTTGATTAGTTTCTCGAATCAATCAACAGGATCAATTGAAGTTTACGATGTTGATGATTTACATTCAGTTTTTGATTCGATTGGCAATCAATGTTACAAAGCTCAATCACCTAAAAATGTCCACTTGCTGCCTAAGATGATGATTAAAAATGAAAAATCAAAGTTTGATTGCAAACCAATTGACACGGAATATAATAGGTGTTCAACCTCATCACTTAATCAATACATAATTGGGACGGGAAATAGTTTAATCAAATCTCGTCTAATTCGTAAAGATTATGAAAACCCGATCATTGGTTCAAAGATTGTTACAATCAGTTGGCCAGATTCTCATGTGTTGATTGTATTGCTTTCACCCAATGGTATTTACAAGTGTATCTTGATTGTCAACTTGTCCATTGATTGTCAGGTAATTGATACGAAACATTTAGGAAAACCAAAGCCTTTGATCAATTTTATTCATCACACTGGTTTATTTAGAGTTGATTATATTGGTGAAAAGGGCGAAACCATTGATTACCATGTAAATTTGATTGATTGTGAAAGTTTTGACGATTGTATCACTTGTCGTTCTTATGGTTTCCTTTGGGGTTGCGTGTGGAAATCATTTAAATGTTCAAATTCCAACAATAAAAATAGAAATTCATCTGATTCTTGTTTTAGAATTGGTGACATTTATAATCGAGCTTATTATTCCGATGAACATGGTTCTTTGATCATTCACTTGAAAAACGTTACCAAAAGTATTCAAAATTTAACAGTCAATGTATTGATAGAAAACACTAAATGTGAAGTAACCAAATTGAATAACGACTCAATTGAATGTGAATATAATGGTCCAATCAATGATTTGATCCAGTTACAGGTTAAAATGACGCCAGAAACAAATTTCAGGCCACAACGGAGTATCTCAGAACTGAAGAGAACGACCATCATTGACAAACCCCGAATTAGTGATCATCTTGGTATATTTGATGGACCAGATAATAAATGGATACTTCCAATTCTTGTTGCCAGTCTATTGACAGCAAGTATAACAATCAGCTATATAGTTCAGAGAGTCGCAATTTAATTAAGCGAAATTGAATAAACCAAAATAAAACCTTTTCTAAAGGTAATAATCTCCAAGGGTATTTTCTCAAATTAATTTAAACAAACGAAAAACAAAAACAACATAATGACAAAATTATGAGCCCGACAAGTTGTATTATGTTACCTGTAACCTGTTTACCATCTAAAGTTGATTGTAATTGACAAAAATCAATAATTTCAAGTGACTAGTTAATCAAGATCCGATTAGACTGGTTTGTGGTGGTTGTTGTTTCCGTGAGAGTTTCAAACAAACAAATCAACTGAAACGGTCAAACAATTTCAATCCACCAAATGACTGGCACATCAGAATATCTATCGAATACCCAATCCTTCCGGTGTTGCTAAATTGTTTCCAAAGGAGAAATAATCAACCAATAACACAACAATTAAAGAATAAAATAATAAAAACAATTGAAACAATTAACTAAACTTTAGTCTCGTCAACAATGAAACTCAACCGACTCTTGGTAACCGACTGGTGGGAACAACCAATCAGCTTTTAGCTTCGGTTTGAAAACTTTGTTTTCTTCAACATAATCGGTGAATTTTGTTTCTCTTGTTACTTTAATTTGTTTTTTTTTCTCTCTTTTAATTAATTAATTGGACAAAATGGAATAGATTGATTGGTTTTGTAATCAGTTATATTTAAAATTCTTCTGTGCCATTAGATTAACCAATTTATTTTAAATAATCTCTATGCATGAGTGTCATAAGTTACAGCAAAGAGGCAATGAGATGACCGATGGGCCATTCAAAGCCACTAAACTGGTAAGTTTACCTGTCATTTTTTTAATTAATTGTCGTTCATTTATTGATTGTTGTACTTTAATTGTTGGTTGTTGATTGTCTTTGAGATTTATTGTTTTATTGTCTAGTTTGTAGCGTTTAGAGTGGTTGTCGTTTTCTCAAATTCTATTGGAAATCTTTGCTTTTTAGTTGACCGGATGCTTTTGGTTTTCTATCTTTGTTTGCAACTATTTTCTAGTTTAGAATTTGATTTTTATTCTTTTCTATTGAATTAATTTTTAATTGTTGGTTTGTCTCTTTGTTTTCTTTTTAGTGGAATCAGATTATCTATGACTTTAGTACTGGGATTGGTCTGAAGAGACACCGTCGTCATTTAAGAGCCTATGACAATTGCTTTGTGGCCTGTAAAGCGGTTGATTGGCTTTATGAGTATTTATCAGCTCAAAAAAGAAATGAAAATAAACAAATCTCAAGGTAAAGATTTTTACTTATTGTTTTGTTTTTGTGATTCTTTCAATTTATTTAATTGTTACTTTGGATTATTTATTTACTTCTCAGGCAACAGGCTATTCAATTGTTGGATAAATTTTTAACATATGATATAATTGAAAAGGTTGTTACCAAGAATACAAGTTGCTCAAAATTCAAGGATAACAAGGATCTGTATCGGTTGAAGAATGAGAATATACCTTATCCCCATTTGGAAAATAGCAGAGACAATGAGGAAGATATGTCATGTCGAGAAGAGAAAATGATGGAAAAACAATGCAACTCTAATAATAAATCATCTCCACCGTTGGGCAAAAATTCAGCAGCAATTAAAAGTAACAATGGATCAGTTTCACCAATTAAATCTCTCACCTTGACCTTTGATCCAAACTCATCTCATGTTTGGAAAGAGGTCATTATCCGACATATAACGATGATCCAACCAATGTTTACATCTCTTCTTGATCCTCGAGAAATCAACTCTCAATTTGTCGTCATCAATTCAACTCATATCAATAAGAATGGAATTGTTTTGGTCAACGATAAGTCTAAGGATATTCCTCATTGGGTCATGTCCGCCATGAAATGTCTAGCGAACTGTAAGAATTTTTTTTTCTAACAAGTTGATTGAAACATTTTCTTACTTGAGAATTTGATTAAAACCTTTGCTTATTTCCTTTTCTTTCAGGGCCCAACAATTCTGGTAACTCTTTACCTCGTTATCCTGGATTTGAACGCGATGTTTTCAACCTCATTCGAGAATATTTTGTTAATCTTGACTCTCCCATGATTCCATCCATTTTTTACCCTCTAATTGTATCCCTTGTTAAAGAAAGTGATCTTCAAGGTATCTATCGTCAACGAAGTGGTCAACTTTACTCTAATGTGGCCTTGGAAAATCGTGAGCCAATTTACGAGACTCACACATCAACTCCTCTTAATAATAAAAAGGCCGATAGTCGTCGTACTAATGGTCTTTCAAGTAAAGTGAAAAAAGATGATTCAATTTTCGAGACTGTTTTCCACCCTCAAAGTCCAGTTACTCGAATTTTATCACAAGATCAGTTGACATCGATCTTTTCTGCGATTGCCTCTTCCGATGGTTCACTCGATGGCTCATCTTCACCGCAAAGTATTGAAGCTTTATACTCTTGGCGCAAACCAGCCGAAGCTCGTAATTTGCAACATCTCGCAACTTTACCTCGAAATATGCGAAAACAACGAATTGAAGGATTGAAACGATGTAAATTAGAGAAAGAGCCTTACAAAAGTTCTTTGTGCCTTATGAATTTCGGTTGTATTCTTCAAAGCCCTTGTGAAGAAGGTGAATACATGATGGATAAAAGCGTAACAAGTTTACAGAATTGGCGATCATTCAGGATTCGATCACCTGAACCAACTTACATAAGTTTAATCAAGAGAGAAATCAGCGAACCCACAACTCAAAACGATCATTTCACATCCGAAGGAGATGAGAAAATTATTAATCTTCTAAATTTGGTGTTTCTATTGATTCCACCAGAGAATCGACGACATCTACACTTATTATTACGTCTTCTTTCAAGAGTATTGAAAAATACAGAACTTAAATTTCTCTCAAATCATTCATCAAGCATGGAATATTATGTAAGTTATCAAATGATAATTTAGATCGTTCACAATTTAATCATTTTCTCTTTTTAATTTCTCATCAGATCATCGAAACGTTCACTCGGTGTATAATCTTTTCTGGTAACGAAAAAACGTACAACGAACCAGCAGCTCAATTCTTAGTTTCTGTGATGTTAAAAAACACTGAACAAATTTTTTCTATTCCTTCCTATGTAAAGTACCAAGTGAACAGTATCCTAAATTATTGATTCCAAAGGCTCAGCTGATTATGTTCAAAAGTTTGACAACAATTTACTGTTTACAATTTGAAACTATCAACCTAATAAGGAACATCAATTTGTTGTTCCTTTTCCTCAACTAAATCTCAACTGGAACAATTGACTTTCCTTAATTGTCACTCTACAATTACTAACATGAAAAAATTTATCCGCCGCTGAAGATTAATTGCCAATTAAAAATTTGTATCAATTTTTAATTCCATAATCATATTGGCTTGGAATACGACAATTAGATCAAGAAATTTCGGTTTTTATAAATTTCGTTGCTAAATCAACTGATCAAATCATTTCTTTCGAGCATGAGATTGAGATGAGAATTGTTGATAATTAGTTAACTTTAAGATCAACAAACTGACAAAATACATGTTACAGGTAAAATTATTACGATTAATTGATAAGATTTAAGAGGAATGTAAAAGGTTATTAGAATTGTGATAGAAAATAGAATTTGATAAAAAGATATCGTAACATTAATATTTTGGAGATTGTTGATTGTCGTCATGGATTCAAAATCTACAATCAAGATTAATTAAGAAGGAACTTGTTCACCAATTTTAGACAATAAAGTTGTAGCTTCTTTGTAAGCCTGTAATCAACAAAATGGAACAACGAAGAAAAATTAATCACAATGATTAAAGGAAAATCAGAGAAAGAAAAATAAACTAACCTCAGCATCGGCCCATTTTTTTGATCCCTTGTACTTGGTTACAATCGCTTTGAGATGGTCAGTGGCCTTGTCCTTTTCCCGATTCAAGGCCAACAAAGTTTTAGCGATCATAATTTGATTCTTTGAATAGAAACCTGGTTCAATCTTCTCCGCTTGTTCAAACAATTCAAGGGCCGTTTCATAACTCGCCTCAGGCAATGAACCGTAAATTATTTCTGAAAATGGTCACAATTAGTTTACTGACTAACAATTGGATTAATTTGATTGAATTGAGTCTTACTTGCTAGATTTCTTTCAACCCAAGTAACAGAGGAACACCCATAGTGCCATTCACCTAAAAGGTAATAAACTGTTGGATCTTTAGGTGAATATTCAATTGCCTTTTCCATGTGACCTTTAATCTTGAGTAAATTACCAATTCGCACTTTGGTACCTTGAACCGTTGAATATTCATCCAAGATAATTGAAGCCCACTGTTGTTGAGAATAAAGAAATAATTGATCAACACAATTAGCAAATGAATTTACTTTTCTATTCTATTAGTTACCTTGTGAGCTGGTCCACAATTACTGTTGATTTCAAGAGATTTCTCAATGAGAGCGAGTGAACCTTTTAAAACCTCCATGTACTCTGGTGATCCTTTGTCACTTCGGTATTTAAGTTGGTGATAATAACATCGAGCTAATCTCCAGGTAACCTCGTTATTATCTTCCCAAGAAGGATTAGATTTCAACAGTTCCACCATAGAGTCAAATTTATTCTCATTGAACAATTTATCCGCTCTCTCGAAAAGCTTTTTCTCTTCGTCCTTTTCATCAAATTTAGCATAAACTGTCAACGAGAACGCAAGTAAAGGTGTTAACATGTTCGGACGAGAAATTAATCCATTACAATTTGATCCAATTAAATTGATTAACCTTCCAATCGATTGGAAACGATACAAATTTGTAGGATTTTCTTTTAAAATATTAAAATAATTTAATAAAATATGATTCACAATACGATTGAGTAACAATCTCCTCATTGTTTACAATTTGTCACCGAAATTGTATCAACAATTTTTTCTAGAATCAATTATTTCCTTTCATTTGAATCACTTGAAAAGAGAAACACCAAACCAAATAGGGTTTCACAATTAAAATCAATAAACAATAGATTATATTTACAAAAGATAATCAATTGATCATTTTAGTTAAATAATCAATTGGTAACTTGAGTTTCCTAATGAGGAAAAAAAGATAAATAAATTTTTTCTTCTATTCGACCAATAGATGGCGCTCGTTTCTCTCTTCGTAAATTGTTTGATTGAATTGATTGTTTTTTTTATTCCTAATCAACAATTGAAATTGATTGTGTTTTGATCAGTTCTTGGCAATTATTTGATTATTTAAGGGGAGTGGAGTTTATCTATCGATTTGTGGTTTTTTTTTCTCGGTAGAATGTGAATCATCCGATAGAGTAATTAAATTCATTCTATTGCAGATTGTGATTTAATTTTCTCAATCATTGGTAGTTTTTAGTTAATTAATCATTAAGACACATTGATAGAAAAGATATTTATACTTTGTAGTGGTTAGAAGAGGGAGATTCACTGATAATCAGGATAATTTGATAGTCTAAATGATTAATTTAAATTTGTTATGGTGTAAGATGGTTGATATGAATCGTCCAGTTCAATATCAATAAGGAAATCATGATCAGTTGGATTAATTTGTTCAGTTTGCTCGGGTCCATATCGTTCATTTTGATGTTCAATTAGTATATTGTAGACAGATTTGTGGAGTTCAATGATTCCTGGTCCGAAATATGTTTCCGTTATTGAAAACCATGGAGTGTAAGGTGGATTATGTTGAAGAAAAGATAAATGAACATCACTAAATTCATCGAAATGAAAAAAAGGTATAAAAGATCCTGATTGTGGTAATCTGGTCAGATTAAGAGTTGCTTTCGCTTTTTCTAGTAATTTCTCCTTGATAAGAGTTACATCAAATGTTGATTCTTTCAATTTACTGTGAAGATTTTCAAGCTTCTCTTCCTGGTAAACAGGAGCAAATAAAACACTATCACCAGGAAGACGATTCGGTTTATTTACAGATGAACGAGACGAAGGTCGTGATGGTGGACGATTAGAGGGAGATGAAGGTCGATTTTTACTCATTTTCCAAATGACAACCTTGTCCAACAGTAGATATCTGGTCATAAGAAGAGAAATGGAAAAATAAACAAAAAGAGCAAAAGAAAATAACAAGAGAAAATCATCAAAGAAAATCTAAACATTTCGGATAATTAATCATCTCTTACCTTCAATTGGTCAACTTAAGGTGCAATTAAGAAGTAGAGTAAATCAGATTAATGAATAAATTGTCATGTTCAATGTTAATTGTTGATTAAATCAGAGATTAAAATGATTCCATTTGAAGAAAAACAAAACAAAAATCGCAAAGAAAATTCAACCAGTCGATTAGAATTCGGCTCCAGCCGATTTTTCATTCGAATTCAGCTCGTAACTTTATCATCGACTTAATTGATTGTTAACATTTTCTAATCGAAGGTTTTATAATTTATTTAATCTTAATAATCGATCGATTCAAATTGTAATTTTGTTCGATTTCGTTTTGAAGGTTAATGAGTAACTGAGACAATTGATTTTCTTTTTGTGGTTAATTAATTACTTTTAATGGAAATGCAAAGGAAATGGATCAACAATTGAATAGATAAAAACACAAATAATCTCTTCTTTTGATTAGAATATTAATCATTGGTTCGAATTTTAATCAACAAGAAACAACAACAACAATTAAATTGATCATTTGTGTTGTTCTTGTTTAAAATCATTTAATTAGGGTTTTTGTTTGTTTCTGTTTTTATTTGGTAAATGTCAATTTTTTTCTTAATTGTTGTTTTTGCTACTTAATTACAGGTTTTGAAGCAAAAAATTGGGTTTGGCTTGGTTCATCTTCTTTCTTTTTCATGAGATTCGGCAACTAAGAAAATTAACATAAAAATTAATCAATAACTTTCATAATATAACATTTTTCTCAATTTTATATCTTGATGATTTGCGTTTGATTTGAGTGCGTGAGCCAGAGGAAAGAGAGAACAAAAAGATTCTCGAGAAAAAGCAAGAACATGGAAAAGAAAAAAGAAGTGAAAGAGAGAGAGAGAGTAAAGAAGAAAAACAGGGGATAGAGAGAAAAGAAGATAGGAAGATAAGTAGTGAGAGAGAAAGTAAAGTCTGAGAAAAGGGAGAAAAGGTTAAAGATTAGAAATTAATGTAAGGAGGTGGAAAAATTTTTCGGGAAAGGTAAGTAGGTAGAGAAAAATAAAGAGCCAAAGAAAAGAGGCAAAGATTAAGGGATAGGAAATGTTAAAAAGAAGAATCAATTTCTTCTTGATATCTGAGAGATAAATAATCAGCAGCATCGGCAAATTGATGAAGTATCGTGTGTAATGCTTGTAAATGCTGCCGGAATGCTTGGGCTAAGTGTAGAGTTGCATCATCTAATTCTTTATCTTTTACAAATGAATCAGCTTCACTATCCGTTTCGAGATCAGATGATGATGCAGTAGATCCTAAAGAGCCAAGAGATTCATCAGCTGAAGGTTGACGACTATGTCTTCCAGTAATTCTACCACCGGTTAACATATTACTTCCTAAAGATGTAGTTAATCGATTACTACCAACTGTACAGTTAATTGATTTATCTCTAACAGTTGGGCAACATCCATCCGGTGCAAAGGAACCACCAAAAGTTGAAATACTCGACGGTCCCCAGAGCAGTTCCTCTTTAACATCATTCATCATAACGTAAAAACTGTACATATCGGCATTGGCTAAACAGGGCGGTATTGAGCCAGTACAACTGCTAATCTTATTACCAACAATGTCCATGTCTCTTAATTTCGAAGGCACGAGAACCGTTGAGTTCATATTGTTGACTGATTTGACAAATCTATCCATTGAATAAGTATTTTAATAATCGTCGTAGTCCTAATGTTAATGGTTTATTTAGGTTGGCTTTTTGATTAACAGTTAGCAAAGTGATCTGTACACAAAATGAACAATTAATATCACAATAAAAATAAAATATAATATAGATGTATAATAAATAATAATAAATAAGAAAAATAAACAATTGAAAGACTAACAGTTAGAAGGGAAATGAATGAATAAAGGTAATTAATTATTAAAGAGCATAAAATAAAGACATCAATCCAGTATTACAAACATCGGATGATGATGATATGATGATGATGATGATGATGATGATCTGATACAGAAATAAGTTTCTTCTCGAAGGTGAAATAATCTCTCATTCACATAAAGATAGGATTAACATGAATATAATCAAGTGAGTAAATCATCAAAAAATGGATCATGATCATTTATATACGATTTCAACAGACAAAAAGAAAATGGGAAACAAAATAATCAACAATCTAAACCACCACTAGTTTCGTTTAAATTGGTTAGACACAAATGATTGTAAACCAACCAGAGATAAGCAAAACCAGACTGACTATTTAAATGTAATCATGCAACAAAACCAAGATGACATTTAAAAAGGGTTTGTTCATTTAAACAGTTAAGCTTGAAAACAGTGTCTCCATCTTTCATGTTGAGAATTTAGATCAGATTGTCAAACACACAAAATATAATTGATTGTAGGATAAGAATCAAAAGCGAAGTCAGGTTAGAATGTACAGATTATAGAAAAGGAACTAAAAAACAATAACAAGAAAAAAAAGGTGAAAACCAAACGAAAAACGCCTGAGTAAAGATGGAAAAGAATACAAAAAGATTCCACTGAGAAATTCTAATGATGTCTAGCATCTTCTACATCACCTTTTCTCTAACCAAAGGCACAGAATCAATTTCCGGCAAAAAAGCATTAAACCAGAATCAAGAGAAAGAGAGAAAAAAAGAGATGAAAAGGCAGACAGATAGAAGACAGAATGTAAAAAAAAGAGAGACACATATTTAACATGTACGATTTTCTCAAAAATAAACAAACAAGGTTAAAGAGAATAGAAAATGGATTAATAGGCAAGAATAGAAAAAACCAAAAGGATACTTACCAAGGGTAGAGTTTAAGTAATTGATGATTGAGTTAAAGATGGAGATTGATTGACTTAAAATGAGAGGTAACATCAAGATGAAGATGGTCACTTGAGTAAAAGATAGACAATAAATGAATGGTTAATTTAACGATTAACATTGGTTTTCGACAGAATTACATTGATTAGGGTTAAAGGCGACGATAATCAATTAATTAGAATAAAAATGAAAATAAAAATGAGAAACAAAAAGGAAATTCAGAGAACATTAAAAAGAGAATTTGTCTCGTTTTCTTTTCTCCTTTCATTAAGAGAAATCAATGAGTATTAATCAAAGAATCCAAGGATTGTTCTTTCTCAAGAATATCCGAATCTCACCGAATCAGATACATTCTTTCAATGGAATAGAAATTAATTCGACTTACATTAAATTCTATCGTTTGTAACAATTTAAATGAGACTATCGACGATCACAATGATAATAATTGGATGGAATTAATTTGCGCCAATTAATTAAATGGTCGAGAATCAAGAGAGTAAACATTGAGTATGGAATAGATTTAATTTAGAAGATACTTGGTATCGATATATCGAAATGTTTGTTTTTCTTAGAAAAATGAATCAATTATTTAATCCGAAAATCGTTCATTTCAATTGTTTTATTTTTCTAATTTAATTGTTTTTCTTATAGATTTAAATTCTCTTTTCTGGTTACATTATATTTGGACAGTCCTCAAAGTTTAAGGTTAATCATTTTAAAAGGTAATGTTGATGAGATTTTGTCTTTAAATAATAGTTAATTTTACAATTGTTTTCGTTTTCGTTTTGTCTCATTCTCTCGTGTTTATAGTTGATAGATTCTGATTTTTTGTTTCATTTTTTTACATTAAATCAAGAATAATTTCAATGTCTTTTAATTTTTCATTTGATTTTTAAGGAGATGAGATTGGTTTCGAGATCAGTTAAAGGCATCGTTAATGTTTTGTAGTTGACGAATGGCCCAATCAGTGGGCAATTTAAAGTTGATTTCGTTTAATTTCTGGAGACTCGTGAATGCGTCTTCCCATCCGGTGGCTGCGGTGTAACTCCATTCTTCATAATAATTGTCTAACAAGGTACGATTCTTGAGAATTAGTTTCAACCATACAACTAATTTTCGCTGACTAGAGAGATAATTGTCAAAGGAGACATGACAATTTTTAAAAGGAGAAAAATTGAGATTATTTGGTAGAGAGAGAGAGAGAGAGTAATCCAAATGATCAACTTACTTTAAAGCTTCACAAATAAAGGCTTTTAAATGGCTCTCTGGACTTCGGCGCAATTTTGTGTGTGTTTGGATAATATTGTCAATTGTTGTGAGAAGTGAATGTTTCGGTGTGATGGCGACATTTCCAACAATCTCCAAGTTGAAACTCTGTGAGAGTCTACGAGCTGGACACGAGTTGAATTGTTGACCATTCTTAAAATTGTATTACAAACCATTAGAATACATTGAAAGGAGATGACAATTAATCTTACCTTCAATTGATAATACTTGAGTATAAGATCCCAGGCGGTTAGTGACCGATCTTGAGATAATTGAGCTGATCGAGTTGAGAAACAGCCCAATCCAATGAGATAAGATGGAATGAGTGAAGTGCCAATGTGTCCATTGTATTTACAGGTCAATCCATGTTCGATTAACTCTTTTAAACATGAACAGAACTCTTTACGAACAGCATTGGTCATTTTCTCATTATATTGGAAAACTGGAGTCTATCAATTGAAATGGAGGAAAACGTTTGGTCAGATCGAAATGATCAAATTAATCATCTAATCAATTTACCTCTTCACTCTCACTTGTATAATCTGAATCATTGAAGGATTTTTCTTCATTGATTTCCGATAATTTAGTAATTGCCATTTCTAATTTAGCTCTTGAATCACCCCAATGATTTCCTTTGGAATGTTTCTTGGCCATACTTCGTTCGAGGGTTTGACCTAACCCATTGCAGCCAAATTGTGCGAATGTAAACAATTGAATTAAGGTGACCACTCGACGAATGATTCTAGTAACAATCTCCTTTCGATTACGAGTTAAATGCTCTTCTCCGGCTAAACTACGTCGACCATTTTCTCGTGATTTACCTGATCGACCATTTTTAATTCTATCATCTGGAATTAAATCTAATTTCTTTACCAATGCTCTCTGAGCATTACCATGAAGTGGACAATTACAGGTACATTTACCACCTCTTTTACCTCTTCTACCAACACAACCTTCCTCAACTTGAAGAAATTCAATGAATCTCTCTAAATCAGTTACCTGGGTTTTCAATTGATTTACTAATTGTTCTTTCATCAGTGCAGGATTAACCAGCTAAGAATAAAAATTATCAAGTTGATTGAAAAAGAAAATCAATACAATACAATAAAATATAATCCAATTTACTATTCAATAGATTATTAACTCACCTCTCTAATCGCATCGTCAACTTGTCGTCTCAAATCCTCTGGAGATGATTTATCAAATTGATCTAATTGTAATGGAAGTTTACCTTTTAATTGCTCTATGATGACCGTTTGTCTTTCTAATAGTAGAGATGAAGGTAAAGCGTTACTCTGACCAGTTTCGTAAGCGTATTGCTCCAATTCCTCTAATTGATCTCTCAATTTGTGAATTAATTCCTTTTGTCGTTTCCTTTGGAACTCTAATTTCTGATTAACACTAACAGAAGAAGTATTATTATTATTACTATTATTATTGCCCTTAAGGGGAGTAGAATCGATAACTTGATCATCATCATCATCATCACTTTCGGATGCTCGGTGAGGTATTGAGGGTTCACGAAGATCTGGAATACCACGGAATGCAAATTCCTCTAATTGTTTGAGTAAAACCTCCTTCTCCTCAGACGAAGCTTCAACAATTTGCTTTAATCGTAATTGAACTTGAGCAAAATGTGAGGTCAATGCTATTAAAGAACAATTTAATTGCTCTTGTTCATCTTCTAATCGTCTCAATCGATTGTGATACCTTTCACCGCCTCCACCAGTATTTTCACAATAATCCAATGGACTGTCAGTAAAGTAATTTAAATCATCGTCATCATCTTCATCTTCATCTTCATCACCCTCTCCATCAGTTTCCTCATCAGCATCGGTTCCACAATAACAAATATCCGATGGAATTTCCTTCTCTTGATTAACATTTTCTTTTCCTATCACTGATTCATCTTCATTTTCCAATAGACTCATAATCACCAGAGTTAATTGCCAATGATTTTATCCAATGTGATTCTCTCAATGTACCGATTAACCAATTTCTCAGTCCTCATGACAAACCACCAACAATTAAGAATAACAATTGGTAAATCGTAACACCAAACAATCTGAATAGATGAAAATGATGTATATCTGTAAGAGAGAAAAAAAATAAAAGGACAATCAACAAATTAGAGAATTAAATTGTATCAAGTTAACTATTGATGAACGATAATCAAGACATATGTTTCTCTATGTATTAACTATTATTTATCTCTATCAAAATGACTCAATCATTTTTCAATGGTGACATTTACATGAGAATCATCAACATCCGTATCATCACAATCATCATCATCATCTGTTACAATCAATGGTGAAAAACCTTCTGAGCAAATACAATCTTTGCTTGTAACTAATTAGCTTTGTTAACAATATTACACTGACTGGAATCACTTTGATTTTGATTGGAGACACAAATTGATCACAATTAATTTCTCAGGTCCAAGAGTTGAGATTATAGGAAATTTTGATTCCATTTTCTATCTACATTTCATTTTTCCAATGGCGAAAATTATATAACATGGTAACCATAAAATCGCAATTAATTGGATCCATAAAATTTTCTAACTCATTCATCAGCAATTAATTAGACTGTTAGATTATGTTGGTGATAATGTGAATCAAATCAACTGAATACAAACCAGTTAATTGACTATAATTTACCATATGTTCCTCTGGTCATACAATCAGGTGATTTTTCAATATTAGACTAACTCATTTTCACCAATTAATTATAACATGGACACAAATTGTTAATCGATTAACAGTAATTGAAAGTTTACAATCAGATTAGAATGATGATAATCACAATTAAACACTAATTACAATTCCAATGGACAAATGTCATTACAATTCCTTATTCCTTATGATTAAACTCTAAACAAATAGGATAATGTTTATACCTTTTGAGGTTAATTGATGTTGAGAAATCCTTTTAATCCGATAGATTTACAGCTCACAATTTAAATTAATCACCACACAATTAAATCACTTGAGGTTCAATGTTGAGCGACTCTGATAATGTGAACAAATGACGTCACATTTGATTCTCAAAGTAAAAGAAATCAAACTTACTATTCCTACGAAATTTTCTGTTTAAATAGACTTTTGATTCGATTTTCTAATTAATCATCTACAGTAGTTAATTAACTGTGTCTCACTTTGATTGTTAGAACTGCGAACGTTGATCAAATTGACATTTGCTTTGTGAAATTATTTCTTCTAATTCCATAGTTATGGGCAATTCTTTTTTGGAAATTTTTTCGCTTCTTAAATTGGTAAGTTTTTGCTTCTTTTATTTACATTTCTTGTTAAATTCAAATTATTTGATTATTAGTTTGTTTAATTGTCAATCTATCTGATCTTGGATTGTCTTAGTTGTGGTAATTGTGTTTTTGTCTGTGAAAAGTTTTTGGTTGTTGATTGTTGATGATTTGAAGTAATTTAAGACATTTGTTTTCGGCTTTAGTTTTGATTGAATTAACTTTTCTTGATTCACAAATTTCAACTTTAATTCAGTTAAATTGTCGTCTTTTTTTCATTTGTTTCATTTTCTTAATTGTGGATTCAGGTCAGAAATTGATGATTTTTCTTTGATTGTGTGATGATCGTAGGGAAAAGTTTGCAATATTGTCACAATTAAAAAGGGTTTGGTATCGATTCTTCACCTGAAATGTTGATAATTTTGTAGTAACCTGTGGTTAGAAAGTTTGGGACTTTTTGATCAAACATTCGTAAAAACCGTAGCATTGAACTGAAATTTTACGTTCTCATGGCTAATATACGAGAGATAATATTGTATAAATTTCAGGTGTAAAAATCTAATGGTGTCGCTAATTTTTCAAATTGAAGTGCGATGAAAAAAAAATCGACAAAAAAATTGTTAAAATTAGTTTTTTTGGATAACTTTTCGATGCATACTCAGATTTTTATGAAAATAGTTTTTTTAGAATCAGCTCAAAATTTTGTATAAACTCAAATTAACGCAATTCTGTCAAGAGTTCAAGCGAAGATATTCAAAAAAGAAAGTTCGATTTTTTTGCATTTTAACAAAATCGAACTTTTCCCATTTAAAGCCATGTTAAAAGCTCTTATAGACTTAATATTATCAAATCTTATCGATTTTTTTGTTGGACTTTGAAACTCAATTTATTCCAAACTAATTGACTAATTAAAAAAGTTTTTGCCTTTATCGATATGTTAGTTAATTAACAATAATTCAAATATTTTCAAATTTTCAATAAAGACCGTTTTCAAAATATTACGATTTTAGCAAAAGTCCCCAAACTTTTTCACCACAGGTTAACAAAAATGATAACAACAACTTTCCACTCGGTGGGAAGATTCAGTGTATACACTTCATCTCCTTTTCCTCCCTCGCTCTTTCTCTTCCTCTCTCATTGCTGGTGGTGATTTACACTTTGATCTTAAGAGATTATCATCATTATCATCATCTCTTTTATTTCATGATTGTTTGTGGTTTGGTTTTTGGGTGAGAAAAATTTCATGGATCAAAATCTAATCCTAATTTTCTGGTAAACATTTTCTTGCAAGTAAATTGTTTACTCAATTGTATACAACGGATTTTCATTAAATGAGCCATGATTTTTTGTTCATCAGCTTTTAATGATGAGTTTGATTGTTGAAATTAACAATTGGCTACTTGGCTTATTGATTAACTAACGATAAAATCAAATTGAATAAAAAACAACTAAAAACCTTTGGTTTTGACTCTAATATTGTTTAAAATCTTAAATTGTGTGAAATGTAAACCTCCCAATTAGATTTAATTTGTTAATCAAGTATCACAAGGATCGATAAATTAACAAAAAAAACAATTTGATCAATTCTTCATAACTGATTTAGATTAGATTCAAATACCAGCAGCATCACAGTTATGTTAATCTAATTACGATTGATAATTTTATCGTTTATTGATTTACTTCAAATTATAGATCTTGGTGGTTTTTGTATCTTTCGAGTCGATTGAAAAGTTTTCTTTTCTTTTCTTGGTAATGAGACTTTTTATTTGTTATTTGTATTGAACAATTAGCTGATTAAAAAATGATTCAAGTAATAATTTGGATTAAAAGTTGGTAGAAAAGATAATTTGATTAGTAATCAGTTATAATATTTGATTGTTGTTAGTTTGGAATTGTACTGATTTGCTTATAATTGTTTCAATCGAGATTCGATCATTGATTCAGATAATTTCCAAAGTGTATGAATTAGTTGATCATTTTCTGTTTTCGGTGATGGATTACAGGGTGTACAGTTGTTAAAATAAAGGCCAGATACATTTTCCAAGTCCTTTGAAGTGGCACAATAAACGGGAGTAGCTGCTCCTTGTTCCTATTGGTTGAAATTAAGTATTAGTATTAGTAATTGAATTGAATAGATTATAATTGTCAAAATCTAAAGTAAAAATGAACTTACAATTGATTTGGTGAATGGACGAACAAAACTGAATAGTAACTTATAAAACCACCAATTTCTTGGTAAATCAGTGTAAATCATATTCCCAGGGTGACAAGACTGAACGGTAACACCATAGTTTTGAAACATCCGAGCCAAATATCGGCTAATTAAATTAAGACACAATTTAGAATCATTGTAGGCTTCAAGTGAATTGAAAGCTCTCGATGAAAGGGGAGAAAGACGTTCAATTGAAATATCATCGATACTTAAATTGCTGAAACGATGACTTTCCGATGAGATGAGAATTATTCTGGAAGGAGATGAAGCAACCAAATTATCTTGGAGTAATTTGATTAGGTAAAGATGAGCTAAATAATTGATTTGAAATGTTTGTTCAAATCCATCTTCAGTAAGTCCAAATGGTAAACCAAAAACTCCAGCATTACAAATGAGAAAGTCAAGTTGCCTGTCAAAATATTCAATAAAATAATAACAAGTTATAATCAAATCAAATCAAACAATTTCAACTCAATTGGATTATAATTCAAAAGAGCTAGAAGGTAATTCTGAGAGATAATCATGACAAGATTATCTAGAAGTTTTCACCTTCTAAACTGTTGTAATTATATTTCAGTTTAGTCAAGATGAAGAGTAAAAGAAAACAGGATTAGAAATTAAGAAAATTTTTGATTAGTGAAAAAAACGAATGAATTTTAAACTTACAAACTTAATTTCTGAAATTCTTGGACGAAGTGTCGAACACTCCTGAAACTGGACAGGTCACATTCTAACGGAATCAACTTAATATTTGGCTAACGTACAAAGAGAAGACGAGAATCAAATAGAGAATGGAGATAATTACTACTCTGGATACAGACGAAAGTCTTGATATATTTAGAGAAGTACCCGAATAGCCTTTAATCGGTTGATTGTGGCAGTGGTTTTGTCTAAATCACGACAGGCCATGACAACTGAAGCTCCATGAAAAGCCAAACTTCTGGTGATCTCAAGTCCGATTCCACTTGAAGCTCCAGTGACAATTGTAACTTTGTTTGTTAAGTCTCGTCCATTAAGGACAATGTTGGTCGTAGCTGAAGAATCAAATCTTTGTTTGACTTCGCCTTCAGGTTTAATCTCATAAGAAAATGCTAATCTAGGATCAGTAAGCGTTTTCTTTTTATTAATCCGACTGAAAATGGGGGAAAAAAGAAAAGAACGATTTAAAGAGAAAGGAAAATAAAATGAATCCAACCAAACATTAGAACAGAAAATTTCACTTACTCTTCAAAGATTATCTCTCCATTGTCATCAATTTTCTTCTCCCATCCATAAGGAAATTCGTCAGGTACTTTTCTGGCCTTTCCGTCTTTCGGGTGTAACCATTGGGTCGTTTTACTCAAATGGTCAACAAAGAAAACGCGTCCATCAAGATCAACCCTTTCCTCCCAACCCAAAGGTAATTCATCTTCACTGTCAGTGTCAGGGAAATACGAGGCCATCAATAGCGATAACTTTTTATTTCCGCCACAATAATCAAAAATTCACCATAAAAACAAACATTTAAATCACCAGATGGATAAACAATCAACTAATCAATCAATCACTAAATATGGAAAATGTATCAAAACAAAAATCAACACAACATGAAAATCCATCAACAAGATAAGAGAGACATCTACCATTTAATTAGTTGACTAAATTCTTTAAATTGATTGGCAACAATTGGAATTAATTAAATGTTAAAAATTAACTATTCATCTCTAATTGATTAATTTGATTAGAAACAAAGATAAAAACAAAGTCGCAGATTTAATGACTCACATAAATCACGAATTTTGAAAGTGAAAAATGTTCGATGTTCGATTGTATCGACATCGATTCTTTTTCAAAGCTTTCACTTTTTTCTTGTTTTTTCAAGAAAAAGAGACAATGTTTTGATTAATTATATTCGCTTATTGTTAATTTACTTTCGATAAACTGATTTAAAGTGAACTTGATTAGTTAAATTATGGATCTACCTGATGATCTCTGGGTGGAAACAAAAGCCGGTGGTGATAAGGTTTATTACTACAATGCTAAAACCCGAGAAACATGTTGGACTAAACCAGAAAATGCAAAGATAATCACCCAAGAGCAATTGGTTACCTTTCAGCCATCAACTAATAATTTTGTTAATCAAGATGGTAAATTATTTTTTTCTATTTTAATTTGATTCATATTTTCTCATCAATTTAATCAGTATTACCTGTGAGAGTAACTTTAACCTTTATTGATTTGTTCCTTGTGTTTCTTTTTTCATTGTTGTTTACTGTTTACTTTGATTAGGTATTAAGAAAGACGATCCAATTCTAGTGAATAATAATAATACTGGTGTTGGATTAATTGGCGGTGATTCTTCTGGACAATCTTTACCGGTTACTTTACAAACTAAGCCACCATTTCAAAGTCAACAATCCCACAACCCTTGTTACCATCTTCAGCTGTGACAGCACCAGGAATTGTTCCTGGGGTATTACCTGTAGCCGGAGTTTTACCAGGAGTAGCAACAGGAACAGGAGTTCCCTTAGTGGCACCCGTGGTTCCAGGAGCAGCATTGATATCACCGGTGACTGGTTCAACTGTTACATCAGTAACTACTAACCCAGTTCCCTTACCTGTTCCAGCTACTATAACATCTCAACCACCCCCACATCTTTTACATCATGTTCATGCAAACCAATCTGTTCCCACGGGAACATTACCCGGGGTCGCTGGTACACCGGCTACACCTTTCATGGCACAGCCCTTCAATCCTGCGCTAATGGCTCCTGGGATCGCACCAGGTTTACCTAATCCAGCTATGCTTCAAAATTTTTCTCCTTTTAGTGTTCCACCGGCTGTTGCCTTGAATCCGGCTCAAGCCGCTATGTGGGCTAATCCAATGTTAGGTAATGTTGGCAGCATTGACCCTGTAAGGCAAGCACTTATGTTACATGTAGACTCAGAAATCAAAGCAGCGGCAGCAGAATGGACTGAATACAAAACACCTGAAGGAAAACCCTATTATTTCAGTTCGAAAACAAAACAATCAGTTTGGGAGAAACCGAAAGGTCTAACTGATCTCGAAGGTAATTTTTAAAAATTTTTACTAACCAACGTGATTTTCATAATAAATTTTTGTTTTAACTTTTCTTTCAATATAATCAGAGGCAATTAACAAAGTGAAAATTCAACAAGAAGAATTGGCCAAAGCGAATAAATCAAATCAAGGTAACAGTGAGGTAAGAATTGAAAGTGGAACAGAGACAAATAATGCTCATGCAAATGGAGAAAATTCAACTGAAGATAAAAGCGCCGAGAAAAAGCCTGAACAACCAAGAGACAAATCAAAACCAATTTCAAGTACTCCAGTTCCAGGAACTCCTTGGTAATATTTTAATTCTACTCATTAAATATACAGAACGAAGTTAATATTCTCAAATTGTATTATAATTTTCAAAATTTCTCTTTATTCTTTGCCTCTCTTTAGGTGTGTTGTTTGGACTGGTGATAATAAAGTCTTCTTTTACAACCCTAGTACCAAAACTTCAGTTTGGGAGAGACCCACCGACCTCAAGAATAAGCCTGAAGTTGATAAATTGGTTAAAGCTCCACCCAAACCTGATGATCCATCTGATTCACCACCACAAGAGAAACGATCTGCTGAAAATGAGGGTGAAAAAGTCGTAAAGAAACAAAAGTAATAACAACTTTTTACTTAAAATTTTTAAAAGAAAAAACAAATCACCACAATAATAATAATAAATTTTCTTATTTGTTTACATTTTAGAAAAGCCGAAGAGGAAATGGAAAAGGAAAATAAAAAAGATCCATCAACTGATATTCAAATAATCGCTGCCAAACAGCGAGAGACGATTCCACTGGAAGAACGGATTCAAATGTTTCGAGCTATGTTAGTCGAGAAGGAGGTAAATTAAACTGCACTAAAACACTAGGAAAATTTTTAATTCTTCTAATTAACCTTTAGGTTTCGGCTTTTTCAACTTGGGAAAAAGAGCTTCAGAAAATCGTATTTGATTCGAGATACCTTTTACTCACATCGAAGGAGCGAAAACAAGTATTTGATAAGTATGTCAAGGAAAAGGCTGAAGAAGAGCGACGGGAAAAGCGTCAAAGGATAAAACAACAGAGAGATGAGTTTAGAAAATTATTGGAAGAATATAATGTTTCATACAAAACAAGTTTCCATGAATTCGCTCACAAGAATTCTAAGGATGAGCGATTTAGGGCAATTGACAAACAAAAAGATCGTGAGAATCTATTTAACGATTATATTTCTGAATTGAGACGCAAAGAGAAGGAGGAAAAAGCCGCCCAACGAGAAAAGGTAATTGTAGATCATTTTCACCAATTAACTAATAATCATTTTACTCTTTTAATCAAGCAAACTTTTTTTACATATCATCATTTTTTTGTGATCATAATCTTGATGCTTAATTGTTATAATAACTTAATTCTCTTTCCTCCTCTTTTTCCAACTCAAACACCGTTACAAACAAAAATTAATGCTTGATAATCATAATCTTTTATTTATGATATCAATTGATATTCAATTATTTTGATTGATAATATTATCTTGATTGATGAAAATTTACGTTCTGGGCTAATTTACAAATTTAATTCACAGCAAAAATTAAACATTTTACAGCTAAGGTAAACAACTACTCTTCCCCAAGGGAATCAGAGACCTCAATTGACTTCATGGAGCATTGAGACCCTAAACCATACCGATTAATTGGACAGTAATTAGCTTAATCATTTTGTTTTTCTTTTCTTTCTCTCGTTGAGTATTTATCTCTATCTCTTTTTCTTACTTTGGTTTTCTATTGATGATCATCACTCAATCATTCAAACTTCCTTTCAAGAAGCAATAATATTATTTATAAGAATGATACAAATTTCATCACTCAATTTGTCTTGATTATGATTAACTTTGAATGGAAGTTTAATGGAAATGAATTTTGATCCAATATTTCTCTTTGTTTTCTGTTGTTAAGGATTCGTTGAAGCCTTTGACGTTCATTTCCAAAAGCAAACTAATCAAAACATGAAATAGATTCTAGTTAAAGATTTTCATCTCTTTTACTTCAATTTTATTCGATGTTTTTTTTTCTCTAACAACTTATTTTACTCTTGATTCTAATATTGTTTATTTTTCTTTCTTTCTCTTTCTCTCTGTACTTTTCGATTCATTATTGTCCATCTTTTTAGGCGAAACAAGGGTTTATTGAGCTTCTGAAAGAACAGAAAAACTTGGACAAATATTCCAAGTGGTTCGACGTAAAAGACAAGATTCGAGATGATGCTCGGTACAAAGCATTGGACTCTAGTAGTGCTCGCGAAGATACATTTAAAAGCTATGTCAGTGGTCTATCATCATCTTCATCTCATAATCGAAATGACGGAAAAGATGATGATCGTAAAAATGATTCAAATGATCATGGAAAAGATGCTCGAGAAAAGGAGAAACAGGAAGCAATTGAAGCCAGTTTACGAGAACGTGAGAAGGAAGTTGCTCGTGAACTGTCCACCCATCTTCGAGAACGTGATAAAGAACGAGAACAGCATAAACACGCTGAAGCAGTGGAACATTTTAATGCACTATTAACTGATCTCATTCGTAATCCTGATGTTTCCTGGAGAGAAGGTAAAAAGATGTTGAAAAAAGATCACCGATGGGATATTGTCGATTCTCTTGAACGAGATGAACGAGAAAAATTATTCAATGATCACATAGACAATCTTTATAAAAAGAAAAGGGAAAAATTCCGTGAACTTTTGGAAGAAGTTCGTGAAATAACATTAACCTCCTCCTGGAGAGACATTCGACGATCTATTAAAGAGGATGCCCGATATACCAAATTTTCATCTAGTGATAGAAAATGTGAACGTGAATTCAAGGAATACATGAAAGATAAATTGACGCTCGCCAAGAATCAGTTTAAAGAACTTTTGAAAGAGACCAAAATAATAACATACAAATCAAAGAAAATGATCGAAGACTCGGAACAACATTTACAAGATATTGTCGCTATTCTGCAAAACGATAAACGATACCTCATCTTGGATTGTATTGAAGACGAACGTCGACATCTTCTAATGTCCTACATTGACGATTTAGATCGAAAAGGACCACCGCCGCCTCCAACAGCATCCGAACCAGTTCGACGAACAGCTAAATGATGATCAACACTTTAGCCAAACAATTAGAATTTAATGTTCCCTTGAATTCTTGCACAGATGAACAAGATAAACACTTGTCATTCCTTTCTTTAATTTGTTTCTCTTTTATGCCAACCTTGATTCTCTAATCAATTTTCACATTTCTCTCTCTCTCTCTCTCTCTCTCTCTCTCTCTCTCTCTCTCTCTCTCTCTCTGATTTCTACTTTATCTTGACCCCTGCGAACGCTCTTCGAGATTATCTGAGACTTTTCTCACTATAAATTTATACATATTCTATTCTAGTGGTAATTGCAACTATCTCTCTCTCTCCCTCTAAGTTTTCTCAAAGTTGTATAATTTCCCAATCTAATCCAATTTCATTTCACCTTCGTCTTTTCCTCTATCATTTCTAAATATTTTTTGCCATGATACGATTTTCATCGAAACATTTTTGCATCAAACTTTGAAAGTCTTTTGCTTTAGTGAATCTTTCTAAACAAAACTATATGTACATGAACAGTGTAACTCGAGACAAGTCGATTGACTCGAATGTTTTCAAAATAAATTAAAAAGCAAAATCATTTTCCATTGAGCTCATTTTATTTTATAAACTTAAAAGTAAAATAATCGATTAGGAAAAAATGTTTACGATTACTCACTAATTTTTTTTTCACTTTTGCGATTTAGATTCATGAATGAGAAACTCGAAGATGGTCCAAGTTAATGCGGTCATCAAAGTGCGTCTAATAACACGTGGAGCTAAACCTCTGAAAGAATCTCCGTCTTTAATTGTAAGGATAATCATTTGATAGAGACTCAAATTAAGATGAGGCTGAATTTGAACTCGAGTTTTTATCACATCGGCGGGATGAGTGATCGTTGAAGCAAATAGACCGGCCATTAATCCGACAATGAAAGTTTTGAAAGAACGAGGTAATTGTTGTGTTGATAAATTGTTCGAATCAGTGTCAATTAAAGTTGACTTTAACTGTGAATAAAAGAGGTAATATAATCCAGAAAATGGGACATCTCGAGCAAGGGTTGGTACTAATCCTCGAAATGAACCTTTCAAACCTTCATCTCGATAGATTCTGGTAAATGCAGTCCATACATTGGAATAGGAAAATAATCCGCTCTCGAAGCGGGTTTTTATCACAGTGACAGGTAAAAGAGTGACAACAGTAACAATACGAGAAGTAAAGCCCAACATTATCGCTTCGATTGGTTTGGGTTGATTAGAATCATCACAAAATCTATTCTTTAAATAATCTAAGGTTCCGAAATAAATGCCAACTCCTGGTACACAGCGAATGAGAGACTGTAAAGGAAAAGAAGTTTCAATGAATCGATCAAAAGAAATTCTGGTCAACTACTTACGGGAACTGTTCCTCTCCATAAACTGAACAATTGTTCTTTACGAACAATGTCGATCAAAATTTGGAACATTCCCAATTTCTTTGATTGTCCAGGTTGATGTTCGGTGAGAAACGAATGACGTTGCATTCGAGTCTTGATCAGATCCAAGGGTTGAAATGCTAACGTTGAACAAGTTCCACTAAAAGAACCATAGACAAATGATCGAATTGTCGGATTTTCGATTTCCAGAATGGACATAATTTCAGGGAGAATTTAGAAACATAAATTCAGTGGAATATTATTATATAGATGATAGAATATGGTGATAGAGACAAAAAGAACTACAATTGATCCGAACAATGAGATGATAACACAAGTAGAATGGACGTTTTTTTGAACATTGAGATTCCAATTAAATAATAATTGATTGAATTTTCCATCCAGGAAACAACAGGAAACTTAGGCCTCATCAATAGTCACCAAGAATCTGAGTTTTTCCACTGACAATGATTAACTTGATTCACTCTATTCAGACAAGTCTTATTGTCGGAGGTAAATGAAGAAATGAGTTACCATGTTGATCCAACAATTGGCTGTAATAATTACGTTGAATCAGAAAGATTTAGAATGAAATAATTCACCTAATCATAAATACCAACAAATAATTGATAACAAAATTAAATGTTAACACTCATTTAGTGATTAGTGGAAACATGATGAGCAATAAAAGGAAAAGAAAAAAAGTCCAATCCCAATTGTAGACAGAAAACTGAAAGACTATCAGTTAATTACCATGATTTATGTATCACGATCAGTTGACAGAGTTGAAGATAACTGTAATCAACTTAAATAGAAATAAAAATAAAACAATTAACATCTAAATCAACAGAATAAAACAATTTCAATCCTTAGACTTTTCTAATTGTAACTCAGATGAAGCTCAAGAAAACATGTGTTCCTATTATGGGAGATTTGAATTTCTTTCGATTAACTGATTTTCGGCTCTTTTTCTACTAATTAACAATCCGATTTCTATTAAAACTTATTGACAATTATCTCCATCATCTGATAATCATTTTGATCAATATAAATGTCTTAATTGTTGGCACAATTTGAAACATAAATGAAAGTAAACAAATCATAGATCGTAAAGTTATCCGATTAGTTTGGTTTCGTTAATTGTACTCTTATCTAATTGGAGGTTTAATTGTTAACTGACAAGGGGAACAAGTACAATTTGATCGAAAGTATTTACAATTAGCGAAAGTTGAATAAGTTGACTAATTGTTATCATCAAGAAATCAAGTGCAACCTCTTCAATTAACTGATTGTTTTTATCTTGATTTCATCAAATCAACGAAATTGACTCAATATTTCCTCTAATTTGGTTGTGATGATTTTCGGGAACAATTTAATAGCATCTAAATCATTCAAAAATTTTCATTCATTTAATTTTCAAATCAATTCGAATTGTTTTTTTTTCAGCAAATTAGTTAATCGAGAAAAGGAAAAATAATGTGAGTTAAATTTTCCGCGAAAAAATTTATCGATTTGTGATTGGCTAATGAGAAGAAAAATTTTCCTTCATCAATTGAAACATGATCATAATTTCAAATTATGATTCAGAAAATTATTAATTTTCTGTTCTAATGATTAACTAGTTGTAGTTAAGTAATTTATTTATTTGATCGTTTTTCTTCAGTTAATTGTTACCGTCTTTGGCCTTTAGTTATGAATCGTCTTTGAGTTTATTGATCGTAACTATTTTTTGGATATCGTCAGTACCTGATGATCTGTTGATTCGGTTCACTTGTTCAAATCAATTCAATTTTTTTCCTTACATTTTTTGTTAATTTTGTTTGTTAAAACACTTTATTCCAAATGGATCTAAGTTTGTTTATTTTTCTAATTTTATCATCGGTGGCCTTAATCGTCTCTTTATTGGTTTTCTTTATCATCACTCTTGACTCAGATTTGACACTTTTCTTTGCTGAGAAATTTGGTAAACCCATTGGTATGTTTCATGTAATCATTTTAGGCTCAATTTTTATTAACCTTTGATACTTTGATATAATTTTCTTTCAAATTGATTATCTAACCATTAAAGGGGCTCGTCTACTTGTTATACTCATACTAATATTCTTGTACTTGAACCTTTTGGTACTTGAGATCTAAATGTTAACTTTTAACTTGTTGTTTACAGTGTTTACTAATTGTTCATTTGTTTTTTCCTTGTTTCCTCAATTTTAGGAAATCTAAAAGGAAAAGTAGTTTGGATCACTGGAGGATCAAGTGGAATTGGTGAATCTTTAGCTTATTTATTAGCCAGAAACGGTTCAAAGTTAATCATTTCTGGAACAAATCAAGAACGTCTCGAAAATGTCCGCCGTAACTGTATTGCTGAAGGTTTGGCTCCCATCATTAGAATATCTTTTAAATTGTATCTTTAATGAGATAAGCTCTAGATTCTAATCACTCTTATCATTAGGTTTATCCGAAGATAACATTTTGGCCTTAAAATTTGACATGAAAGACTTTGAAGTTCATCCTGTTATGTTTAAAAAAGTTATTGATAAATTTGGGAAGGTAATGTAACTATTATTTTTGAAATTTTCTTTTCACCATCAAACTCTTAATAATCAATTTTACAGATCGACGTATTGGTTAATAATGCTGGACGGTCTCAAAGAGCGGCTTTCGCTGAAATCGAATTACGAGTTGATGAAGAGATTTTTAAAACCAACACTTTAGGCCCTGTAAGTTTAACAAGATTAGCACTTAAACATTGGGACAGTACTGGTAAATTGGGAATCATAGCCGTTGTCACAAGTGTCGCTGGTAAGGCTGGAACGCCATTTTCAGCATCTTACACTGGAAGTAAACATGCTCTTCATGTAAGTCTAATATAATTTGATGTATTATCCACAGATACGTTAACATATTTATTACTTTATTACATTAAAGGGATACTTTGAGTGTTTACGAGTTGAATCAATTGGTAAACCTATAAAAATCATAATGTGTTGTCCTGGTCCAGTTGAATCTCGAGTTTTAGAAAACGCATTCACGGGTGATGGTAATAGAGTGGGTCGTAAACATCCAGCAGATATGAGACGAATGAAAGCCGATCGTTGTGCAAAGTTAATTGCTGTTTCAATCGTTAATCAATTAGACGAGGCTTGGATGGTCACTCAGCCTGTTTTAATGCTTTTATATGCTAATCAATACATGCCCAGTTTAAGTAGATCAATGATGTCGTTATTTTTAAGCCCTAAAGCCTTACACAAGCTTAGAGATGGTTAAGTAATCACTTAACATACGATTATCTACAATAATGCTCATATACATCAAACTGTGATCAAATCAGTTTCGAACACAAATTATTTACTTATCGATAATTTCATTGCAATTTGTAAACTAAATTATCAACGAAAGAAAAAGTTTCATAACCAACAGTCTAAAAGTTAATTAAATCAACTTGATAGCTGTCATAAAATGAACCAACGACCATTTTACTAGTAATTTGGATAATTTATCGCTAATTGAATTATCTGATTAAGTAAAAAGTGTCAAATTATTGGTTATCATTGAAGATGAAATATCAATAATTGCAATTAAATCCTGAATCTACACAACCAGATAATCAGCTGATTCTCAGATATCATGAATCCCTCCTGTAGTTTTGTGCCTTGGCCTCTATTCGGATGATGAGAAACTATCGATTGAACAAAAGTAGAAAGAGATAAAGAGACAGACGAAAATGGATGAAAAGGAAGACAAAACCCAGAGAAGGAGAGAGAGAGAGAGAAAAGGAACCAGTGAGTAAAAAGGGGTAATAAGGAAACAGGGGAATCGAATGTGTGTCAAATTCCAAAATTATTGATCCAGTAACTTACCTGAGACTGAACTTCTGACTGAGGCTCCGGCCATCGACCTACTTTCATGAAGACAGAATCAGATGAGGAAAAAGGAAGAGGAAGAGATGAGAACATAAAAGAGAAACATTTTTTTCTCTTTCAACATATCAAGTTAATGGGATTGTTAGAGAACAATTTATCTATGTAACTATTATTTTTTTTCCTTTCATTATCATGATCAATGACTGATTTTCACACGTTTAACTTTCTCAATTGCAAAATTGCTGCAACTGATTAAATTGTCGCTCAAATGTAATTACAAATGAACCTGAATTGGTTGACCAAAATGCAATCCAATTGCGAGAAGGAGAAACTCTACCATGATAACAATTAACTATGATCATTGGATTGGGTGGTAATTACAATGATTTCATCAGTGACCTTTACGCTCCCATGAGAGTTAATGATGAGTGAGTTAATTGCATAATTAATCAAATGAACAACAATAACAAATGATTGAAAATAAGGGTTAAGGTAAAAAACTCAATAAGAGTTGAATCCAAGGTAACGTTGGTAATGATTATGGTAACGATCATGGAAACCGAATTGCTAATGATGATATGAAACTCATTTCTCTAGGTCATGGAGGAAGAGATAATATAATAACAATTAGAGTGATAATAATGTAACTTTCAACTAGATTAAGATTACTAATCGTCATGAAAGTAAATTGGTAAGAAGAGAAAGAAAAATTTTCCAATCTCGTTTATCAATCTAAATGAAAAACTTTCGCTTGAAAAGTTTTTCAGTTAATCAGTTTGATTTTTAATTGTTAATTGATAAGGAAAACATGTGAATGATGAGGATAATTGTGATGGGATGATGGAGATGATGGAGAAATAATGAAAGGTTGGTTAACACCTATGATGAGGATGAGAAGAAGGAAGAAGAAGAGGAAGAGGAAGAAGATGGATGAGAGGGAGAGGGTGAGAGAGATAAATGAGGTCAAAGGAATTAGATGAAAATATAACTATTAGCTACTTGGAAATCTGGAGAAGAGAAAGAAAGAGAAACTTCAGAATATAACTCAGGGAGTGAATCGAATTCCCTGTTTTCACTCCAAGTTTATGAAGAAAAGAAAGAGAACTGGAAAGTTGTTGTCATCTTTATCTTCCTCTTCTCTTCCTTTTCCATAATGTATTATATTCTCTCTCTCTCTCTCTCTCTCTTCTCACTTTTTATCTTCTTCTATCTTCCTGTTTTCTCTTTCTATGCTCAGACTTTTATCGCTCTCAATCCAACAAACTACTAAACTCGAACTCAAATCACTTTTTTTTCCAAGAACAAATTCGGTGATCCCCCGGTTCCTTCATCATTTTCTCATCTTCTTCCCATTATCATCTTCATCCTTTTCTTTTTCATCCCTTTCCCCTTTTCTCTCTCTTTCTCTCTTTTTTTATCTTCCAATTCGGTTTATTTAGTTAAGAAGTTCAAGTGAGGATGAAACACCAACAACATCCCAACAAATTGAATTCTCCCTAATCAACACAATTAACTTGATTTTCTAATCACAATCAACTTTCATCATATCATTAAAACTTTCATATCGTTGTTTAATGTTACTATCATTGTATTTTCATTCATATCAGTCCAATCTGATAAACAATCAACTCCGTTCGGTGTCATCTTTATATCATCAAGATTATCATCAACAGTTACATTTATCATCTTAATTGTTTGTGTGTTTTTTGTATCTTCAAATCAAATCTTATACCAATATAATCAAATGTTTTTCATTTTGTAATCTTCTTATTTGTACCTTTAATTGTGATTGATTTAGATTCTCAGAATCTTCAGTTAAAAGTTTACTAAATTTCGTACAACAATTTGTTCAAACTTTGTTTTTCTCCTTTGATTCTGTAATCGTTTGTATCTACTACAAGCAGTTGTTTTTGCTTTTATAACTTAAGTATTTATTGATAACAATTAACTGATTAATCGTGAAATAATCATGAAAATCCTCACTTTGCACAAAGTAGTCGTCATGGGCGCTGGTGGGGTCGGTAAAACCTCATTGGTGACCCAATTTGTATCACAACTTTTTCCCTCTTCTTACAAACCCACCGTGGAGGATTTTTACTCACACACAATTACACTTCCAGGTGAGTTAATTGTTACCATTAATTTAGACAGAGAAAGATTAAGTTCATCTCAAATTTCATGGAATTATCTTTTAATCTTTTACGAACAAAATTAACCATTTCGCAAGAAACACTTTTGACCTGAAAATATCGATTTCCACCAATGAGAAACTGTTCAAGTTTGAAACTTTCAAGAGCTTGACCCACATTCTCAAGGTCAGACTGTTAGTTGAATATCGATTCACCTCTTTCGCTCTCTGTCTTCGTTTCTCCTCTTACTTTCTCTTTCTCAGTCTTTTTCTTTTCTTCCTCTGGTTCATCATCATTTATCTTCCATGGGTATTGATACCTAGTGTAGGTTCAACTTTTCCAGGGAAATTTCATCTCTTTCTTTTTACTTATCTTCCTTTTTATTTCTCTCTGAATCGGTGATTCGTTTCAATAGAAACCATTAATTTTTTTTTCTTCTCTTTCGTTGGAATTGAGGATAAACTTTCCTTTCGATTTTCTCTCTCATTTACATGTTCGAATTTGATTGTATTATCATGAGAAAAAATTGATCACAATCAATTTTAATAAATTTACTATCAACCGAATAACCTTAATATTTAATCAGCTATAATAACTATAAGAGAGAAACTTAATCAAGAGGGTTGATTGTTATGGCAATTTGATCATGTTAGTTGATAATGGAAATAATTAATCGATTCGATGTTTCATTTCTTGACCACTGACCAGATGGTATGCGTCATACAGTTGAAATACTGGACACTGCGGGCACCCATTGTTTCCCAGCGATGCGACAGCTCAGCATTCAAACCGGAAGAGCTTTTGTTTTGGTCTTTTCCGTTGATAGCCTTCAGTCTTTCTATGAGACCATCAACTTATACGAGCTCATCACCAAGATAAGAGGTAAATAGTTGATTGATTGTTATGAGTTTCCAATTATTTTCAATTGATAATTTAATCCATTTCTTTGAATTAGGACAAGAAGTTCCAATTGTTCTGGTTGGAAATAAATGTGACCTTGATGAAGATCGTAAAGTCGATGTTGATCTGGTTGATACAACTCGAAGTGAAGTGATGAACAATATTCCTTATGTCGAGACAAGTGCCAAACTGAATACCAATGTAAAAAAATTGTTCCACGAATTGTTACTTCAGGCTCGAGGCGATGGACATAATTTGAAAAAAAATCGAACCCTAATACGACGCTTAGGGTCATTTGGATCGCTGCCCAATATCAGTAAACTTAAGCGTAAACCTTCAGGTGAAGGGAGTCCAGTTAAAAGTAATAACAATAATAATAATAATTCAAATGGTTCCGTTAATAATAATAACGGAATCGGAATCAAGAATGGCCTGGCCGTTCATGGGAAAGATAATAGTCTCGATTTAGATGTCGTTAGGCCAAAAAGTAACGTACACCACCAACTTTCATTAGAGGAGAGCGGAAAATTGAAACAAGATCCCGCTTGCATAATATCATAATAATCATAACAATTAACTAATTGGACATGAAATCATGTCAAACAATCAAAGATCAAGCAGAAAATCAGTAAACACCAAAACCAAACTACAGTTGAACATTTAAACAAAACTGAATTGATTTACTAATCTGAGAACCTCTGAATTTGAATTAACGTTTAAATTGATTAGAATCACGTTAATTTATCTTGAGCCAAATTTTGGAAAAACAATTAATTACATTATATCTTTGGCAAGAGATTCAAATTGACAATTTAATAAGACAATAAGAAAATCAAATGAACATAAACCCTGTTGAAACCATGAAGAAAATTAATTATTAGAAATGTTAATTATTTTTCACTTTTCTGTTTTCTTTTCTCCGTTGATTTTAAAGCGATAAACACAATTAATTAGTTAATCATCAACACCAGAGTTTTAATTATCCGATAAAATGAAAAATTATGATCATTAGATTTACACCAAATCAACAAATTATAATTTAATCTCTTGATCCGAGTTAATTATTTACTTTATTATCGAAATATTTTCTCAATCTAATCAACAATTTACTTTAAATCTTTTCCCGTTCGTTTTTCTTTTGCCAAATTAACTAAACAACAATTAGTGGAAACAATTGAAAAGCTATCGTTGTATTAATAGTCCTTTATGAAAAAAAAGAAATGAAGAAATTATATTCCGATAACATAGTTAATTAAAGATAAAAATGTACACACAATTTACTCGAGAAAAGGAAATTATCGAAATGATTAAGGTTCGAGTATAAAAAGAGTAACATATCAAAAATATTTTCAATTGATTTAATTACAACAATAATTCAATAATAATAATAATAATAATGATGTAATAGAAAAACGCTCAGCCCTTTTATTTATCATTCCCCGAATTTCCCTCAGCCCGAATGGGTCATTTGTTACTAACAATTAATAAAAAACAATGTATTAGATGGTCAAGTTAATCGTTACCACCAATTGTCTCGTTCATTTAATCGCGTCATCCGATTCATCGTCCACTGGTCACTCGCCATTGCCTCGAGAATCGTATCACCATAACGAACTTTGAAAAAGTTTCCATTCCATCCGAATGAGTTTTCTCAGCGAGAATCAATTTCCCTCGGCAGCAAAAAGTTTGTACTCTCGGCGGGACTCGAACCCGCAATCCCCGGTTTAGGAGACCGATGCCTTATCCATTAGGCCACGAGAGTAATTAAAGAGGAGCGTCAAAGATGAGACGGAGAGAGAGACAAAAGGAGCGACAGTTGATCGATTGGATTTGTGATCACATCTAATCAGGGAAAACTAATCAATTTAACGAGCGAATTATTTGATTATTTCTGTTGTTTCCTATGGAGAAGATGAAGGTGGAAAACAGAACTGAAGACCATGAGGCTTCATTCAAATTCGAGCAATTTGAAATCAAAAGGAAATCAACTAATCGATAAGTGATACTGGTTAAGAGAATTGAGAAAGAAAATGGAAACTAATCAAATTTCTATTCTTTATACCAATTAAATGTTTCTTTGAATTTCAATTGTTCAACTTGAATTCGAAATCATCTATACTCCAACTATAATAATCCATCACTTGAAAGGAATCATCTTTTCATAATTTCTTCCAATGCAATTAACAATAGTTGTGAATGATGATTTTCACGAGGAAGTGAAAAATATTAAACTACAATTTGTCTACTAATCGAATAGTTAATCGTTAGGATTGATTAATTTGCGAGAAGAACTTGAAACGATTAAAGTTCCCTCTGGGAGAGAAAATGGTAAATTTGTTGCTCTTTTAAAGGAGACATTTGAAATTTCCCGCGAATTATTGAGTCGCCATCTTAGTTGATAAAATGAAACAATTAAATTTATCCGATGAGGAGACATGTTTATTTGTTGTTGTTGTAGAAGAGGAAGTCGATTAAATTGAAATCTCATTTTTTTTCCAATTGGATAAATAACCATGTCATGATAAGAAAAATGTTTTGAAGGAGGTAAACAGATGATGAGAGAGAGAGAGAAAGAGAGAGGAAGAGAGATGATGAGAAAGAAAGGAAATGAGAAGAAAAAAGAAAGAGAGAAGTACAGAGATAAAGAAAAGTACTTTGTGAAGATACATTAAAGACAATTGTGAAGAGGATTACATGCAACAGAAGAAAGTAAAGGAATACATTGAAAAAAAGAAAAGGATATTATCATTTATGTTGAAATGATTGTAATATATTCGGATAAATTCAATTGTTGCCTTATAACATCACCATTTCCATCGGTGGTTGAAGATTGGTGGTAATTGTGGTGGTGGTTGAATAGATGTGATGATAATGTTAATGGTTTGTCTTTAATTGTAGATTGTTTTTTCTTAAAGTTGATGTTGATAAATGATGATAAGAGAGAAATTTACTGTCTTAATAAATTGATCTGTACGATTTGAAGTTGTTTAAGGTTTTTAAATTATCATCAAAAAATGTTGTTTGTTGTCTTGTTTTACTTTTCATCTGTTGATTAATTTTGCTTTTTAAATAATATTACTTGTTGATGTTGTGTAGTAGTGATGGTGATTTTTGTTGTTTGGTTGCCTGATTATTCAGCATCATCACCGCCATCATCTTCTTCAGCGACTTCTTCATCGTACTCTTCTTCTTCCGCCGCTGAATCTTCACCTTCATCTTCCACTTCTTCTTCAGCTTCATCTTCCTCTTCTCCTTCTTCACCCTCTTCCTCATCATCAAGAACTACCACTGATTCATCTGCCTATATAATTAAAAAGAATCAAGATTTTTTACGATTAATGATTAATAACAAGTAACTTACGAGTAACTTTTGTTGTTAAATATAAAATATTGGATAAAATTGAATTACCTCTTCTTCGGCTTCGGATTCTTCATCATCATGGTCTCCCTCTTCCATGCCATTTTCAACTTCCATATCAGGTACAAGGAAATACTGTAATGGATTAGGCCACATGTCATCTTTGATCACCTCAGCAATATCATCAGCGGATGCATCACCATTTTGAAGGTACCAGGTGAAAAAGGTTTGTCTTCCACCTGATCGTTTTCTTTTCCTAATGTTTGCACTACTTAACCTATTCATGGTTTGATCTTCAAGTTTTACGGCTGCTTCAGTATTTTTCCAATTAATTGGTGTGGATGATGAAGCGGGATCACCAGAGGAACCAAGATGAAACTCTTTGACAAGTAATTCATTTGCAAAATAAGGATTATTGTCAAAGCGAAATATTATCCGGTATCCAGATTTAATGTCTTCAAACTCTTCAACCTCTAACTTGTTCAAATAATTGAGACATTCTTCCTCTTCTTCTTCCAGAATGGTGGTTAATGTAGGATGATTAACAAATGCAGTTACCCAAAAATTAGGAATCTTTTGGATGAGATCACTTCGCTTCTCAAAATAAGGTTTCCTCAGTTTGTTATATTTTTGTTCAACTTTAAGTATCTCCTCAGATGCCTTTTCATTCAAAGAGTCAATCTCATTTTGACACGCATCTATCTCTTCAAGAGCTTTTTGTGTCTCTGGATCGTATTCTCTTTCCTTAGAACCCGATTCATCACCACTGATAACATAAACTAATGAACCTTGTTCACCATCACCAACACTACCAGAAGAACCATTACCACAATTTTTACTCTCCTTACTAACATTATTCTTTAAAGAACCGGCATCCTCCACCTTTTCTTCAATATCGCCGCTTGTCTTCAACTTTTTCAGTTGTGGCCCATTATCGGAAGAAACATCTTCATTGGTTGATGACATGATTGTTCACAAAAACAAATCTATATAATCCAAAGTAGAAACAATAGATAAACAGTTCAAAAAACCGAGAAAATCATAGCATAAGAATAATTAACAAAATCAAATCAAAAAAGAAAATATAAAATCTTTACAAGAGAAAGAGAAGAGAGAAACAGGTTAAAGAAGATGAAATAAAAAGGATCTTCTATACTTCCAATACAATAAAAGCAAAATGAATACAAAAAAAGACACGCGCTAATAAAGGAGAATCAAAAAATAATGTTAACTTACCTAAGATAACAAGTGTCACTCTGTGATATTTCAAATCAGTAACCTCTAAAGGTGAGGTGATAAGCTGGTATAATCCAATTAACCAAATAAAAGACAATTAAACAAAAATTAATACAATTAAATGGAAAACAAAGGGAAAATCAAATTGAAACAAAAATTTTTTCGTTTTTTTTTCAAGATAAAAGCCGTTTAAACGCCAACTAGCTAAGCTTTTTTTCTCGATTATCAGCGAACTTGATTTTCTTTTCAGTTGATCAAATTGAATGGTACACTTTCTACTCACAACGAAAGAATAATTAAATTTAGAATATGTTTCCTCTACAAAGGACAATTTTTATCTAATCTAATTAGAAGAGAACAAATAATTAAACTAATCAGAGAAACTATGGTCAGTCGATTAATTAGTTACTCGGCTAAGCTGGAACTCTACAAACTCTGGTGGCTCCATCTCTTTTTTAGAAAATCAGTTTAAATTTCTAATCTTTTTTTCCCACTTACTTTTTTTAATTTGATTCTTCATTTTTAATTATTGATTTACTTTTATTTTCATTTCTTTTTATTAATTGGGTTAACTAATTGTTTGTCATTTTTTTCAGAGAATCAACAGCAAGTCAATTTAACTTTTCCTAAAAGAAATTAATTAGTTGATTGATTACATATTCTGATTACTATTTCTCATGGTGATTGTTTCTTGTTATTGTAAGAAATTGATGATAATTTGACCAATTAAGATCCATTTAGAGTTTGTTAATTAGTTAATTGCTCTAGTAACCATTGATTATGATCAAATAGGGTTTGTTGTAAATGTCCCATACAAAGTGTGTCTTTAAGATAAATTGCTTGTAAACATGATAAATGTGAAGCAATAAAACAAATGAATGAGTTAAGCCTCAATAAAATATTTCTATGATTAAATCATCAAATTAATCTGTGTAATTGGTTGATAACAATTACTAGTTAAACGTTAATATTCAACTTTTTATTTCTAAATTTAAGAAATTCACATGAATGATTAGTTCGGTTTACTAATCAAATTTATCAACATGTTTACATCTTTACTTTGTACAATTTATTTTAACTTGGAGTTGATTAAGGAAAATAATTGATTAAATTTTCAAGTTAATGAAAGTACATCGGATTGGAGTTGATTATTTGTCCAAAATTAATCTCTTTTGTCAACTGATGGTTGATTTTTGACTGATAATCATTTGATTAAACAAAACTGTTTCCATCCAAATTAATTCTGAATAAAAACAATCAGTTAAATTGATACTTTAAACCTTCATTTCCGATAAAAACTATTCAAGGTTAATGTTAAATTGTAGTTGATTAGATTAAGATTACACTTGAATGTGCTTGTTTTTTTAATCTCCTCACTGGTGTAAATATCCACTTGACATAAATACGAATAGTAAACAATTAAAGGAGACACACACTTGATTATAATCCTCCAGTAGCATTTGATAATAAATATTTCAATCCATAAACACTAATCCTGAATATTGATTGTTGATTAGAAATCGGTAACTCGACCTTTCCGTTCCCAGTCCCCATATCTTGTCGGCTCAGGTCCAACTGGGCCACCGACCTCACCGGTAACTGGATTAGTACCATCAGGAAAAGGAGCATAGGCATTAATTGTTGCCTTAGAATCTTTAATTGTCACCGAAGGTTCAGCTTTTTTCGGTTGTCTGTCCAACCTTCCAAGAGGAGTATTTGGATCTGGATCTTCAATCGGTTTTCGAGTTTTATTTTCACCACCATCATTAACATTACTATTTCAGAATAAAAAGGAAAACAAAAATAAAACAATCAATCAAATTGCAATGAAACAAAATCAAACTAAATCACCCAAAGAGTTTCGTTAATGTTTACAAACCTAGAAAATTTCATCGACGGTTGATTAGAGGTGACGAAAATTTTAGAAACGATTTCCTTTCTGATCAGTGGGATCGCCAATCGACCAGCATTGTTAATCATCATCTTTAATTACTCCAATAAACGGAACAACACACAATAAGAAGAGATAATTTCTAATCAATTTACCTTGAGTTAAATTCTGAAAAATCACCAACATCAGCTGAGGATTTCGGTTGCCAGGTAACAAAGTAAATAAAAGGAAATTGAATTTTCAGTTGACTTTATTTTGTTTCCTTCTCTTGTTATCTAATTGGTGATTAAATTGTATTCTTTTGTTTTTATTTGTGATAAAATGGATGATATTTTTGATGAAGATGCCGATGAGTTGGTCTTGATTAGCAGAGAATATGAGAAATTAAGTGAGAACATCAGAAATGATGGTCTACGCGATGGAATCTCTCAAGGTCAAGACTCTGGATTACAAAGAGGATTTGATTCTGGTTACAATGAGATATTTCCTGCTATTGAATCAATTTATTTTCTAAAAGGTGTCATGCAAGCAATTTATTATCGTCCAGAAGAATTGTCTTCACAATCAATAGCCGTTGATGATGAAGGAAATAAGTGTCTTGGTGAATTGTTGAAAGAACTACGAGTAATTGAGAAAGATGTTCTCAGAGAATTGGGAGAAAGACAAACGCTATCACAATCAACTGTTGATTCTTTTGACCAAATTAAGAATCAATTGCTAACAGTTTTGGAGAAAATGGACCTTCAAATTGACGATGATGAGCTAATCAACTGTTCCCTCAAAACTAAACACCCAAGTAATGGTTCAGCAACAAATGGCTCATCAAATGGCAATTCAGTTGATTCAACAGCCAATCGATTCTTTGATTAAACAAATTATATTTTTTTGGAATATTTTTTCAACAGATTCTATTTATCCAAGCAGATATTTTCTACCTTTGATATAAATATATATGTTTAATTGGAGGAAAATCAATTCGTAAATGTAAACCAGAATAATCAACAAATTAAAAGTCTTTATTCAATCCAAGTGGTAAATTAAACTTCCAGATACATGTAAAAGTTAAAGTGTCAACAACATTGTCAATCTCATTGATTATCTTCAATTGTATTGTAAATCCAATCAAGATAACTGGAGACCTTCGTGTAAACCCCTGGTCTCTCTGGTCGAGCACAACCAATACCCCACGAGACAACACCGATTATGACCCCATGTCCATTTTTCAACTGAACCAGTGGACCACCCGAATCACCCTGACACGAATCATGTTTACCCTCCTTGAAACCAGCGCACAACATTTTGGGATAAACTCTGGATCCATAATAAGATCGACATGTTTCCAGACTCATGAGCGGAACTTCAGTCACTCGAAGCACTGGTGAACCACTCACAGAATTGGATTCAGAGGTTCGACCAAATCCTGTAACAATCGCTCTGCCAGTTAATTGTTCACCTTCTCGATTAAAATCATCGTCATCGTCATCGTCATCATCATCACCGGTACCTCGATATGAATCGGGCAAACAAGCGGCTGTTATTGGATAAATGGCTGTGGACAAATCGATTGGATCAGTTGTCTTAATTAGCGCGATGTCGTTTTCAATTGTTGTCGAACTGTAATTGGGATGGATAAAAGTTGATTCAAGTTGAGATTTAACATTATTATGAAAAGGTGATAAATTGTTTGTTCCTAGAACAGCAATTGTATTATTGGAATCAAAATGAACGGCACAATGAGCAGCAGTTAATATCCAATTGTTACCAATTACTGTTCCACCACAGAAATGAGTTAATCCAAATAGACGTCGTTTTAATTGTAATGATACTTGCCAAGGGAATTCACCGTAATCAGCTTCTCGTCCACCAACAATTCGACCCTCTAATGATCTTAATTGTATTCCACATTTGGTGTACAATTTATTTCCAAACAACAATCGTCTTCGCTCAAAATTGGTACGATTTTTTTTCTCGAGTCCATTGATCGTTACAACGTTTAACTTTCCTAATTTTACCGAAGACGATAAACTATAAACGCAATTGATACAAATTGTTATCAATAATATTAGTTGGTAATTGTTAATTTTCATCATGTATATTATTCTAGATGAATTCACAATTTAAATCTTATATTATCAATGTTAATTGTCACTCAATTATAATATCACCGGAGATTTAGTTTAATATTTTCAATAGATGATTTTGATCAACAATTTGATTACGATTGAATTTAATTGAGTTAAACCAGCTATTTATATTACTTTGGACCAATGTCATCGGTTAATTGTTGATAATATTAATTTCCTGGTTTACTTGATGTTAATTATCAATCCAATTGCAGTGTCACCTACAACCTTGTCCATTATTGACCAGGAAATTAACAAATTGTTTAAAGTAAAAGTACCATCAATGTCATTTACCATTTAATTATTGACAATCCCTAGATTTAATTAGAAACAAATCAGGTCAAGTTGAATCGTTAATCCCTGTGACAATTAACAATTGACTCCTCACCAATGACAATTCACTTTTAGGATAATTTAAATTTAACCTGTGGTAAAATAATCATCTGATTAACAGTTTTTTCCATCTCTATGAACAATTTTCTCCATTGATTAAACTATTTAGTAAACCAAATTAATCTTTCATCTTTGGAAAACAATTAAGAATCGATGAGCCTTTAAGCCCAAATTGGATAAACTAATTGACCCTCCAGGGAATATCAATTAACCTTTAACCCTTCACTTTCCATCAACTATTTAAGATCTGAAACTTTTGTTTTCCGTCTTCATTAATGAAACTGATTCCAAAAAGTATTTTGATTGTAATAGTTAATTTATATTCTAAATCATGTCCGTAATTGCTGCTCTATCAAGTCTTCGTGATTTAACCTCGCAAGATCCTTCACCAACTATGGTTCCTCTTTTAACACGTGTTTTAATTGTTCCACTGATGATAATTGCTCGTCAAATCGGCAGTATCTTGGCCCTTTCGGGAGCGGGTGGCTTTTTGTTGGTCAGTTTATTGTTGTCACTTTTGACTGGACAACCGGTGTTACGATCTTTGGGCATAAATACAAAAGGATCAGTTCCCTTGGCTCGAGATTTTGATTACTATGAGAAAGATTCTGATTATACATGAATTTAAATCACCTTTGTGAATGTTAACAATCAATTATTCAACCTCATGTACAATGAACTTTGAACAGAACCAATTAAATCTAATCAAACTATTCACTCCTGAAAGTTTTACATTATTAGTGTTGTTAGCGGAAAATTTATTTCATCGCCATGAACAATTTGTTTTTCCAATTGTACAATGTAAATCATTTTAAGTGATTAATTTGATTACATTTTATGGGAATACAAGGGAAGAGAACAAAAAAAAGTTAATTGATGAAACACTGATTGATTTACCAATTTTCTGATGTTGATTGTAAGTTACACGTGGATGCAAAGCTTGACTAGAGCTTGAAACGAAAAGGATATTGATGAGAAAGAAAAGTAAATTAAAACTAAATTAGAGATGTAAATGAGATGAGAAAATTGGTTATCCAATATTGGTAATAAGAGGGAAATTAAATTGCCAGAAAAAATCACTTAATGTAATAGATGCAAGATGGAAAAATAATTTAGCTGCTGAGAGATAATTGGATAAATGCGATCGTCATCTTAATAGCAGAAATCAGGAGCAGATTAATGAATTGGGATCTTAATCAAATTATGGACGAGTGATTAGTGGAAGACACTTTGAGAGATGCAAACGAAAAGATTGAGATTATAATTCATCGTGTTTCATTAAGGCTTCACCGAAATCGGTGGCTTGGCTTCCGACAAATAGGTCGTAATTGGCGAGAATTTCATCTTTAGTTAGATAACCATCCTGAGAGAAGAAAGAGAAAACAATTAGAAATCAGTTAATTTGAATTATAATTAGATGACAAAATGCTGAAGGTTCTCACCTTGTCTTCATCTGATTCAGATATTAAGTGTTTGGCCTCAACGCTGCTTAGGTCAGAATCTTCTGGGATAATCCAGTTCTCAACTTCTTTACGATCAAGAAAACCATCAGAATTTTTATCTCGCACTGATTGAAATTGCTCTTTCTCCCTGATAACCCAATCAGGTACCTCGGAATCACCTCCATCATGGCCACTGTACATATCTTGTATGTACTCATCAAGAGAGATTTTCCCGTCGGCATCTTTATCGACATCTTCCAGAGTCTCATCGATAACAATATTCTTCATGTGTTCAGCTTCCTCTGGATGAAGAAAATGAGTAAATTCCTCCTTAGTTAATGAACCATCGCCATTTTCATCTGCTGTTTTCCAACGTCTCTCATCCCGTCTCATCATATCATTATAAACTCGAGTGTCTTCCTCACTGACACCATTATCTAAATCGTCCATAAATCCATAAGTGGCCTTCTTATAATCTTCCCATGAGAGTAAATTTTTCTTTGAAATTCTATGAGTTTTCCATTGTCGCTCTACATCATCAGTAACGTATTTAGCTTGACTCTTTTTAATCCAATTCTTTAATTCATCAAGTGAAACTTTACCATCACCATTGATATCAATTTTATCCACAATTTCACCTAATCTTTCCTTTGATTCTTCTGGGCTTAGATTATCAAAAGCTTTTGATTCCTCGGAACCAAGAAAAGCTTCATGATCATAAGCTGGATTATGTTGATTTGCATCAGAAAAATGTTCTTCATTGCTTAATAACTAACAATTGAGAATAGAATAGAAAATGAAAAACAAGGAGAGAGAATCAAATTAATTATCCAATTAAAACAAAAGTCACATTATAGAATTCAACCAATTACAATACTTACATGATCGTGTTGTGATTGTTTACAAATTACAAGAGAAATTAAATGAAAAGAGTTAATTGTAAATACAATTAGAAAAAGTAAATAACAAGTCCTTTGTAATGTAGACATTGAAGGAGATATTTATAAGGTGTTTTCACCACAATAGAAAAACAATCAATTGGAGAATAATTTAATCAGTTTAAATTGAAGAAATAGAAAACTTTGATTGTCGATTAACTTAGAAAATGAAAAAATTAATAAAAATAGAAAAACTAATTGATGAAAAGACAATCAAATGAAAAGAAATTGTAACGAGATTGTATCAACTCATTCACTAGAAAACATCTGATGAGTTGTAACAACAAAGACCAAACCTCTTATTAAATGGTTACTCCTTTTTGGTTAATTCTATTTAAAGAAGCAATTAACTGGCCCGAATTAGAGTAAACAATTAACAGTTGATTTCTTCTCATTGACCGAGACCAGAATTCAAATGTTTATGACTAATCTTTGGATGGAAAAATCAATCACAACGATAATTCAATTTGGATTAATTTCTCCAATTCTCTTGTTAATTTTGAGAGAATCAGTTGATTGGAAAATTAATCGGTTCCATGTTAATTAATCACTTTCTTAATGATTACTTTTTGATCTTTTTAGTTTTTAATATTTTATGTTTTGGATAAAAATCGATTAATTAAATTTTAATCGTCATTTAAGTTGAGACAATTAAAAGTTACATTTGTTAATAATTGAACTTTTTTTTCTGATTCATTAATTGATTTTAATTTTGTTTCACTTTTTCTTGTTTCTTTTTTAATCAAATTACAGTTGATTAATTGATTTTCCTCCTCTTAATCCACCCACCAACTTGATTAATTAACACACCCTTTTAGTATGATTAAAATGAGAAACAAAAAATCATAACAATCATATGATTTAAATCAATTGTCTTTTAATTGTTGATCAACTTTTTTCATTTCGATTTCTTTTACTCTGATAGTAAATCAATTCTCGATAATCTTGAAAGTGAATCAAATTTGATTAAATTTTCTTCAAAGATCATCATTAACTTTTAACTATTTTGTGTTCTAATTGTTGACAATTAAATTGATTGTCAAAGTTTCAAATAACTGAATTAGTTCATTTTCCAAAAACCAGATGGAGCCACCAAAGAATCTACGCTAAGATCAATAAGCCGATTAATTAATCGACTGACCTCAGATTTTCATTCAGTTTGATTTGAGATTTTCACTTTGATAATTAAATTTGTTTACTCTTGAACCTTTTCCTTTTAATTGTAAATTGTGATCACATTTTGTACAAATGATTGGGAACAATTTAGATTATAAAGAAAAATGAAATTCGCTGAGGAAAAGCTTACAATCTACAAACGGCTAACTTTTTCTGTTCCAATTTGATTCTGTCAATGATATTTGTTTATGTTTCATTTGTGTTGATTTTTGTTTTTAATTGTTGATTTTTTATTCTGTTGATTGAATTATTTCTGATTCTTTGACATTCGATTATATTGGTTTCACAATTCTCAGTGATTGACACGCGTCTCTTTTAAGGTGAGTTAATATTCTAATCACTAAGGTTGTGATTAAATCCTTTGTTTTTTATCTTCTCTTATCCATTGGTTTTGCTTATAGAAAAAGAAAATTCGTTTCATTAATCTCTTACAGTTTGCTTTTCTTTTTTCTTATCGTTGAATTTGTGTGATTTTTTTGCCTTTAGTTTGAATATCAAGTCGAAAATCTCATTAAGATGACATCTAATAGTGCCCCAAGTGGAGAAAATGTTAGCTCTGATAAGCTAATCATGGGTCCTGAACCAAGTTCGTTTGCTAAAGGATTTGGTTATGATGAAGCTGAAGAGGAAAGTGATTCTCGAGAATCAATTACTCATATCCACCATCAAGATACTGATGATAATGTTGCCAGTTCATTTGGTGGTATTTGTGGTGGTCAACCAAAGCCGAAAGTTTTAATAATGGGTTTGAGACGAAGTGGTAAATCAAGTATACAGAAAGTTGTATTTCACAAAATGTCCCCGAATGAAACTTTGTTCCTCGAGAATACCAACAAAATTGTCAAAGATGATATTTCCAATTCATCATTTGTTTCCTTCTCAATTTGGGATTTTCCTGGTCAAATCGATTTCTTTGATCCAACTTTTGAAACGGAAAATATTTTCGGTGGTTGTGGTGCTCTTGTGTTTGTGATCGATGCCCAAGATGATTATGTTGAGGCTTTGTCCAAATTATATACTACGGTAACTCGAGCCTTCAAGATCAACCCGAACATAAAGTTCGAAGTTTTTATTCATAAAGTTGATGGTCTCTCGGACGATTATAAAATAGACATTCAAAGAGATATTCAACAAAGAGCTAACGATGAACTATTAGGTATTTTACTCTTTCGACTGGAATTTATTCAATTATTTGTCATTCGATTTGGTTTGCATTCTATTCTAATTGTTTTTCGTTGATTACAGATGAGGGTTTTAAAAATATTCATCTCAGTTATTATCTAACCTCAATCTACGATCATTCAATATTCGAAGCCTTTTCAAAAGTGGTTCAGAAATTAATTCCTCAACTGGGCACATTGGAGAATCTTCTTAATATTTTTATCGGTAGTATCAATTATTGGAATTTAATTGACCTTCGTTGATCAAAACCCTTTTTCTTTCCACCAACAGAACTCAGGAGTTGATAAAGCATTCCTTTTTGATGTTGTCTCTAAAATTTATATCGCTACCGATGGAAGTCCAGTCGATATGCAATCATATGAACTATGTTGCGATATGATCGACGTCGTTATCGATATTTCTTGTATTTATGGGTATGTATCACTTTTTCGAACCAACTTTTAGTCCATTGGTCGTTTCTCTAATACCATATATTTATCGTGTATTCATTTTTTAGCATCAAAGATGACGGCGAAGGTGCAACTTTCGACTCTAATTCATCAGCCATTATAAAGTTGAACAACAAAACTGTTCTGTATCTACAAGAAGTTAACAAATTTCTTGCACTAGTTTGTCTAATTAGTGAGAATAATTTTGAAAAACAAGGATTAATACAATATAACTTTTATTGTTTTCGAGATGCGATTCAACAAGTCTTCGAGGACCGATGTGCCAAACCTTTTTCTGAAACTTTACAAGAAATTTCTTGTTAGTTATGGTGTTGAAATCTATCCAAAGCATCATTGCCATTCTCATGTTGATTACAATTTCTTTTTTCGCCCATCTTCTTCTTCTTCTTCTTCTTCTTCTTCTTCTTCTTCTCTCTCTCTCTCTCTCTCTCTCTCTCTCTCTCTCTCTCTCTCTCTCTCTCTCTCTTACTTTCTTTCTTAAAATCGTAGCGGAAATGAAGTTTAAAAATACTAGAGTGAGAGAGATAGTAATCACAATCAATTTGCTACCGGAAACTTTTTAATTGTTTTCCAATCGCTCAACGAATTAAATCTTGTTATGTTTTCTTTATCTAGATTATAAATTTTAATCCAGTTAATTGGTTGGTAATGTATCTCTTTACCCCTTTTCTCATCTTTTCTCTGTAACTAACTAATTGCTGAAGACAAAAAAAATCTATTTCTAAATCTATTCTCGTAAAAAAAACTCTAATGGTGAAAATAAATTAACTGAAATCATAATTTTCTGGGAAATAATTGCAACTCCCACCCGAAGGGGTGGTCCAGCCATCTAGTGACAATTCAATGTTACCTTGATGTAAACAAATGATAATCAATCTGTCAAAACAATAACAACATTGGAAGAGATAACAAAATTAGTTGACAATTAACTCTGAAGATCAGAGAATCAAAAAGTTTTCTGAATAGAACTTAATGTCCAAATTTCCGTTGATCGATGAAAAATAAACTCGAAAATTGAAATATTCATCTTTCCAATTAACATTAATAGTTGAAGGTGAACATTGACAATCCTTTGGATCATTAATTAGAATCAAATGTTTACACTATTGTTTTGTTCGCAATTCTGTTAGAAATTAAAAGTAAATGAACTTCATTCGTGTTTTATATTCTTGTTGATATTTTTCCTTTTCTAATAGAAAAGATCGACATTAGAACAAAAATGCCTTCGAACGAATTCCTTTTATGGAAAATCTTTTAATACAATCGAAAATCTCAAAAGTAAGAGAGACAAACAATTTAACGAATTCAACAAATTTGTGAGAATAAAAAAAGTAATTAACAATTAAAAGTCCAACAAGCCACAAAGTGGATTCTCGCTGAACTTTACCCTCGTTAATCAATTTCTCAATCGATTATTAACTGAGCAAAGAAAAAATTAGCCTAGTAATCAATCATTTCACTCGAATCAGATGCAAATCAACAATTAATTCTTTGATTATTCTAAAAGAACTTGAATTTAATTTGCGAGAATCAAAAAGTCAAAGAAATGATATTTTAGAACTTGTCCAAAAAATCCGAAAACAAATAGAAATTCTCGATCAAAACTCAAATGAAGAGAACTTTAGTCTCAGTCAAGAATATATCTAGATGATTGATTCTATAATTGCCGAGTAATAACCTTAATTAACTCGAAATTATGTCGAAAAAGGTGAAAAAAGAAGAAAATATTTTCTTAATTTCGAATGTTTGAATTTGGCGCGAGGAACTTTTGTCAGCTGGTGATCATCGATGGAACAAGTTTCCTGGTAACCAGTTTACTTTTCTTTATAGGGAATTGTAGTTGTTGGTTACAAGAATTGAGGTTTAACAATTTTTGTTTTTGACAATGAATTCAATTAATGCACCTTTAATTGATAATAAAATAGTGATAATAGTTAGGATTATGACCAAATATGGCCCGTGTGACGGCACAACCTGTAAATATAAAGTGAAAAATCTGCTGGATAAAGTGCAACATTTGACGATGATTATACTGAAAGGCCATAATTGTGCTAAAGTGCTGATGGAAACTGAGGAAACTGCTGTGAAAGATGTGGTCTTTATGGCCATACAATTAAGAAATGTAACAGAAATGTCAAATGTTTATTGTGCTGTGGTAATCATATGCACTGGTACTGCAATTACAAAAAAGACCGATGGAGATACGTGTGTGCAGCCTGTGGAAAGTACGGTCACACCACATGGTATTATTGGTGCCCGGAATTCAGGAAACGCCTTATTGAGAAGATGAAACACACCGACTTTGAATATGAAACTCTTTATGTTGACTCTCGACATTTGGTATAAAAGACATGAACTGACTTAGAATGAAACATTTAAAATGTATCTTGAGTACTGAGAATTACATTAAATATTTATATCACAATAGCCTAATTTATCTTAAGTTTGATTCACAGTGAGATATCCGACCAATGATGAGCTCGGCCAAAAAACAAAAACTTTCATCTAATGTTGACACTCTTGACACGAGTGACTGTGAAATTGAGTTTGATATTGACTCGATTTTAAGCTTCATAAATGAATTATGTGTAGGTGACAATAACAAACCGGTGAGCACAGTGTTACAGGAAGTGCTAAACAACGATGAATGGAATCACTTTTATGATACATTGAGTAATACCAATGATCACCCTAAACAGGTTGAAATTGAAAAATACAAATCTTTCTTTGAGTGTACTTTGAAACGCAAACCGAGTGGTAAATTCATGGGGACTAAACAAGCGATCAAGGAGCTCAACATTGTGTACGATAAGAGCTGGTCTAAACCTGAAAATTGGATTTATGTCGAGAAAATTGAAATATACCCTATGATCATGGTTGCGTCGAAAAAGAATACGGTAGACGAAACAGGTATTATGACCAAACTACGACTTCAAAAAATGCTGGAGGACAACGAGACGAAGGGCCTGATGGATATAATAGACATTGAGAATGGTCGCAAATACTGTAAAGTATTAACCTTTGACAATAATGCGAGAGCTCGAATGGTAAAGCTCTTGGAGGAACTTGTTGGGAACAAGGATGGTGTATCTTTTCAGATAACTGTGCCTGAACTGAAAGACCCGGTTATTATTGTTGAGATAAGGAATGACATGTCAGGATATGGAGAATTGGATTGGAAAAAATGGACGGAAAAACTGAAATGCTGGAACGGTTGGCCTGATACTGCAGGAATAGAGGTTGTTAATTATGAAACAAGTAATGGCTGGACAAAAATAAGCCTGAGAATTGAGTCCAGAATAAGATCAATGATGGATGACGCGAAGGTTCGAGGACAGATCAGTGTTGGGTGGCGACGAATCGAGATTTACGATGACATAAATATCTCAATGTGCTTTCATTGCTCGAAATGGGGTCACAAGAGTAATAAGTGTCAGTCGATAATCTGCTGTGGCTTCTGTGGCAAACCTCACCTAACTAAAGATTGTATGAACAAACTAGCAACGGAAAAACACCAATGCACAGCCTGTGGTAAGAAGGGTCACAATGTCTTTGATCGCAACTGCTCATCGTTTATACGACAAGTGAGAAACTCCTTGACGGGTATCAACCATCTGTACTCTTATATTATAATGAAAAAATAGGTAATGATGTAGGATTGTAACTCCCGCTTAATAAATGCAAAGAGGGAGATAGATGATATTCAACCTATATTGTGTTTTGTCAACAAAAAGAAAATAAACTGTTTGAAAGCCAAATATTCTTGTTTATGATTAAAATAAAAAATTAGTCTAATTTACTTCCTGAAAATTTATAAATAAGTGAGAAATGGCCTTTGTTCCGTTAAACAAACTCTTCACTGACCAACATAGTGACAAGTTATTGGATAAAAAAGTTACTATGAAACTACCATTACAAGTTATGCTGAATGAGGAATCACAGATTAACAACAACACGAAACCGATGAGACACGTCATGGAGGATGAGACGGTAGTGATGTTTTTGTTACCCCTGACTGAATGGACAAGTCAAAGTAAAGTGCTTTCTGAAGTTCTGGACATATTCAATAGAGATGTGGGTGGCATTGAAGAAGCGAGAGTCTTCATGGAGAAAAACTACAAAAGAGTAGAGGTCATTCTGAAGACGAATGTGAGGAACAATTTGGCGATGAGATTTGATTTACAAATCAGATATAAAGAAAAACGATATCTAGCCATTGACAAGCTCGACAACAACCTAACAGACAGAATCTTGACAACTAAGATCAACGAAAGAATTGGTATTCTGGAACAAGTGAAGAAAAAGAAAATGTTTGAACGAAAAGTTTATATTGGGAAACAATTCCTGAATAAATTTGATGACAATGGGGCTCAGATTGAAAAGATTAACGTTGGAAAAGTCTCTTTTCATAGATTCTCATTCAATATTTAATGAAAAGAGATAGAATTAAAAAAAGCGCCAACATTAATCAATTTACTCACACAAGGGGTCAGAATCATAAAGCACATGATCCAGGCGCTTCTTCCCTGTAGCCTATTACTCAACATTTACAACTATATTAATCAAATTAATTCTTTCTTTATAAGTAATAACATTTAATCACAAGTTAAAAGTTAAAAGTGACCAATGGAAAACAGTGGTTATAATGGATCTAAAGCAAGTGGTTGTCTTGGTCGCCTAGGATCAGAGATCTATGATAATTTTGTACATTATCAGAAGGTCAAGATTGAGATCATAGTGAACATGGAAATTGAGGAGATGGAAAAAGCTAAGGCCCATGTGAAAAAAGATATTGCTGAGAACGAAATCATCAAGAATTTTGGACTTAAAGAAATAGTGATGGGAAGCAACAGTGTCACTCTTCTTGTGTTAAATTGGGTTAAAGATGAAGTTGTGGAAACCATTAAGAAATCTCGCTGGTACAGCCCGACCTTCTTTAGAATTTACCAACCAAGTCAAGAAAAACCTACATTTGTTTTCTACCACTCAAGGAACGATGTGGTAACAATTGAGGAGAATTATAAAATGATGAAATCTTCAAAAATACAATGGCCAGTACTTAAAGTAATTAGAGTTAACAAAACAAGTGATGGCCTGACGAGAGTAATTTTTGAAACAACAAGAGGCTGTGTAGCTTACTACAACTGGAAGATGGAAATGAAAGATGCCAAAATTTATGACCTATCGGATTACATTGAGATGGAACAATGTCCATTTTGTTGCTCTTTTAATGGAGACATTGGCTGTCCATGTGATAAAACTGTTAAGTGCTCCAACTGTGGCGAGAACAAGAGAGATCACTTAAGTGAAACTGGATGTGATAAAGTCTCCCGTTGTGCCATGTGTACACGTTATGGAGATGCTACAAGTGCAAATCATCCGACTAATCATATCTTGTGTCCGACTCTTGCCAATGCCATAACTTACTCATTAACAGAGAAGCTTGAAGATTATTCATTTGTACGACTAGCAACATTCTCGCCGATAATTAAATTATAAAATTCTGGGAACTATAAGAAACGAATATAATGAGTTCCCGACAATAATTGGAAACTGACCTATGGCTTGGCCTCAAACTTCACAACTACTTGCTTTTGAAATCTCAAATTACCATTTTTTATAAAATTACTTTTCTAAATTGCTTTCTTGTAACCTTGTAACCGTAGATGAAACAGTTAACAAATAACTTACAATCTTTTCAATAAAATTCAGCAATTGAAAACATTAACATAATGTAGATAAACAATTACTCAAAGTAATTATTGATCAAATAAAAGCTGAAGTGGAAAAGTAGTTGTGATTAGTCTGAATTCACAATTCAAGAGTTAAACATGATTACGTTTGAGAATAACAAGATATTTATTTTTAGCGCCGATGTTGGTGAAATCTTTTTGGAATGTGTCCATCGCAAAGAAGAATGTATTGAACCAAGTATTAGAAATGTATGGACCAAGACAATGGACGATGATCTCTCGTGTTTGGTTATGATAGACGAATGGGAGAATGAAGTACAATTAGACTTTCTGACGGACATGATGGTCAATGGCGCCAAGTTAAATGTTATTGGCTGGTTCCTAGTTAATGTGGATTGGCGATGGTTACAACTTTTCAAGGAGCTGATAATGTGTCAAGAAGCAATCGCTGGGTTGGCCTGGACGAAAAATGGAGATGATTCACTAGTATTCAGTAAGTCATATGAGGACAAACTCCTCCTTGAAGAATTTTTTCGTATGTATGAATAAAATTGAATAAAATTAATAATAACAGTAATTTTCAACACAACGAACAAGTGACTATGGAGATTTTCTTAAGAAGTGTAAATGTGAGGAAAAGAACAAGGATTGATAAGTTACTGTGTCATCTTTGTGCGGATGAATACTTCGTGATAACAAGTGAGGACAAGGACAGTGAAAGGTATGGAAATGATCTAAAAGGTGATCAGGTGAGGATTCGACATCCGAAAGGTTGGAACAGGATCAAACAATCAATTATGGGTAGGATTATAATTGGCATATACTCAAGAGGAAACTGTGTGATTGGTATAATAGCTGTTTACGCGAGCCCAAATGATCGATTGACAATAAATGAACTGATAGATATTTTATCGAAGATTGAGAAAGACATCACGTTGTTTGTGGTAGGTGATGTAAACCTTGAAACGTCGATATGGATAGATAATCCACGGAGATCATTTTCCCTTGAAAACGAGTTAGTTGATCGGTTGACCTGGGTTCTAAAATCCAAAAAATTTCGTAGCTTGATGCCAATGGACAGACTCACAGGGATAACACGGCCACCGGAAAAAGAGAGAGGTATTGGCTCGACTATTGACATCATCTTATTCAATGGCATTACATATGGTGCAACAGAAAGTTCTCTTGAGGATATGAGACCATTGGATCACAAATTACTGACTGCAAGATTAACTTTGAGATATCGGGTCTGCCCAGTAATGGATCTGCTGCCGATAAAGTTGAAATATCCGAACTCGAAGTTGAAAGTAAACAAAGACCCAAGGCGTATGGTTGCAGATTTACTAAACTTGGGGATTGCAGAGAGGAAACAACGAATAAGTAGTGGCAATAGAAAAACTCGAAGATTAAAAAAGAGGATCAGGAACTCGGAGGGCAGAGAAAGAGATGAACAACTTAACAGACTAAGGGATTACACAGAGAACCGAACATCGAGGTTAATTAAAGACATGAACGTGAATGAATTACACAAGATGATGAGGGAAAGCTCGAGATCAAAATTCTTAAGTCTAGACAAGCCCCTTGTACAAGAGAAAATGCTTCTTTTTCCGAAGTTTGAACTTTGCAACCATAAAGCGCCAGATCGTGGGAACATGGGATCACTCTCAGCGAAGGAGATCGTGTATTTAGCAAAAATGAATTTCACCACATCCTCGGGATGGGCGGATCCGTTTACGAAATGTCGTTGGAATCTAATATGGAGAAGTAATAAACTGAGAATTATAAACTTGATAAACACCATGTTCAAAAGTGGTTGGATTGATGATAATCAAGATCAACCCGAACATAAAGTTCGAAGTTTTTATTCATAAAGTTGATGGTCTCTCGGACGATTATAAAATAGACATTCAAAGAGATATTCAACAAAGAGCTAACGATGAACTATTAGGTATTTTACTCTTTCGACTGGAATTTATTCAATTATTTGTCATTCGATTTGGTTTGCATTCTATTCTAATTGTTTTTCGTTGATTACAGATGAGGGTTTTAAAAATATTCATCTCAGTTATTATCTAACCTCAATCTACGATCATTCAATATTCGAAGCCTTTTCAAAAGTGGTTCAGAAATTAATTCCTCAACTGGGTACATTGGAGAATCTTCTTAATATTTTTATATCGGTAAGTATCAATTATTGGAATTTAATTGACCTTCGTTGATCAAAACCCTTTTTCTTTCCACCAACAGAACTCAGGAGTTGATAAAGCATTCCTTTTTGATGTTGTCTCTAAAATTTATATCGCTACCGATGGAAGTCCAGTCGATATGCAATCATATGAACTATGTTGCGATATGATCGACGTCGTTATCGATATTTCTTGTATTTATGGGTATGTATCACTTTTTCGAACCAACTTTTAGTCCATTGGTCGTTTCTCTAATACCATATATTTATCGTGTATTCATTTTTTAGCATCAAAGATGACGGCGAAGGTGCAACTTTCGACTCTAATTCATCAGCCATTATAAAGTTGAACAACAAAACTGTTCTGTATCTACAAGAAGTTAACAAATTTCTTGCACTAGTTTGTCTAATTAGTGAGAATAATTTTGAAAAACAAGGATTAATACAATATAACTTTTATTGTTTTCGAGATGCGATTCAACAAGTCTTCGAGGACCGATGTGCCAAACCTTTTTCTGAAACTTTACAAGAAATTTCTTGTTAGTTATGGTGTTGAAATCTATCAAAGCATCATTGCCATTCTCATGTTGATTACAATTTCTTTTTTCTTCTTCTTCATTCTTCTTCTTCTTCTTCTCTCTCTCTCTCTCTCTCTCTCTCTCTCTCTCTCTCTCTCTCTCTTACTTTCTTTCTTAAAATCGTAGCGGAAATGAAGTTTTAAAATACTAGAGTGAGAGAGATAATCACAATCAATTTGCTACGGAAACTTTTAATTGTTTTCCAATCGCTCAACGAATTAAATCTTGTTATGTTTTCTTTATCTAGATTATAAATTTTAATCCAGTTAATTGGTTGGTAATGTATCTCTTTACCCCTTTTCTCATCTTTTCTCTGTAACTAACTAATTGCTGAAGACAAAAAAATCTATTTCTAAATCTATTCTCGTAAAAAAAACTCTAATGGTGAAAATAAATTAACTGAAATCATAATTTTCTGGGAAATAATTGCAACTCCCAAGAAGGGTGGTCCAGCCATCTAGTGACAATTCAATGTTACCTTGATGTAAACAAATGATAATCAATCTGTCAAAACAACAACATTGGAAGAGATAACAAAATTAGTTGACAATTAACTCTGAAGATCAGAGAATCAAAAGTTTTCTGAATAGAACTTAATGTCCAAATTTCCGTTGATCGATGAAAATAAACTCGAAAATTGAAATATTCATCTTCCAATTAACATTAATAGTTGAAGGTGAACATTGACAATCCTTTGGATCATTAATTAGAATCAAATGTTTACACTATTGTTTTGTTCGCAATTCTGTTAGAAATTAAAGTAAATGAACTTCATTCGTGTTTTATATTCTTGTTGATATTTTCCTTTTCTAATAGAAAAGATCGACATTAGAACAAAATGCCTTCGAACGAATTCCTTTTATGGAAAATCTTTTAATACAATCGAAAATCTCAAAAGTAAGAGAGACAAACAATTTAACGAATTCAACAAATTTGTGAGAATAAAAAAAGTAATTAACAATTAAAAGTCCAACAAGCCACAAAGTGGATTTCGCTGAACTTTACCCTCGTTAATCAATTTCTCAATCGATTATTAACTGAGCAAAGAAAAATTAGCCTAGTAATCAATCATTTCACTCGAATCAGATGCAAATCAACAATTAATTCTTTGATTATTCTAAAAGAACTTGAATTTAATTTGAGAATCAAAAGTCAAAGAAATGATATTTTAGAACTTGTCCAAAAATCCGAAAACAAATAGAAATTCTCGATCAAAACTCAAATAGAGAACTTTAGTCTCAGTCAAGAATATATCTAGATGATTGATTCTATAATTGCCGAGTAATAACCTTAATTAACTCGAAATTATGTCGAAAAGGTGAAAAAGAAGAAAATATTTTCTTAATTTCGAATGTTTGAATTTGGCGCGAGGAACTTTTGTCAGCTGGTGATCATCGATGGAACAAGTTTCCTGGTAACCAGTTTACTTTTCTTATAGGAATTGTAGTTGTTGGTTACAAGAATTGAGGTTTAACAATTTTTGTTACCTAAATAAAATATATTAATTATAAATCTTAGAGAAAGACTTTTTTTTTCTTGGTAATTTAAGTGTAAGTGTTTCAGTGATACTATGAGTGGCTCGGCTACTATGAATGAATACTCTGTCCAAGCTCTGCAATTACCTATTGGAAATCTCCAACAGGCTGTACCAGTTCAAGTTCCAATTTCAACGTCAAACGGACAAACAATATTGCAAACAATTCATCTTCCCTTACAAGCAATACAAGCGGTGGCTACGGGTCAACAAGTGACATTGCAGGTTGTTCCAAATGTTATCCAGGTTCAAGGATTACCCACCGGTGTCCAAACCATTCAAGTGCAAGGTGGAGGTCAACAACAAATAATCACAGCATCTCCTGCTGCTATTCAAAGTTTAAGTTTAACTTCAGGTGGAAATTTTGTTGCCACAGTGCCTGGCTCAGGTGGCCAACAGGTTAGTTTTTACCTCTTTTATGCTTCTTTTCATCTTATGCTTGTTTTTATTTAGGAAGAAAGTTAACCTATTTTATTTTACTATTTTCGGTGAAAAGAAAATTATTATTATACATTATGTGTAGAAATATTTTACTGTTGCTATTCTATGAGACTGTAAGATTTGAGTTTGTTTTGCTTCTCATCTTTTATTATCATTTGTGTTTGATGTTCACCACAGATCCAACAAGTTCCAAATGACCCATCTAAATGGCAGATCATATCAGCACCTCCCACAGCCATCCAACCTGCATCTTCAGGAGCAACTCCCGCCTCATTTTCAAATACCTCTGGTAGTGAAACAACTTCAACTCCAGCCCAAGAAACTGCAACAGGAACTGGAGCAACGGGAACTGGACGTAAAATGCGTCGAGTTGCCTGTACATGTCCAAATTGTCGAGACGGAGAGGGTAGAAATAGTGAGACAAAAAAGAAGCAACATATATGTCATATTCCTGGTTGTAATAAGGTTTATGGAAAAACATCTCATCTTCGAGCTCATCTTCGTTGGCACACTGGTGAAAGGCCTTTTGTATGCAACTGGTTATTTTGTGGTAAAAGGTTTACTCGTTCTGATGAATTACAGAGACACAGAAGAACACATACAGGTAACATTTGTTTCATTCATTCTTTTCTCATCCTCATCCCAACGAAACATTAAAATGTTTTTTTCGCTCATCACCACAATTAACATCATTCTAATGTGTGTGTGTGTGTATTTATCTTCTCCCCCTGTCAACTTTTGATGCTCTCTCATTCTTTCTTTCTCTCTTTTCTTTCTTTCTCTGCCTCTTATCTCTTTCTTTTTCTGTCTTGCTATCATTTCACACTCGATTTGTTCTAATTTGTTAATATATTTTGATGATACTTATTATTCTTTAATATTATTAATTTATAATCAGGTGAAAAACGGTTCCAATGTGCCGAGTGCTTAAAACGTTTTATGAGAAGTGATCATCTATCCAAGCATCTTAAAACTCATCAAGCGAAGAAAGTAAATCAACAAAACCAAAGTGACGCAGAAACTGTTAATGCTGGTACAATAACAGTCGCTACTAAAAACGAAAGAACTGTTGACTCTGATCAGACTGAGTTGGCTATAAATGAGAATGTTGGTGATGGTAATTAATCAATTCTTCAATATAACAAATCGACTAAAAAAAAAACAAAAAACAAGAAATGAGAAAAAACCAAATCAACTAGCCTTTATATAATTAATTTTAACAACAACAACAACAACAACAATGTCACACTAAATTAAAACAAATATGGAGCATGAGGAAGAGAAAAAGAGATTGTATTTAACTATATATTCGTTTTATTATTATTATTATATTAAATAAACAAAGATAATTTTTCTGCTATTTTGTTAATAGTTGCTTCTAACATTCCAATTTCTTTTTCCGATCAAAAACTCCTCACAATTAACTCACCAACAATAAGATTAATTCTCTGTCAAAATAATTCCAAGTTCTTTCAATTTTAGCGCCTTCGAATTGACACAATTGGGGGACCGTTGATGAAATTAACTCCATTCGAATTCCTTTGTGATAAAGTTTCACAATTAGAGGTCAAGTAACTCCATTTGTCGATTGGACAAATTATGAGAATTTAATCACTTGAATGCGATTTACAACATTAATTCTGATTGTGAATATATCGGATTGTAAATAGAAAATGATACAAATTCATTTATATGAAAAAAATGAAGTTAATTGTTAACTTTTTCTTGCTCTAGTTGTGATAACTTGTTGATCAATATATTTGATTCATCGATCAATCAAATAGTAATTTCATTGAGTGTCTTATTGATAATATTAGATTTTTTTCTTCTCTGGAATTTGTGTAAAAAAAATGTAGAGTTAATGATGAAGGAATTAGAATAATTTTCCTTTGAAAAGGTAATTAATATGTTCCAAAGCGGTAAAATGGTCATTGAATTCGTACATGACACTTTTCGCTGATGACCAATATGGATAGAAAACAAGTTCTTTAGTTATCTTGTGTTTCTTATGAGACTTAATTGTTGATGATTCGAGATTAATTAAACTTTTCAAACTTTTATTCACTATTGGATCGCAAATGATTAGCTGTAAGAGAAAAGTGGGAAAAAGATTAATCATCGTAATTATAACTCAACTTGAGAAACTGATTGAATTGAACTTACGTCTCTGTTGACATTTTTAATTATCATCAAATAAAGAAGAGTTAAGCATTTGTTTGAAATGTGATGGACTCGAATGTACACCTTGGCCTTTTCGATGCATAAGTTGATTATCGAGTGACAGGTAACAATTAGATCTTGTGTTTTATCATACTGAAAAGAGAAGACAAATTAAACCATTGTAATTATTGGAATGAAAAATGAATAAGTGAATCTACCTTGATTAAATTCAATAAAATATTGAAAGCAGAAGAGACGACGATCTTTGATGGTTCGCTTCGATTTGACATTTTGATTATATTAATAATTGTGTCGACGGTTTTTGGCGAAGAGATTTTTATACAAGATTCGGGTGAGATTTTTGTGGTTGTTTCGAGTGATGAAAGGGCCGATTGTAGTTGAATGAATTTGCGATAGTTAACTAGCTTGGTTAGAGCAAGATTTGTACGGAATCCGATTGGGAGCTCAGGAGTGTCATTTACTTGCAGGGACTCGTCAACAGAAAGATGATCAACACAAACTGATATTAGTTTTTTGGGTGGGCCAGTTTCAATGATTGATTGACGCAGTTCTTGTGGTGGTTTGATGGTGTTGGTCGCTTCTTTGAGAGCCAGGAATTTTCTAGCAGCCAAATGACGGCGAACAAACTTTTGAATGACAATAGCCGCTTTATCTCTTTTAATACTTTCATTAACCTTTTGTTTCTGAGCATCTGACATAAGTTTTCTGAAATGTTTCTGGATGGTTGTGGTCGCTCTTTTGAGAGTCCGGAATCTCTTAACAGCCAAATAACGGCGAACAAACTTTTGAATGACGACAGCCGCATCAACTCTCTTTTTAATTTCATCGTGATCAACAGATGATTCCTCTAGTGGCTGATCATCTAATATTAACTTTTCAGGTGAACCATTTTCAACGATTGATTGACAAAGTTCTTGTGGTGGTTTCATGGTGTTGGTCGCTTCTTTGAGAGTTAGGAATCTTTTAAAAGCCAAATAACGACGAATAAACTTTTGAATGACAATAGCGGCTTCAGCTCTTTTAATTTCATCATGAAAAACAGAAGATTCATCTTGTTTCTGATCATCTGACATTAGTTTTTCGAGTGATTCATTTTCAACGATTGATTGAACAAGTTCTTGTGGTGGTTTGATGGTCGCATAGTATCGGCGGAAATGCTTCTGGATAGTGATGGTCGCTCTTTTGAGAGTAATGAATTTCCTAGCAGCTAAATGACGGCGAACAGACTTTTGAATGACAATAGCCGCTTCCATTCTTTTAATACTTTCATGAACCTTTTGTTTCTGAGCATCTGAAATACGTTTTCTGAAATGTTTCTGGATGGTTATGGTCGCTCTTTTGAGAGTCCGGAATCTCTTAACAGCCAAATAACGGCGAACAAACTTTTGAATAATCATAGCTGCTTCAACTTTTTTAAAACTTTTATCGTGATCAACAGATGATTCCTCTAGTTTCTGATCATCTAATATTAGTTTTTCGAGTGATTCATTTTCAACAATTGATTGGCAAAGTTCTTGGGGTGGTTTCATGGTTGCTTCTTTAAGAGTCAAGAAATTCCTAGCAACCAAATAACGGCGAACAAACTTTTGAATAACAATAGCCGCTTCAACTCTTCTAATACTTTCGTCATGATCAACAGATGATTCCTCTTGTTTCTTAGCATCTGATAATAGTTTTTTGAAACGTTTCTGGATGGTGATTGTCGCTTTTTTGAGAGCCAAGAATCTTTTAACAGCCAAATAACGGCGAACAAACTTTTGAATGACAACAGCCGCATCAACTCTTTTAATTTCATCTGGATCAACAGGAGATAAATCCACTTTCTCCAATCTTAACAAACATAACTTAAAACTCTCTTCTTGATCAACAGATGATGCCTCTTGTTTCCGATCATCTGACATTAGTTTTTCGAGTGATTCATTTCCAACGATTGATTGACAAAGTTCTTGGGGTGGTTTCATGGTCGCATAGTATCGGCGAAAATGTCTCTGAATAGTGATGGCCGCTCTTTTGAGAGCCAAGAATCTCTTAACAGCCAAATGACAGCGAACAAACTTTTGAATGACAATAGCCGCTTTATCTCTTTTGAAATTTTCTTCATGATCAACAGAGGACTCCTCTAGTTTCTGGTCATTTGATATTAGTTTTTTGTACGGACCATTCTCACGGATTGATTGAAAAAATTCTTGTAGTGCTTCAGATTTTTTGGCTTTGATAAAAGTTATTCGTCTATTGATTGATTTTTGGGCATAGTATCGGCGGAAATGTTTCTGGATGGTGATGGTCGCTCTTTTGAGAGCTCGGAATCTTTTAACAGCCAAATAACGTCGAACAAACTTTTGAATGACAATAGCCGCTTCAACTCTTCTAATTTCATTCGGATCAACAGGAGATAAAGCAATTTTCTCCAATTTTATAACAGGTCTTCTTCTTGGTTTAACTCGTCTCTTGGTTACAGTTTTCCATTTTTCTTGGGCAACACCAATCACAATTAGTTCGAAACTTTCACCATATGAGGTCTTAAAGTGAACTTTTTGACGAGTCCCACCAGCTTTTGTAGGCTTCCATTCGATGACAACTTCCACACTTTGGTTCTCATCAACAACAATAGATGATTCTTTTATTGTAAATCCAAACTCTGGCTTGGGTACTTTGACAACGTCTAGTTTTTGAATAAAATGAGCTGGATTATGGATCTTGAAAGATTTTGTTGATATATTACCGAGCGTCACATTACCAAAATTAAGAATTGATGGTCGCTGGAAAGATTCTAATAAGAGAACCGGTGTTTCTTCATTTTCAGGGATTATTCTTTTAGGTGAAGGCGCTGGAATCTCAAATTTACAAACTCGGTGACAAGTGTTTGGATAATTAAGAGATGAGTTTTCACATTGATAAAAAGAATTGCTCATTTTTGATAACCGGAGTTTTAGACAATTGATGAATTAAAAAAGAGACTAAATAACAAATTTGTCAGATGAGATTTTCGAATTCAAAAAATGAAACAACATTCACGCCTCCGAGAAAATCAACCAATCAGAGACGACGAAGAAATTGCTCTTAGCGCCATCTGAAGTTCAGGCAACCACCTTGCTAGTGAAATTAAATTGTTAATTGATAAATTATCTTTTTGCTGTGGCAGATTAAAAATCGGATTAATAACAGTTTTAAACTAAACTGAGGGCAATCAATCGTTTGTTTCACGATGGATAATGTAGCCTGGATCGATTGAAGAGAGTTTACCTGTTGAAGTTTTATCGTCATTTATGTTGATTGATAAAATTAATTGTTGTAGTTGTTGGGAAAAGATTAGTTTATGTTGAATATATTCCAAGCTTAAGGTTGGTCAATTAGAGACCAAATTGTAAATTGAATTTTTATGGTTGTTGACTAGTTAATTGTTGTCATAATTCTTCCCTTAGGAAAATTGATTCCAATTTGTCAAGATAAGGAGCCATTCGAGCTTGAACTGATGGGATCGCTTTATTTGCTTTAACTGCTTTGAAATCACGTTTTAGAGCTTTGATTTTACCTTCGACCTGCGACACATCACGATCCACGTTACGCTGTTGTAGAATATCACTTATCCTTTGAAGAGATATCATTTTTTTACTTGATGATCTCCAAATACCGGCTGATTCTTCATCCCAAACATCAACAAGTGTTTTTGTTTCCTCTTCCGACCACATTTTTCGACCTTGAAAAGAAAACAGAAAAAGTTTAGAACAAGTTATTTCCTATTCGGATTTTTTAATAATCCTAAAGGCAAACCGATCACTTTGTAAATTTAAACATAATCAATTTCTTACCACTTAATCCACCCGTTGAGTGTTGAATTTTCTCTATTCTCATTTGTCTCAAATTGGCTTTAAAAGCTGCTGATGGGGACAATTTACAGACAGGGCGAGGGTAACGAGTTGATGGTCCAGGTAAAGAGCAACTCGAATCATCTGCTTCGTTTAAAACTTGAGGATATTCAGCTAAACGAGAATTAACATTGGCCTGTGGTTCATTGGATGCACTTTCGATTATTATTTCAGAGGGTTTAGATAAGACCTCGTGTTGGAGAATTACAAGATCTCCTTCTTCTCCTTTAGAAACTTTTGCATGAGATTCATCTTCACAGAGATCATTTTCCGAAACATCGGATTCTGAAATCTCTTCAGCTTGTGGTTGTTTAATAGAAGTACGTTGACGTCTTTTCCTTTTGTAACTACCGCGAGGCGAAGATTCCTTATCCTTAGGACTAGTTTCAACCTAGAAATTACATTAAAAAAAGAGTTTTATAAGTATTGGATTTAAAATATTCATAGAGATAAAATTTACAAAGAAATTAATCTCACCTTAATGTCCATTAGTCCAATAATCATTAGCGCTTTAGCTGAGTCCAAAACTGAGGGTAAACTACTTTGAGGAATTGTAACTTCCCCCTTGTACATAAATTCAATAATTGCTTCAAGATCAGAGATTGACATGTCCTTGAGTATAACTATTGGATATTGGTTTGGGTTAGAAAAATATGCAAAGAGATCTGTGAAATAAGGGGAACATGCAGAGAGAACCAATTTATGAGCTTTGATGGTTCCACCTTGACAGGAAATAGTACAATCGGTTAAAATTTCATCGTTGTAAAGTCTTTGGAATGCTGAGACCAAATGATTTTGGTGACTATTAAGTTTCAAACAAAATGCTTGATCCGATATAGATGAAGATGAAGCTGATGCTGATGGAGGTGCCATGGTTTTCCAAGTGTCACGAAAAAATAGTCAATCCAATTTCAATAAAACTCTTGTAAAGAAGAGAAAACAAACAAACGTCGAAGCAAAGTGAAAGAGAAATAAGCAAAAAACAATTGACAACTAATCATAGTAAAATTAGCAACACCAACAATAGAATCAGCGTGCAAATAATAAAAGTCCATAGTCACAGAGAGAAAACCAGATCACCAGGAAATGGCAACAATCGATTGAAAATTAAGTTCAGCCAACATCCAAATATAGTAAAATAAGAAAGAACAAGAAAAGAGAAGAATAATTAAAAATCGTCATACCGATTTACAAAGAATAATAAAAAAAACATCAACTTTATACCACAAGTAATGAGAGAAAATAAAATAAAAACAATTAGAAAATGTGATCGGCCCTAAACAAATTTAACAAAATGTTTCCACTAATTAATTACTCGGTTCAATACCTTTTCACAATTGTAGACAATCACAAAGTGATAAAAACAGTGATGATAATCAAATGTCACACGAAAATAATTATTATCTCGAATTAGAATATAAAAGTTTGATGAACAATCAGGACGAGATTAAATAACGACCACAATTTAATAAGCTGAACTTCAGCTGCTTAAGGAAAAGAACAAACAATCACCATGGTAACCGAAATACATTTTCTTTTCTATAAGCGGTTAATTTAACATGGAACAAAATTATTCTCAATTAACAATTGTTTCCTTTTAATTTCTTTCGATTATCTTGATTAATTGTCAACTTTAGAAGTATAGATTGATTCAGTTCTCATTGGAAATCTACAATCATAGTGAATATTATTGGAAGATTATTCTTTATGTTGTTCAACTATTTTCCAATCTTGTAAACAATTGATTCCAATTTTTTTTAATTTTGTAAACTATTGAAGTGATTTTGTTATTTACAATTGTGAACCACTGGAGTAGGACTATTTGTTAATTGCTCTTGCAATTAATCAGATTTAGAGATCTGTGAATGTATGAATTGATCGTTGCTCTGAAATCAATTTTTGCGGCAGAGAAAAAAAGTCGATTTATCTCAACGTAATTGTGAACAATTGAGATTGTTAATCGTGTCCCCATTGAGAGAATTACTTTACCCTGTTTATAGAATCGCTGATTGTTGAACAAAGAAAAAGAAATCAGTTGATTCAAGATAAACATTTAGGTTTCTGGTGAACTGGACGGGGGAAAGTTAAGAAGAGAAGAGGAAAAAAGAGAAAAGAAAACATTGAGCTTCTTCATTTTGTTTTCTTCTCTTTTTTAATTGTTCTGTTTTAATTATTTTTTATTCTTTTTTTACTGTTTTTAAGATCAAATGGACAAGCAAAATTTCGAGTTTAAAAGAAATCTAACATTTGGTAAGTTGTTCAAGTTGTTCATTTCTCTTTACCTCTTTGTCTTTCTCTATCTCTCTCCATTGTTTTCCTTCATTTTGAAATGTTTTTGTTTACAAAAATTTCTCTTTCTTTTCTTCTTTTTTTCTTTTTCTTTTTTCTCTTTTGCTGTAACTTACTTATCACTTGACTCTTAATTATTGTGAGATATGTTTGCTCTCAAATTACGAGACTATTTTTCTCTGATGCAACTTGATTCAAATTTAACAATTTGTGTTGTTATTGTTTTCTCCTTTTATAGATGAGCGAAAAAAGCAATCAAAAAGTATGAGAAGACTTTATTCTGACAAGACTCCAATAATTATCGAGAAATATCGTTCTGAGAAACAATTACCAATAATTGATAGAAATCGCTATCTTGTACCCCAACACCTTCCATGTCACAAGCTGGTGGAAATAGTTCGCCGCCGACTCACCTTACATCCAAGTCAGGCTCTTTTTCTTCTCGCTGGTGGGAATTCATTAGTCTCCAATTCCACTTCTGTTGGTGAAGTCGCTGAACAATTCAGAGACCCTGATGGCTTCTTGTATATTGTTTATGCTTCACAAGAAACTTTTGGCTGAACAATCTGACAACAGTGACGAATGAAAGAAAAGACAATCTTTCAATCATTTAATCCCAATCACTGAGATATTGGGATGAAATGATTCGATAATTACCCAAGTTCAAACACAAAAATCTATCCATTAAGGAGCAACAATTAAAGATGATACGAATGGCAGTGCCATTGTAATCAGAGATGAAAAACAATTCTCATTCTAATAATAAGCAATTGACTAATAAACTAGAATGTTGAATAATTAACATTCTACATTGTTAATTTTATTCTAGTTTAACTTTTGTTTATTAAAGAAAAACTTTTACGAAAATTTTTCGTCCATTGGAAATGACTCAACGGTCCCTAATCGTCTCGTGATTTTGTTTACATTTTTGTTATCAACAACTTTCTAATTAATAAGTTTTAGGGTCCTCATTGTTTTCATAGTTAAATGTTGACAACTAAACTAAGTGCCTCAATTAAATGATGGATTCTTCCTCTAACAGCCTGGAAGGCTGGGTCGCCGTTAAAAGAAACATTTTCATGCGTGAAGGTGACATTGACTTTGGTGACTCGAGTAAGATCAAATTTCTTGTTGCTTATAATCAAATTGAGCAAAAATTAGCGATAACTTGTACTCAAGGAAGTCGAAAAGCGAGTGATGTTAAACCTAAATCAGTGGCGTCTTTTATCAGGTAACTAATTGTTTTTCTTTATATTTGGTCATTAACTCATGACTTTAATCTCTAACTTGACTTTTTTTTCTTGTAGTGTTCAAGCCTTAAAAGGGATTCACAATCAGTTGAGAATCGTTTATCCTGCTCTTGATGGTCATTTTCCAGCCAATCTCGAGTCAACGGGAGGTTTTTTACCTTATCTAATGGCAGCATTTAGGTAAATTAATTTAAGAGTAATTGTTGATTTTTTATTGGACATAAACTCTAGCTTGCTGGTGACAATCATATTGATCAGATTATCCTGAGTTTTTAGCCATATTATTTAGGTTAGATTATATTCATCTCTCTCAGGCTGAATTTATTAACAATTATTTCAAATTTTCACTTTGTCATTGTTTCACCTTCTCTTAGAAATGTTTTTTTTACTAACAAACTTATTGTAAATTAATTAACTGACCTTTCTAGTTATTACATTTTAAGGATACCGGAAGAAGTTGACTTGGAAACATGTAATGCAATTGAACAATATCTTGAGGTCGCAATGTCCATGGCTGGCAAAGGTCTTCTTTTGGCTCTTTTATTTGATGATGATGAAGATCCATTAAGTGACTTTGAAGAGGATATTCAAGAGATGAGATTGACAGGGTTTGAGAACGTAGTTAAAGGATGTTACACCGATCTGGAAGATGTTCTAAGGCTTAGAACTCGAGCTAAAAACATGAAAGAATTGGCTAAAATATGGAAGCTTGAAGATAAAGTCATCGCAAGTTTGTCTGTTGCAATTTCCGAAAAATATAATTTTCAACTTCAACCGTTTCTTCAACTTCGGGAAATGGCTCATAATCATATTAAACAAGCCAAAGAACGTCTTAGTGATCCAGATTTTGGTAATCGAGTCAAAATTCTTGCCAGAAAAGAGATCGAGGAATTTAATGATCAGTTTTTAAGTGCCAATGGAGCCTTACAGCATCTTTACCAAGAGTATTATCGAAAAGTTGTTGATATCATCTCAGGTCAAATGATTCGTATCAAGGAGGATGAACAACGATTCGGCAAAAATGGTTTCGACCTCGAAGATGGACCATTGAGACTTCTCAAATTACAAATAAACCATAGCCAAGAGATCATCAAACTTAGAAATACAGTTAGGGTAACAAAAGAGTATAATCGGGATCAATTGAGAAAATATCTAAAATCTTTGGATCAAGACTCTGATAAGTCATCATCCGAACACGAACTGAAAAGAACTGAGCTCGATATCATCAACACTCGACTTGAGATTCTTGCTGAAGAAGAGAAGTTGATCAAGAAAAAACTTGATTTACTCGCGATGCAAAATTCAGACGAAATTTCCGATAGCGATTTATTTCATGACGCGGTTGAAGAAACTCAAGACCAACTCGAGGAAGATTGTCCAACTAATATTGGATCCGACAAAATAAAAGCGATCGATATATTGAAAGTTGAACGTCAATCTATTGCTCGTCGACGAGCTCATCTTCGTAATAAAAAGGCACTTCTACTGACAGAATCTAAAGAAGGACAATCTATCCAAGAAAATGAAGCAGATGACACACAATCTCAAGTAGGAAGTCAAAGTGATTCTACTACTATTCGAGCTTCCACTCGAAGATTAAGTCTATTAAGTATTTGTAGTGATGAAGAAAAGCAACGAGAAGAAGCTCACAAAAAGATTCGTAAGAAAACTTTACAAAGATTGAAAGCCTTTCGTATGCGAAGTCAAAAGTTCTGTGATGAAGGTGAATTCTTTCAAGAAAAATCATTGGAACATGATGAAAGATTACCACCTTATCCATGGATTCATAGTGTTGCAGCTTCTGGTGATGGATCATTACCACCGCCTCCAGATGATGTTCACCAACCTGATTCATTCCAAGAAATGAAATCAATGTATAATATTGAAAATTTTCCACCTCAATCAAGTCTTTCAGATGAAACTACCAAGTCCAAAACTATTGTAGATAAAACTCCGGCTGCTTCATCTTTCTATGTTCAGCTGAACTCACCTCCGAATATTCCTCCACCTCCTCCTAATTGCCCTCCACCACCACCTCCTCCACCTCCTCCTCCTGCTCCATTCGTCTCCCTGACAAAGCATCAGCGTGATAAAGCATTTGTATCATGCATGGAAAAAAGTTTTCGAGGCAAATCACAGATTGAAGAGAAAATTGATTCATCATCTTCAACAATTAATCTCAACGATATACTGAATGCACGTGGAAAATTGAAAAAATGCGAACCAATAACAAAAGAGATAAACGAAGCGAGTCAAGTTGCTCAAAATCTGATGAACGCTTTGAATAAGATCAGAGCTGCTCGACGTGATTCAGATGAATCAGAAGACGAACAAGATAATTCAAACGATTTCGATTGAAAAACTCCAATAATCGTTTTTTATATTTGATACAATTGAAATCGGAAAGAGTTAGCAGCATGAACACTTCAGCATTTTCACCATGTTTTGTTTAATGCTGATTTTCATATGAATTCCGATAATAATTTAGGAAAGAAATCAATGACTAAATAGTTTTAATCATCTGAAATGCGCTGAAGTACAGAGCAAATGACGCACTGAAATGGTCAAATTTGGCATATAAGCGCTTTCTAAGAGCTCAATCATCAATTATTGTCTAATTTGATAAAAAAAAGTAAATTTATAATTATTTTGTTTAATTAGAAATGTAAAAAAGAAAACATTTGTATTATTTGTACACGAAAATTGCCTAATTTGATTATATTGATTGATTATTGACCTCGTCCAACACCAATTCCTTTGAATTTTGTTGGTTCGTTCATTTTAACAATCGCCCATTAAAGAAAAAATCACGAATCACACCAATTAATTGTTCCTTTGTTCCAGATATTCCTCGAAGTGTCATTCCTTCCGAAAGTCCACCATTAGTTGGACCTTCAACGGAATTGGTTCCCTTGGCCAATCGAGATACAGCTACTTCATGATCATCCATATTCAAAAAGATTCTTAAAAAAGAGACAATCAAATGTTAACATTGATCATATTCATTTGAAATTTTATATTCTCATAGCTAATATACAATATTGTACGAATTTCAGGTCAAAAAAACTAATAGTATCGCTAATTTTTCAAATTGAAGTGATGAAAAAAAAAATCGACAAAAATATTTTTAAAATTAGTTTTTTGAATAACTTTTCGATTCATGCTCAGATTTTTATGAAAATAGTTTGTTTAGAATCAGCTTAAAATTTTGTTCAATTGAGGTTCAACTTAATTCTGTCAAGAGATAGAGCGAAGATATTCAAAAAAGAAAGTTCGATTTTTTTGCATTTTGACAAAATCTAATTTTTCCCATTGACAGCCATGTTAAAAGCTCTCATAAACTTAACATTTATCAAATCTCATCGATTTTTTTCCTTCAACTTTGGAACTCAATTTTGTCCGAACTAATTGACTAATTGAAATTTTTTTTCCTTCATCAATATGTTAGTTAATTAACAATAATTCAAATAATTTTCAAAATTTTAATAAAGTTCGTTCTTAAAATATTACGATTTTAGCAAAAGTTTCCAAACTTTTTCCCGCAGGTTATTTAATTACTTTCGATTCCTTTTCGATACAGTGACTGTATGGAAAGCACCATCGTTCACTTGGACCTCTGATATAAGTAAAGTTTCACCCGAAACGAGCCTCTAGAAGACCTCCGATCACTGCCACTGAATAGTAGTGCTAATTTATGGAAGACAATTGTTATTCCAATTGCAATCAAATTAATGTGATTTTATTGTAACAGTTAAATAATTGTATACTTACATAATCTCGAACCTTTTAGTTTTCCTTTGGAAAGTGGACATAATCAGTAAAGTTTCCGATTGGTTTGTTTTAAAGGTGAAACTAAAGTCGCTCTCTTCTCCAAGAGGTCGACTATTCAATTCCAAGTAACCTTGACCTGTGAACTTGACAATTCGAGAGGTTCGATCTCTACAACCGGAATTACACCGTAATTCTCAATGCTCAGTAAATTCAATGGAGTTGTATTGATCTGAACATCTTTCATACAGCCCAGGAAGTGTTTGAATGTATTGAGTGAGAGATACTCCAACCATCGATCTCTTTCAGCAGCTAATCGAACCCACTGTCCATTATTGTATCTCTCCCGAGATCTTAATTGTAATCGTGATCCAGATCCAAGATTAAATTGGTACAATACTCGCCCGTCTTGAAGGCAAATCGACACGAAATCTCCAGTGTCTGGGTTGCCCAAGAAAAAGATGATCGCGTCTTCATCAAATGATCTGAATTACAGAGCGACGATGTACTTTTCTCTGTCATATCTTTGGATCTAAAGTGAGAATCAAAATTATTATCATTACTTATTAATAGTCGACATTGATTCGCATCTCAGTCGACTGATCATTTCCTGATCTATTGTAGCATAAGAACTTTCACCTTTGAACTGCAATGCTCCTGGACCAATGAGTTCGGTCACACCTTCCATGCAGCCTCGACATCCTTGAGAAGTTAAGACGGGGGAAAGTTAAGAAGAGAAGAGGGAAAAAGAGAAAAGAAAACATTGAGCCTCAGTTTGTTTTCTTCTCATTTCAGTTGAGCTTCTCCATTTTTGTACTTTTGTTTTCTTCTCTTTTTTAATTGTTCTGTTTTAATTATTTTTTATTCTTTTTTTACTGTTTTTAAGATCAAATGGATAAGCAAAATTTCGAGTTTAAAAGAAATCTAACATTTGGTAAGTTGTTCATTTCTCTTTACCTCTTTGTCTTTCTCTATCTCTCTCCATTGTTTTCCTTCATTTTGAAATGTTTTTGTTTACAAAAATTTCTCTTTCTTTTCTTCTTTTTCCTTTTGCCTTTTTCTCTTTTGCTGCAACTTACTTATCACTTGACTCTTAATTATTGTGAGATATGTTTGCTCTCAAATTACGAGACTATTTTTCTCTGATGCAACTTGATTCAAATTTAACAATTTGTGTTGTTATTGTTTTCTCCTTTTATAGATGAGCGAAAAAAGCAATCAAAAAGTATGAGAAGACTTTATTCTGACAAGACTCCAATAATTATCGAGAAATATCGTTCTGAGAAACAATTACCAATAATTGATAGAAATCGCTATCTTGTACCCCAACACCTTCCATGTTACAAGCTGGTGGAAATAGTTCGCCGCCGACTCACCTTACATCCAAGTCAGGCTCTTTTTCTTCTCGCTGGTGGGAATTCATTAGTCTCCAATTCCACTTCTGTTGGTGAAGTCGCTGAACAATTCAGAGACCCTGATGGCTTCTTGTATATTGTTTATGCTTCACAAGAAACTTTTGGCTGAACAATCTGACAACAGTGACGAATGAAAGAAAAGACAATCTTTCAATCATTTAATCCCAATCACTGAGATATTGGGATGAAATGATTCGATAATTACCCAAGTTCAAACACAAAAATCTATCCATTAAGGAGCAACAATTAAAGATGATACGAATGGCAGTGCCATTGTAATCAGAGATGAAAAACAATTCCCATTGTAATAATAAGCAATTGACTAATAAACTAGAATGTTGAATAATTAACATTCTACATTGTAAATCAATTACAATGACAACAATTTGATTATGCAATTTGTTAGGAAAGTTGAAACTATTCTTTTAAATCTTGTAGTTTATTTGATTCTCAATCTCTTTCACTAGGTAATTTTATTTTATTGAATTCGAATTGACCAAAAATTGAACAATCAAACAAATACAAGAATCGATTTCAGTGTTAATATAAACTTAAATTTCTCATAAGCAATTAGCGGTTTCAATTAGCATTCTAGCATTTTATTTCTTTGAAAATCATAATCAGTTGATTGTGTCTACAAATTCAATGATCATTTTCTCAATTGATGATCAAAGTCACTTCACTAAATCGTGAACTTGCGAAACAATTAACTTTAAATTACTTCAAACCAACCAAATGAGCTAATTCACAATCTTTTTCCTCTTTAGCATCAAATGATTTAATCATTTCGATATAATCTTCGGGTAAATTATGTTCGATCGCCCCTCGGACAATCACCTCTTTATACACGATGGTCGGTATTCCGTCCATAGAACCAAGGATTGTCCTTCCTCGAACCTTTTCCTCTTCCGTTTGGACATAAGTGATACACTCGATTAGTTGATTGTCCTCTTCACTTTCAACAGTAATCGCAATCAACTTGTATCCTTTTTCTTGTAAATTTAATTGTTCCAAATCCTTATAAGTAATCGACCAAATGATTCCAATGACTTGAGACTAAAAGATGAATAAAATCATTTGAAAACAAAGCATAGAAATTAAATCGCAACAATTAACAAGAATAAGTCAATTACCCCTTCACTTGGAATCACATCAGCTGTTGCTCCTTTCCACAGGTTAGAGTGACCAGAGAACGTTAATTTATAATCACTTAGAATACCGATCGAAATTTTAATCGAACCTTTCAATTTGACTCGAATTCGATCCGACAACAAATTAGATCCATAACAAAAATATCGGATTGTTGATGGAAAAGACATTGATAATTAATTCAAAACGAACAATAAAAAAGAGAAAATCGATAAGTAATTTAAATGATAGAATTTTAAATTTTCTCTAGTCGATTAATCTTTCACTTCAACAATCAGTTAATTGTACAAAAAGACAAAAGGTTGAAACCAAATGATCGGCAAAATTGTTCATAACAATTTAAAAGTACAAGTTGAAACATTCATTCAATGAACTCACCTGATTGTTAATTTCCTTTTTTTTATTGTAACCATAGTGATTATCAAATGAGAAACAATTTGTTTACAATTAAGGGTTTTTTACCGATTAGAATTGATTAACCAGAAATCAATTCGATTTTTGTTGATTATTTTGATGTTACACGATTTAATGAATTGTTCAATAGCAAATGGTTTGTATATTTTTGAGAAGATCAAAAAATTAATATTTCATTTTAATGTTTTACATTTTTGATTAATTGATCTGGTGATTGGTAATTATCAACATATCAATTAGAAAAGAAATGGAAAAGAATCAATGTCAATTGAGTGGGTCAAAAAGGTAATCATTTGTGACAATGATCCTCATTTTGATTGATTGCTAATTGTTTTCCATTCTCATAGACTAATCAGTTTACAGAATTGAGATTTAATTGAAACGAAGAAATTATTTACAATAAAAGACTTTTGTCACTTCGATGTCGACTCATGATCGCTTCGGCTTCCTTGAGGTAGCCCTCTTTTTCACCAGAACATGACAGACACTGAGTGGGTAAATGTTTGCCGATCAGAAACAAAGCATTGGCGATATCTTTTTGGTCGTTTATGGACAAACTGTTGTTTTCTTCCCCAGCGGCACAAATTATATTGGAAAGTCCGTTGTGTCGTCTCTTTCGAAGTGCTCTTTCTAAAAGATTCTGAGTGACAAGTGGATTTGATCCACTGATTAGACGATAAGATCCTTCGTATAAGTACAACTTTGTCTTTCCACTTGGAATTAATTGTGCCATATATCGAAGAGTCGATAAATCTTTTCTAAATCCTCGAATGTGATACTGACTTGGTGAAAGAAATGAATCACAATTTAGTTCCCAGAGTCGTAATCGAGTTGAAAGTAACCATTCGGTACAGAGTAATTGGAAGGCTTGAATAATTTGCTGATTACAATCATCTTGTAACTTTTGGCTCTCATTCATTTCAATTGATCTCCATAGTTCGTAACTCGCTCGATCCAAAAGTTTCATTAATATTTTCGTATCTTTGGGCTTCTTTATTTGAACATATTTTTTCATCTTTCCACTCAAAAGAAGGGTAATTGCCAGTGAATTGTTTCGAAGTGTATCTGGAATAATTAAAGTTACCGAATGAGCAGATGAATCATTACCAGTGAACCAAAAATAGGCCGCTTTGATTACGTTACTCCACCAGAAAGCGATGTCATCGCCAAATAGCCGACTGTTATTTGATAGCTCTTCGATTACGGCCAACAATGAGATCGATTTGTTAGCTCGACCTTTGTTACTTTTGGCTGGATTATTTTCGGTATTAATACCGCTCTTTGGATTCATCATGGTTAAGATTGATTTCTTGATCAAGTAACGTCGATACTCTCGTGAATTATATGTAAATGGATCAACAATCTTCTCAGGAGTTTTAACAAAATCGGAAGATTTATCCGATAAATAGTTCCAATGATGATGCGATTTGTTGAAAAATTTACGTCCAATTGGATTAAGAAGATAATGTTCAATCTTATCAGTTTTACAATAGGACAAAGCTTTTCGTAAAAAGTATCGAGCGTAAAGATTTGAGTTTATCTTGAATCGAAGAGCTGCCAAAATGTGAGAACTAACCAATGGACCGACTTCAGAGGCCAAAGCTTTCGATTCGTTGATAGCTGATAAAGCGTAAAAGTAGCCCATTAGAGAAAATTTGCCTTGATTGACAATCAAATCGATGGAATTGAGTTTACAATGAAGAAAACAAGCAATCGACAGTAATTCTTTGCCGCGATAATCATAATCTTCTAACCAGCGACCAATGTAGAAAAAGTGTAACCAAAAACGAACCAATTGCCAAGTAACGGCCATCACTTCACCCGGAAGAGTTTTAGGAAGAGCTGATCGTCTAATTATTTCAAGAGCAATCATATAATTGTGTTGGGCAGATCGAATGTTTCCTTTTTGAAGATCTTGATTCGCTTGGACCATGTAAATCCAGTACTTTCGATCAGTTTGATCTGAGATTGAATAGTGATGAAAAGCTCTCCGTAGAGTAATGAAACAAATGAATATGTTCAATAACCAAAGAGCAATTGATTTCCAATAAGAGAACAACAATTCACTCCATCCAAGTGAGTTATCTGTATGCCAGATACTGAGAATAGAACGACCTGAACCATGATCAGTAGTTCCCATGAATGCTGATGTTTGTCCGATATCATCTGAACTCAAGAAGATTGAGAAAGGATTGAAAGCAAGAAGACCAATGACAAAGACACAAAGTAACATTCGTGATCCATCAGAGGCCCAAATAATTGGTGATCCAGGTTCGGAGGAGATCGGATTCCACTTTGGTCGGGTGATGAGGCTGATGATGAACAATCAGAAAGTGGAGGTGTGATGTCTTGTGAATCGGTGGCTGGTACACTTATCGGTGATTTAAGTGAGCCACCGTTAACCTCACTCGAAGCTAAAGCTGCTTTAAGTGCTAAATTTTCCTGCCTCAATTTATTGTTCGCTGTGGTTATGTGATGTATGAATTCAATTGCTTTTTTAAGTACAGCCGATTTGTTTAATTTAGCATCAGTTCCAACTACCATGTTCTTTAACTCTGTTATTTTATCGTTGATTGATGATCGATACCTTCTTTCAATGGCATTATGTGCCGTTCGTTTTTCAGGCACTGCGTGTTTGCCTCGCTTTGGACTGTCCAAGTCACTTAATGGTGATGGTGGTTCGCGTTTAATTGATGATTGAATGTTGGATTGTCGTGAAGTGATCTGAACAGGACTTGGTGGTACTGGTGTCAAACGGTTTATCGCAATTTTATCTGGTATTGGGTCAAGTGCTTTTTGTAAAATGATCGGAGTGGCAGCAATCAAAGTGGTTGTAGGATTGGCCACTGAAACGGTAACTGGAGTGGAAATGGGAACACCTTGAGTGGTCAGTATTGAACTTGAACCATCCGTTACTATTTGAGCATCGAAAAAGTTATTTACTTGACCACCAGTTAATTGTTCCGTTGTTAATGGCATTTTAGCTGAGGTATTAGTCGTTGTTGTTGGTGCAGTTGTTGTAATAGAGCAATTGTTTGACTGAATTTGTTGAAGTAAAGCTTCTTGAACTTTTTGTTGAATAAATAATTGTTGTTTCTGCTGTTGTTGCTCTCGTATGATTGATATTAAATCATTTAAATTGATTGGTACAGTTGTCTTACTATTTTGATCAAGACAAATAATTGCAGGTTCAGTGTTTTGAGTGGCTGATGTTGTTGTGGTGGTGGTTGTTTGTTGTATAACAGGTTGAACAGTAGCTTGAACTTTCTGAACTTTTATAGATGAACCAATGTCCATTGGTTGACCAGTCGTATTGGTCAATCCAAGTTGAGTTTGTGGTTGAATTGATTGATTAATAAATTGTTGGACAGGTTGTGATTGAACGGGTGACACTTGTACTGAGGTAAATTGATTAGGAAAAGTTTCGCTGATCACCAAAAAAAAGAAGAAATAAAAATAAAATTAGATACCAGACGAACAACATTAATCTTCAAATAGAACGAGAAAAAAATCGAGTTATTCTATTACCTTGATTCCAAAATCGGGGAATTTTTCGGTGAACATGATTCATCCATTGACTATAGAAAAAGAAATAAAGTAAATAGAAAACAGTTAGATTATATTAGATGAAATTGAGAATTGAATTTACCTGAACTGGATTGAACTCCGATTTGATGTCTCCCAGTAGATCACCAGATGATTCAAACTTGAGTGAATCGGGTGTCAAAGCGGATCCCTCTAAATCAGTAACATTGAATAAATCACCATTCTCCAAATTTAACATATTAATATCAAAACATCCGATTTGTTGTAGCATTTGATCAAAATCATCCTCATTATGATCACCTAAAGGAGCATTAATCTGATTACAAGTGAAAACATCATCACCAGTAAATGGAGAAATGAGTGAAGATGAATCAAAAGTAAACCCATTAATCAAACCATCTTTAATAGAATTGATCTCCATGATGATCAAGAACAAACTATTTTCCAAATAATATTCAATAACCAAATTATAATAACAATAATAATCAAATAAGAAGGAAACAAATCAAGGTCTCATGACACACAGAAAAACATAAACAATGAGAGAGAGAGAGAAGATAAAAACAGAATCACTTTGACTTGAAATCCAATTTAAAGATGTAAATAAAAGTCACAACAAAGATGCCCGGTGATTAACTACATATTAAGATTAACTATTAACTAATTAGAAGAGCAAATGATTGGAAGTTAATTAGAAATTAAAAGAAAACAATCAATCCAATTTAAAGTAAAGAGAAAAGCAAATGTGAACTCGCCTGATGAGGAGGAGCCAAAAATATCTTCCGATTTGAAAGAAACTCCTACTGGTGAGATTCAATCAAATGACTTTAATCAAATTCTCGTCCAGACAATTAAATTTAATTCTTGTTTTCTGTTTTACAGAACATCCATGATACGCTTTTTCTTCAGTGATAATCATCACCATCTCTGGGAATTAACCCCTTTCCTTGTCTGGTTCAATTCGGGTCTCATGATTTAGTTAATTGTTTTCGATTCGATGTTCTTATTATTGTTTTCTAAGTGTTTGATTTGTAATCGTATGTTTTAGAGAGAGTGTGATTCTAATTAGTTGATGATTAGAATATTACCTGATATAATTGGAGTTTTATCAATTCAGTTTGTATATTTTGTCGGGAAAAAAACATGAGCTTTATTGGGTTAATATTACAGAGTTTAAATGAGAAAATTTTTCAAACATTGCGAATTTAAATAATAATTGTGCATATCGATTGAGTTTAAATCAATTGTGATTAGTTTAGATTATAATTAGGAAGAAATGATAATGATTTGATAAGTTCAATGGTCAGTTGCCGTTGGGATTTAAGTATTAGATTAGAAAGAGATTATCAATTTGATTTAGAGTCGGACTCCGGGGACATCGGGTAAAGGTCGTTTAGGATTTTCTCTGAAATTTGTTCCATATGGAACTCGAAAAGTGGAAAGTGTTGGTGAGTTGAGAGGAAAATCTGCATAAACAGCCTCAGGGCGACGAGAACTCATGTAACGAGGTTCAATATCTTGTTGAATTTGTTGCTGTTGTTGTTGTTGGAGTTGTAATTGTTGGAGTTGCTGAAGTTGTTGTTGAGACAATTGTTGTTGTTGGGGTTGATTTCTTGCGTTAATTCGTGATGTATGATGAGAGTAAACTGGTCGAGATTTCTTATGTGGCCTTCCTCCGGTTAAATAGTTCAATTGTGATCCTGCAACAACTTGTTGATGAGCGGGAAGTAAAGGAGTTGCACTCCCGAGATGTCCCAATCCGGAGCGTTGTCGTCTCAATGATCTTGCTTGATAATGATCACTATTAGAAGAGGGTAAATAAGCGACATTATCATATGAAGCGTCAGGAAGTAGAGCAGTAGATGAACCAAGAGCTGCCATTCTCATGGCATCGGCGACCTCTGAATAGGTATGAACAGCATAAGGTGATGGACCATTCATTAGAAGTGAACTTGGAATCTGTGAATGATTAATGGTCACTCCAGCGGCATCGAGTTCAGCATAAACGGGACTAGAGGTACAACTACCTCCTTCAGGGATATTAGTGTATTCCTCAATTTCAGCGATTCTTGGGTCAGAAATTGAATCACGAGAACAATGATTATCATCACTTCGCCTCCAATATTTACTTGGAATTGAAGTTTTAGTTGGACAATTGGTTATAACACTTTGAGGTGACTTCTCATTGACCACCGGTGAAATACAATTCTCTGATTGTGAACAAGGATTTGGAACTGCCTTTTGACCTCTCATCATTCCTTCAGGGAAAATTGGACAAGAGTCAAGCCCACAGACTGTAAATGAAAGAAAAAAGAATAAATTAACTTTCGAATATCAAAACAATTAGAAAACGAGTGATCCACCAATTGTATCGAAAACTGATTAAAGAAATGAAAAGTTAGATTCTTCACCTGAAGGGAACAATTTCCATCTACAATAGAAAAAAAAGAAAAAATCATAAACGAGAATTAAAATTTCAAGTTGATCATTAAATTTGATAACAAATTGTAAATTCTATCAAGTGAAACTTACTTTCTGAACTTCACTAGAATGAAAAGCAAAATGATACACAAAATTGTAGATCCAAGAACTGAACCAATTAATAAAGAAAACCAAGAATCGTGAGTTTTAAATTCTGGTTTAGGAACAACAAGCTCCGAATCTGTTGGATTACTAAAGACATGACAAAAGTTACAATCATCTGATCTAACATCAACCACCGAGTGATTCTCAGCTAAAGCTTGAATCAAATAAGGAGGCAAAGGAGGTGGAGGTGGTAGCCAATCAGGTGGAGGTCCAATATCACCAATTAAACTACAGAAAACATCAGGACAATTAAATAAACTGTCATTATGAGACCAGCCCATTGATGGTAAAGGAGGTAACATTTCCTCAGCAATCGGTCCATTGAGACCATCAAAGCTTTCAGACAATCCAAAAGCCATTCTCACAGGAACAACTAGACAATCAGCATAATAAGAACAAACAACCAATCAATTAGAAAAAAATTACAATCAAAAACACAATTAAAAACTCACCAACAATTAATCACATCAAGAGATCACCAATTTCCAGGTCAATCCAAACCCAAATTCAATTCCAAAACAATACAAACAACAATCATTTCCATCTAACGGTTGGAATATGAAAGAAAAGCTAAATCGCACACGAATTAATCTCCATGAAAGGAACCATTAAATCAACAATTTCTAATCTAATTCCTAACAATTAGTAGATTATAATTGCTCCAATCAGACAATTCGTTAAACTGTTAAAATAATCAGTTTTCTCTCAGCTGGAAATGAGAGAGAGAGAGAAAGATAAACAAATCAGTTGATCATCTGTTCATCTTCAAGGTAAGTCTTTTGTGTCTCTTGTTTATTTATGTTTCTAATTTCATAATCAACGATTTAATTTAGTCATTTGATTGTTTCTATTATTAACTTTTTTATATTCTCTTGCTTTTTTAATCAAGTGTCTTAATCATTTCCCTTTCCTATTTGATTCTCATTGTTTCTCCTTGTCTGCTGGACTAATTCAATTGATTCTCTGTTTACATGATTACATTGATTTTCTAATTGTTTCTTTTTTTTATTCTCTTTCTTTTTTCCTTTTAGTTTGTGAATTAACTAATTAATGGCAACTTTGGATTTATTTATGTTTATCATCTTAACCAATAGTAATATTATAACCAGGAAGCTTTTCTATTAAATTATTTACTTGTATTCATCCCAATGGATTATCATTCAATTGATAAGTGCTCATCATGTTACAACCAGAAAATGAGATTTGATTGAAATGTTTGTTTAGATTTACTAATTGTTGCTGTTTATGTGTTGGTGTTTCTAATTGTTTTCTAATCATTTCCGTAATATTTAATGTTATATTGTCTTCGCTGGACTATAACTCATCTTGATCTCTAACAAGTTAAATCTTCAAATGAGAAATGAAGTTTTCTTAATCATTGAAGTCTGATGTTATTATTAAGGAATCGCAGCAATTGGAGTCGATCAAGAATCAAACATTTTCTCTTAATTATATCTAATCTTTATCTTAATCAAGATTGGATTAAATGTCATCTTAATTTATAATCTTCTCAACAAAAGGCTAGTCTTTTATATCCATTTTAATAGTGATGAGAAAAACATAATGACAGTTTAATTGTTGTTGATTAACTAGTCTTCATTTCTCATGGTGTATTATTATTGTTCATCATCAATATTTTAAAATCTTCATCTAGTCGTAATAATTAACCAATGTTCATCTTTAATTGTCATCAAATTTACCCAATATTGTTTTCTATTTATAATTTGTCTCAACACTTTTACATGAACGAATAACTTAACAATTGACTTAATCATGACTCGATTTTTTAATGTAATCATATTCATAACCTTCATTTCCTTAATTCTTGGTAAGTGATAATTGTAACTCCTAACTGATTTAATTGTATTAATTTCTCTCTCTTTCTCTTTGACATTTTAGTGATTCTTTTCTATGTTAAACTTGATCTTTATCATGAAAGCCATGGACTAATTAGTAGGACGAATTCACCTGACAGGACAAGTTACTCAATTCCTGATGAAGATCATATTCAACAATTAACACAAGAAAATCAAATTCTACTTGACCAATTAAAAGAGCTTGAACTTAGAATTGAAGTGTTGGAAGGTTCATCTACCAAGAAAGTTCCGGTTACTCGTCGATTATCATCACCTGAACGTAAACGAATTCTGGTCACTGGTGGAGCGGGTTTTGTGGGGTCACATTTGGTCGATACTCTAATGAAAAGTGGCCATGAAGTGACCGTAGTTGACAATTTTTTCACTGGTAGAAAACGTAATCTACATCATTGGTTTTCTCATAAAAACTTTGAATTGATCCATCATGATATAGTTAACCCTTTATACATTGAAGTTGATCAGATTTACCATCTTGCCTCTCCAGCCTCACCTCCTCATTACATGTTTAATCCAGTGAAAACAATCAAGACCAATGCCTTGGGGACAATTAATATGCTTGGTTTAGCCAAACGAATCGGTGCTAGAGTTTTGGTTGCGTCAACATCAGAGGTTTACGGAGATCCTCAAGTTCATCCACAATCGGAAGATTATTGGGGAAACGTTAATCCAATTGGACCAAGATCTTGTTACGATGAGGGTAAACGAATTGCCGAAGCGCTTTCATATGCTTATGCTAAACAAGAAGGTGTCAATGTGAGAGTTGCTCGAATCTTCAACACCTATGGACCTCGAATGAACATGAACGATGGTCGAGTTGTCTCTAATTTTATCATGCAATCACTTCGCAATCAATCAATTACCGTTTACGGTGATGGTTCACAGACTCGCTCATTTGCTTATATCGATGATCTAGTTGATGGTCTAATTAGACTGATGAACAGCAATTTCTCCCAACCAGTTAATCTTGGTAATCCCGATGAATATACTATCCTACAATTTGCAATTCTAATTAAAAATCTAGTGGGTACAACCAGTCAAATTGTATTTACCGATGGTGTTGAAGATGATCCTCAACGACGTCGACCTGATATTCATCGAGCTGAACAGCAATTAAATTGGACTCCCAAAGTACCTTTGAAAATTGGATTACAGAAAACGGTTGAATATTTTAGGAAAGAAATATCAAATTTGGAATAGTCATAATTAACGAAATTGCCAATCAAATGGATTATTTTACCAACCATCAAAACGAACAATTTGCCATAATTTAAACTACAAAGATAGAAACTACAAAAATGAATTAATCATGATACAGTTCAATGAACAGAATGAATTGTTAATTTGATCTCTTCTTGATTTGTGCCAGACTTAGAATGCTGATCTAATCAATTTACAAATTGTTATTATTTATTTAATCACGAATGAGGGAGATAATCAACAACTTCTCTCGCAGGAATCAACGAAATGCTTTCATTACTGTTGCCTCTAAAAATGGAACAATTAATTTCCAATGCGAAGTTTAACACTTTAATTAACATAATTATCTTTCATCATCTCATTTATCGAGTCATCTTTGACCCATCCGAACCATTATTAAATTTATCTTTATCACTAAATCAATAATCACATTTTTGTTTATCAAGAATAATTTCAATTGATTGATTTGATTGTTTTAGATTATAAAAGGAAAAGATTAAATTATTGTTTCTCCGGTGCTTTTTGAATCTAAACCATGGAGATGTTGATTAAGGGTTTCGAATAGTTCAGAGGCCGATGGACGTTCAGACGATTTCGGGTTAGTACATTTACGAACAACCTCTCGAAGTAGCTCGATGATTCCTTGATCTTCCGGCGATTTAACATAATTCTGCTTATTATTAACCTCCTTCTTCATCATCATACTCTGTAATTAGAATAAAACAAATATGATTATTAGTACAACAGGAAGATAATATTATTCGGATTGATTTATATTCAGTTAATTTCATCTCTATCAGTTTCTCTCACCTCAAGAAATACTAAAAATCAACAATAGAAAACTTTGTAATTGTTTATCAACAATTACGCAGAAAAAAAAATCCCACCAAGAGATTTTAATACTTTATTGAAATAAAGTAAATTGTTTATTCAAAACAAACACTTTAAATCAATTCAATGTAAACAAATTATTACATGAGATTGTTCAACAATCTCACAAGTTTTTCAATGTCAGTTGTAACATTGTTATTATATTTATAACAATATACACATTATGATAACAATGAATACGATTCACAAATTGTAATAAAATCAAAGACAATCACAAATATTCAAGTGCAATAATTTATCTAGCAAATTATTGAGCTACCAAGAGGAAATGATGGTTGAATTGGTTGTTTCAAAGGAATAGGAAAAGGCCAACAAACCACAAGAAAAACAACCAATCAAAGTACATTAGCACAGAGGAACATGAAACAAGATGGAAAGTCGTTCTTAATTACTGACCAAAAGTTAATCAACTCAACAAAAAGAAAACAAAATAAGAGAGAGAGAGAGGGAAAAAATAGTAACCAAGAGTAAATCTGGAGAACATATCTCAAAATGTTTCAAATAAATTGAGAAAAAGTAAAGCAAATAAACAACTGATCAAAACGATAAAAGGTCCAGGTAAATATAAGCGTAAATTGTTGTTTGATTAAATCACTTTTACATCAATGGAAAATGTTAATCTTTGAGTGAGAGAGAGAGAGAAACCGAGAGAGTAAAGATGATTAACCAGAGTAGAAATGATTTGATTACTGTAACTCACTTGATCTTGTTGAATGGCCTGAGGAAGGGAAGAGAATTAAAGAAAAACAAGGAATTATATGTGACAGTTGAATTGCGATAAATTGTCAAATAATGAAACACAAATAAAGAAGAAAACAACAAACCTTGTGATCAATTTGAAGAGAAAAAAAAGAAAAACAACTCAGTAACCATGGAAACGAAAGAGAAAGAGAGATTATTTTTCTTCTATTTGCCATTTACATTTTCTCTTTTATTGTGTCTAATTCAGTTTAATTGTAATTCTTTTTATTTTATTATTAATTTTAATCCACAATTGGAATGGTTCTATTATGGCCCATTTTTTCCGAGGTATTTCAAGATATTTGTCAGGTAAGAATTTTAATTACACTAATTAGTCTTTAAATAGAAAAAAACAATTTGATCAAATTTCCTTTTTTCATCCTCTATGTGACTCTCTTTCTTTCTCTCTCTTGACTTTCTGATTCTTCATCATCATCTTTCTTTTCCTCTTTCTCTCTTTCTCTTTATTTGCTTATTTCTCTTACACCTTATGTCTGATGTAATTTTGTTATTTTCATGTAAACAATTTCAATTGGTTTCTAATCAATTTTACTCGTTAAAGAATATTTAAAATATTCTCTTTAGAATTTTAATTCTCTTTCAGGAGTATATTCTTTTTCCATCCTCTCTCTCTCTCTTCTTACTTTTACCTAACCTTATGTGTCAAAATAAATTGTGACCTAACCTTTCACTAATAGGAGTTTGCCTTGTAAATGTAATGGCGGTTATGGTTATGATGATATTGAGTGAAAATTATTTCCACATTATAGTGTAACTTTTATCTCTAATTGTTACAATGTTTTCTTTTTTATTAAGACCTTTATTTTTTTCTTCTTAATTTCTAAGTTTTCCCCCTTTAGGTTCGTTTGTACTTGTGTTTTTTTTTCTCCACTGATTCTACAAAAGTCTAGTTTATATTCTTAACATTTTTATATTCCATTTGATCTCAATCTCTTCTCATAGCTTAATTTTTTTTCTCTTCTCTCTTTCTCTTTTCTCTTTCTATTTGATCAATGTTTTTCTCTTTAATTTAATGTCCAATTTCATCATTAACTTGTTTACATTTATTATTTGACTTTAACATTTTCGTTAGATGGAGTTACTGTTAACTCTTTCTATTCTTAACTGATTTCGTGTGTTAATTAAACTTGTTATGATTATATTATTACATTGAATTGAATTTTGGAAGCTTTTATTGTTTAACTAAATTACGCACCTAACCTAAAATCAAGGTTGAGTTGTTTACAACTATTTTTTTCCTGTAACTGTTTTTATATATTAACGATTTCACTCACAATCAGTCAATATATTTATACTCTCTCTCTCTCTTTCTTTCTTTCTTTCTTTCTTTTTCCTTGTAAATTTATTTATCTTCTCCACCCACTCAGGTATATTCCATAAGAAATTCTCTGACGAAGTTGACTTTTCACCAGGAGATAGGCGAGGATCTTCCAACCGTAATGGTTCCAGTATAAGGTCAAATGGTCGAACTACTAATGAAGATTCGTCCATTGTCAACGAGGGAATTGTTGATTTTATCTCAGTCGATCCTTCAGTGATTGATATTAAATTGAAGTGGGAAAAATGTCGCCTCAGTTTAGTATCCACGTCGACTGGTTACTCTCTTCACTTTTATTCTCCACCCAAATCAGTTAAATCCAAAGCTGAACTATTGTGTTCATCCATAGTCGAAGCAAGGGAAACAACAGTTCTAGAAATGCCCGATCAAGATTACACTTTTGTCCTTAAAGCGGAAACAGGATTGGAATATGTTATCGAGGCTTCCAGTGCATCTGAGCTTAAAGATTGGTTAAACATTATTCATGCATGTATGCAATGTAATAACTCCGAGAATATTGATTTAAATAATGTTGGTCTCACAGAATCAAACATTCGCAATGGTTCAATCTACAGACGTCACCTGAACTCGATATCAAGTGCGAATGGAGAAACGACCAATACAAACAACAACAGCACCAATGGTCATACCTCATCTCCAAATAATTCACAACCAAGTTCACCTTTGACCGGGGCCAATGATATTTCCCTTTTTCTCTCCCAATACCCTTGGTTTCATGGTTTACTCTCTCGAGCTGATGCCGCTGAATATGTTCTACGTGAAGGTTCATTAGGACATGGAATTTTTCTGGTTCGCCAGAGTGAAACTCGTAAAGGCGAATATGTTTTAACATTTAATTTTCATGGTCGCGCGAAACATTTAAGATTAACCATAAATGGTGAAGGTCAGTGTCGAGTTCAACATTTATGGTTTAGAAATGTTTTCGATATGTTGGATCATTTTCGTGTTCACTCAATTCCTCTCGAACTTGGAGGAACAGCTGATGTTACCCTCACCGATTTTGTTATTTATCAACCATACACACCTCCCAGTCCAACTCACAATTCAACAAACCTTTCTGACTTACAAAATCAACATCATCTCCATAATCATCATAACCATAATAATAATTCAACCCAATTCTCTCATCAACAATCTCAGTCTCTCAATAACACAGCCAGTGTACCAAACGGTAATAATAATAATAATAATACTTCAAATTCGCAGCCCAATCAAAATAGTCGATCATCAACACCAAACAGTAATTTCGAACCATCATCATCATCTCCGGAGTCTCGTCATAACTATTTACGAGAACGTGTTCCATCAATACCCGAAATTCAAGAAGTAATTACCTATGGAGGTTCAGTGCGCCTTCGAACTGTATCACTGGAGAATCTTAATCAACTTCAATCACAACATTTAGCAAGTGTTAATGGAACAACTCGAGCTGTTGATAATACTTATTCCTTTATTTAAAAACCCATCTGTTTAACCAATTAACCTTTTACCTTTAACTACTCTCTCTCTCTCTCTTACTGGTAACCAGTATTGCACCAACATGCAAAGATTATTTGGTGATTTTGGCTTAATCGGGTTAATCCAATTTTGATACCCAAACCTCTGTATTATATATTTAATCAAAAACTCGCAACTTGTATTTTGATGTGAACTGCAAGTCCAGATTGCAATCGAGTCTCTCTTTTTCTCTCTCTATCTCTCTCTCTCTCTCTTTCTGTCTTTTCTCTCTTAATTTAAAATCTATCAAAAATTACTCTTGATAATCACAAAACAAGAAGTGAATTATCATCGGATTTAAATTGGTTGTATTGAAAAGTTGATGATCTCAATATCGCATATCATCAACGTTCTTATTATTTTTGTTTGTTTTTTGGTTTACTTTGTTTTCTTTTCTCCCTCTTCCTCTCATCTTCTCATCATCTCCCTTTTTTCATCTATTGCTCAAGGAGCAACATCCACATTCATGTAAACATTTTACAATAATCTAGTCCAACCTGAATTAACTGTTAATCAAGAGCAAACTGAAATGAACGAATAATATTATTAACCATCGATCAATTCATTAAGTGAATTAACTTAATTGTAACAAGAAAAAAGGTTGATGGCTTATTGACATTTGTTTGATCTTCCTCTTACTCTTTTTCTCTCTGTAAATCTAATCTTTTGTCAATAGAAATTTTGTCAAAATCCCTAAAATCAATTGAAAAGAAACAAAAAACCAAAACTGTTCTCAATTAAAAATCAATCCAAAAGTGAAAACATCAAATTAATAATCAATTTCTTTTAATTTTGAAAATTTTACTTGGTTCATTTCTCTATAAATGGAATTATTGAAACGTTTGAATTATCCCCAAGAAAAGATACTTGATTATTATTGGAAGAATCAAGAACTATGAAAATGATAAAATTCCAATTTTGATACGATTAAGACAATTAACTTTTCTTTTTCTTTTGTTAATTGTTACACTTTCATTTTGTTGACTTTTGACGGTAAAAAAAAGCTTCATCTAAATAAGATAATTCATCTGAATGGTAAATGTTCAAGTCTATGACTAGGTTCCATTAACTATTGTTATTGATTACATGTACCGAAACTCATCATAACCTCACTTGTGAGTGGATTATAATTAAAATAAATAACAAACTGACGAATCAGAAAGTTGATGGTTTTTTTTTCAACGTAATCTCTTGAAAAGTTGAGGAATTGAGAACATAATGTTTAAGGGAGAGAGAGAAGAAATTATTTTGGAAGAGTATGGTTGGTGTAGAGAGGAGAAAAGGAGGATGAGAACGAGAAATTTAAAGTTACATTGTTGTTTTGGTTTTTCAATTATCAAAATTGTTTTTTTTGTTGTATTAATTTTAGTTGCATTGAATTAGATGCTAATTGTTGTTGTGATTGATTGACCTTGAAAAGTTCAAAGGTCAAGAAAAAAAATGTGATGACTATTATTCTCTACGTGCTCGCCTTAATCTGGCTTTGCCTTTTTCTTCTACTTCTTTCTCTTCTTCTACCTCTTCGGGTTCCTCTTCTTCTTCCTCTTCTTCTTCTTCGTCTTCTTCATTATCTTGTCTTGTTATTGGCTCTTCTCTTTCTCCAATTTCTTCCTCTTCCTCCTCTTCTTCAATTTCTTCCGATTCCGTTGAAAGTTCAAACTCTTCTCGACCTTGGTCTTCTTTAAGAGGTTCCTCTTTCTCTTTGGGTGCAGCTTTGGATGATCCTCGAGTTGTGGGAGGTGAAGCACGACTACTACTTGAAGTTGATGGACCGGGAACTGGATCGTCTCCACTTACATCGAATTTTGAATCACTTGAAGATTTTTTGCTCCCCTCGGTTGATTCTTTCTTTTTAGGGCTTAGAACACGGATGAGCAGGAAAATAGGCACTAATAAGGAAAGAACGTAAACAGCCCAAAGCCAAGGCTTCTTGTTTGTAGATCGGATGAAACTTTGGAACCAATTTTCTGTCTTTTCATCATTCAGATCTTTCTTGAGTTGATACGTATGATCGGCTACATTGTTTGCAAGATCTACATCACTGGTGATCAAAATATTGTCAAAAACTATTCCATCAGAAATGGTCCATAGTTCAAAGGCAACAGCATCGAAAGGAATCATTTTGTAAGGATTAAGTTCTTCAAAGAAATCAGGATTTGGAATCTTTCGAGGAGCCCATTTTCCTTGATAACTTGGATTGGCAATAAGAGGTGGCTTCCATTTTCCTTTGTATTTGGGATTATCAATTAGAGGAGCCTTCCATGGTCCACATCCAGAGACGGAGGCACATCTAACGTTGTTAATAAGAGGAGGTTCCCATTCTCCATCCATTTCTGTAATAAAATGAGATAATATTAGAAATTTTTGACTTGCATGATATACAAATGAGAAATAAAAATAAAAACAATTCAACTGGAAAGTAAAATTTACCTTCAGACCAATCATCGGGTTTCTTGGCTTCAGGATCTGGTACCATTTCTGGTTCATCTTCAAGCCAATCAGATGGTTTTTGTGCATTGGTATCTACGATCTTTCTCGGTTCATTTTCATCCCAATCATCTGGTTTCTTGGCATTAGGGTCTGGAATTTTTTCTCTTTCATCCCAGTCCTCTGGCTTTGTATCATTTGGATCATCAATCTCTTTAGGTGGATTGACTGGTGGATTAAAATCTTCCAATAAACTACCTTTACCTACAATTTTCTTATCGACAGATATTTCATAGGTATTATCGGGTCTTACGATAAGTCTGAATAAATGCCATTTATTGTCAGTAATGGCATCATTAAGACCGGTAACCGCAGCAGCTTTTTTCCAATGAATCTCTCGGAGAGAATTGTTTTTCTTATTTCGATGATTGAAGATGAAGTGTAATTTATGTTCATTTCCACATTTATCCGGTCCAAACATGATAGAATAAGGAGATTTATCCTGAATCTTACTAAGATCGCCACTCGGAGATTGTAAAAGTTTAAGATATGCTCCACCACATTCTTGTCCATTTCTGAATTGAACATCATATTGGACTACTAAGTTATCTCCCTTGAAATCATATGGTTTCGAGAGTTTAACCCCAATGGCATGGTGTTTAGCTCGACTGTTCATCATCAAACCAAGATCTCCTAAATAAAATCAATAATAATAGTCATTGTTAGATTTTGGATAAATGATAAGTTCGAAGTTAATTATCACATGGTAAAACTCTAAAATGATAACATCTACCCCTACGCTACCATTTTTTGTAGACATGTTCCAATTTTTTGTCTTCCTTTTTCATGACGTAAAAGTGTATTGCACTTAAAGAAATATATTTATCTTTGAAGAATCTACAAGAACATGATATGAAGAGAGGAGAATAAGCTTTTCTAGACCTGTTCCAACTTTTTTTCTATTAAACTAACAAATGTAAAGGTTAGGATACGACACTAAATTAAAAAAACAACCATTGTGTGTACTAAACATAACAAAGATGGAGATAACATGAAGAAAAAATCTATTAATTAGTTGTTAGAAATCAGCAAGTAATGAAAAGAAAAGGAGAAAAGAATGAGAGAGCTAACAAAAATACAAGGTTGAATATTGATTAAACTAATGATAACATTTACTGAAGAAAAAACTCAATATTATCAATTAATTACTGAATTGAAAAACAATCAATTTTATCATCTTGAGTCTAGAATGATGAAAAGAAGATGGTGAGAGAGGCAGATAGAAAGTAAAAGTGATCCATCAGCTAAAATACATAAACTAAAGGTAACATTCGATGGAGAAAGAGAATGTTGAAAAATTTCTATTTTTCTCTCGAATATTCAAATCCAATGGATTAGATGAAAGAGGATAATATTTGGAGATAAATGTTGATTAAAGATAAAGGAGAGAGGAAGGAAGGAAGGAAATCTACACATTGGTTACGGTCGAATCAACTTAATACACGTTGCAATAGAAAAACTATATTATCTCTTATTAGAAAAAAGAATTGAACACCAAGCGAATCTTAATTCCAAGATAACTTGCATTACTTTAAAATTAAGAATCATTGTCAGCAAAAATTATGAGAAGATAGAAGATCAATTTTCTAAGAGGAAGAGACAATAAAAATTGATTAACTTGTTTGAATTGGAAATAGTAGTCTAGGAGAAAAAGAAAAAGAAAAGGAGAAGACATCAAGTAGAAGGGGCTTCTTTTTTCTATCTCTTTTTTACTTCCTTTGGAAGCCTAAAGTCAGATGAGAATGATAATTTCTTAGGTTGATATTATTATATACTGATGATTAGGTTACAATCTCCTTACCTGGCATCTTTTCAACGGTGGGCACAATTTCCCATTGTCCATCATATTTATCATCATCGGAATCAGATTTGGTTGCCTTTGAAGTGACCCAAATTTTTTGATAGTTACTTTTAACATCAAAAGGCTCATAAAGGTAAACATTATCCAAGGGAACAACAGGAGTCTTGTAATCAACCTTTTCTTCATCTAAATCACTTGCTATTGATGATGAAGATGATGATGACGGTGATGGAGATGATGATGATGAAGATGGACTAATATCTTCTTTACCACTTTTTGTCTCACTAGAATCAATATCTTCCTTACACAGTGTTGATTGTACTGTGAAAATCAGGAAAAAGATGAAGATCGACTTAAACCAGGGTAGTGTTAACATCTTTGAATAAATTAATTGTTCCAATAACAATTAGAATATAAAAAAATTCTCCCAACACAATGAGAGTCGGAAAACAAAAATGAATTTGAAGTGAACAAAAAATAGAAAAGAAAAAAATCCAAGGGACCAATCACTTATTTCCAAGTGAAAATTTTCCAAAAAAAATTCGCCGGTTTTTTAATCCATTTGAATTCTCGAATTAAATTATTTCGATCAAATCAAAAACAAACACCAGTCACAATTAGAAAGAGAGATTCTTAACAATCAACAATTATCGAAATAATGAAAAATTCTAGAAAAAGAATAAAATTGAAAAAAGAACAAAAATCAAATTAATTATTAAGAATAAAAGAAAAGAAGAAAAGAAAAATATTCCAATCAAAATGACCAACCGACAATCTGATTAATGGAATTGGTTGATTTTAATTTTTCGATGTTCAATCAACAGGTGAATTAATTAAATTGTAGAAAATTAATTAATTCCAATCAAATGGAGAACAGAATTTTCTCAGTTTCTATTCTGAAATAAAGAGGACGTTACCATTCATGTTGTTTTCTATTCTCTTCTGGTGTTGAATGTCATTCATTTGATTTTCATTGTTATCGTTTCTTTTTTTCCAATTATCTATTTTAATCTAATCAATTTGAAATAATTAATTTCTCTTTTTTGTGCTCTGTTAATTGTTGCAAAGAGAAACAATTAATTTCGATTGGAAAAGGTAGAGAGATCTGTGTGTTTACCAATTAAACGCCTTTCTCGCCTCTTTCTGTTGTCGCTTCTCTTTCTCTTCCTCTGTCTTTTTACTGTTAATCTCACCAACGAGTGTCCTGAATGTCACCGATCTGTTAAAAGTCATTGGACATTTTTCTTTGCATTTTTTTCTCTTTAATCAATTTAAATTGTTTTACCTGTGCTGTGGATATTCAATACATTTAGATTAATTTGATTTCTAATATTCCATTTGATTGTAATAGTGTAATTTTCCCATTTTTCGGCTCATTGTTACTCAGCCTCAAGTAAACAGGTGAGTTCAATTGGATTACTGGCTAATTAATATTCTCCTTTTTCTCATTCCTGTGTCTATGATTTATTCTGCATCTTCGCCATTGAATTGATTAATTATTCTTTTTTCTCTCTTTCATTTTCTACAGGTAGTAACCGTTTTTTTTTCATCAATAAATATGAGTGATTATTGGCTTATCTCAGCTCCTGGAGAGAAAACAATTCAACAAACATGGGAGGCTCTAAATAATGCTACAAGTAAACAAGATTTAGCCAAGAACTCTAAATTTCCCATTCCAGACCTTAAAGTTGGTACTTTGGACACACTTGTTGGACTCTCTGATGATCTGGCTAAACTTGACACTTACGTTGAAAGCGTTTGTCGTAAATTAGCAACTTGTATTCATGATACCCTTGAGAACAAGAATGACAACATAAACGAACACTTAAAAGCCAATGGTCAAGAATTAAGCAAATATTTAACACAGTTTCAGTGGGAAAAGGCGAAATATCCATCACAGCAAAGTCTTAAAGTCCTTTACGATATAATAAACAAGCAGCTATCGCAAATTGATGCTGATCTCAAGACAAAATCGTCGGTTTATAATTCGTTGAAAGGTTCGTAGTCGTTATTATAAGTTACAAATTTAGATACATTTATTATAAGTAGTAGTTTGGTGGTTATTTATCAAACCATATCGATTTCTAATCTCATCTTTTATTTCTAATTTTCTATTCTATCACTCAATTTTTCAGGTACTTTACAATCGATGGAGAGAAAACAAACTGGCTCCCTTCTAGTCCGAAATCTTGGCGATATTTGTGAAAAGAAACACTTTGTTTTGGGCTCGGAATATCTCACAACCTTACTGGTTGTTGTGCCTAAAGCATATTTCAAAGAATGGAATGCAAAGTATGAGAAAATTACCGATCTTGTTGTTCCTCGATCATCTGAGTTGATCTCTGAGGATAACGAACACGGATTATTCACAGTTACAGTGTTCTCTAAGTGCATCGATGATTTTAAAACTCGTTGTCGAGAACACAAGTTTATTGTTCGAGATTTCCAATACAACGAACAAGAGATTGCCGATAGTAAGAACATGCTTGCTAAATTAGAAATAGACAAGGAGAAGAAGTTACAAAATCTTCTAAGATGGTTAAAGATCAATTTCTCCGAAACCTTTATCGCTTGGGTCCATGTTAAAGCGTTGAGAGTTTTCGTCGAATCGGTTTTACGTTATGGACTTCCAGTCAATTTTCTTGCAGTACTTATACATCCTAATAAGAAACAACAAAGGAAACTTCGTGAAACCTTGAACAGTCTCTATTCTCATCTGGATTCATCAGCCACCGGTGGGCCAGTTGAAGATATTCCCGGATTGAATATGGGCCCGCAAGAATATTATCCATACGTTTATTTCAAGATTAACATTGACATGTTATCTAATCCATAAGGTTCTTGTCGAAATGCTGCCCATAATGATGGAGATTATCAAATATTAAATGGAGAGACAGAGAAAGAAAGAGAAAGAGAAAAATTTACCCTCGATGATGATAAATCTGCACATACATATACAAATACAACAATTGATTCCTACGGAAAAAAAAGTTAACGTTGATTCCGGTTGTTTTGAGGATGAATTTTAAACAAGTTTAAACAAGCTGTTAATATAAACACAATTAACCCAAATATGTGAACCAAGTTAGTCAAAAATTAGTTTTCAAGTCTTCAATGTTTTCCCGTTGGACGATAAATAAGACAAAGAAAACAAGCGATCTTTACATTGAGTGACCTTTAATTTCCTTGGTGGGCATTTAAGGTCAAGATAATTCCCGTTTCTTTTTTTGCTTGAGACAATTTTTGTTCCCATTATTTATAATCAAGTATGAAAACAAATTACAATTACAAACATATACACACACTTATATATAAATATATCAGAGAGAATGAGTTATAATGAGTTAATCTACAAACTCAATTGAATTGTTTTATCGAATTGTTTTTCCTTGAGAAACAAATATCTTTTGTTACTCTTTACCCTGTTCTTTGTTTTCTTTGTTTACAATCTATTTCCGATTTATATATATAATTATTTCCCAATTATAATTCCAATCAATATTATACACAAAGAAATGAAAAAAAAAATATAATTGCCAAACGAATGTATAAAAACTCAGAGACACAGATTTGGATTTTGGAATCTGAAGATAATCGAGAATCAAAAATAATAATCACAAATAAAAATGACTCATAATCATGTTGTTCTTTTTATGATGATGCCCCAGGATAAATTGCACTTTAATTGTAATTATCAAGTGTTTTGGGTGTTAAAAAAATGTAACAATTAGTTGAATTTAATGATTGCAATGGTGCCTCGATTGTCCAAACGACCAGTGTAACAAATTGCATAAAGTGAATTGGCGATGAACAATTAATGAAATATTAGTGAAATTTAATAGTTTTGTTTGTTGATAAATCACATCTTTCTCCAGGGTTATTGTTAATTGTTGATTAATTGCAGTGTAATTTAGTTTTCGATGATGATTCTCTCTCTGGTTTTTTCTTTGCTTGTCCTTCAAGAGCTTCTTTCTCTAGGAAACTAAATTACAATAGAAAAAGATTATAAAAGGAAATGTATGTTTAGCTAATTAGTGGAAAAAAGTAATCTTTCAATTGTAAGTGATTAGTTAATTTACCTAAACCATAGAAATGGTAGACAAATTGTTCCAAAATGCCAAATTGAATGAGCATCCAAAATGAAATAGATTGGAGGGAAATCGTTAATCTCAAAGATGAGAAGACAATTAACTAGTAGAATTGATATGACACATTTGACAATATGATGATCTTTTAATTGTGACATCGGTATAGTTGCAAGTCTCTTGTAGGCCCAAATTAACCATAAAAGTGAACTGGAAAAGCCTAAGGAGAAATAAACAACAATGAGAGAGAAATTAAAACCATGAGATTGATTCAAGATTCAATGAGAAATGAATGAATCTTACCAGCAACAAGATTCGCCTTCATATTGAAAGCATAATCAAATTGTACAAAAATAAGGTAATAAACATGATACAAATAGTAACTAATAAAAGGTAATAACAGTGAAGTGTGAATGGTTGATCTTTTTCCAGGTAAATCGAGGTGTTCATCTATCATTCTGACAACAATGGCATAGAAAGAAAACAGAACAGTCGAAAATGCAGAAAAATAATCCAACCTCTGTAGAAGAAAATGCAAAACAAAACATTAGAATGTAAATCGAGATCGAGATCGAGATCGAACAATTTACCAATGTTCTAATTTCAATACCTCAGTTAGTAGAGTGTCTCTACTGTGAAAAACAGTCGACCAGAGCCAAGCATTCATACTAAGAATGGCTCCAATCGTAGTGACCTTGAAATAAGGATCGACAATGTTTCCAACAGTAAAACCCTTGTCCAGATCATCGGACGGACTTTCCTGGAGAATCCGTTTAGCATAACGAGTCCAAGCGAGATAAGTAGTGACCAAATTCAAGAGGGAAAATAAGGCCGATGCCGGTTCTTGGATTCCAAAGAATCGATAAAAAGTCCACTAGAAAAGAAAAGTGAAAAACACTCAATTAGAAAAACGAATGTGATTATTGAGAAAAGGAAAAAAAATAGAAAAGAAAACAGGTAAACATAATAACATATTCTCTCATCTGGAAACAATTCTGGTTCTAATTTTACGGATGAAGGAGAAAGAAGAATATCACTTTCACTGGGTAAGTAGAGACACTTTTGTGACAATTAAGAATAACTGTTAAGTGAGAATAATTGATTACCTTTCCATGGAACTGAGGTAAAAGATTTCTCTCCAATTCCAATTCAACGAGAAGAAAATCAATTGTTGACCATTGGCATTGATATTTACACTCTTCTTCACAGCTCCATAGAGTTAAATTCAGATGAACTGGTTGATTGGTCCAAAATTTTTCTAATTCCTCTTGGTTAGAACAATTTGATGATAAACAATCAGTTAAACATTTCCGGTAATAGGAAAGGTGATCACCAACTGATCCTTTAACATGACCAATGAAATTGAGTGATGAGAGAAACACAAACAGTTGCAAGGTCAATAGGAAAATCTTGTTAATCATTGATTATAACGATTGCGACTATTTGGTAACATTTAGAAGACAATTAACTGGTAACAATTAGTATTCGCAATCGGAGAAAATGGAACATAATCAAAATATAGAAAAGAAAAGAAAAACATGAATGATAAACAAAAAGAAAAACAAACCAGAGGAAGAGCTTTTCCTCTTTCTCTCTGATGAGTTGTAATAATTTCTCAATGAAGATGAAGGTGAGAGAGAAACCGAGACTTGAAACTGGAAGAGAAGAAGAAGAGAAAGCAAAAAAGAAAGAAAAAAGAAAGAGTCGAGTGTTTTCTCTTCTCAATTAATTTGATAGAAAGTTGATCAACCTTAATAATCAGAATTGTTGCCCATCACTTTGGATCCATTGAGAATCATCATTACAACGGTTTCCTAATTGTTAACATTTCATTTCCTGTTAACGGAAAAAATTGACTATTGATCAGTGGAAATGAAGAAACATTGATTCAGTTTAGAATCGTGATATTAATCATTTCAATCAATTCCTCATCAGTGAGAATCAGTTAATTTAAATGCCATTAGGATGATTTTTATTGGCTCGAAGGACAAAAAGTTCGAGAATTTTTTTAATGTTCAAACTGTTCAAAGTTTTTAAATCTCTTACAATTTAATATGATTGATTTACTATTACTATTACTATTTAATCAATGTGAAAATTGTGAAATCTAACAAATCACAATAAACACAACACAATTATCGAAGATATTTTCTTGATTATTTTATCATTTACATTTGATTATCTTCAATTGGGAGATCGGAAAATAAACGAATGAGGCGTTAATCGTTAATTGCAAGATAATAAATTGTTTGATTTACTTGATTGCTACACTTCAGATGATTGTTTCTCTTATGAATACTACGATTATGTCTAAATCAATTTGTATTTGTTTTCTTCTTCTCACCAATCTAATTAGTTTAATTGTCTCAGAAAAAGGTTCCTTACCTTTGGTGATTAACACTTGGCCTTTTACCAATGCAACGATTGCGGGTAAGTGACCGGAAATATTTACTTGAAGTAATTGATTGTGATATTTTCTAATTGTAATATTGATTAGCATGGGAAACGATTTACCATGAAGGTGGATCAGCTGTTGATGCCGTCGAAAGAGGATGCTCTCAGTGCGAGGTTGACCAATGCGATGGTACCGTCGGGTGGGGCGGAAGTCCCGATGAAAACGGAGAGACGACACTTGATGCTATGATCATGGATGCGTAAGCTTATTTTTAATTGTTCTGTTGATCAGTCAAATGATTGTTGTACCTTTTCAGGACAACTCATGATATTGGTGCAGTTGGGGCACTTCGAAGGGTCAAACAGGCCATTTCGGTCGCTCGAAAGGTCATGGAAAACACGAATCACACTTTATTGGTCGGAGATCAAGCGACACAATTTGCCCTCTCATTGGGATTTCATGAGACAAGTTTGACTTCAGATAAATCGAGAAAAATTCAAGCCGATTGGATAAATAATTCCTGTCAACCTAATTACTGGATTAATGTTAATCCAGATCCAATGTTACAATGTGGACCTTATCATTTACCACAATCAGATAAACTAATCAAATCAAACACAATTGACAATCCAAATACAATTATCTCATCTTCTGAATCAGAAAGAGGTCATGACACCATTGGGATGATCGTAATTGACTCAAATGGACTGATATCAACGGGCACTTCGACTAATGGACTGAGTCACAAAATCCCTGGGTAAGATTAACTCTCTCAATCTAATTGTTGTGATTAAATGTTTTTCCTCTCAATTAATTGATGATCTGTTTTTCCAGTCGTGTCGGTGACTCTCCGATTCCTGGAGCTGGTGCTTATGCCGAAAAGGATGTCGGTGCTGCTGCTGGTACAGGAGACGGTGACATCGCCATGAGATTTGCTCCGGCGTAAGTTAATTGTCCCAAAATCGAGTAAATTAATTTCTCACTAATTAGTCTTATCTTTTAGGTATCAAGCTGTCGTTAATTTAAAACTCGGTATGAGTCCAACAATCGCAGCTAAAGATGCCATTGAACGGATGGCAAATTATTTTCCAAATGCTATGTTAGCTTTAATTGTCGCAAATAATCAAGGAGATTTCGGTTAGTAACCAAATTAAGTTTACTTATTTTAATCTCGATCTAATTGTATCTCGTTTATTTCTAATTGAAAAGGTGCTGCTTGCAATGGAATTGAAACTTTCCCGTTCTCTGTAATTAATCCAAACCAATCAAAAGTAACAGTTTATCGTGTTAATTGTACAAATCCAATCAAACCAAGTCCACACTGAACGTTGGTCAATAAACAGAATCGAGATTGTAATCACCAACGAATCAAAGTCTTCAAAGTTACCAATTAACCCGTTATAATGTGTCCAAAACACTCGATAATTACAATTAAAGTGCAATTTATCCTGGGGCATCATCATAAAAAGAACAACATGATTATGAGTCATTTTTATTTGTGATTATTATTTTTGATTCTCGATTATCTTCAGATTCCAAAAATTCAAATCTGCGTCTCTGAGTTTTTATATTAATACATTCGTTACAAAGAATGGATATCGAATATCGGATAACCGATATTTTGCTTCGATAATTTTCGTTTTTTTTCTGTTCTGTTTTTTTGGCAATTTCAAGTTCAGTTTTGATTTTCTCTTAGTTAATTGTAAATCAATTTGTTTTGATTGATTCATAGTTTAATAGAGAGAGAAAGTGTCTATTCGAATATTGTACAATGGGTGCTGATCCGTTGTTCGAAATGAGAAATGCCTTCTACATTGGTAACTTTCAGAATTGTATCGAATCTTCAATCGCTTCGTCTTCTTGCCATGTACCATTCGGAGAAAGATGTTGACGCTAATGAAGCGGTTTCTTTAAGAATTCAACCTGATGCTGGATTAAGAGTGTTCCATGCTTCAAATTTACCTAATGTTAGTTTGTATGTAATAGCTTCAAATTGTTAGTGAGTTAATCGTTAATGGTTTATGATAATCAGCTAACTGATTATCTAATGATGATTTATCTTGATTGGAGTTAATCAAGGTCGAGAAGCCACCACAGGCATTTAACAAGTGATGGTATAAGAAAAAACAACTTAAACCATTTTACATTGTAAATTGCTCTCAGTTGAATAGTAACCGTTTCGGTGGTAAGATTAACAATTAATAACTAAAATTTGAGTTCTCCAATCGTGACAACAATTAAGTTTCAAATGGATATTTCATTTAAAGGAAAACGAGCCCTTGTAACCGGAGCAGGAAGAGGTAAGTGACTAATTAACTTAATCATGACCATTGATTGTTACAATTTCCAATTACAATTATAACTGATTCCAGGAATTGGACGAGATACAGTTAAGCGTCTTGTTAAATTAGGTGCAAAGGTCGTGGCCTTAAGTAAGACCAAAGAGGGTCTTGAATCACTTAAATTAGAGGTAAATTGTTGAAAATTTCCCGTTAACCTTGAATCCAAACTCACCTGAAGGGGTCAAATAGATTAACCTGTTAACCATTGACCCTTTGTTAGCCTTGACAAGATGACATTCTAGTAAGACAAATATCCATTCAATCAATTTATTAATAGTTACCAGAAATTGAAATTGTTCAATGTGACCTTGCCAATTGGGATGAGACCAAAAAAGCAATATCTTCATTGGATACAATTGATTTGGTTGTTAACAATGCTGCTTATGCTAAATTGGATCCAATTGGTTTGGTTGATGAGGAAACTGTTGACCTGTAAGTGGACAACAATGACCATTGTAATATCACAATTAACTATCTTTTCATTAATAAATAGGCACTTCAACATTAACGTCAAGTCGATCATCAATGTTACCCAAGAAGTGGTGAAAAAATTGAAAGCCCAAGGCAAACCAGGATCAATTGTGAACATCTCAAGCCAAGCGGGAATGGTGGCCTTACAAGACCATGTCGCTTATTGTGCTTCCAAGGGTGCGGTTGATCAGATCACTCGTGTTTCAGCCCTTGAACTTGGTCCATTCGGTATTCGTTGTAATTCAATCAACCCGACGGTCGTTGAAACCGACATGGGTAAAAAAGGCTGGTCTGATCCCGTTAAGCGCAAATGGATGATGGACCGAATTCCGTTGCAGAAATTTGCTTCGGTTGATGATGTGGTCGACTCAATTGTCTTCTTATTAAGTGATAAATCAGCAATGATCAATGGTGTTATATTGCCCATCGATGGTGGATTTACAGCTTGTTAAGCTCGATTACAATCAGTTGATCGTTTTAATTTGATACCAATTAAAGTAGCAATTAATTGATCGTTTTTGTTTTCGCTTCAAAGATTAACTTTTAATTTCATTAAACCATAAATTACAAAACTCCCAGAAAAATTGTTGATTATTAAACAGGATTGCTTTTTTTATGATTGCGAACGATTATTATTAAATCATTAATTATGATCAAATTAATTTACAAAAAAATGTAGATTAGTATTTTTTAGATTTACCTGGTTTACCTAATCCAGTGTCTTTTTTGTTAATCTTTATGTACTCTGGCATATCAGGCGAGGGGATTACGGTTGTTGTGTCCGAATCGTTTGGTGGATTAACACGTAACTATTAATAATATTAATAGAGTAGATTATTAATCAGAGTGATTTTATCGTAATTGTGATTAACTTACCAGAATCCTTTGTTTTTCAGCGCAAGCATATTCGGTCTCATCGATGTCGTTATAACAATCTGACCTTGAATTTTTGGGAACATTTTGGCCTTGATATTCACAGAGTTTATCCAATGGTATCGACTTGACGATCATTTTTTTGAGGTCATCGGGCTTTTCTTGGGGACAATAGAAAACTTTTGGTGTTTTAATATCAAAGACGATGCTTTTCCTCATCATGTCTCCCTTGACCACCACCCCAAGGGTCAGTGCAATTGCAACAATCAACTTGACACCTTTAAAAGAGACAAAGAAATGACAATTATAATTTGAACCAAATGGTCAGTTAATCTTACCCATTATTTGGATGAATGAAGTGAGGTGAATGTTTAATCACTGATACAAATGATCAACTTAATTGTTACACAGACTTTGAATTATTGGAACTGAATTAAAAGTAAGAGACAAAGATGATTGTGTATTTCCATCTTCTTGATTCGGATTAAGTAAACCGGTTTAAATCTAATTGTTCATTTTTAGCTTCTTCTTTTCTTGGATAATCTTTTTTTCTCTTTTCATGGTTATCCGGTTCTCGTTAATTGTTGTTTCATGAGAATCAGGTACAATATAACTATTAACAGTTTTCACTTGAGAATGAAAAAATTTAATGATCTTATTATCATCAATCCAATTGTCACAAACATTTTAACTCTCATCATATATTTCCGATGCATTATGAGTTATTGTTTAAAAAAAGGTTCGAAAACAAAAGGTTCCCCGTTCTCTGTAATTAATCAAACCAATTGAAAGTAACAACTTATCGTGTTAATTGTACAAATCCAATCAAACCAAGTCCACACTGAACGTTGGTCAATAAACAGAATCGAGATTGTAATCACCAACGAATCAAAGTCTTCAAAGTTACCAATTAACCCGTTATAATGTGTCCAAAACACTCGATAATTTAATTGTAATCAATTAAAGTGCAATTTATCCTTGGGCATCATCATAAAAAGAACAACAAATTCCAAATCGGTGTCTCTGAGTTTTTATACATTCGTTTGACAATTATTTTCTTTTCTTTGTGTATAATATTGATTGGAATTATAAGTTCCTCATATTCACAACAATTTACCCGTTAAACCCTTTGATTCATTTGATGGAACTTCCATTTTCTCTAAATACAATTTTAAGGTCACCACGGCCTGGGACAGGGTTAGGAACATACAATGTGCACATTTTAAACAATTAAAAGAAGGTGAAAAGGAATTAATTTGATGATAAACTGTCGATCGACACTAAGTTAGTGTCCAATTAATTTAGATGAAAGAATCGATATCGAATATCGGATAGCCGATATATTGTATCGATTATTTTTCGGTTTTTGTTTTTTTTTCTGTTCTGTTTTGTTGGCAGTTTGATTTTCTCTTTGTTTATTGTTAATTAATTAATTTGTTTTTGATTTGTTTTGATTAATTCATAGTTTAATAGAGAGAGAAAGTGTCTATTCGAATATTGTACAATGGGTGCTGATCCGTTGTTCGAAATGAGAAATGCCTTCTACATTGGTAACTTTCAGAATTGTATCAATGAAGCTCTCAAATGCAAAGTGAATTCTGAAGAAAAAGATATTCTCATGTATCGTTCTTATATTGCTCAGAAAAAGTATGGTGTTGTTCTGGATGGAATCACCTCAACAGCCTCATCGAATCTTCAATCGCTTCGTCTTCTTGCCATGTACCATTCAGAGAAAGATGTTGATGCTAAGGCTTCAATTGCTGAGAAAATTTTCTCAATGGCAAATTTTGCTATGAATTCGGAAAATGGTGAAGATTATGTTAAACTGTTGGTCGCTGCTATTGTTCATTGTAATGAAGCGGTTTCTTTAAGAATTCAACCTGATGCTGGATTAAGAGTATTACATGCTTCCGATCATATTGAATGTATTGCTATGATGCTTCAAATTTACCTAATGTTGGATCGGGTTGACCTTGCACGTAAAGAATTGAAAAAGATGCAAGAGAAAGATGAAGAAGCCACTTTAACCCAACTCGCTCAAGCCTGGATCAATATCTATGTTGGTGGGGAAAAGTTTCAAGAGGCTTATTACATTTACCAAGAATTGTCCGATAAATATGGACCAACTCCTCTTCTTTTGAATGGAATCGCTGTTGCCCAAATTGGCCAAGGAAAATATGAGGAAGTTGAATCCATTTTACAACAAGCACTCGAAAAGGATAACAACAATCCGGAAACATTGATCAATCTAATTCATGTTTCTCATCAACTTGGAAAACCACCTGAGGTTTGCAATCGATTCCTCAGTCAACTCAAAGATTCCAGCAGCAAACATCCTTATGTTAGTGATCTCACATCAAAGGAAAATGAATTTGAAAGGCTGACAAAACAATACACTTTACAATTTGAATGAATTTCCAAGATAAATCCAGCAATCAATCAACAACAATCAACAACAACACCACCACCAACAACAACAACATAATTCAAATTTAATTTCCTATTCACATTCTGCTGATTTGTTTGATTCTTTTGTATTTCAAGTTTTTTTTTCTAATTGTCAAGAAAGATTTTACAATCTATTCTCATGCTACAATTAAGCAACACTTGAATTTCAACAGATTCTAATTCAACAATCAGAGAGATCATTTTCTTAAAATTAAATTGATTGTAATAATCAATGATGATGCCACCATCTTCAATTAATCCAACCATCGCCTCCACTAATAACCAAGTCACTGAAAGAACGGAAAACAACAATTAATTGATTACAATCTGAATCTTTTCTTTTTCTAATTATCTATTCTGAATGATTAACATAACTTTTTATATTTTAATTGCGGAGAATATTTTTCTTTTTTGTTTAAATCAGTTCATAGTTAAATGTAACTCACGATAAATCAAAATGAGTTGAACTAAAAATTAAGATCAATCAACTAAATTGTTACCAAATCAAATTAATCTTAATAGTCTTTGATTTTAGCTGTTTTATCTTGGAATTAAATTAACTAAGGAATCGTTTAATTGTAACAAAAAAAATCTCTTTTCCATCTAAATGATTAACTAAATTCCAGTGAATATGTTAACATTAGATGATTAATTCTTACAATTTAATTTTACAACAAAAATCTGTAACAATTAATGAATTAAAACTTATATTTGAAAAGTGTAACTTTAATTGTCTCATTTGACTAACAATTTATCAATGAAAACTGAGATGAAATTTATAGTTAATTGTTGTAACCAATCAAATCTTATTGCTGATTAAATTACTTTTAATCAGTTCACCTGATTGTTGATTCAAGGTGATCATCTCATTGTGTTTAACTAATCACAGTTGTCAATTTAATGAATTAGTAATTCAATTGTTGGGAATATAATTAAGGACAAATTAAATCCAATGAAGTTTATTAAATTTGATTGAATGAAAGTTAAACAATTAGTTTGATGATTTGTGGGAAAAATGTTTGATAATTAATATGACAATTGAAAGCACTTTGTAGATACAAATCAGATATTTAATCTGATTACAATTAAGGCAATTAAGTATGATAGAAATTAAATTGTTGATGATTAACATTGTACTAAATTAATTAATGAAAATTTTGAGCTAATCAAAAAAACTGTTTTGTCAATCTATTGATATAAAAATTTGATCAAAATAATATTAATAATACATTTACAAAAATGAAAAAATTGACAATTAAAGTTAAAAAGTGATTAAGTGATGAGTCAAGATGAACAATTAGTACTAATTGTCAATTTGTAATTGAGAAATATCACAAAAAGTGAGTCTTAAGTTTAACAATTAAAAAAAACACGAAAAAAGGCCAATTGATTGTGACCATAAATTGATTGTCAAATTGATTAATCAGTTAATTCTTGAACGGCTTCAGAATATCCTTTTAATTTAGCGTATCTTAAGGCCGTTTTGCCGTCGGAATCTTTTATCATTTTATCGGCACCTTTTTCCAACAGAAGACGAATGATCTTAGTCTGGTCATTTAGAACTGCCAAATGAAGGGGTGTCCGTCCCAATGATCCTTTCGCGTTGATTGGTGACCCACAATTAAGAAGCGTTTGAACAATTATCGCGTTTCCTTGAGAGCAAGCAAAGTGCAACGGAGTATCATTTTTCTTGTCTCTAACTGCGACATTGGCCTTTCGAGTCAAAAGGAGCTCCAGTGTTTCAAGGTGTTCGTTTATTGTGGCCATGTGAAGAGCGGAATTAGTTTTGTCCTTTTTGGGATTAATTCGAGCTCCTTTATCGAGGAGCAGTTCAATGATCGGCACATGACCCATGGCCGCAGCTAAATTCAATGCGCTGTCACCATTTTTATCTCGTGAATTGATGTTGGTTTTATGGCTCAGTAGCAAGTTCAACACTTCGACTGACCCATTGTAAGCGGCCTCGTGAATGGGTCGACGTTTAAGTTTATTTTTAACATCGGGTGTCGCTCCATAATCAAGGAGAATCCGAACCGTTTCCATGTGACCTTTATGAGCGGCCAAATGTAAAGGTGTATCTTTCTCAGAGTCAACCATATTGACCTGTCCACCTTTAACAACCAAATGGTCAACAACCTCAGTGAACCCATTAAAAGCCGCTTTGTGAATGGGTGTTTGTTTCCGTTCATTTCTAACATTGACCTGAGCTCCACTGAAAGTCAACAGTTGAACTAACTTCAAATGGCCCAGTGAAGAGGCAATAATTAGAGGAGTATTTTTTCATTATCTTTCACCTCTAGATCAATTCCTCGAGGAGAATCAGTTGTCGAAGTGTCTCCTCATGACCCGAAAAACAGGCCACATGAAGCGCATTTCGACCTTCAGAGTTTTTATACTTTAAATTTGCTCCTTTGGACAATAAAAATTTAACAGCTTCCGCTTTTCCAGCTCGAGCAGCATAATGCAAAGGTGTGTTTCCATCGGTATCGATCATGTCAACGGCCACTCTTTGGGAAAGATGCAAAGCGATCACTTCGACCACTCCTCTTGCAGCCGCTTCATGAATGGTCAATGGTTCAAGTGACTTTCGTCTATCGAGTGTTTCGTTTATTATCTTTGTCGAATCGCAATCATCAATGGTTTTCGAGTTATTATTATCTTCATCGGAGAAAATTTTATAATTGTTGTCCACGATTGAACAACTACTATCGGGTGTAGGCCATCGACCTGATTCAGTTCGATAGAGCGATTCTCTTCTAGATTCGATCTTTTCAAAATATTCTGTTACAAATGAGACTTTTCTTCGACCAGTATAACCGTTCGGCGGTGAATTTGGACTACGAACCAACTTGTTATCATATCGAATCTCGTCATCTGATTTCATTCTGAGGTGCAAATTCAACAGCCGAGACAACGGATCTCGGCGTTGAATTAGTTTGACCAAAGGTGAGGTAGTCGACTGGTCACTTTCCTTTTTAAAAAGACAATTATCTTCCTTTTTATCAGTGAAATTCGCACTGGTCTTCGTTTCGATTACTTTTTCTTTCGTTTCCTTTTCCTGTTGCTCTTCAATTTCTTCCTCTTCATCAGCCTCTTCGACTCTTTTCATTTTCTCTTGATAATTTAACTTCATTGACACAAAAGGTTGAACATGAGATGCGATCATAGTTGACGGCGAAATCAATGAAGGTGTTGATTCGTAGTTAATTGCTCTGGATTCATTCAATTGTTCACCATCAAGATCGTTTGTCATCTGATCTTCCAACAGGCTCTCAATGAATTGATTGTTTAATTTTTTGGCCAAACAAAGAGGAGTTAATCCTTCACTATTTTTAATATTCAAATTAATTTTTAATTGTTGCTCATTAGAAGTTGATTGATTAGTATAATGGTTGATGAAACATTGAACAATTGACTCGTTCCCAGTAGTTATAGCCAAATGAAGTGGAGTTTGATTATATGTTTCAACGGCTCCATCAACAGCTGATGTGTGATTATCATCAAAATTAGTAATTGGTAAAGTTAAACAATTAGAATCAGCCCCTGAGAGGAAAAACAATCAAAAACAAGAACAATTAACACAATAAAAATGTACAGATGCTCAAGTTACTATTAATTGTTAAGAGAGTCGAGAAACTAATTCAAATTACCAATAACTCAATCAATAAACAATGGGGATTGATTAATTGATTTGAATAAAATAAAGCAAATTAATCGAGAAGTTCACAATCAAGTGAAAAACGATATCGTTTGAAACAATTACAATTGTTAAATTAGTAAATTCTGTTATTAAAACAAAGTGTATCAGCTGAAAATATCATCTAACAGTTAATATTAACAGTAGAATTGTTTAAATCGTGAAAATTAACTCAAGGAATTGAAAAGATAATTAAATTATTTCACAATTAAATTACGATCGTTTTTTTATCGTTGGAAGAAAAGAAATCAACTAAACAATGTCTTAAATTGTTGATTGTGGATCAAACTGCTTGGAGCCAATAACAAGAATCATCATTTAGAATGAATCTGGTTTAGGTAATCAAATATAGATACTAATTTAAAATGACCTTCGAAACAGGTAAGTGAATGAAAAAAGAGTTAAAACTAATCATTAGAAGCCTTAAATCATTCAGGTAATCAAATAAACAGAGAAATCAACTGAACTGTGTAATTTTTGTTTCTTGTATTGATGAAAATTCATCAACAAGGAAAAAAAAAGGATTAGAATCAAATTGAATTGACACTCAAGAATCGTGGAAACGAATGAAATTTCATCTCATTATTTACAATCTATTGAAATTGTAGACAATCAAGTTTAATGTTCCACGATTAATGAAGACAATTAAGATTGATAATAAAGTTCTAACAATTGGAAATGTAATTTAGACCAATAAGATTTAAAGTAGAAAAGAAAAGTGTTAAATTGCTGTTAGTTGATCGCATTTAATTGTTGCAAGGATTCATATAAATGGTTAGGCAATTACTTACCTTTATTTAAAAGATATTCAACTATAGCCAATTGTCCATGAATGACCGCTAAATGAAGTGGACTTTTCCCTTGGAAATTAAGCCGATCAATGGGTTCACCAAGGTCTACCAAACATTTAACTGCCTCCGGGTTTCCCTGTTCAATGGCAACATCGAGTAAGGATTTCTTTGTGTACCTGAACATTGATCCATAGTAAAGGGACACAATATGAATGGCCGATGTTAACAGGTTATCCTTGGATTCTGAGGCTTTCCGATTTCAAGAGGAACAAAATTTCAACAAATCCGATGCAGAAAAAGGTAATGACCGGATTATTAAGATTCCAGCGAAATGAAAATGCGAAATGAAAACACACCAAACAATTTCATTTCAGATTAAACAAGGAACCAGATATGAATCAGAACAATCACCCAAGACCATCGGCATCAAAACCAGAGAGGAAATAATTGTCCAACAATTAAGATTTTAATTTGTAAACCAGAAAAAAACATCCAAAGGAGAAAGTGTTGAGTTGTAAAAACAAATGGAAAGAGGGAAAAATATATAAGAAAGAACAATAAATTATTCGGTAAACAATATAATCGGACAAGAAATTAAAGGTACTTTGTTGATTAATAATGTACCTTGACAGTGGTAATGAAAATGTTATAGAAAACAAGGAAAAATATTGAATTAAATTGTTGAAAAAACGGGGAAACAATCAAATGATTTAAACTTTTGCAGAAACAAAGACTTACCCGAAACATTGACCAACAGAGTTAACAGGAATCTCGCTGCGTAGATCATAAATCTATCTGCCATCCATGATAAATTCGAATTTATATCATCATAAGTAACCATATTTGATTATCATTTTGAACAATTTAAATCAATCAATATTCCTGATTGATTTAATGAAAACATTTTCATACAAATAAAAATGAAAAGTGAAAACAAGTTTTCAAGGCGGAGCTTCAACTCGACCGCCGATTATCCCAAACTGACACCTGACGGATTGTTAACCAACTAAATTCGCAATTAATGATTAACAATTAATCAAAATGATCAGATGATTTGTTAACATCACTCGTTGATTCAGTTGATTAATTCATCCATACGGCTACTATTTGAGTTGATTGTTCGAAATGCTTAATAATTAGTCACAATTATCAACGAATAGTTTGAGTTGATTTGTTGATTCAGTTCTGATTTAGCTTGAAATTTAAATTTCTCATCTGACAGATTTGATTAGTGGCTGAATAACTGACACCTTAGCTTTAATTGCAAATTTGATTGAAAGTTGATTGATAAATATGAAAACTGTAAAATTAACTTAATCTGATTTGTGTTAAATTAAAAGTTGATTAGTTGATTTTTACTAATTATTGTTGATTTAATCATTGAATCAATATTCATCTTGTCAAACTGGATTTGATTTGATATCATTAACTGTTATCAAGAAAATAATTGATTTCTTATTAGATAATAATTATTACATTGTATTAATTAATTTGTAAATTCTAGTGATCAATATAATTAAATAAATTTAACGTTCCTTCAGGATGATTAACTAATTTTGACCAAATTACCTTTTGTATTAATTTGTTAATTGTGGACATACAACTTGGTGGGTCTTCATTTTTTGCTTCAATGAAATGATTGGTCACAATTAAATTAATTCAAATGACTTTTTAATTAATATTTACAATTGATGATTACAAATTAATATTGATAAAATTAAATCACTTCAATTAATCATTGATAGTTGATCAACAATGGCAAGGGATTTGATGATGATGATGATGACAAGAGGACTGGAAAATAATCAATTTTGATTGCTGTTGATGATTGTTACGATAAAATCATTAGCTAAATTAATTGATTAGCTAAAAGTTAACTAACAATTAAATTGATGATTAAATCAAATGTATAAATTGTAAAAACCTAAAGGATTTTGATCAAAATTATATTACAAAGACCTAATCCTTGATATTTTTGATGATTAAAAGATGATACAAATTGTGATGAAAATGTTACAATTAATTAAATTGCAATTTTGCATAATTAAAATAAGTGAGTTAATTAATTTTTGGCACTGGAAGAGGTTTCAAAAATTGATTTAGTCTTTTTTCCAGTCACTTGTTTCATAAACAAAAAATAATTGATATCCTTAATTAAGATGGATGGTAATTAATTAACTATCCTGATTAAGGTTCTCCAACTGATTAAATTAAATTACAATTCAGTTGTTTTACCATCACGGGTCAATAGGGTTCGTCCATCAGTAAACATTGGTGAGCGATTGTCATCTCTAGATGAATGAAAAAGAGAAACGGACAATTAGTTAATTTTGATTGATTGTTGTCCATCACTAATTACTTACAATAATTTATAATAAAGTGGCGTTTTTAGATTTGATTTAAGGCCTTCATTGGATGAAGATGAACCTGAACTTTCGGGTCTACTGGTTGACCTTGATGAAGAAGATTTATCATTGACGGTGCTTGTAACGGTACTTGGTGAGTGATTATTGTAAGCTCGAGATCTCGGCATGTAGGATACATTGGACATTAGATCTCGAACTGAGATGAGACCTCGAAGGGAGGTTTTATCGCTTTCCAATGGTGTTGAAGATGAAGATGAGGATGAGTGAGTTGATGAAGAAAGATGATGACCATTGTAACCACCGCGTTCTATTCCTCGGCCGCCCATTTCGTCGTCAATTTTCATGTCCATGTGAAGAACTTGAGTTTCATATTGTTTACCATTATTGGCGAGGATTGATGAGCTTGTCACAGTTTCGGCGGTATAAATGGGATCGTAAAGTCGAGGTGGTGCCGGTGACATCATAACTCGTTTAACTTTACCCCCACCAGGCTTGGAAATAGTTGATCCGGTGGTTGGGGCGGATGAACTTTTTGAACTAGATCCACATTGGTAAACGATTCCCGCACAGCCACAGACTGCGATCGCAGCAGCTAAGACAATTAGTCCAAGTCCTAAATTGTTTATATCGGAATTCATTGGAATTGGGACAACTGCAGCCGTTGAAACAATTATTGGTACATAGGGAGATCGAACTGTCAAAGTTGAACTGGCCAATCCAAGGCCTGAAGTTAACGCTTGAATCAGTGAGTATTTAATTTTAACATCAGACAAAATTGATTCAATCTTTGGATCATCAGTTGGTAAAATTTTCAATGTCGAAGGGTCAATCAAGTGGATCCAAATATCTGTCCCGGTTACATCTGATTCAATTGTATGGTTTCGTTGGATTTTCAGTGACTCAGCCTTTTCCCAGCCCGTTATCAGGCCAGTTCGGTCTTGAATTATTTGTAAAAATTGCTCCTTTGATTCTTGAGCACGACCAGTTGAAGTATCACGAAGTACGAAGATAAGTCGGTGTTTATCTTCAATCAGATTAACAATGACCTCAGAAGATTCAGAAAGTGAGGACGATTGAAGCTGTGGATTATCACGGACAATAACCTCAAGTCGAAGCGGTAACTGGCTTGGAGGAATATCTTCCATGGGGCGAGAGGTTCTTAATATTCCCGAACCAGGTTCAATTTTGAATCGACCCTGAGGATCCGAGGAAGGAATCAGTGAGTAAGTGATAATACCATTAGCAATTGAATCGGAATCAGTTGCTTTCAATTGAGCTACTTGAGAATCAGCTGGTGCATCAGATGAAATGGCGGCAATGTAACGATCGCGAGTAAGGTGTGAATACCGACCAGGGACATGGAAAACAGGCTTATTATCGTTAACATCCATAACATTGATAACAATTTGCGTCATCAATCTTGAGAATCCAGCTAAACCGGCGATACTATTTAATCGCAAGGTCAACATGTAACGCGATTGATGTTCATAGTCGAGTGGCTCTTTAATACGAATCTCACAATCTTGATTACTATTTTCAACGATACTGAATTTATCCTCATCATTACCAGAAATTATTTCACAGGTAAAAGTGAAATGACTTCGAGGTTTATTCATGATTGGTAATGTTTTAACTATGGTGCTACTGGGAGTGTTTTCGTCAATTTCAACACTGGAAAAGAGGAAGACAGGAATTAGTTTATCATTAAATTCTTAACAAAATTAATTAACTTACGTATATTTAGAATCGGCAAAACCAAGACCAGGATCAGGAGAAGGGGTCGCGATGTGATCCACAAACACGGTTAATGTTGCTGAAGCGGATAAAGATGGACTTCCATTGTCACGAGCTATAATATCGATCTAAACAATTGACGAAAGATTAAGATAGTTAATTATATTAAAAGGAGATTATAAAATCTAATGGATTACAAAATGAATTTTCTTACTCGATACTCTGATTCTGGATCTTTTCTCAGGTCATCTTTGACAGAGATAATTCCAGTAGTTGAATCGATTATGAAAAAAGCTGGGGCCTTATCGCGGCCGATAATTTCGTAGCGAACAATATTTCCAGGAGCAGTTCCGTCGGCATCATTAGCACGAATGGTGGTCAAAATGGTTCCCAACGGGACTGAGTCTTGAAGTCTTATGGGTGACGGAAGAGAAACAAAATCTGGTGGATTGTCGTTCATATCAACCACTGAAACATAGACTTGAGTGGTCGCTCTTGGATCATCTGAATCATTTTCAACGGTACCGATGATAAGTGTATAAGAGTTACGAGTTTCATAATCAAGAGATCGAATCACTTTGACTATTCCGGTTGAAGGGTCAACAGAGAAAAGTGATTTATCTCCGTCACGAATTACATATGTAATTGAAGGTAAACTATCTGGATCGATGGCCTTAACTTGGACTAGATGGCGATTAGCGTAATTTTCAGGGACTGAAACCGTGTACACGGGCTGGGTAAATGTTGGAAGTTCATCTTGAAGATCTAAAACTTGAACAGTTACTGATGCGGTGGATAAACGGGCATTTGGAGCTTTATCCTTAGCGGTCACTACAAAGAAATGCTCCTTGACCCGTTCATAGTCAAGAGCCATAGCTGTGAATATATCACCAGAGGTTGGATTTATGCGAAAATGATGATCATCAGAGAGCGAGTAAACTACTTCAGCGTTTTCACCAATATCGGCATCTCGAGCGGTTACTTTGCCCACAAACGCGTCAGCTGTACCTTCATCGACCTTAAATGTATAATTTGACCTCAAAAAGTGTGGGTTCTCATCATTAATATCAGTTACACTTATTATGAGAGACACAGTACTGAAAAGACCATCACGATCTTCAGCTTTAACGATTAAATTGTAGGAAGAAACTTCTTCTCGGTCCAAAGGTTGACCGACATAAACAACACCAGTAACACTGTCAATGGTGAAATCTTTGTTAACATTACCCTCAACAATTGAATATTTAACAGGGTCATTTTCGGGATCGACCGCTTTTAGTGTAATGACTGTTGATCCAACGGAAATTCCTTCAGAAATTTCAATTTCATATCTTTCCTTAGGGAAAGCAGGTCCACCCGTATTTGGACCGCGAACAACGACAACCTCGAGTATACCTTGGGTCGATTTACCACTAGAATCAGTTACAGAGATCGTTAAACTATATTGTTCACCAGCGACTAATTTACCGATGGCCTCAATTTGTCCAGTCGATGAATCGATTCGGAATCTTTCTCGTCCAAGATTGGAAACGTGAAAAATAGCATATCGTAAACGTCCAGAGTCAACTTCATCAAGATCTTTAGCTTCAATCTAATGACCATAGAAAATGACAATTAATTAATTTCCATCAACTTTAATATTAATACATGTATTAAATTTATGTGATTAGTTAATCAACTTACTCTGTAAACATTTCTTGCTCCCTCACCAGCTTGAATTGTCACCGGTGATAGTGTTGGTAGTTTAGGTTGATTATCATTGACATCTTCGAGATGGACGTTAATTGTTATCGGTGGACTTGCTCCTTTACCTTTGGGTGCTCCTAATTGACGAGCAATCACCTAATAATACAATTACAATCAATTACAATTAGTATCAATTTCCAATGATCATTTAATTAGCTTCTTACCTGAAACTTGTAAATACTTGGATTGGGAGGGTCACGATCAAGATTAGGATCGTCAACAATTAAATAACCATCTCCATTTACACGAAATGAATTGCTAGTTACTTCAAATTCATAAATTGCTGGAGCATCATCTTTACCCTGTCAAGATTTAAGAGCACAATAAATTGCAATCAATTAAATTAACTGTTAAGCAGAAACATTTGTTCATTAAGCAAAAGTAATTCCGACCAACGGAAATAAATCAAATTGTGAGTACAATTAAACAATTATCCAAATCAACAGTTAACAATTACAATGATCTTCACCACTGTTTAAAATCAACAAATACATTATGATAGCAATCAAAATTTTATCCTCCAAGCAATTTAATCATCATCAGTTTGTTATAATTTAACTGAAATCAAACTGAATCAACTAATCATTATAAAACTATCATTAACAAAATCCCTCCAAGGGTTTTAATTATATGGATAATGATTCATATATAAATCATGGAAATAAATTGCTTCTATTGATTTGTGCATAGAAAACAAATTGTTAATCAGTGACAGTCACATTGATGATGATTAAATATCAACCAACAAGATTCAGTAATTAATTTAATAATGAGAAAAGTCAATCAACCAGAATCAACACTAATTATTTGTTAGTCGGACAAAGTGACATCGTCAGTGAGCTAAACTGCATTAAATTAAATGTACTCAGTGTAATCTTAATTATCTTCACAAGGGGACAACAATTAACTAATACTCACAATATCAGGATCGGTGACAGTTAATTTAAGAGGGGTTTTAGTTAACCGATCTTGGTAAACAATTGTACCAATTGCTGAGCCTTCAGGAACGTAACCATCAAATGATGAAGCCTTAATCATGGGAGGATTTTTATCAACGGCAACAATTTGAATTGTTAATTTAGCAAACGAGTGTCTCTTTGGATTATCTAATTGTTCAGCTTTAACATTGATTGTAAATGATTTGATTAATGATCGATCAACACGTTTAAGTTGTTTAACTAATCCACTTGTCCGGTCAATTGAAAAGTAATCAACATAATTACTTGGAGTTCCATTGACAAATGAATAAACTACCGAAGTGTTCAAAGTGTCACCATCACGAGCGAAAATTGCCTCAGGCGATATATTTACGATTCCAATCTAAATTGTTGACAAATATTAATTATAAAAAGGAAATGATTAAAAATCAGCCAACATTTAGTTGAATTTTAAATACACTCGTTGGCGGTGATTAGATATCTTTTAATGTGAACCAAAGTGTTTGGTCAAATTTGATTTAGTTTAACTGATTACTATTAATTGTTAAATACACCATGTTAATACCCTAGTTAATCAATCTGATTGTGGGAAGTTTATAATTACCGTTGAATCGCTTGTCACCGAAGCAAAGTAATTAACTTCTGAACATCGACCTTCCTTATTTAGTTGACAATTTTTATTTACGAAATAAGGATCTTGATCATCACCATCGATTACGTTAATTGTTAGGATCGCTGTTGATGAGAGCCTATCTGAACCATTATAACCTTTATCCTGTGATTGGGGCAAAAAAGTGGATTAAAATACAATTGATAAAATGACTTCAACCTTCACCCTGACAGGTTGAAGTTAATTGTAAATTATTGATTGATTTAGAGTTTGATTATTTCTAAATCAATGTTGATCAATTTTCATTGCATGTTACAACCATAACCATTATTATTATAACAAACAAACAAACAAACAGGTAAAATTAGTTTAATCTTGATGAACTTATTATCATGGTTTCTACTTTAATTGTGATTAACCATCAACAATTTAAAAACTTTTTCAAAGGTTTTTATCTTCTGTCATCATCATTTATCATCATCTTCTTTACAACGCCTTAATTGTTGAAAGATTCATCTTTTTCTTTTGGTTAATAACAATCAGAAAATATGATTTAAAGTAATGATAAAATTAAAAGGATTTTGTTATTTAACCATTTAACCGTAACGTGGACAAAATTTAATCACAATCAACACAAACAACAATCAAATTGTGAACAATTTAATTCCTTTGATTGCTTTTCATACAAATGACGATCAGACTGATTAAGGCAACATCATCATCATCATCATCATCAGCCGTTAATACCAATTGAATCAGATTAACAATATTAATCCAATAATGTCAAAAATTTAGAGTAAATCTCAATGATTAACAATTAGTTAATTAACTTACCATTGCAATAACTTTTAATTTGTACAAATTGGTGCGTTCATAATCAAGGGGCTTCTTAATTGTAACTAATCCTTGATGAGGCATTTTAATCTCAAAATATCCAAATCCATCAGTCTGTTTAATTAGAAAAGGAAAAGTTAATTAGTTATGGTAAATAATTTTGCTAATTGTTGATTAAATTTAATTACCTGTCCACCATCTAATGGTTGGATTAAGTATTCAACTAGTCCATTGTTACCAGAATCTGAATCGGTCGCTTCCAGATCTTTGAAAATTGTACTTCCAATGGGAGTTAACTGGATAATAACGAAACAATTAAATTGTTTATGATCAATATGTTTACACTTAATTGACAATCAAATTTTGTACAATGGAAACAAGAGTAAAAAAAGTTGATTAAGGTTATATTGTCTAAATTGTTACAACAATTTAAGGTCTTTTAAACTTGAACCTTGTTAGACAACATTGAAAGTTAGATTAATTTTTTTGATTTACTAATCATAATAACCTTATTGTTGTGATCAATATCAGTTTTAATTGTATTGGTCAAGCACACCTAATTAAATAGTAAATCATGATTATATTAACGTTAACAATTTAATATATTGATTGATTGATAGCAATTATATTGGGCGATGTCTTTTAATTTTCTGGTGCAAGGTTAACACATAAGTAAAAGTAATCATCAACATTTTAAAGTAATCAAAAAATTTTGATAGTAATTAAATTGTTGAAACACTTAGAACACATATTAACTTAATTGTCATCATTCATCAGAGTAAGCAATTTAGTTAAGTGAGTTAGAATCAACTGATTCGGATCTAATCTGTCCAAATGAAAGTGTTGAAACATTTATCATTTGATTTACTTGTGCTGTCTACAATTAACTTAATCATAAACTCACTGCAAGTCGATGACATTTAATATTAAAACTAATCAAGTTAAACTACTAACAATTAAGTGAATAAGGGTCATTGGAAAATAATAGTTATCCAAATAACAACAATTAAAAGGGTAAACCCTTAATTGTAATCAAAAGTGATCAGGTAACTTATTGTACGGAAAAAATTTACCTTCATATATTTAGACTTAGAGTTCAGTAAACAATTAGGTTAAATTGTTGAATATTAAAATATATAAAGGAAACAATTAGAAAATATCATTGATATTAATGGTGATTCTGTGGGCTGGTTTATTTTAAATTGTTCATTCTGGACAATTTAAATAATGGCGATATAAATACAACAATGAATGAATAACAATCAACATGATGATTACCATCATCTTAATGCTTTTCACAATTTAAATGATAACAATATAGTTTATATTTAATCAGTTGATTAAAAAATAAATCATCAATCGCGCTTTTGTTAAATTATAATATTATCATTACAATTTAAATTGATTGTGATCTTGAAAAATCAATATCATCAGTTGATTATTATATTTATAGTTTTCAATTTCCAGCTGAAATCAAAGGTTAATGATTTATAATTATGTATTTATATATTTAATGATTAAAATTATATGCTGAAGATGATGTTAATCAGTTAATATAGTTATGTTGATTAACTATTACAACATTTATCATTAACTGATTTAGTTGATTAAAAAGTTTCGCCTGTATTAATATTATTGTTTCGCATTTTTTTTTATATTAATGTTGATTAAAAGTTGATTGTTGTTGGATAACTAAATATAAATACACTAACTATTTTGAATTTGTTGTTACATTAAATATATACAAACATGATTAAGGAAAACCTTCACCGGAGGTAAATGATTAAGGTGGTTGGATTAAATTGTTGTTGTTTTAATCAACATAATCACGCCCTTGATTGACCTGAAAAATTAAACTAACGAAAAGGTGAGATTATGATCAGTTAACCACAATTAAAATCATCTTTAAATATCATCTAAAACTTTTTTGTTCACATTTAAACCTTCCAGGTATCATCTTCATCTTCATCTTTTAATCACAATTAAATCGATAATGATTAAAAAAGATGGAGACAAACTCACTCAATATAAATCAAAAATAACTTTCGATGATAAAATTTTATTGGAAAAAGACATTAAATTAAATAGCGTAACTATTTTTATCAAATTAACTATTAATTGTTGATGATTCTCTTCACCTTTAACACTTAATCACATTACAATTACCAAAAGTAGTAATGATTGTTTTTTTTCTGATACAATTTAAATTGATTACTATTAATATTATATAGCATTAATTTGATGATCACAAGGATAAAATTAACTCAATCATGATAATGTTTTTTAATCATCACAGAAATTAAAACCCACATTTGAAAAGGTTTTCATTTTGTAAAGTTAACAATCAATATATTAACAATGAGATTACAACAGTAATTATCTAATTGAAAGATTTTATATAAGAACCGGAAGGAAAGTTCAAGACAGAATTGAAAATAGTATTCATGGTAATGAGAATACAGAATTTCAATTAACAATTAAATTTAATCAAATGTTTGGTAATTTAGACAACAAAAAAGACACATAAAGACAGTCCAACAAGAACCTAAAGGGCTTTTCTCACGGTAACATGGTGAAAAAAAAACTACTATTCTGAGTTTCATGAACAAACAAATATCTAAAATGAACTTTTAACAGTTATAAATATAAAAAGATTGTCAAAGTGAATGAAAAATATCCCATCATCGGCATCATCGTGTTAATTGTTGATGCTTAAGATGATGTTGGGTCACAAAAAGCACTAAATTGTAACCATAATAGATTGTGAACAAAGTGTAAAAGTGTGACAAGAACTAGTTTCCTCTTGACATCCATCATCATCATCATCATCATCTTTCACCTCCAACCTTCATGATAATTAGAACAATAAGCAAAATCTTGTGAGAAAATGAATTATAAATGATATTAGAAAAAAAATATCACTGTAAGATTGTTTTCTTTTTTTCTCATTGCTCTCTCTCTTTCTCTCTCAGTAGGTCAAGATGATGTGATGATGATATTCAATGGTTGGATGAGCTTGAAAGGAAAGGAAGATAAATAATAATGATGATGATGATTTAATTCGTGATTGTTAAATGATGTCAATTAAAAAACTGGACATCAACTTGGTTACCTACTTATTTTTTCATTCATTCAAATCAACATCATGATTATCATGGTTCATGATATTTACCTGAGACTGGAAATTGTTTTTTCATTAGTTGATATTAGGTTTTTGTTTACATCTGATAATTTTATAAATAAATATATACCTTGATTGTTGGTCACGTTGATTAATTTATCATTAATTTAAATGTAATATCAAATTGTTAAATTATCGTAATGATTGTGGTTAATATTAATTCATTGTAACGACAATCTATTAACTATCCTTTTCAATCAAATATGATGATTATAATGAAAATTGTTGATGAATTAAAATCAAGGTTGGTTTCAACACGATTAACATGATTATCATTATTTAAGTTAATCATTATAACGATTAAGAGTCTTAATCTTCTTGGTTTATCCTAAATTTTTGTTTCCAACATTTTAACAAGTCAATTGTACCAGACACTCATAGATGATTACATTAGTTAATTAGATTGTATTCAAATTAAATTTCAATTATTTAAATATAATATCATCTTCTCATAGAAAAGGCATCAGATAATTAAAATTTCAGGCTAATTAAATTATTTTTGTCCTTTCCTTCAATATTAATACAATAATCATTTGAACTACATTCGGTTGAAATTTAAATAAATTCTGGTTAATTGTAGTTAAAATTGTTGATATTATTAATAAAATAAGATCATTATCAAGATCATCAAATAATCATTAAAATTGATACTAAATTGTTATCATGTTTTCAATCATTATTTGTCAATCTCAATTCTTATAGTAGGATTTTTAATCCAATTGTGAGCACTTGATTGTGCTGATCAATTGAATTGATAAAGTTGTCAGATTATCTAATTGAATACAAATAACAATCAGAATTGATAAAACTGATTTGATCCGCGGTAATTATCTTGATAATATCATCCTTTGTGTGCTCCTGTTTACAACAATCAACAGGTTGATTGTGGCGGTAGTTGCAATTAGTTAATCAACTTACCTCTGATACATTGACAGCATAATGATTAGATTTAAATATTGGTGGATTGTCATTAATATCCATCACTTTAACCAGGATTGGAATTGATTTCTGAAGTAAATTGAAAAATAACAGTTAATTATCACGCAGACAAAGTTATAATCATCAGAAAATCAAATTGTTATCATTAATTAGATTCGGACAAGATGTGAGTACTAATTGAATTAAACTGATCACGTCCATTAGTTGAATCATTAAAATGTTTTTTTCTCATAATTTTGATTAAACTTTTCAAATAGTAATTTCATCGATCTACTGTGAGAAAATTAATCATCAACTGTATCATAATTACAATTACAGTTAACTTCATCAAAGATGAATCAAATTAACTTGTATCAATCTCAAAATCATGATGATAAAGTTAATTAACAATGATTTTTCCTAACTTTTACAGTAGTAGTAACAATTAAAACTGATGAACTGTAAGTTAGAAATTAGCAATTAAATAAAAATACTATCATCAGTTAAAAAGCTGATTACTATCAATGAGGAATTGTAACTTTATATGATTGGAAAATAATCCCAATCGGACAATCAGAAAATAATCAATGATAACAATTAGCAAACTGATTAATTTGATTTACAAATTACCTTAACTCCAGATCGTTTCTCCAGGCAAGATATTTGCATGTAAATAGAAGTCAATCCATCTTTCTGTTAGATAAAGAAAATGATATTAAGAGAAAATGATGAAGAAGAAAAAAAATGATGATGAGAAAGATGAGGAAAAAAAGATGATAAGAGGTGAGGTTTCACTTTAGAAACTCAGTTAACGGTTTCTTCTGATTACATAACTTAAAATAGCAATCGAATAGTAAACAAACAACAATCGGGTTTCAACACAATCAAAAATTCAATTCAATTCAATCCTCCTTCACCTTAATCGGAAATTTGAAGATAAAGATAAAGATGAGGATGAAGATGAAGATGAAGATGAAGATAACAACATAATAGAAAAAAATACAAATCTATTGTTTCCCAGGTTTCACCAGGTCAAATATTATCTTCCGTACATAAAGATGAGGATCAAATGATGATGATAACTTTTTCTTCAATAAGAATTGTAATATGATTGGTCGACCTCTTCTCTTTCTTTTAGCTATTCAGCCATCAATTGGCTTATATTTACAGACTTTGGCCTCAATCCATTAAAATAAATGAATTGAATGTTACCGGATTATATTTGAATAATAATAATATTTACCTGAAATCACATTGTCTTTTTTTTCACCATCATCTTAAATTGTTTTATTTACTTTAAAAGCAATCAAAATGATGATGGTGATAAAATAACGGTAAACAATTAACGCCTACTTAATAATTCATCCGGTTACTTCCGCTATTCTAACAGTTAAATCTATGGGCCTTTAGTTATTATCAACATTTAAACACAATTAAAACTCTAATTTTGGGTTAACTTAATTATTAATAGTTTAATTGTTTAATATTAATTAATATTCAAGAGAATATAATATAAACTTGGAATATGACTCTAGAATTAGATATTCATGATATACTTATTATCTTGTAATAGTAACACATTTAAGATTAGCTAATTGTGATTGATTGTTTGAGAGTTTATTAGCTTGTGTGCTTAAATAGTGAATTACTGGGTATTTATAAAAAGTGATTAACTTTTTAATAGTAAATTGTGTCAGAAAGACTTGTAAGATTGTTGATTGTGGAGAAAGAAAAAAAAGTCACAATTAATTTTGATTCTGTCAACCATCGAATCGATAATTAACTGCAACCAGAAATTCACTTTTCTTCTGGTTCGTTCAAGTAAACTGATTCCAACTAATTGTGGTGTCAACGTGAGAGTGAATTAACTGGACCAATCAAAGGATTAAATTAATTAACATTTTAAAGTTGATAAAATAATAGATTAGGAAGAAGAGTAAACAATTGCAAGTTGGATATTCAATGTTCTTGGATGAAAATGTCCCGATGTCAAGGAAAATTACAATCGTTGATCAGAAAAGATGAGAAGACAATTAAGAGATGATCAATTAAAGATTTAACCTTGATAATGAAAATCATTGGCTAATTATTCGTAATCATCATACAGGTGATTAAAATGCCTTTGGCTAATTGCCTATTCCCATACAATTGAAAACAAAATCATTGTCACTTACACTGATTAACTTGTTTCATTAGGGCTTTTTGTTGTTGATTGATCAGGAGGATCTGTTAAGCTTGATTTAAATTGATTGCTGCTAATTTAGCTAATCATGAAATGGTGAGAAATTGTAATCAACTCCCCAAAAAAACAATCAAAATAAAAACAAGATTGACTGAACTTTTTTTCATCAGCATCTGACTGAATGTTATCTAAATGTAAATAACCATGACCTTAACAAGAATAGTCTCAAATCGGTTGATTTAATTGTTGTTAATTTGTTTACCTCAAAAATAACAAACAATGAGGATAATAAATTTAAACTAATCGAATAAAAATCCGGAAATTAATAATAAAAAGTAACACGACTAACATGTAATTGTCATACGAAAAGAATTGAATGTTTAACAATTAACAAATTATCGGGATAATAATGAAGATTGTAATCTGATATCTTCCAAATTATTAGTTACCTTAACATACATTTATATTGATAGAAAACTAAATTGTTGCTGTTGTAAGTTTACTGATTGTTGTTTTCAAGTTAAGGATTGTGATTTACCAAATAAATTGTTGGAACAATTAAACTTACATCTCTATCCAATGGTCGATTAAGTACCAATCGTTTATCTTTCAGGGTAAAATAACGATGAGTTTCAGACAGAACTGTAAGTTCAATTTCAGATAAATTTCCGGTTATTGGTAATTCTCTTGGTTTTGTTTCTTGATCCATTCCTAGAGTTCAATAGATCAGGTTGATGGAGAATAGAGAAAAGGAAAAAGAGAGAAAAAGATGATGGAAAATTTAATGAGAAAAATTATATTAAGATGAATTTCTCGTTGTGGTTGGAAATCAAATTAATGGTCAGAGTGAATTGAGATTAATAATGTAATATATTACATTTGTTGTTATTATTGCACAAAATTAGCTATTATTGTTATCATTAAGCTGTCTTGAGTGGGCGAGAATAGGAATTAACTTACAAATCATAATTTCAATTGCAATCAACGGGATAACTTTGGCCTTTACCTTTATATTTAGTCAGTTGAAGGGGCTCGTCGTGTTAATATTTTCTAAATGCTACAACTTACATGGCCTCATCAAGATTTTACTCATCATTATCATTCTCATCTTCATCTTCATCTTCATCTTCATCATTTTATTCTCATCTACTTCATCATCTTAGTAACATCGGATAACGGGAAACAACCTTTCCGCTTGTTACAAGTGACCTTAAGACGGAAAATTAACAGAACTGGTTACCTGTTTTTATCTTCATCTTTTCTTGATTTTCATCTTATCCATAAAAAAAACTTGTATTCAATTTCATCGTAATTATTAATATTATCATCTCAAACTTTTACATTCAACCTTTAATTAGTTGTAGGGGGGTTTCTTTGGGAAATGCTGGTAAATGATGTTAATTGTTGATAACAATTAACTGTATAGTTAATTACTATTTCATGTAGTATATTATGTATACATGGAAATAATATAAGTCAATTGTTTCAAATTGGATATTTGCATGATCAGATACTATTATTAATATTATTAAATGGAAATTGAATCATCGACTAATCAAAAAGTTAATTGTTGGTCTGTCTTTCATGTGAGTGTTAAACTGATTGGTGATTAATTGCTTCTGGGTTTTAAGGTAAAAAAAAAATGATAATCGATAAGGAAAAGGTAAGATGATGTTGATGAGAAAGGAAAAGATTCTCGGAAGATGAAGATGATGGTGTTAATTTGCCTGCGGCTGTGATCCAATGAGCTGTGAGCATTTTGTGTATCTTAAATTGTTGACCAACTCTCACCGTTATGATGATTAGTGAGAATCATGAAAAGAAAAGGAGTCATGATGATAAAACAAGATACATGAAGATAAGCTAAGGTCATCTCTCGATTCATCTTCTTGTGATATTATCAAAAAGGTAAACTTTACAATTGCCCTGAAACCATTGTAATCATCTGATCAACAATAATAACAACAACAAATATGATAATTACTTTTAATCAAAAATGATGAACAAATTACTTACTTTGACCAAGACTTTCCGGTATTTCCAAGATGGCGACCTTTTCACCTTGTCCAGTTTCACATACTAATTATAATTAACATGATTGTTATATTTAGTTGTTAATTGTTTAACCATGTGAATGACCATCAAAAAAGAAGACAGTAATTGATTGAGATGATGAGGAAACAAAAAAAAGTCGATAAATTAGTCCAATTGCAATAAATTGCTCAATAGAAAGTTAATCACTTTCAAACTATAAACCAAATCACAAATAATTAAGCAATTAACTAATCATTGATTAGGTAACAGATAAATTGTCCATCATTAAATTGTCTTATTCAATCATCTCAACTGTTGTTTCTTTTTTACTTGTAAAAGATTATTAAGTTACACTAATTAGAATTAAGAAAAAAAAATTAATGTAAATCTAAAATTAACGTTTGAACGTTAACAATTAACTGTTACCATTAATTCAGTTATGGAGACTCCTTTAATCATCTTAATAGTTTAAATTGTTACAAGTTGAATTAAAGTGAATCAAATACTAATACAGTTAGCTAATTAATTGGATTCATTCACTTTCGATTATTATTAAATGTTGTCTTCTCTTTAAGTAGACTTTCAATGATTAAAATTAAAAAGTGTATCATGATTAAAATAATCACTTGGTTAATCGTGACTTCTGAATTAATCCAGTTACGATTAAAAAGAGAAAGTGAATTATGACCTGCTATTTGGACCCTTAAAAAACATTTAACTGATTAAATTGATAATTTACCGGTTTCATGTTGATAAGGTTAAGGGAATCAAAGCTAAATTGTGGATTTATTTTGATTCGATTCGTTTATTATTATTAACAATCAGTAAACATTGTTGTTAACTTAAATTCACTATTAAAAATCTTTGTTCATTGAATTGGAAAAAAAAAGTTTTTTCTCGTTTTGATGTTAAAATCTAAACAAGACTGGCCTTTGTTTTCCGATACAAAGTAGTCCAAAGATGATTGTTAATCATCATAATCAGATAAATTGTTAAGAGAAAGTCTCTATAATACACTAATAGTGATTTGAACAATTTTGCGGCAAAAAAAACACCTCAGATAACTGAAACCAGGTCAATTGGAAAGAAAAATTTTCATCGTTGACTTTAAGATTCCATTGACCAAATCAATGCACAAATCATGTTGAAAGTCTAATTGTTGAGAGTTGATTGTTGTTAACGAACTTTCAATATTTGTGTCTATAGAGAGAAGAATCAATTTAATCATAGCTTTTCTAATAAGTGGACATTTGATTTTAAGGTCAATAGAAAAACTGAAACTTTTTTTTTCTTCATGTCTCTTGATAAGATCTAAAGAAAAGGATAACACAATCTAAATTGTTACGATTAACGATTAGCTGTCAAAATTGTTTGGTGTTTACTATTTGACATTGATAATGGCTCATTGTTCAAGGGAGGAGGGTCCATCTTTAAATAATGCTTATTGTTATCGTTAATTGTTGAAAACGAAAATGATAACGTTGATAGTCTTAAAGCTCATACGAAACCATTAATTTGATATAAAGGCCAAATGTCACTAAATTTTGTGTAAGACTAAAAACAACAATCACAATTAAAAAATGAGCGAAGAAAATTTAATGATGATGATGATGAAGATGAAGATGAAGATAAAGAAGATAAAGATGAACTAATTATATGGTTGGTTTATAGTTGAAAATGATTGTTTTTAGAAAGAGAAATTATTATTTTTAAGTATTAAATCTGTTCTTATATAAAAAGAAGACAACATTCAAGAGAATAGAATATAAAAAATAACCAATAAACTTACATGAGTAAACTGGACTGACGAGACTAATAGATAAAAGAAAAACAATGGTGACCAATGAGGTCGAATGGTTAATGTAATTGTAAATATCCTTCATTTTGTCATAATTTTTTTTCACAAAAGAAAACACTTGTTGGCTTAATAAGCGAGAAAAGAGAAAATAACAAATTCTAAAAAGAGAAAAGAATAAAAAATCTCTAAAAAGAACAAATGAAATTTTCTCCGAGATGGTGTATGAGACAAAGAGATTATATGATAAATGGAATTAATTTTGTATTCCCAGACAGTTAATAGTTAATCACTTTGAAGAAACACTTTTAATCCATGAAAGAAAAAGTTCAATTTAATCACAATTAATATCCAATGAGAGAAACAATTGAAAAGATCAACAAAAATGGCGGAAACATAATATGTATTTTATATATTCCAAAATTGTAAATAGAGACACATATTCTAAAGTAGACAACACTTAATGGATTAGAAATTAACAAAATTAACTTAATTTCAAAATAATTAGAAAGTTGATTGTTCACAACAATTAAAACACAATCAAAAATTAAAGTTTACTAATCAACAGTTGGTTCAGTTATGTTCTTGTTTCTCAACTCAAGTGACTCTCTTTCTTTTCTCTCTCTTTTTCTAAACGAAAGTGTCGCCATCTAATGGATCTTTTTTTCTCTTCGAATGAAAAAAAATTAATTTTTTCTTTTTCGTTTTCGTTTTTAATTTAGTTATGATCTATTCTTGTATTAACTATTAGCCTAATTAAAGATATATCATCATTACAATCATCATTATATTCAGAATAAAGAGACGAAATTATAACAATCTGAAAATAAACGATTTCCACATGAACGAAACTCCATCCAAACTTTAATTAACTTTAAAACTCTAATTGAAAGATAATTAAAAATCTAACCGAACAATTTATTTCCACAATTAACTCTAGATAACTTAATTTCTTGTGATTTAGATGATAGAACCAAAGAAAAATTAATCAATTTCTATACACTAATAGTGAAACAATTATCACAATTAACTCTGATGGAAAACTTTTCTTGATTGATTTTCACTTCTCACAATGAAAGCAACAATTAAAATTAGTTTTTTTATTATAATCAATTAATTGTCAACAATTTGCTTTGCTAAAGTTTTGCTTATGTAAACAATATAACCAAATTAAGAGACAATTAAGTTAATCCATAGAAGAGGTAAAAACAAATTGATGAATGACTTTAATCATCAACTGATCACGATTTACAATTTTCTTGTAACAATCAAGAGAAAATTAGAAAAACATAATTAACTCTTAATTTCTGTGTGTACTTTGATTATAATGATTAAGAAAATCTAATCAAAAAGGGTTAACATTGAAGTTAAATTGTTTCAATTGATTTGCAAGGAAAGGAAACAAAAAAAACTAATTCCCTTTTCATTTTCAAACCTGAACAATTAACTTTAGTGTTAATAATAATTATTTAATTGCAAAGTGACCTTACGTTATTAACTAAATCAACTAATCATTAGCAAACTATTAACTAATCATAAACTTTATTTGTTTTTATCAAGTAACTCAAACAATTTCTGGTTTCATCTTCATCATTTAAATTACTTAGACACGGTTGACCTTATAATGATTAAAACTAAATATGTTTACATTGATCATCCTCATCATCTCATCATCCTCATCCCCATCCTCATCTTCATCTTCATCTTCATCTTCATCTTCATCATCATTTGTATAAAAGCAAACCTGTTCATCTCAATAATTGTCATGACGATTACTATAAACAAACATTATCCATGAACGAGATTAAAGTTAATCGTTTTGATTGTTATTAAGTTAATTGTGATTAAAGCTTGACTATGAGTTTAGCAAATTAATAATTAAATAATCGAGTTAATTGTGATTGTTTTTAATTTTCTTCTTCCCCAATAACTGATTTCTTTAAGATTTTTCTGTTCATGGGTTTGGTTGATAATCAGTTTTCATTGTTGATGATGTTTCTTAATTGTTGTTATATATTAAAGAGGGAGAGAAATTTTGATTAATTAATTTTGAACAAGTGAACTTGAAACAATTAAGATCAATTGTTAATTAATTCGTAGTAATCGCTATCTGATGGTTTATGGTTAATCTAATTCAGTTCAATTTGATTTGATTTGGTTTTTTAATTTTGTTTTTTTTTCACTAAATCACTTGACTCAAATTGAGAAACTAAATCATAACCTCTAGTTGATTTGTTAATCTTTTATGTTGATTGTGATTAATGATCAATGATTGTTGGAAACCTTGTATTAGGATTAACTTGACAATTAAATCAAAAAAATAATTCATCAGGTTAACTGATTAACTTAAGTTCAATGCCAATTGGATATACAGTTTTTTTCATCTTAATTGCAATTCAATTTTAGATGATTAGTTAATTTTGATTCATCTTCCGGTTATTGATTAACATTTTTAACAACAATTTGCTGTGAATTAACAATTAATCAATTTAATTCAACTTCTGGTCTAATATTTTTACTTCGGTTAATCTTGTCACTTGTTAATTGTTGAAACTGTAAATTGATTTAATCAACTCAAGGTGAACTTACCTGAGTTGATTAGTTAATCATCCAAAACTAGTTAATCATATTTTACTCAGATTAAATTGTTAACCTTAACTTCCTTAACTACAATTAATAGTAAATCAACATAATGATTAAGGTTATCATCTTTTTCAATGGCTTGATTGTTAATCATAATCATTTTAATCCAGAATTCAAATGGGTTCAGAAATTGATTTAATTTCAGATTCCTTTTTTTAATTGTGATCAAGTTAATTCACTTTGATTGTGATAATTGAGATTTTTTAATTATTAACTCATAACAAATACTAGTTTTTGATTAATTCAGAGCATTGATTGTTGAGTTAATTGTAATCAGCTAATCAAGGAAAGTTGATGAGTTGAGTATTTTGATTAATCTTAATTGTTAATTTTACTAAATGAAGATGAAATTTAAATCAAACAAATTAAGGTTAATCATTTGAGGAGGAAAAGTATTAATATTTCAAGGTAATAAAATTTAATCATTATGATTTATAAATCACGATGATTTAATCATCCGAAATTGCTACTAATCAATGTGAATATGATTAATCTTAAAAATGTAATTAACTATCACAATCTTGTTAATACAATGATTAGATAATAACAATTAACCAATCAATTAATAGGGAAAGTTGGAAATCTAAAAAAACTGAATCTAATTAAAATCCTGAACAATTAACATCTCACCTTTTTCCCGAATTGTAATTAACCAACAATTTAACGATATTTATTGAAACAATTTAATGAAAATCTGATGGAAATAATCAACTTGTTGTTATAATCAACAAATTGTTACAAATAATTTATCTTAATTGTGATGATAATTTGAAAGAAACAAAAAAGTGCAAGTGAAGATGATTAACTAACTATTGGATTAGTTAATCACAATTTACAATCCAAACTGTTTCTCAAAGTGATTACTTTAGATTGTAATTGTTACTCAGTTAAATTGTTTCCAGGGAACCGGAAGAATTAAGATAATTGTCATGATAATCAACTGATCATCATTATCGTTAATCATATCATTGTCCATTTTGATTGTTCTACTTATAATTTAATCAAAAAGATTCAACAATTTAAATTATGTTTGTGTGTAAATTGGAAAGTTGATCTTGGTTGAAGAAACGAAAGGAAATCAAATCGGAAAATCAATCAATCGAATCAACTTTCTCACCATGATTAGTTAATTGTGAAGATAAAGCCAATTAAAATTTATCCCTTGATTAAGGATTAATCGATAATTATAATCATTAGATTTGATTGTTAACGAAAAACAATCTGAATTAATTATAACAATTAACTTGATATTGATGATCAAACTTCCGGACATATAAGGTTAAAGGTTGAATTTAAATTGTTATGATTATTGTTAATTATTAATAATCTAACATGATTATCAAAAGTAATTGTTTCTTAATTGTGTCAAGATAAATCTTAATTAACTATTTATTGATTGTCTGAGGGTGAAAGTTGATCAAGTGAAGGTTAATTTAACAATTTTCATGATGAAAACTTTACAATTGAGTTTTAATTACAATCATAAAATGATTGACAATCAACACCAATACACTTAATCACAAGTGGATTAATTAATTAATAATGTTTAGTGATTGGTGTTTAAATTGCAACCATAACAATCAAATTCAATTTTGATGTTGTTTTCACGGAAATGAAACTTTTTTTTTCAACAGACTAACAATTAAATAGTAACAATTAACAATTTCTCATGATAGAAATTAAAATTCACAACAATTTGTCGATGATTAGAAAACAATTAAGAAATGATTAAAGTTTTTAAACTTTCTCTATCGTGATTAGAGTGATTAACATTTTTCCAATTAAAGATGAAGGATCAACTATGGATTTAATTTTATTTTTTTCTTGAAATTGTAACAATCAAAGTGAATGAAATTGTATTAGTTAAAAATGAAATTAACAATTTAATGATTCTTCATGATTAGGGTAATCAAATTGATCGGTAATTGTTTTAGTCTGATCATTATTATCCAATGGATAATAAAATATCAACAGGAATTGATATAAGTATAAACTCATTTTTGTTGATGTTAATCCAGTTTAAATTGTAAATAATATTAAATTGTTGTTACGTGATTAACGGGTAATTGACCTTTCATCCTTTTGATTATGATCATTAGGATGATGGTCAGTGTCTGGTCAGCAGCATTTAGATGGTTATATTTATCAGAAATGTAACTTTTTCCCTCTTAATTGTTAAGCTAAATAACCTGATTCACTAGCCTTTATTATATTCAACTGATTAGCTAAGATAATTAGTTAGTTAATCAGTTAGTAACAATTAATGCAAATCATCAATGTTATTCACAGGAAACGATGTTAATCTTACTGAAGGTCAATATTAATTTGAATAAATTGTGGCCTTTGATCACGACAATCAAGTTAGATTATGATTCAAATTGATTATCATGAATAACCTTTTCGCCTTATTGTCATTAATTGTAATTCTGTTCAAATTCAATCAACAATTTGTTGATCACGATAAACTTTCACTTATTCAATTTCAAAGTTAATCTATTGATATGAATTGATAATCATGGTGAAAGTGTGATGAAAAGTTAATCATGTTTTAATCAAATTGTTACTATTTACTGGTTCATAGAATTACCTCTTGATTAGATTTAATTGTTAACAGGTAATAATAAACGCTGATGATTATGGTTAATAATGGTCTGGACTTATTGTTGATTGTTCATCAATTCATCATGATTGTTGTTTGTTTTAATCTTCGTGGTGAACAATCATCATTAGTTACCGTTATTATCAAGCAATTGTTTCGTTTGTTATTCAATTTAATTGTTTCGATCCACCAGCCATTCATATTTTAATATTAATCTAATCCTTTATCCATCAACAGTAACAATTAACTTTAATCACTCCAAACTAAAAATACAAACAAATGTAACATACAAAATGGTGACGATGACCAAACAATATCAGCTGTCGATCGATAATCTTATCGTTGAATTGATTGACAGCCAATAACTGTCATCTAATTGTAAATGATTAAGATGATTGAAAATGAGATTAGTGAGATAATGAGATTAGGAAAATGGGCAAATGATTAATATTAGAAACAGTGAATAGTGTAAACAAGTTACCCTTGGATCTTAATCTTCCAGCATCTTAATAACTTAATCCATGTTTTCATTGAAAAAAATTCATTTTTTTCATCAATCACTTGTTCCGATTACCCAAATATTTGGATTAACCTTTAGAGTTAAATAAGAGGTTGAAAAGGAAAAGGTTAACAGGTATAAATATGAATAAATGAGATGGAGGATGAAAATGAAAAGGTAAACTCATGAGATGAATGAAAATATGATTAAGATTAAGATTAAGATGATGAAAAGGTGAGTTAAAGGAGAGTCAAGATGAAGATGATGAAGAGAGAAACAAAAAGGTAAACTTACCTTTAGATCGGTGAGAGAAGTGGTCAACCTTTCAACCTAATCAATGGTCTCTCACTTAATTACCATTTGCTACCAACAATAAGATACAAGTAACAATTAAGAACACACCTTGATAAGGAATAGAAAACAAACTAATCACAATTAATTGTTTTTCTTTCTCTCTTCTTCTAATTAGAATATTGAACAAAAAGAGAAATTAAAATTTTTCTCTTATCCAAGTTTATCTTTAATCTGGTTGAATTATTTTTCTTTGCATTGAGACAATTGGATATTCTAATTTTAACTTAGTTAATTAATATAAGTGATTCTCAACAATTTAGCTCAGCTAAAGTTGAATTTTCAGTCTACTTGTCCAATCTAATCAAGTATCGATTACCTGAGACATTTCAACCTCTGGATCTGTTATTATTTCAATTCAAATGAATAAATTATCGATGAGGATTCTGAAAAGATTTATTATTGGACATATTATGGAACTTCAATAAGTAAAAAAATAGCGAAATTTGATCCAATGAGTTATTGATAAAACTACAATCAGCTGGATTTCTTAATCAAATAACAGATTAATTGTGTTACTTTATAAACGCTAATTTGAATTTAGTGATAAATGATTACCTGATTAGTTTAATCTTCATCGACTGGAAAGGTAACATTTACATTAAGAATTTAATTGGTCAGAATACAGAAAAGAGAGAGAAGGTCATCATCTTTTTCAATCTAAATTTCTAACAATTAATCATTGATTGGATAACGAAAGGTAAGAAAACATAACTGTCAACAATTATCACGAACTTGTAAAGTTAATCACGTAAGAAGATGAAGAGAAATTAAATAACAATTAGATTTACTTGGCAACAGTATTAAGAAAGGGATTAGATTTACAATTAGATTTTCATGTTCATCACATAAAATTTATCGAAAGTAATCAAACCATTTTTTTAATTCTTTTTCTATTTCCAACTGATAATTACGATGAATTTTCACTTTCAAGAACAAGAAAATGGTTCAGTGAGCGACAATTAAGATGCCAATTAACAATTAAATCTTTAAATAGTAGAAGGTAAAATATTCCATCAATTTTCAATCGACAATCAGGAGATGAACAAAAAATCGTACGAATTCAAGATACTCGATGATCGCGAAAAAAAAACAACAATCAAATAATAAGAGAACAGGTAAGAGATATTAACCTTCTAAATTGTAGTTGTTTCAATTAAACATACCAACAGTAATTAACTAAATTAAGATCGAAATTGATAATCATGTTGACTAACAATGAAATCGATTGTGTTAATTTGGACATAAGAAATTGACCAGAAAATATTACCTGTTGTTGAATTGAAATAAATGCTGATGATTAAGCTGATTGTTTACTAATAGATCAATTAACTGGTTAACAATTAACAATGAAACTCATTCTATTAATCATGATTAGGTGAAAATATACTAATAATTAATTGATTAAACGTGACCAAAGGCTTGGAAAGAAACAAACTAAATTTATATAAACAGCTGATGGTCACTCGATTTCTGTTCATTGATTGTTGTAAATTTAACCACAATTAGACTTGAAAAATAAGTAAATTCACTTTTAACTGTTGGTTAATTAACAAATTACTGATCTTGGAATAACTTTTTCATTCTTATTCTTTGTTTCCTATCCAGGTAATATCGATAATCACAATTGTTGTTGATTAACTCACGATGAACCATCAAAGATTATCCATCATTTAGGATTATTATTATGAAAATTAATCTATCATTGTGCTGATCATCATCATCTTCATCTTCATCTTCATCTTCTTTGAACAGCATGATGTTTCTGATGAATTCTCATCTTGGCCTGAATCTTTTTCCATCATCATCTTTAAACGAGCCAATATTATCTTAATTGTTTACAATTTACCAAGTTTAGTATTTCCCTCGATTCCAATAATTAAGAAAATCAAAATGCTCTTTCTTATTTATATATTTAGTTAGTTGATTGTTGTGGTTAAATCACAGTTTTAATTTTCTACCAACCAGATGATTAACTATTCAATCAAAGTTTCTCTCTAATCTAACCTTAATTAGATTTTCTCGTGTCCACCTGAGAAAATCATTTAGTCAACAATTAGAATTATATTATTATCATTATTAGTTTAATTCTTTCATCATTATCAACAGACAATTGGTAAATTATATGTGTAAGGTTGAGTGAGAATTAAATTTAAATTGATTACGATGTAACAATCAAATACAATTGTTAATAATAAGATTGAATAATCAACTCGACCATTAACCTTAGATTGATGTCTTTTAATTGTATCAACAATTTATCACTTTCTGTTGATTTTGTTTACATTTTTTTCACCATAATAATTGTTACAATTTGTTTCCTCATTTACTTAATTGTTGGTCGACTATTAATAGTTAATATTGGTTAAGGTAATTAAATTTAAGTCCAGACACAGGATAATCACATATAATGTATGAATGTGATGAAGAAGAAAATTTTAATTCAATAAAAAAAGATGAAGAAAAAAATTCAACTTGATTAATAGTTAATCAGATTGTTGGGAAAATTTGATTCTTGTGAAAAGTTAATCACAGTAATTTGATGGTGAATTAATTAACCGTTAATCTAAACAGATTCCGTTAATTTGTACTAACAAAGAAATGGCCTCATTTCTGGTCGATAGTTAATGATAATCATAACTGTCTTTTTCCAATTGATAATATTACAATTCTAATTTCGGAATTAGTTGATTAGATGAATTGAGAAGAAGAAGAAAAAATGAATTTAATTAATTGTTGGAGAAAAAAATTCTCGATTCTTTGAATTGAAATTGATTATAACGAAACTGAATTGAAAATATTGTCATTGATTAAGTTGAAATTAATGGAAACCCAAACAATATAATTGAAATAGAAACTAAATCATCATCAGTTGATTAATAATAAACTGGACAATCAAGATTCATTTATTGAATATCATTATAATCAAATCTAATTAACCTTTGGATTGGTTCATTAAAGTCTGTTGATTAATCAATTGTGAAACAATTAACTAATCAAATGAGATCCTAGAAATGTCATTTTCTTTCAACATATTAAATCAATAAATGAATTAAATTGTTGATTAATGGAAAAGTCTTGTTATTAACTGAATTGATTAACTGATTGTCCACTTTAAATGACCCCTATTGAGATGCATTAATCCAATGGGTGTACAAAATGATCACAATTAAGGATTTAATGTATCAACTGATTGTCATGATCACAACAATCAATTTCCATTTAAAGGTTGAAACTTATTCCAATTGTTAGTTGATTAACAATCTTGATCTTGAAATTAACGAAACAAATGAAAAAATGAAATTAATTGTAACCCAATCAACATTTCATCTTCTCTTATATTGTTTGATTATTGTGAACAATTTAAGTTTCTCTCACAATTTAGAGCCAATTGATATTAATCATGAAAATTGTGCGATTCTACCTGGATCAATACATGTAATTAAAGAGGAATTAGATGTCGCTGGTAATTTAATTAGATCTTGTGAAGGTGATTTCTTAATTAACAAATGTGAAGGAACTTGTGTCTCTTCATTACAACCAAGTGTAGTTCATCCGAGTGGTTTCTTGAAGGTAAGTTAATCAAACAATTAAGAATATATTTTAATTTCTATTTTAATTGTTTCAACAGAAATGTAATTGTTGTCGTGAGTCTCGGATGAAAAGTCGTTCAATCCAATTGACTAATTGCTTTGATCCGGATGGTAAAAAATTAACTAATGAAAAGGGATCAATGAAAATTGACATGGAAGAACCAGAAAGTTGCCATTGTCTTAAATGTTCAAATTAAATTTAATTCTATTAATTAATATATTCTTCTGGAATCAAATCATCTTCCAATTAAAAGGAGATTTAAATTCACTTTTATCTCTGTAATGTTTTAAAGGAAAATTATTTATTCAAATGAATCCAAAACAACCAATGTAATCTATTAGTCCAATGATTATTTCTTAATTTAATTGTTATACCAAAGTACATTTGGGCAATGATGAAAAAAGGTTGGTTAAATCAAATTGTAAGATCAATGGTAGTTAATGTAATTACGAAAGGGAAACAATTAAAATCACTTACATTGATTGGGTGAATAAAACAAGGCCACAATAAAAGGGTCAGACTTTGATTCCGATTTTTGTTGAAATGGTTTACGAAGATTAGCCAAATTGATCAATTTTTACAATTAAAGATGATAAATTAATTGTTCCATTTGTAATATTATCCAAAGGTCAAGATCTCGTTTCTTCATCTTATTTTTATCTCTTCCTCTTTCGTGGGTATTGAGCTAATCCGAGGTAATCCAAAAGCTTAATAGTCGCTTAAGCTATTGAGGAATAGGTATTTCCAAAAATCAACTAGTTACCTTAATTTGTTGATTACAGCGGATTTATGGTTCCATGACGCTGACAACGATGATAACGACACAACATCCAGAAAAACACCAATTGTTACGGTGCTACAAACAAGGGGAAGGATTTGGACATGGAATTATAGCCAAGGGCGAATCGGGCAAAGTATTTAAGTGAATGTGAATTCATTTCGAAGATCAGTTCAGTTGCAAGTGTCCAAAGAGACTAAAAGAAAATCAACAAAAGTTGTAAACAAGGAGATTAAACAACTAAATTTACCTTAATTTTTCTGTTCCAATTTAAACTGTTCAATTGATTATTTTCCATTTGTGTTTTTCTTCAAGTGTTTAATTGATCACAAAATAAAATCAACGATGAACAAACAATTGGTAATTTTGTTTTTCTAAAAGAAGAAAAAATGTTCTCTCTTTTCTGATTGGTTGACATTTTCTTTTCTTTTCTCTCCAATTATTGTGATGACCGATTGGTAATCTTTTTATTTTGTTCTTTTCTTTTTCATTAGTTGTTCGTTTTGTTTGCCACTTCTGTTCTCTTGTGTTGCCAATATGTTCGAGCCGAGGAAGAATTTGAAGACAACGAAGAATCTTTCGATTCTGATGATACTGTTCTCGAAAGAGAGAGACGAGACATTTCCGCTGATTTAGAAGGAGCCGAATCGGGAATCGGTGGTGCCGGTGGTGCAGGTCTCGCTGGCTTCAAGAAAGGTGCCGCTGGTAGTGGTGCTGCTGGATTCAAGGCTGGAAAGGCTGGAAAAGCTGCTTATGCTGCTGGTGCCAAAGGTGCCAAAGGTGGTGCTGCCTATGGAGCTGCTGGTGCCGCTGGTGGAAAGAAAGGAGCTGCAGTGAAAAAAGGATTCGCTGCTGGTGCTTTCGGTAAGAAATTCGGAAAGAAAGGAGGATTCGTCAAAGCCGGAGGTGCAGGTTACAACAAGAAAATCGGAGTCATCAAGAAGTTCGGTGTTAGCCAAGGTAAGTTTCATTTTCTCCATTAATTCATCAATTCATGCGATTTATTGTGGTTGTAATCAAGTCGTTGGGATGAACTGATTAATAATTGTTTCGATTGTTTTTACAGGTTTCAAATTCGGAAAGGCCGCTGGTTATGGTGCTGCTGGTGGTGCTGTTGGTGGTAAAGCAGTTAAGGCTGGTTTCGCTGGAGCTGCTGGTGCCGCTGGTTTCAAGAAAGGTGCTGCTGGTGGTAAGAAAGGATTCGCCGCTGGTGCCGCTGGATCAGCCGGTGGTAAGGCTGGTGCTGCAGGAGCTGCAGGTTTCAAGAAGGCCGCTGGAGCTGCTGGAGCAGCCGGAGTTAAGAAAGGCTTCGGAGCTGGTGGTCTTGGATTCGGTCGATAAACTATCCCCCTCATTTAATCACATCGCCCTGACTATTAAGTTTCTTTTAATATTATCAACAATTTATGGTTGATCATTAATAAGGAACAAAAAAATGTTGATCAAAATCAAAATCAAACTCGAACTCAAATGAAGGTAAAAGTAATTCAAACTTTTCTTCCTTCATCATAATCATCATCATCAACCTTTAGAATTAGAATTAAGTTGAACGAGAAACAAAAAAAATGACAAAATTAGAAAAAGTTTCGCCATAAAAATATCAACAATTTAGGATCAACAGCAACAATTTAACTCTAACAATAATTCAAATCCAATAACAACAGATTCATTATTTTTGTACATCCGCTTTCAATTGATCTGATGAATGTAAATTAATTTACTTTTTTACTTTCTAAAGTTTCATTAAATTATCTTAATCTTATTTCCATAATGATACAAATTCTTGGTTTTATTCTGTTAATCATGATAACCTTTTCCGGTTTCCCGATCCTTTCATTTCTCTCTCTCTCTCGACTCTGATGACACTTTTCTCGAAAGAGAGAGACGAGACATTTGTGCTGATTTAGAAGGAGCCGAATCGAGGATCGCTGGCTGTAAGAAAGGCGCCGCTGGTAATGGTGCTGTTGTTTGAACACAGAATCGTCAACAAGTGATGGTTTTATTAGTTAATTAAATGTCAAAAATCTTATTCAATTGATCATAATCGATATACGAGTAAAACCATTCGGGTTTCTTGATATGAAAATTTGTTTTTTTAATCAGGAAACTGTATTATTATTATGACGACAATCAACTATTGTTAATAAATTGTTTTGGACCTTTTGTCCAAGTCCTTTTACATTAACATGGACTCGAATTGAATCAGAAATCACTTCGAAATCTTTATCTTCATCTCTATCATCCTTATCTTCATTTTTGTCTCTCTATCCTCTTGAAATCTTACCTTTCATTTGAAACTTTCATTTAAAACTCCATATCAATGTTTAAGATCCTTAGGTTCACTCATCTCCCTCTCATCACTTATCATCATTTCTCTTGGTGAATTGTGTCTCTCGTCATCATCAGCTGCCTGCCAATTATCATGGTGATGTCTTTGTAATCATAATCAAAATCATTTTTGTTGATTCAATTTTAAATTTATCTCCAAGCATTTACAGGGCATTTCACCAAGTTTCCAACAAGTTTTTCTTGAATAACTTTTTTGTTTTTGAGTGTTCAGACCCCAGACTCGAGTTATGGTAGTTTGGGCCATACTCAATTGTCATATTAAAATATCAAGGTCATTCCGGTCATTCTGTTAGGATACGGTTTCAAGGTCATTCGGTGGTCACAATCGAATTAACTCGCAATCACAATCGCCCGGTCAACAAGTGCTTCACGGGCACGTCCACATGTGTTTACATAATTTCGATAAACCATAAAGGTCAGATATGGGTAAAATCTCTATTCCCACCATCCAAAGAAGTCAGAAATGCTGGAAAATGACTCAATATCAATTGGATTGATCACACGTCGTCCCTTTGACCGTCTAAATATGTCCTGAACTAGATTATATTGTAAAGTATTCAGACGAAACAGCACCTGATTCTGAGGATGAATACAGGCATTTCACCAAGTTTCCAACAAGTTTTCTTGAATAACTTTTTGTTTTGAGTGTTCAGACCCCAGACTCGAGTTATGGTAGTTTGGGCCATACCATTGTCATATTAAAATATCAAGGTCATTCCGGTCATTCTGTTAGATACGGTTTCAAGGTCATTCGGTGGTCACAATCGAATTAACTCGCAATCACAATCGCCCGGTCAACAAGTGCTTCACGGGCACGTCCACATGTGTTTACATAATTTCGATAAACCATAAAGGTCAGATATGGGTAAAATCTCTATTCCCACCATCCAAAGAAGTCAGAAATGCTGGAAAATGACTCAATATCAATTGGATTGATCACACGTCGTCCCTTTGACCGTTTAAATATGTCCTGAACTAGATTATATTGTAAAGTATTCAGACGAAACAGCACCTGATTCTGAGGATGAATACAGGCATTTCACCAAGTTTACAACAAGTTTTCTTGAATAACTTTTTGTTTTGAGTGTTCAGACCCCAGACTCGAGTTATGGTAGTTTGGGCCATACCATTGTCATATTAAAATATCAAGGTCATTCCGGTCATTCTGTTAGGATACGGTTTCAAGGTCATTCGGTGGTCACAATCGAATTAACTCGCAATCACAATCGCCCGGTCAACAAGTGCTTCACGGGCACGTCCACATGTGTTTACATAATTTCGATAAACCATAAAGGTCAGATATGGGTAAAATCTCTATTCCCACCATCCAAAGAAGTCAGAAATGCTGGAAAATGACTCAATATCAATTGGATTGATCACACGTCGTCCCTTTGACCGTTTAAATATGTCCTGAACTAGATTATATTGTAAAGTATTCAGACGAAACAGCACCTGATTCTGAGGATGAATACAGGGCATTTCACCAAGTTTACAACAAGTTTTTTCTCGAATAACTTTTTTGTTTTGAGTGTTGAGACTCAAAGGTCATTTGATGGTCACAATCGAATTAACTCATCAATCATTAGGCTTCATACGAGTTTACAACTTTTGGACATTTTTAGTTGCATAGATATAGCGTTCATATATCGTTCTCGATCCATTTGGCAGAGAAGGAACACATTTTAAATTTGCCGCTTTTCTTCTAGAAAGAAAAGAAGACAAAAAGAAAGAGAAAATCATTTTTTCCTTTTCCATCACCAACAAGTGTCTCCATCTTTTCACTCATAAAGAAACTTACGAGAAGTTAAAGTTATTTAATTTTCAATATTCTTTAAGTAGTTTTTCAATCATTAATCAAATGATTAATTCTTAATTGACATGAGTGATTAATTTAATTCTCCGATAATTAGTTGTTGTGTTTACTTTGTGACATCTTTATGAGAATTTAATCTATTTTGTTTAACGAATTGTTATCCTGTTTTATTTTCTTTTTTCTGTTGTTTGTATTTATTGGAAAGATGAGAAAATCCCATTGATTCACTTGTTATGAGTCAATAAGAAGTTTTTGATTATGATTATTTGATTGTGATAATTTTATTACTAGTTTTCTACTAATTAACTATCTAATTTATTGATTGTTTCTAATCTCCAATTCATTCTTATCTACTCACATCATGATGCTCTTTAATCTTAGTCAGCTTTTCAGCTGTTACTCCACAGTGAAAGGGTTCACTCTTGTTGATAGAATTTCTAATTTTAAATTGTTTTTTCTAATTCTACTTCTTATTGTTGATCAATTTACTGTTCATTCTGCTGATGAAGATTACTACCAATTACTTGGAATAACAAAAAGTGCCGATAATCGAGAGATTCGTAAAGCTTTTAAGAAATTAGCTCTTATTCACCATCCTGATAAGAACAAAGTAAAGAGAAAATTTTTTCATTCTATTCTTACATTGAATTATTCTTATTACTCTTAATGGTTGTTTATCTTTTTATTTACATGGAAATGATTATTTAATATTCTTTTCTCTTACTTCCAGGATGATCCAAAGGCAAATGAGCTTTTCGTGAAGATCAATCGAGCTTATGAAGTTCTAAAGGATGAAGAGACTCGCAAAAAGTATGATCTTCACGGTGAAGATGGATTGAAAGAAGACTTTGAAAGAGGAAACTCTTGGCACTCATGGAACTATTATGAAGAAAGTTTCGGCATCTATGATGATGATCCACAAATTTTGACTCTCAGCCGTTTAGAATTCGAGAGATCGGTTACCAATTCGCCATTTCTATGGTTCATTAATTTCTATTCACCTCAATGCTCTCATTGTCACACTATTGCACCAGAATGGAGATCAATGGCAAGAGAACTTGAAAATGTCATTCGTATTGGTGCTGTTAATTGCGAAGAAGACTGGATTCTTTGTCGAGAACAACGAATTCAAGGTTTCCCATCTCTGATCCTTTACCCAGAGGTAAAAAGTGATCTCCTTATATTCATCATCGCCTTCAAACTAATTCATTTTCATTTATTACAGAAAAAAGTCTACAATGGAAAGCGAACCTCAGATGCATTTGTTGAATTCGTTCTCTCTCATTTACCCAATAAAGTTACCAAGTTCACTGAGGACCTATTAACCTCTAGCGACGATTCTAAGGATAGCTACTGGTTAATATCATTCTGCTTCGACAAATCAGGTAAAATCATGATGAAATCGCTCTTTCTCATAAAAAAATGCCAAACTAATTCTCCAATTGTAATCTCTCTTTCTCTCTCACTAGATTGTCAATTTGAAGATACTTTGATGAAACTTGCCATAGCTCTAGATGGATTAGCTAAAATATCTGAAATCAATTGTGATAAAAACTCAGAACTTTGTCAGAAATTCAAAGTAACTGAAAAATCTATCCGATTGTACAAAAGTATCTCAGATTTAAGTGACCACAAAGAGATTCCATACTCCCAAGATGCTAAGGACATAACATCATCTGTTTTAAATCAACTACCAGGACTTGAAAAGCTTAACTCAAAACAATTTAAATCATCAATTCCAGAAGCAAATTCTGACATTAAATCTCATTGGGTTATTTTATTCAGCAAAGGTCCGATTGAAAATGATGATTCAATCAGCAAAGAATTGAAGAGATTACCAGCACTTTTAAAAGATGTAAAAACAGGCCATGTTGATTGTTTAACGGAAAATAGTTTATGTACCGAGTATCCACTTAGCACTTATCCCAATTTCCTTATATTTCGTGATAAAGTCTCTTATGAAGCATATCATGGTTAGTTAATTTTCCTCTTTCTCCCATTGGTATTGATAATAATCTCTGTTTATCTCCACAATTTCAGGTCGGATTTCGGCTCATGATGTTGCTACATTTGCCTTGGAGAGTTTACCAAGTCGCCTTAATGCCCTTTCGCCAGAAAGATTTGAACACGAAATTGCAAATTCTAATCAACCCTGGTTAGTTGATTTCTATGCTCCGGTAAGATCATCACTCGATTTTTGATCAAATATCAATTTCTAATTTTGTCTCTACTCTCACATTTTTAGTGGTGTCCACCCTGCATGGCCTTTATGCCAGAAGTAAGAAAGACAAGTCGTAATGTTGGAGATATAATTAACTTTGGAACCATTGATTGTTCCGTTCACTCAACACTCTGTCGAAAGGTTAGTTGAATTGTTCAATTTTACCCCTGTTAAAGTAATTAGAATGATAATAATTCTGATCTATTTCCATTTCAGTACAATATCCGATCTTATCCAACGCTAATTCTTTACAATAAAACTCAACCAAATCAATTTTTTGGTGCTCATAAATCAGCTGATTTAATTGAATTCATTCAAGTAAGTTTTTCGTCTAAATTTAAATTCACCACAAATTAGTCTAATCAGCTTTATACTAATTAAATTTTCTTTTTATCTTTAGGATACTCTTAATCCTCCAGTTGAAAGTTTAACTAGTACAAATTTCGAGGAAAAAGTAATTAATCGAGATCAAGATACAATTTATTTGATCGATTTCTTTGCTCCATGGTGTCGTCCTTGTCAAGAATTTGCACCAAGCTGGAGGAAAATTGCCAAATTAATGAAATCTGAGAAAAATGTAAAAGTTGCCGACGTTAATTGTCAAGACAATTTAGATCTATGTTCATCTCATGGAGTAAAAACTTATCCAATGATTAGATTATATCCCTCAAAAAGAGACTCAAGATTCAAGGAACCCTTTTTGTAAGTCAATCATTTGTACTTATCTCATAATTAGTAGCAATTAATTGATTGTTTAATTTATTCTAGTGCTTTCAATGGTTACAATCGAGATGTACAATCAGTTCGCACTTGGATCTACTATTATATACCGACTGTAGTTCGTAATATCGACTCGCCAATTTTATTTGAAAAACTGTTGAACTCTAAATATCCATACCTGGTTGATTATTATGCTCCTTGGTGTGGACATTGTCAAACATTTGCTCCTGATTATGAAATTGTTTCAAAGGTGAAAATAAATCAGTTGATCGAGTTTCTCATTTTTACTAATTGTTTGTTTTCTCAAATAGAAATTGAAAGATGAAGGAATCAAATCAGCAAAGATTAATTGTCAAGACAATGAGCTATTATGTAGTCGGGCCAATGTAAGAGCTTATCCAACCTTGAGATTTTACCCTGGGGCTGTTGACGGTGATGCTCAGGGCCCACATGGAATCGATATTGACACTTATCATATTGATTCAATTATATCGATGGTTAAACAACATGTTAAGCACAAAAATGTGAGTTAATTGTTTCTCATCGTATTTGATTTCGTATGTTAATTGTATTTAATTTTTTACTCTTTTCTCCCAATAGATCAAGGATGAGTTATAATAAATCAATCGATAAATTATCAACTAATTGAAAGTTTTTTTTAATAATCTCTCTGTGATTTGTCCAGTCTTAATTGTCTGAATTCATGATTTGGTAATTAACTAATTTGTTTATGTTACCTCATCAATCAACTATCATTTTAATACATTAATTTTTATTGTCCTGTCTTGGTGAATAGTCAAATAATTAATCCAGTTAATTATGTAATGTATTTTACTTAATCAATCAAAATTAAATTAACACTCATTTTCAAAATTACGAGATTATAAAATTGTAAATTAATCTGCTTCCGAGTTTAATCAATACAACTGATTGAATTAATCTCAATTATGGTAAATTGTTCACTAATTTGAATGATGATTAAAAAATTTTGTTCTCGTTTCAATTTTTTACTTTTAATCAGTTACCATAATTAGTAAATTGCTCTTGTTGACTTTCAAATACACAGAAAACACAATTAATATTTAAAATTAGGTTGATGTATTTTCCCTTGATGGTTGAACCTTTTAATTGTTGATTAACAGCAACATAATTAATTGTTGAAAATTGATTCAGTATAAATAGAAAACAAAAAAAAACAGATCCATATTATTTACACAATTAGTTAATTATCATACACGGGGTTGTAAATGATTTACACAATTAGACCATAAATATGATTAAATTGGTGATTAAAGTGAAACAATTTGTAAGTAGACATTGATAATCCAATTGATGTGATAATAGTAATTAGTTAATCAAATGATTGTTGAGTCTCAAAGTTTCACAAAATGAGAAATATTGATGAATAAATCATAAATTGATTTTCGATTAAATTAATCAATCACTGGAAAACACAATTAGCACAAATTGATCGCTGGTCTCGCCTCGATCATGTTACGAGCACAAAGCGACGGAAATTGAGAAACTTTGAACAAAAAGTCAGTAACGCGATTGAATTTTTCGCAAAAAGCACTGATCGGTGAAAGGAGGATATAAAGTTCACAAGCGGCCAAGGCGACGGGAAAAGCGATACAACAAAGGACACCGAGCCAGAAAAAGGTCCAAATACATTGGGTCAAAGGTGAGGATTGAAGACCCGCCGGCGAAGAGCCTGAAATCGAAGCGCCCGAGGACTGATTCGGATGCTGAGGTTGGAATGGATTCCCTCGACTATCGTAAAGAACTGGATTAGATCCACTTCGAGCACCAAGAGATGAATCAGGATGTCTGATGATTTAAGAAATTAACAGATTAACAATCAGTTGACAATCAATGATCTCCAATGACGAGGCAACAAGTGGTTCGAGAGTTGAACTTACCTGGACGCTGAAGCCTCCAGAAAAAATGGAGCAAGTCTCCACATCTTTTGATTGTTATTTCGTAATCAACAACAATTAAATCACTTTCCTTTTCTCATTCACAAACCATTGTGATTCTAAACACTATCAATTGATTCATTAGAGGAAAAAATTTCTTTTTGTTACAAAGGAAGATGAAAGAAAGTGAATAGTTTTTTTGGCTCACATTGAAGTGATAATGATGATGATAAAGTTGATGATGAAGATGAGGATGAGGATGGAGATGGAGATGATCAATTTTAAAAAGAGAAAGTGAGAGAGAGGATGAAAGAAGAGGATGAAAACTACCGAGTAAATAGCAAGAATCAACTGACGGAGTTTTTGGTTGTCAGGAAAAGAGGAGAAAATTTTTCTCTCTCTTCATCTTCCTCTCATCATCCATAGTGTGAATCTCTGTTGCATCTTTTCATCATCCTCATCTTCCTGAGGTTGTCTTCTCACTCCAATAAAACATCAAGTAAACAACAATAATGAATAGACAATTGTGACAATGTTTTACTTGTCAAAACGATGACAAAACAATTTTCATCTTCTCGATTATGAATAACATTGAACATCATCAAGTAATTTATTCATTCAACTTGTTCATTATCGTAACAATTTGATTGAAACCCGAATCCTTAGTAGTTAAATTGTGTTACCCTGGTGATACAATTTACCTCTTCCATGTATTAATACATATGAATACTTACATTTCCTATGCAATTAGATTTGATTATTTTCCTCGTTCCATTTCAATTTCAATTACCCAAAGTAAACTAAACATTAAAATTAATATTTTTTCATTTCAATTTTTCTACAGGTAAATGATTAACTTTATTCTTTGCTCTTGATTCTGATTGTCTTTTTGTTATTCATCAAATTTTCATGGAAATAGAAATCAATTTCAAGATAGAATTGATATTCATGAAATTGAATTGTTATCAAGAGAAAAAGAAGCAAAAATTGTTCTTTATGTAGAAATTATTATTCTGATCTTTACATGGATTCAATTTCTCAGGTAAATCCAATGGAATCACAGGAGAATAGTAAATTTATATTGACAGGGGAAGAAGATGAGAAGATGAGAGGAGGATGAAATAAAGTAGGAATAAAGATGATAAACAAAGTGGAAGAAGATTTGAAAATATTGAGAGAGAGAGATGATAAAAGGGAGGGGATGATGAAGACACGACGATGAGCTTGAATAAATCAAGAGAATGAATAATTTTAGACATTCAGGTTGATCGAAGTGTGAAAGATACGAAGACAAGAAGCAGAGGAAAGTACATATCGAGAATTTAAGAGATTAGAAAGATGAGGATAATGAAGAAGATGAAGATGAAGAGGGAGAGAGGGAGATGTTGAATATTCGACGATAATATTTAACACTAATCGAATTCATTTGATTCATTCAAGTTTATCCAGGAAGTTTTTCTCTCGCATAACTTTTACTTCTTACGTTTTGTTCACCTTTATTTCGCTGTCTATCTCTCATTTCCTTCATTTCACTTATCTTCCTCATCTTTTTATCTTCATCTGTAAAAACTCTCACCGTCTCTCTCGTAAAAATATATATTCAACAATTAGGTTGGCAAGAAACTCCATGGGAGAGTTACATTCAATGATTTTAACTCTCATCACTTAACATAATCTGTGTAAAGTTTACAATCAACTTTGTGCCAAGAAAATTTAATCTATCAAAAATGGAGAAACTGAACAACATGAAAACTTTTTACAAAGAGGAATAAGAAAGAAATGAGAGAGAGAGAGAGAGATGAAGATAAAAGTTCTGAGCATCCTCGTGTTCGAGTGTATTAGTTGGTTGTAAATTAGATTTGAGTTTGTTGTTGAAAACACAAAATTGCGAGTTTAAAAGTCTGAAGAACATTGAAATTGGAGGATGGAAGATGAAGATGAAGATGAGGATGAGGATAAAAAAAAGGAAAGATAAATAAGTGATGAGCTCGTTTAAAAAGATGAAGGCAAAATGGTGCATCTTTTTTTCTGGCAAACATTTCAATTCGTTTAAACAAAATTTCATAACATTTTTAACATTTTTCAAATCATTATTTTTCACTATCTCTTCATCATCTTCATCCTCATCTCTTTAAATTTCAGCTTTATCATCATTTTCATCGTCTCCCTGTACTTTAACCATGTCTTGTATTGTTTTAATCTTTCTGGGCCATTGAGTTGGCAAACGATTTCCTGTAGTAATCAACATGATTTTCCTTTGGAACAATTAAATTAAATGTTTCTCTTCTCGTTCCATTGGAGTTTTTTTTTCTTCTCTCCTTCTTTTTCCATAGACAAAGATGACTTGATTACGATGGTTCATTTTCCTTTGGCACCAATTTTTCATTTATTTTACACTCTTCTCGATTGATGGAGATGTCATTTTTGTGTTGGTACTCTAATTGTAATCTATTGAAAGTCCACGAAAAAATAGCTTCACAATTAGTTGAACATTCGTCGTCTATAATAATATCAATATATTAATACATTCTTTCACTTATCATGTATCCATGTCATCCATTGATTGATGAGAGGGTTTAACAGTTGAAGCAAAATCATTTCTCACAGAATTACAATTAATTTTCCAATAGGAACTATTAGTTGAGTCTAAGAATATTTGTAAATATCAATAATTGGAAAAGATTTCGAGTTGATTTAAATTCTATTCAAGGGATTTGTTTATCGCTTCCATTGTCATCTGATAGACTTTCTTTGATAATTGATCATCGAATTTAGATTCAATCGGTTTCTCGTCGTACGAATGGTAAAAAGCACCATTGGAGTCAATCGTTTTCTCCGAGGCAGCGGCATGAAGAATGATGGAAGCTCCTTCAGAAGGTGTTCGGACAAATAGAGCGGCAAATGGTGACAATAGAACTTTTTTGAACCAAGATAATTTAAAATGTCTTCCTAAATTAGTGTAAACCATTCCAGGGGAGGCAGAATTAACTACGATTGGGTAACCAAGACGATCAATTTCATGGGCTAATTGTCTTGCATAAAGTAAAGAGGCCAATTTACTATCAGAATAGGCGACCTTTGAATCAAAATTTTCCAACGTTACTGATCTAGAAAATGTAATCAAGTAAATTAGAAGAAAAACTTAATTAGTTGTAGATTCAACTTTTGAATCAATGGATGATCACAATGATTAATGACTTGAACTCGTAACACTTTGAGGTGATGTTACGATTAGAAAATTAATCAGACAATTTGTAGTTACCCTGATTTAAAAGAATCATCTCTAATTGTCCCTCGTCGGTATAATATCGAAGATACAAAAACAACTCGACTTGGATCGGCGGGTGAACCTGAGGCCGCAATTTTGGGCAACAACAGAGTGGTCAACAAGGCATGACCCAAGTGATTCGTTTGAATGTGACCTTCAAATCCGTCCTCGGTAATTGAAAATGGAGCCATCATAACAGCAGCATTGTTAATCAAACAATCAATTCTTGGGACACTTTCAATCAGCTCTTTAGCCGATTCCTCAATTGATGCGAATGAGTTAAGATCCATACGACGTAAGGTTATACTTCCCATTGTTGCGCTTTTAGATTGAGCCTTTAATTCATTGATTACCGATTTACCTTTAGCACCATCACGACACAACATGATCACATTACCACCGGCAACTGCAATTTGATGAGTTAATTGCTTACCAATACCTGAATTTGCTCCAGTAATTAAAAAGGTTTTACCTTTCAGCCTATTGTATTCATTGAAATGTCTCCAACCCTTCAAGTTGATAAATCGTAAGATAACAAGAGCGGAGGCCAATCCAGCGACACTTTTACCGACAGTTATTAGAATATCATTCCCCATACTTGGAATATTAGTTAATCACTGAGATAAATGACGTAAGAACAATTCAATTAACTGTTAATTTAGATGAGAAAAAGTCAAAGCAACTCAGTCAAAAAGTGAACCACATGTTAAGGGAACAGCTGATTGAGTGGTGATGCTTTTGTTGTTGCGGTTAAATTGTCACAATTTAGTAACTTTCATGTGGTTGGTGAAAATAATTAAGTTTTAAAAGTGATCAAGTTAAGCATTTATTTGATTAATAAAAATTTTGCTCGATATTTACATTTTTTTGCTTTTTAGGAAACAAAAAAGTGGGTTTAATTTTTGATTGTGTTGAGATTTGCTTAATTGCTACAATTCAAAGTTTGAAAAATTAACAATTGAAAATGATTGAATCATTAATGATTCAATCATAATTATGATTGTTTGTTTTATTTTAGTGAATGAGAATTAATAATATTTCATAAATATCAAAGGCAAAGTGCAAATTAACGAAGTAGAAATCAATTGATACAAAAAAATGAAAAGAAAATATAAACTAGACTCAAGACGATTGTTGAAACGAAATGAAATAAGCGTAAACAATCAAGTGATATTGGAAAATACGTTGATCAAATTATGGACCAATTGGGTGTCCAAGTGATTTAACTGCTTCTATTTGAGATATTGCAGCTTCTCGAAGTGAAAATAAGTGGCCACAGTCCATTTCGCTCGTTGCATTTTCCAAAGCTCGATCAAAACACTCAATTCCTTTGGCAAGATTACCACGTTGAACTTCAAGAGTTCCGAGCATCTCATAGGCGAAAGTACATTTACTGTCGACTTTAATAGCTTGTTCTAAATTGGCGAGAAAATGATAAATCAATTATTTCGAAACTCTATTCTTTTTTCGATAAGTTATAAAAATACTTACCCAACAGTTCTAGAGATTTACTAAAATCATAAGTACTTTGCATGGCTAAAATACCTCGATGGACAATTAAATTTGCATCATTTGGATCAATTTCAATGGCTTTTAAGAAAAGTTTATCAGCCTTTGCGTAATCTCCTTGTTCAGTAAGCATCTAGACAATTTAAAAACAATCAAAATTAGTATCTTTTTCTAAAAACCGGTTAAATCACAAGTAATTAGGGTTCAATGTTTAGTCAGAAGACAATTAATAGAGTAAAGTTGAAGGCAACTCAATCATATTGTGAGTTAATTAAGATTCAATTCACACTATCTCGTAATAAATTAGTACTTATGGAATAGTTGAAATTTGATCAACTTACTTGAGCGAAAAGTGAATAAACCTCAGTTGATTTAGGAAACTTTTCCAATGCTTCTTCAAAATCTGTTAAATTGGAAAGAGGAGAAAATTGGTTGATTAAAGCTCCAAATTTAATTGCCATTTAATGAAACATTCTAATTGTAGAATAAACCTCTAAACTTACTTCGATACAATTCTTGAATTCTTTGATAATCCTCGGCTCTAAAAGCTATTCTGTAAGTAACATAAAGTTTCTGAGCAACGGCGGACGCAAAATCGGGTGCTAATGAGCAGCATTTCTCTAAATCGGCCAAAGCTTCATCAGTTTTTTCAGCTAAAAGATAAATCTATCAAAAAGGGAGAGAAAAATTATCATCAATAATAATGAACAATGATTATGAATGAAAAGTCATAAAAGCAAAGACAATTCATCACTAATTACCTGAGCACGATGAATATAAATATCTTGATTGTTAGGATCAATTTCAATGGCTTTATCAAAACAACTTAAAGCTGATTCAAATCCAACAGAATTATTTTCAACCTCTTGCACTTTAATTGTTCCTAATTTAATCAAGGCATTTACTTTAATATCTGCCTCAGCATCGGTGATTTTAACAACTTGTTGTAATTTTTTTTCGCCTCCACTAATGTTACCTTTCAGCATTTCAATGGTACCTATGAAAGAAGAGGAATCATCAATTAATCGAAGATCAATCAAAGATTTAATCATAAAGGTAAGAGAAATTGATTCTAGAAAAACAAACCTTCTAGTAAAGCGATTTTGGCCTCGACATTGTTATTGTTTTCATCGTTTTCTTTTTCTTTTCTTAATTCATCTAACATGGAATATAATTTTTGGACATCTAAATCATCGGTTTTAGTGACGAAAGGATCCCGACAATAAGAAGAGAAATAGTTTTGTACGAAATGTTTAGACGGATCGGCGAAGGTTCGTTTACTGAAATATTCTTTGGCTTTGCTTTTGCTTAATTGTTTTAAGAGTTGATCAGTGAGCAATAGACTAGTTGGATTTTGAAAGTTTTCCAAAATATCAACAGCTGTAATATCCTTAAGAGCGTCACTAATGTAGCCCAACGCCTCGAAAGCTGTTGAAACAATTGAAATGAAAAAAGAGTATCAATCAGAAGTGGTGATTAGTTGTATAAACAACAAGGAAACAGAAAGCGATTAATTAAACGATTCTTACCTTTTGCTCGCCTTGATAAAGCTTTAACATACTTTTTATTTAATTTAATTGCTTGGTTACACTCTTCGATAACAGCTTCGTAATTTTTGTTCATCTCGTGAACAACAGCACGATTTTGGTAAAAAATTGATAAGTCAGATGTTTTTTCTGGTGGACAGCATTCAATAGCTTTGGAATACCAATTTAGTGCCTCGTCGTATTTTTTTACTCTAAAAAAAGTGTTCCCTTGATTCTTGTAGTAAATTGCTTTGCTATATGGGTCTTTCAGGTGATTTGGTTCTTTAACTTCTTGTGAATTGTTACTGCTTTTAAGCTCTGATTGATGTGTAGAGGTGGAATCGAGAGAGGGAGAGGGAGAGAATAATTAAAGGTCCAATAAGGATATTATGAATTAGAATTATTTAATTCAAAGAATTACTAACCTGCTGATTCGGAATTTTGTCTATATTTGATTATTATCACAGGCAAAGTAGCAGCGAAAGCAACTCCAAAACGAAATCCAAAAGATGAATTCTGATCAAATAAATGACCTAAAGAGAAACAATAATTACAATCAAGTTGAATTCATTCTTTACCTATCAAACTTACGAAGACCGGCTGATACCGCAGCGAAAACCGCACAGGCTGGAAGATAATTCCAGTGCTGATCGACGTTCCCACGAGCTCTTGCAACTGTGTATGCTGTTAAAATTCCAGCATTTGCGGCAGTGACTAATCAATTAAGGAAAAAAAGAACAAATTAGTCCCTCGAGTCGAAAACTATTTACAATTAATCAAGTAAAATACTTAGATAATTTTTCAATTCAACTAACCCGTTGGTATTAAGTTATTAGCATAAATGTACAGGAAAGCTCTTTCTGGAGGAGGAAGGAAAGGCCCAAAAGTAGTGGCGGCTGCTGATACGGTACCTAAGAGATGATGAAAATAAATTCATTAAAGGTGAAGTTAATTAGTAAAATATAATTGATCATAATGAAAATATCAAGGAAAAGGTCAAAACCAACATGTCATGAGTGATGAAATTATGTAAGCAAATGAATCAACTCACTGTAAACCGTGGCCACTTTAGTAACTGTCCATAACTTTTTATCGAGATCCTTGTAATCAGGAGTGTCCCATATATTGTAGGGCATAATTAACTAATTAATTAAAGTGGAAGATAATAAATAAAATTACAATTAATAGACAATAAGAATCGTTGTTTACAATCAGGTAACATGGAAAAATGAACAAAACTATCGACAATTCCCCTCAACAGGTGGCGCTGAAAAGAAAATGATTCGATCGGATCCAAGAAATATCGACTTCAAATATCATGAACAATCAGATGAAAGTTGCACTTACGGACACATCTAGAGCATCACTCGATGTGTACTACTGTTAAGGAACAAGTGTATGTCAGCTCACTTTTCTTGCTCAAGACAACATCTGGTTCGGCTCAAGACTAATCATCAGCTTAAATTTTCATGTTAAACTAAATTAACTTAATTATGATCTTAATTAATGTATGGACAAAAATTTGAACTTAAGCACAAAATCACAAACTAGATTTAATCATTTGATAAAATTTGACTGTGATTGTTTCATCTTTAACAAAATGGCTAAATGTAAATTAGGTTTAGATAATTTTGATTCGGTTATTAAGTCCAAATGAAATAATTCCTGGATTACAATATGTATTGATTGTGTTTAATTCCCAACGAGGAACCAAAAAGTGTTTGGAAATTGATTGATGGTTTAATGGTGCTCAGAAAAATGAGAAATTCATCTCTTGGTAAAAGTTTGTGTAGAAATGCCAAAATCAATGAATTGGATCAGGAAATTTTTGATAACTCAGTTATCAATTATAAAATTTCTGGAAGATAATTTTCGTTCGTGATAACAAATCAATATTACAAACATCGAAGACTCAACTCAAGCGAAAAATTGTAGCTCTTCACTATAAGATGCTTCGAATGGTAAGTAAATTCATAAATACTTTCGTATTGTTTACTTTTCTTTATTATTGTTTATTTTGATCGATTATTTCTAAGCAAAAAATTTGCAATCTGATGATATTATTCATGAAAAAATCGGACAAGAATGAAAAAAGTTACAAATAGAAACAATTGGTTTTTTCTCGTTTTTTTGTAAATCTCTCGATTTCCGAGTAGCTGAACTTTATCACTAATTTAATGATTAATCATTATAACCAATACATCATTGGAAAGAGCTCGTTTTGCTGATTCGAAATATGTTAATTAAATTTTTTTCGACCTTTTGATTACCTAGAAAAATGTGTTCGAAATTTTCGATTATCGATATATCGATAGTTCGAAGATGTCGAAGAAATAGTTTGTTAATTGTGTTCTAATTGTTTCTTTTATTTTATAATTAAATATTATAATTAGGTTTGTTATTCAGTTATGAATAAAGATAGAAAACAAATTGGTGGACCAGGTAAAATAGTCGAAATAGATGAGACTATGGTATATAAACGTAAATATAATGTTGGACGTTTGTCGTCAGATCAATCAGAGCAAGTTTGGGTATTCGGTGGCATTGAAAGAGAATCAAAAACTGGGTTTGCTGAAATAGTTGAATCAAGAGATCAATTAACACTTTTCAATGTAATCGATAAGTACATTCGACCTGGGACAACAGTTTATTCTGATGGTTGGAAATGCTATCAAAACTTAAACAAATATGATTATAATCATGATTGGGTTAACCATTCAAAAAATTTTGTCAACCCAAAGAATCCAAATGTTCATACGCAAAATATTGAAAGAAATGGAGGTCAAAGAACATTACCAACATCATCAAATGACCTAATCGAGACCATTTAACTGAATTCAATTATAAAACGATGTACAAAAAATCAACTGCAGCTCAATATGGAAATAACTTACAAATTTAAAAAATAACTTTTCATTGATTGTCGATTGTATTGACTATGATTAGAATTAATTTAGCTCAATTTTAATAAGATCATAATTAAGTTAATTAGTTTAACGTGAAAAATTTGAGCTGATGATTAGTCTTGACGAACCAGATGTTGGCTTAGAGCAAGAAAAGTGAGCTGACATACACTTGTATCGCCTTACCTGTACTACCTGTTGATGGGAATTATGGTAACATGGCCAACAAGATAAACAGGTAACATGAGAGAAAACAAAATTGCTAGATTGGGTGATGCTCAACTTTCACCCGATTGTTCATGATATTTGAAGTCGATATTTCTTGGATCCGATCGAATCATTTTCTGTTCAGCGCCACCTGTTGAGGGGAATTGTCGAAAATTTTGTTCATTTTTTCATGTTACCTGATTGTAAACAACAATTCTTATTGTCTGTTAATTGTCATTCAGTTTATTATTTTCCATTTTAATTAGTTAATTATGCCTTACCATATCTGGGATACTCCTGATTACAAGGATCTCGATAAAAAGTTATGGGCAGTAACTAAAGTGGCCACAGTTTACAGTGAGTTGGTTCATTTGTTTACATAATTTCATCTTTCATGACATGTTATTGGTTTGACCTTTTCAGTGATATTTTCATTATGATCAATTATATTTTACTAATTAACTTCACCTTTAATGAATTTATTTTCTTCATCTCTTAGGTACCGCGTCAGCAGCCGCCACTACTTTTGGGCATTTCCTTCCTCCGTCAGGAAGAGCTTTCTTGTACATCTATGCTAATACCTTCATACCAACTGGTTAGTTGATTTGAAAGATTATCTATCCATCATTAGATTAATTATCTAAGTATTTTACTTGTTTAATTGTAGTTTTCAACTCAAGCGACTAATTTGTTCTTTTATTTCTTAAATTAATTAGTCACTGCCGCAAATGCTGGGATGTTAACAGCATACACAGTTGCAAGAGCTCGTGGGAACGTCGATCAGCACTGGAATTATCTTCCAGCCTGTGCGGTTTTCGCTGCGGTATCAGCCGGTCTTCGTAAGTTTGATTGATCGAGAATGACATTCAACTTGATTTAATTGCTAATCCTTTCTCTTTAGGTCAATTGTTCAATAAAAATTACCCTTGGGGACATCGCTTTGGATCTACATTCGTACTTGCACTGTCCATCATAATCGCTAAATATGGACATATGAACAGAAACGGAGGATGGCCTCTTAGAATGACTCTTAATATAGATCGTGCTGGGGATGGATTCGGTAATCTTCGTACCTACCGACCTGATGTAGAATATTTGCCACAAGATTGGGGTCGTCGACAATAATCGCATTTCGAATTGTGTTAATCAACTCCACTACTAAACAGAACAACTATTAATTGATTTTTTCGCTGTTTATTATTATTATATTATAGAATATGTTTAAATTGAATAAAATTAACCAAAATAAATTGTTCACTCGTTGTCACGGAATCTAAATATTAACAATAATATCCAAAAAAAATGTATTGAAACCGCTGAACTTTATTTCACAGAAAAGAAATCATCTAATTCTGGTCAAAGCAGCTGATCGACGATCTGTGTTTTGGAAAAGCGATCTAATTAAACTCTTAACTTCTTCCGGGGTAAAAGCGACGGCTAAAGGTCCATTTCCTTCTGACCATCTATCAACAATATCGGCAAGACTGGCCTAAGAAATGAAACGAGATGTGATTAATTAGAGAGAGAGAATAGGAAGTATATTCAATTTACCTGGAGAACAATTTTAATCTCTTGAAATTGAAGCCATTTCGGTAAAATTTGTCCATAGGGAAGAGTAAAATCTTTCATTAATTGGTCAATTTCTTTAGTGATTCCATCTAATATGTCACCTAATCTGGTAGCGGTATCAGCGGGAATATCTTCTAGTGTTAAAATGGCGTTAATTGTCACAGCAATTAGACAGTTAACCAAAGTTCCAATAAGCTTATTACACACTGAAGATGGAAGACAATCAATCCAAAGGCTTTTAATTGATTTAATATGAGTAAGTCCTTTTCTAAGTGATTTGGAGAACGGGATTAAAGTTCGGTTACCAGTTGAATCTTCACAAGAAGCGGCTTTTAATGATTCACGAACTTCAGATTCATCGAAGAAATCAGTCAAAATTTGCTTCTGTTTTTTCATTGTATCGATAATTGCATCTTGAGCCGTTTCTTTGAGGGCAGGAATTAAATCAACAAATGTAACAGTGAAATTATCCCGATCCCATAATCCATAAACCATTGGAAGAATTGTTAATTGGTGAGCAATCCAAAGACAATTGTTGTGAAAAATTGCCGTATATTTTGGTAGATCATTGATTTTGGTTTGATGAACACTTTGACTAACTAAATAAAGCTCGAGGACACTTCGAGTTGCTTGATAGGCCAAATATCGTTCCTCGTGGTCTGAATAATCTCTTGCTTTTTTCATCATCTGTTCAAGTAATTTATTTAAATCAAATATACTTTGACTGACAGAACAGATTGGAAAAGAGAAGAGACTTTGATTAATTGTTGGACTATTTGAAGGAATAACTTGTGAAATGTCATCACCAACTTGAATCACAGGAAAGAGATCAGAATTAATTAGTGTTCGAGCTTTTACAAAATCATCTCCAACCAATTGCTCGGTTAATCTTAACTGGCGAGTTTCCTCTTCATCAACAGGATTTTGTATTCTAAGAGGTGAAGGTGAATGATTTGAGACGTCGATTCCTTGATTATAATCACTATCACCAAGATAATCATCACCACCTTCTTTTCCTTTGCTGACAACATCAACATCTTCATTATCTCCATCGATTGGTGTTAATTTAGAAGCAGCTTCTTGAAGTTGTTTATTCCTTTGAAGGAGAACATCTCTCAATTCTCTGATTTTTACACCAGTATCACCTTCGAAAGCTTTTAATTGTCCATTCGCTTGATCAAGTGATACATTCATTTGACCAATAAATTTATTTATCACTGAGAAATAATCTCTAAATTGCTCTTCATCACGAACATTTAACTTCTCTCTTATAGATGATTCAATTGTTTCAATCTCTTTACTCAATTCACCGATAAGTTGATCAATAGAAAGTTTAGAATTAAGCTCACCACTATTTAACCATTTAACCAGAATCTCCATAATTAGAATAAACAATTAATTCATCAAAATATAAAACAATTAATTAAAAAAGTAAAAACAAAATAGAAAACAAACCAAAACCAAAACGACAACAATTTAATTCTGTTTACCAATTGAAATGTTTTTCTTTTTTTTCTCAATTCGGTTAACAGGATTGGTTAGAATTCGTTTGGGCGGTTGATTCAATTCTTGGAACGAACTAAATTAAATTTAATTGTTTTTCCGAATTTTGAATAAGTAAATTTATGGAAAAGTTTAATTAAATATTAGAAAATTGTTTATTAATTGAGAAGAAGTAAAAAGTCTATACAATTCCAATAGAAAACAAGAATCCGTTTCGTTCAATTTGAAGAGACAAAATTTAAATCGATTGTACAATTTTCACAATTTAGTTGATTAACTGATCATATTTATGGTAATTGATATGATTTATCCTTGAGAGAAAATGAGAAGGCCTATTAAGACAATTCATGGAACCGTGAAACCTGTTGGTTAATTATAATTGTTTCGAAATTTGAATTGGGAGAAAGAGAGAGAGAGAAATGAAAGAGATCGGGAAACCGGAAAAGGTTATCACAATTAACAGAACCGGGAATTTGTATTATTATGGAAATAAGATTAAGATACGTTAATGAGACTTTAGAAAGTAAAAAAGTAAATTAATTTACATTCATCAGATCAATTGAAAGCGGATGTACAAAAATAATGAATCTGTTGTTATTGGATTTGAATTATTGTTAGAGTTAAATTGTTGCTGTTGATCCTAAATTGTTGATATTTTTATGGCGAAACTTTTTCTAATTTTGTCGTTTTTTTGTTTCTCGTTCAACTTAATTCTAATTCTAAAGGTTGATGATGATGATTATGATGAAGGAAGAAAAGTTTGAATTACTTTTACCTTCATTTGAGTTTGATTTTGATCAACATTTTTTGTTCCTTATTAATGATCAACCATAAATTGTTGATAATATTAAAAGAAACTTAATAGTCAGGGCGATGTGATTAAATGAGGGGGATAGTTTATCGACCGAATCCAAGACCACCAGCTCCGAAGCCTTTCTTAACTCCGGCTGCTCCAGCAGCTCCAGCGGCCTTCTTGAAACCTGCAGCTCCTGCAGCACCAGCCTTACCACCGGCTGATCCAGCGGCACCAGCGGCGAATCCTTTCTTACCACCAGCAGCACCTTTCTTGAAACCAGCGGCACCAGCAGCTCCAGCGAAACCAGCCTTAACTGCTTTACCACCAACAGCACCACCAGCAGCACCATAACCAGCGGCCTTTCCGAATTTGAAACCTGTAAAAACAATCGCAACAATTATTAATCAGTTCATCCCAACGACTTGATCACAAGTTGTGATTCACAATAAATCATAAATTAATGAAGAAAATGAAACTTACCTTGGCTAACACCGAACTTCTTGATGACTCCGATTTTCTTGTTGTAACCTGCACCTCCGGCTTTGACGAATCCTCCTTTCTTTCCGAATTTCTTACCGAAAGCACCAGCAGCGAATCCTTTTTTCACTGCAGCTCCTTTCTTTCCACCAGCGGCACCAGCAGCTCCATAGGCAGCACCACCTTTGGCACCTTTGGCACCAGCAGCATAAGCAGCTTTTCCAGCCTTTCCAGCCTTGAATCCAGCAGCACCACTACCAGCGGCACCTTTCTTGAAGCCAGCGAGACCTGCACCACCGGCACCACCGATTCCCGATTCGGCTCCTTCTAAATCAGCGGAAATGTCTCGTCTCTCTCTTTCGAGAACAGTATCATCAGAATCGAAAGATTCTTCGTTGTCTTCAAATTCTTCCTCGGCTCGAACATATTGGCAACACAAGAGAACAGAAGTGGCAAACAAAACGAACAACTAATGAAAAAGAAAAGAACAAAATAAAAAGATTACCAATCGGTCATCACAATAATTGGAGAGAAAAGAAAAGAAAATGTCAACCAATCAGAAAAGAGAGAACATTTTTTCTTCTTTTTAGAAAAACAAAATTACCAATTGTTTGTTCATCGTTGATTTTATTTTGTGATCAATTAAACACTTGAAGAAAAACACAAATGGAAAATAATCAATTGAACAGTTTAAATTGGAACAGAAAAATTAAGGTAAATTTAGTTGTTTAATCTCCTTGTTTACAACTTTTGTTGATTTTCTCTTAGTCTCTTTGGACACTTGCAACTGAACTGATCTTTGAAATGAATTCACATTCACTTAAATACTTTGCCCGATTCGCCCTTGGCTATAATTCCATGCCTATTGACCTTGTCTCTATTTCTACAAAATTCTGATTCTTCTGGTTAGGGTAAGTTATTGGAAGAGAAAGTGAAATCACACCTAAATTGTTTGACTTAACCAACCTTTTTTTCATTATTGTTCCAATCCTTAGATTACAATATAAGCCTTCCCCTTGTTTGTAGCACCGTAACAATTGGTGTTTTTTGGATGTTGTGTCGTTATCATCGTTGTCAGCGTCATGGAACCATAAATCCGCTGTAATCAACAAATTAAGGTAACTAGTTGATTTTTGGAAATACCTATTCCTCAATAGCTTAAGCGACTATTAAGCTTCTGGATTACCTCGGATTAGCTCAATACCCACGAAAGAGGAAGAGATAAAAATAAGATGAAGAAACGATAACTGACTTTTGGATAATATTGCAAATGGAACAATTAATTTGTAATCTTTAACTGTAAAAATCGATCACTTTTGATAACCATTTCACCAACAATTGGGATCATCCAAATCTAATTATTTTCTTATGGCTTTGTTTTATTCTACAAAATCAATGTAAGTGATTTAAATTGTTTCTCTTTCATAATTTGATCTCTATGATCAGTAACCCTGAAATCTAAGGTCAAAATTTTTGCTAATTTTTTGTTCCAAATTTAAATATTATATTTTCTCTTTAGCATGGAAAATCCTGTAACTCTTTTTTTCTGTCACAACACTCGAAAATCGACCCAAGGAAACGAAGGAAACTTTTGGTTAGAAAAAGACAACAAAACAATTAAATTTAATTCCATGTTCAATAGATTGTCACAGGGAAACCCATCGAGGACAAATTATCCACCAAACTAAATTTCCAGCAATTAAGCTAATAGGCTACATGCATCAATAATTTTCTAATCCTTAATCAAATGAAAATTTTGTCTCTGGAGTTTTTTTTTGCTCTTTCAATTTTTCATCAACAACTTGATTTACAATTTAATCATTTAGAGCAATTAATGAAGCTTAATGATGTAAAGTAACAATTAACAAACATCGCTGAGATTAACGTTGTAATTGAATGAAGAAAAGTGATATAACCAACAATCAACTAAACGCTTTGATGGATTGAAAATTTGTGTTTACCTGATGAAGAGACAATTTAAATGGTTGAACAACTGATTGCGATTACTTAAAATTAAACTAGTGAATTGAACTCTAGTTAATTGATCTTTAACCAATCGATGAATCGTCACAAATCAAAATCAAGGTTAATCAGATACTTTCATGTGATAAAGGCAATGATCGAGTGACATTGATTGTAAACAATTAACTTCCTTTCAGATTAACTGAATCTTAGTTGATTGCATCATTTTTCCCTCCTAAATTAACTTGATTTAAATTAATCCATGTAAAATTAAATCAACAAACAAAAAATCAAAATGTTAAATCAATTTAACATTATAAAATTATATCAAATTTGCTCCTCAAATGTTTGGCTGATTAACTTAAACCTATTTGGTTCAAGGTGCAATTAACCTGATCAAGGATTAGATTTAGATGACAATTAGCTATTTAATTATTTAAATTAACGTTTGTACGTCTTTCCGTTTCAACTAATTTACGGAAATGTTAATTTTCGCTCAATTCATATGACGAAATTAATTTAACACTTTCGCGATCATTTAACGAACGTAAATTCAATTGATTTAAAGGACAAAACAATAATAATTAAGATGAAAATAGTAAATCAAAACTAATTGTAAAAGAAGAAAATTGATCACAACTAAATCAATGTAAACATCGATATTGATGGAAAGTCTATCAAAATGTATAATACTAATGGTCGATATTTGATTGTTGAGAAACTAAAGTGATCGAAAATTAATTGTAATGATTAAAACGATCAACCAATTGAAATTTAATTTCCAATCACATGTTAAAAACCATTGGAAACGTTTATCATTTGACCTTAGAGAGTCAAGAGTAACTCTTTAGATGATTTAATTTCTTTGTTAATTTAATCAATTGAGTCACAATTTACCTAATAAGTGTTTCTAGTCAGCAATTTAATAATCATATTATTAATTTCTATCCGTTCATCTTAATTAATTAATCGAAACCATGATGATACTTAAGGTTAGTATTTGTTTACATTTGAATTTCATTTGTTTTCAGTGACTCTTGATCTTAATTGTTGTTATATTTTCTTTAAATTATATAAATTGATTTACAGTCATCATGGAGATTTTTAATTGTGGTGTTATTGGCATCGTGGAAATTTGATTCAGTCTTTTCGGTTGATCAAAATTCGCAAATTGTCCAGCAACATGTTGATCAAACGGACGGCGTTGGGCCGCAACAATCATCTCATTTCAATGAACAATTAAACAAAGGGAAGGAATCTTCATCCAGAATTATGGATAATCCCATGAAGTTGAAGGAAAGTGATCAAGAATTGTTGAAAAGTATCAGGCTATTAATAGAAATGCGATCGATATCATTAACTAATCAAGCTTTGGATCAAAGGAAAGCTTTTGCCGAGTTTAATCATCGCAAGACCTTTGCTGTTAAATCAGGATCAAAGATCACTCAAAGACAATTGATTGACAATTTAGAAACAACCTTACCAACCCGGTACAAAACACTAAGCGAATCATCAGGAATTGGACTCACCAATTTACCGATTACCTCATATGATGAAAGGCTATTCAATCAGACTCAATATCTAAGGTCAATGATTAACCGGATCAACAATAAAAAATCAGTGATCGTATTTAAAAACAGAGGTGGTCACATTAATGGCGATGTTAATTTCAACATAAATGCTTCTGGTGGTGGAATTAAATTGATTAGTAGATCAACTGATGCTCTTAATGTTGATCCATCTCAATTGTTGGATGATTTGGTTTATCGTCAACACAACTCTCGTTATCAAATCACTGGACCAATTCACTTAACCAAAAGGTCATCGGTGAGAAAGGCAGTAACTAAATCAACTAATGGTCTTAATCTAGTTCGTGATGTTGTTTTCAAAGGATTAACTCGATTCCAAATCAAAAGTCCTCTTAGAATACGATCTTTGTCTAGTGATTTAATTTCAACTCAATTATCAAGTCAATTGGATGATCTTATTTTCATCAATAGTAAAACTCCAGTGACAATTTCGTCCCCATTGAATTTCAAATCCAATATTTATATCGACCGACAATTAAATGTTGAGAAGATTTCAAATGTTCATCTACAGACCTTCCGATTATCAGTATTAACCTACAATTCTGATCAAATTGTTCCAAGTCCAATTAGGATGCGATCATTTCGAGTACCTAATGTCCAGTTAAAAGGTCAACTAAATGATATCAACTTTAATCGTGTGGTCCGATTACTACGAACCGATTTACCAATTCAGGTTCCCAAGTTAATTGTTGATTCAAATTCATTACAAGCTCATGATTTCAGTTTCAACAATTTGAACAATCAACGATTCCCAGATGATTTTCTACTCGCTAATAGCCCTCAGTCTATTCCAACTCCAATTAACTTTTCGAACCTGAAAATTACCCGTGGAGCGGAAATCGATGGCCTAATTAATGGACTTCGATATCCAGATAGTTTCGTTACACTCAATGGAAACGAAACAATCAATTCGAACATAATTTTCACAGATTCGATAACATTTAACAGAGATGTTGTTCCCCGTGATTACATTGGTAAACATCGAATGGTTGATCTGATCGATTGGACATTTGGACGAAGTCCGGTCATGAAAAAGATTCGTAATAATCCAAATGGAAATGTAATTGTTAAAGGTGATCTTCAAGTTACATCAACAATCAACGGAATCCAATTGAATGGATTATTAAACGATCTGGTTCATCGTTACGATCGTAATATTATCCAAATTACTGGAATTAAAACATTTATCAACACAATTCAAGTTCCATCAATAGCAATTAGAGAAATCAACAGATTCCCGATGAAAGATTTTGCCTCATCATTAACCGCCATAGTCTCACCACTTCGGTTTGTTAATCATCTCACAATTAACAATTTAATCTGGAAATCAACTGGGAAAAGTAATCCAATCCTTGATTTGATCTATAAACGGATCAGTTTGGTACACGAAGGAACAATTAATGGAGATATTTTCATTGAAAACATGGGAATTGGTTCGTTACAAGTTGATCCTTTGAAAGGATATCGAATCAACAATTTATCTCCTCGACAATTAGTGTTTAGTGGACAGAAACAACATATTCGTGGTTCTTTGACATTAACTAATATGAACTTTGCTGGGCCGATTTTGGCAACGAAACTATTAATTGGTCGAAGTTTCAACAATCGAGATGTGAATCGAGTCATGAGAAATTCATTGGATCAAAGAAAACGATCAAATGTTGGCTTCGATCGTTTGATCCTAAGAAATTGTCGAGTAAACAAATTAGTTCCTAATTCTGGTGATTGGAGGATTCGAAATCGTTTACTTGTCCAATCTCTTCGTAATTTACTTCTCAAACATGGTGATCAGGTCATTTCGAATCGAAAACGGTTCCTTTATCAAGTCTCATTTGGATCGAATATAAAATCTCGATCTTCTCGAGGTGTTTTACATGGAATTCAGAAAGGTCCACTTTTCCGTCGTTCTAATTACACAATCAAACAAAATCTTCGTCTCTCCAGCCTCGTAATTCAAGGTAATGTCCAGATGAACGGAAAATTGAATGGAATCGATTTTTCCACCCCACTGACTGATCTTCAAAATAACAATCAGAAAAGTCAATATACTATGATTAGCTCACAATCCTTTTACGCTGGACTAATTGCTTCAAAGATTCACGTTAATTTTATAAATGGAAAAGCTTTTGATAAATTGTGGTCCAAACTTAAACCTCCACAATTTATGGTTCCAGTTACAATTGGTGATCTAATTGTCAATGGTCAAGTTTACCTTAACGGTTTATTGAATAACCTACGCATAGAACGAGTTGTTAATAGAATAAAAAATCAACTGAATCAAAGAGCAGCAATAATCCATGGCGATGTTATTTTCAAATCACCAGTAAATTTAAGACAAAATTTAAATGTCTCTGGAACAATTAACTCGGTTGATTTTGGTTGGTTAACACGATCTTTGGACACTTTGTCAACCATTGAAAAAATGACCGGAGTTAAGACATTGAGGTCAATGACGATCTTTGGGAATCTCAATGTCAAACGACTTAATGGTCAACAATTAAGTGATTTCTTACACAATATTGTCTTAATTCATCCAAATAAAGGATTACTAATCGTTAGTCCAATTGAATTTACCTCGATGACCACAATCAGAGATAACATTAATTGTGACCGATTAAGAAGCAATTTCTATTCCAATGTTAATGGTATTAATATTAGAAATCTTTTAACTAATCAAGAGCAACAATTTAAACGATCATCAACCATGGCCACGGCTACAATTGAATTCACTGATCCAGTTATCATCCGTAGTAAATATCCAATCCAAATTATGGGTAAAGTCAACAATTTAAATCTGCAACGAGACATAATTTGGTTGAATGATTACTTTCAACCTTACCAGTTAATCACTGGGCACAAATCATTCAAACGAGCCCATTTCATGTCCGATGTCCATGTCCAGTCAACTCTGAACGGAATCGATTGGACTGACCGCTTACGAAGGATAATCCACCCACAGGCGACTCAAAACATCACCACCGGCGTTAAATTTGCTGGTAAAATGATCATGAACTCTGGACTATTCGTATCAATCATTGATGATATTCCAGCTTCATCTTTAATTGCTACAAATCAGCCAACCAGATCGTTAATCAAGATACCTGCTGAATGGACCTTCAATGGACCTTCACTAACAGTGAGAGATGATTTAATTGTTGATGGTAGAATTAAAAATGTCTCCATCAAGGAATTAGCAGCTTACTCATTGAAGAAACATGTTCCTCAAACAATTAACGTTCCATTACAATTTGATCGAATTGCTTTGAAATCAATGGATCAAGTCAATTCCATGTTCAATGATTTACAATCAACCCAAAGATTACACTCTAATCGTTGGAATCAAGTGGCCTCCCGATTGAACGTTTTAAATGAAACCATTTCATCAAACAGTCCAATTTACTCACAATTAACCAAATACATTGAATTAACTCCAATAGTAATTAGAGGTTTCCAAACTGTATTGAATTTACCAGGAATTGTTGGCTCGACAATTGATTGTCACCCAATCATCACGACTCAGAAAACTTCAGCTTATGTGATCAATTTTGGTTCATTGATTGATGATCGTGTTGTTTTCACTAGTTTAATATTCAATGGATCACAATTAGTTAATCTAATGAGGAAACCAATTGTCACACCTTATATTGCTACTCATCATTTGAGATTGGATCAATTTAATTACAATCTATATCAAGCTTCACCAAATTCAACAACTCCAACGATTCTGGTCAATAGTGACCTACAACAAACCATTGGTCATCTTACCGGTCGAGCATATGATGATTTAAAGATATTATCAATCGGTGGTAAAGGTCAATTTATTTGCGCTTTATCATCGGTTCGAGGGGTCATCGAAACATTTACCGTGGACATTGTAAATGGTCAGCCAATGATCAGGTTAATTAGTACTCTAAATGTTACACCAAGTAAGTTGAATTTTGATAATTTAAAAAGCAACATTTTCATTCAACTAATTTGTAAATATTTTTTTCTCTCTCCTTCTCTTAATTGTAACTAATTAGGTGCTCGAAAAATTTCATTATTCATCATGATGAAAGAAATTTATTTGGCTGTTGCTCGAAGCTCAGACAGTGATTGTGAATCTGAAGATAGTTCCAGTTTATTGTTACATTGGATCGATAATCAATTTAAATTAATTCAGAGATTTAAACACTTTGAAGCTTCAAATGTTGTTTATTATGAATTCAATGGTCACTCTTACCTTGTCTTCAGTGAATCTAAGGCAAAGGTTGACCGATTAACGGACAAAGCGATTCATGTTTATCAATCAATCTTCAAGAAATGGCCCTACTGTCAATTTAAACATTTCCATTCAATTAATTTTGAACATGCAATTGATTTAAAAGTAATTACAGTTCCATCACCTTCACGATCAATTCAATTGTTGGCTGCACTTAATTCATCAGCTTTAACAATTTGGCAGCAAAAAGGTAACAACGAAACTAATTATCTATATATTTAAATTACCTTGTGATTAGTGGAAACTTTTTATAATTAGTTAACTAAAATCATCAATATTTTTTTGTTTCTTTCTCTTAATTGTTGTTTTTTTCTTAAACACAACAACAATTACAGGAAATGCTGGTTTCACGAGGATTTGGTCACAATCATTAACCGAAGGACAGTCTTTTAAATTTATTACAATTAATTCAAATATCTATCTAATTGTTGCCCAATTGTCTTCTAGAATTGGATCTTTTATAATGAAAGCGATCATTTAATTAACTTAAATTGTGTGTGTGTATGTGATTCTAATCAATATGTTAATCAATTTTTCTAGAAAGAAAATTTAATTTCTTTTTAATCCTCAAACCCTTTAATTATTTTTCTTCTCGTTGTTTAATTGTTACAATTGATTTATATATTAATTCATCTGTTTATTTAAGTCACTGATCAGATTGTTACAAATTTTTTAACTTAAATTGTTACATTTAATTTATATTTTCTATCCGATTTTTATACATCTTATTATTACAAGAGAAAACAAATTACAATCATTAACCATTAAATTATTATTATCCTTTCAATTGCTCTTTAATTGTCGAAAATTAGATTTAAAATCTTTCTAATGAAAACAATTAGATTTCTATTGATCAACTAAATCGTATAAATCAGTTAATTGATACGAATTATCGAATTATTGGAATGAATGGTAAGAATAAAAATGAAGATTCGAAAGTTTCAGTTAGTAAGAACTCGGTGTCTCGAAAAGTTTTCGAACCAATAACGAAACTGATCGATAAAATTGGTAAGTTTTTATTTTTATTTTTCTTTTATTTTCTCATCGAATCTGTTAATTGTTTCCTTAATTTTTCTTCAGGAAAATCTTCCAACGTAAAGAAATCTCGTTTTATATCAAAGAGGTCAAAAATCGCCCCGTTAACTATTCCCGAAGAGACTTCACCATTCCTGAAATTATATTCTGAGCGTTATTACAATTTGATTGTTAAAGATCCGAAAAATGTTAAAACCAAATACAATACAATTTGTTTTCTGATCCTTTCAATGGCTAGGGACAACTGCCTACAGTTGCTTTATGAGCTTGTCTCTATCGTTAACTTGGCTAATTAATGGAGAGGGAAAGACGAGTGGCTAGACAATAACCTTTGTTAATCTGTTCATCTTTGATCAATTTTTTAATCGGTTTTGAGATATTCTCCAGACTTTTCAATTCAAAGTAGATGTGGTGTTTAAACCCTTCACAGTTTTTCAATCTGTTTAGCTCAATCTATAGATTCGAGATGGATATTAAACTTTCAGAATGAAGACCATCCATGTCCATGGCCCGATAGATCCCTTCGCGGAATCTTATCGTTAGTTCATCATTCTTTGCCATCTCATTGCGTGTTTTCATTAGAAGTCAACTCTGTAGCAGTCAATCGAATAATCGGTTACTCGCAAACCTTTGATCTCTGACGGATCCCAATTATTGTATCTTAGTAATAGTTTGCCAAAGATACCAGAATAAACACTAACATCTTTCTCTAGGAAGAATTAAATCACTAATATAGCTGATCTTGGTATCAAACGAAAGCTCTGAAGTCAAAAGAACCTCTCTCGTTAGTCATTAAATAAGTTTATCATGAGGTTAATTTATCTTTCGAATGCAAACAATAAGCATTAATTCCAGACCAATGAATTTCTTTGACTTCTGATTTTACATCTGACCAAATACCTTGGAGCAAAATTGACATTGATAAGTCTTTTTCTCGGATGACGATAAACACGATGGCGAAGACAAAGATGATAGACAAGAAGATGATTCATAAGTTTCAGAAAGTGCTGATGATCCTGCAAGTGAACTAGTTTCATAAGAATATGATTCCTCACAAGATGAACTCTCAAATGATGATAAACACGGAGATGGAAATAGTGGCTTCTGTTGGTTGAGAAACATTTTCATTTTAAGTTGACGATAAAGATTAACCTCATCTTGTGATTCATTTAATTTATCAACGAGTTACGATAATCCACCAAATGACATTTTAGTTTTAGTTTTAGTTTTAGTTTTCTTCGAGAGTGGCCAAAATACTTGATCGTGTTTATGATCGAGGAAAAGATTATATAAGCACTTGATAAGCATGGGAAAGATGACCAAAAAAGTTTGACACTGGACCTGAACAGCTTTTAGTTAGAAATCACAGATCAGCGGATTTAATAATTTAACAGTTTTTAGAACAATCAGTTGAACGAATTATTAATAGATGGAAGTTGACAACAGTTTAATTGAACTGAACAATGAATATTTGTAATGAGATTTTCTCAGTATTTTACTCAAATCGAAACACACTTCTCATTGGCCTCAAAACCAGACAAGTCTTGAGCCAAACTTTTACGATACGGGAAGATCACTTTCTCGGATAAAAGTCACTACCTCTGAGTCGAGTTTTTCTGACACTTGTTGAGCGAGTATTAATTGGTCGTCAAATTTAGTACCACAATTGAGGGAATTGTAACTTTCTTTCGGCAGAATGTGATTTGTATCAAGTTCTCCTTCAATTTACATTTACGAACGGAAGATGTGATACATCCCTCGATTTCGCAGTTGAATTTATGAGCCTTAATGTGATCTTTAAGGTTATATTTTTTGACGAAAACTTTATCACAGATGACATTTGTTGATGGTTAGGTGGTTGTATTTATCAAAAATTAGCGAGCAATCAGGTTGATTACAAGGGATTTCACTACCATTTTTGGCATCGGCTATTTAGTAGGACTTAATTTAAAGACAATCAAAAAAAGTCCAAAAATTTCCTATGAAAGGCATTGGGATCAATCCCTACCTTTAAATATCGATTGTTCCTGAACGAAAAGTCTGATCAAAAAGCTGATTAGCTCAGTTTGTCTCCAAAATTTTGCACTTTTAAATGGCCAGAAAAATTTCTAGAAAAAATTTTCGCATCGAAATGTACCACTTTTCCGACTTTGGGAGGCCACTGCTCATCAACGGGTTTTTGGTTTAATTGAATGAAAAAACGAGAAAATTAATTAATCAAGAAACAAATCGTTGGTCATTTGTCCGAATACAACTTTTTGTACAATCGTGAAAATTGAGTTCGTACTTTTATTTAAATCATTTGCTCATCTTAGGTAGAAATTGATTGTATCAATTGATCAGTCACTGACGCTTAAGCTTCTCACTGCTGTTGTAAATATTTAAATACTGACACTTACGGTTATGCTCATGAAGGAAAACCAACCAAAATCAAACTCACTCAAGTTGAAGTAATGCCGCCCAAGCTAAAAGACAGAACCATAGGTAGCGATGGAAGTTTAAACGAGCATGAAAGTACAACTACTTAACCATTGTCCAAGAAACGGTCGTCTCAACTGGGTGAGTCTCACTTCTCATCAGTCTCTTTAAATGAAACTATTTCATCAAACAGTCCAATTTACTCACAATTAACCAAATACATTGAATTAACTCCAATAGTAATTAGAGGTTTCCAAACTGTATTGAATTTACCAGGAATTGTTGGCTCGACAATTGATTGTCACCCAATCATCACGACTCAGAAAACTTCAGCTTATGTGATCAATTTTGGTTCATTGATTGATGATCGTGTTGTTTTCACTAGTTTAATATTCAATGGATCACAATTAGTTAATCTAATGAGGAAACCAATTGTCACACCTTATATTGCTACTCTTAATTTCTTTTTGATCCTCAAACCCTTTAATTATTTTTCTTCTCGTTGTTTAATTGTTACAATTGATTTATACATTAATTCATCTGTTTATTTAAGTCACTGATCAGATTGTTACAAATTTTTTAACTTAAGTTGTTACATTTAATTTATATTTTCTATCCGATTTTTATACATCTTATTATTACAAGAGAAAACAAATTACAATCATTAACCATTAAATTATTATTATCCTTTCAATTGCTCTTTAATTGTCGAAAATTAGATTTAAAATCTTTCTAATGAAAACAATTAGATTTCTATTGATCAACTAAATCGTATAAATCAGTTAATTGATACGAATTATCGAATTATTGGAATGAATGGTAAGAATAAAAATGAAGATTCGAAAGTTTCAGTTAGTAAGAACTCAGTGTCTCGAAAAGTTTTCGAACCAATAACGAAACTGATCGATAAAATTGGTAAGTTTTTATTTTTATTTTTCTTTTATTTTTCTCATCGAATCTGTTAATTGTTTCCTTAATTTTTCTTCAGGAAAATCTTCCAACGTAAAGAAATCTCGTTTTATATCAAAGAGGTCAAAAATCGCCCCGTTAACTATTCCCGAAGAGACTTCACCATTCCTGAAATTATATTCTGAGCGTTATTACAATTTGATTGTTAAAGATCCGAAAAATGTTAAAACCAAATACAATACAATTTGTTTTCTGATCCTTTCAATGGCTGAGGATAAATTTGATGAGCGGGTTTGTCGTTTTCTCGATGCCTTTATGCCGATAACCGATATTAAAAGTCACATGGATTCGTTTGACGACGACTTTGGAATGGCCATACAACGACATCGCGATTTAAATGTTATCCTTAATTACTGGCAATTAGGTGCACTTCGTAGATACGAGTATGATAAATGGAACTTAATTGCTGTTCGTAAGACTGAACTTTTCCTTTCTTTCCAACGAGATCAAAGTAACGGATTCACTTATTATATCAATCGAATCCTCGAAAAACCAATTAGAGGTAATTGTAAAAAAATGGCTTCGATCGTTGGGTTGATTTAAATTTCTAATTTCACCATTATATTATTTTCTTTCAACAGGTACAATGAGTCAGATTTTTTTACCTTCCAAATCCGGTAAAGCCAATTTGAAGACTCATAATGATTTCGTTGATCCTGAAATTAAATGTACTTTGTCGTTGAATAACAACACTCTTGATTTACCTCTGAATGAAGCGATAGCCATTGTCACCAGTGAGAAACGTAAATTGGAGAAACAGATTGAAAATTTCTCTCTCTACTTGAGATGTATTCGTGAGTTAATCAAGATTAACGAAGCTAATATGGCGAAAATTTATTCGTACCAATTTAGATGGCGACCAACTCGTTTATCTGAACGAGTTCAAAGTGGACGAATCATTACTAATCCTCCGATTTCCGAGCTTAGACAAGCATTTCTTGATTCAAATCCACGATAAATGTCAAACCATAAACTGGAAAACAATCAAATAAACCACAAAAAAAAACAAGTAGAAATTAAAAAATCAAAAATTCATTTACAATCAACTTTTTTTTCATTTCGAGATAAAAACGTTTCAAATTTTCCGCTTTTCTTTTGAATCGCTTTTAACGCCATCTGATGGGAGAAGAAGAAATTTATTGTTCAAACAACAAGAAATTTGGATTTGATTTCTCATTCTTGACTTTTACTTTGTATTGTCATTAATTGTGTGTCATTTTGTTTATTTTTGTTCATCTTATTTGATCAATTGATTATAAATTGTTCGTTTTCTATTTGATTGTAACCGAGCTCATCATGTATGCAGGATCTTCTACATCATCTTCCAAACCCGAACCTCGGGACAAGGATAGTTCAAAGGGGCGACCAAATTATGTTCAGAAAGCAACTCTTGCTGGTCATACCAAAGCGGTTTCATCTGTTAAATTTAGTCCTAATGGTGAATGGTTAGCCTCGTGTTCAGCTGATAAATTCATCAAAATCTGGTCTGCCTATGATGGTAAATTTGAGAAAACCATCTCAGGTCATAAACTGGGTTTATCTGACATTGCCTGGTCAACCGATTCCCGATTAATTGTTTCAGCTTCAGATGATAAGACACTTAAATTGTGGGAAGTTGCCACTGGTAAATGTTTGAAAACAATGAAGGGTCACTCAAATTATGTTTTCTGTTGTAGCTTTAATCCTCAATCAAATCTAATAGTTTCCGGATCATTTGATGAATCGGTTCGCTTGTGGGACGTTAAAACGGGCAAATGTTTAAAAACGCTTCCCGCTCACTCTGATCCGGTCTCAGCGGTTCACTTTAATCGAGATGGAACTTTAATCGTGTCATCATCTTATGATGGTCTCTGTCGTATTTGGGATACAGCCTCAGGTCAGTGTTTAAAGACCCTCATCGATGACGACAATCCACCCGTTTCATTTGTCAAATTTTCGCCCAATGGGAAGTACATTTTAGCCGCAACTCTAGACAACACCTTGAAACTTTGGGATTACAGTAAAGGAAAATGTCTCAAACTTTACACTGGCCACAAGAACGAGAAATATTGTATCTTTGCCAATTTCTCTTGTACCGGAGGTAAATGGATCGTTTCTGGATCGGAAGATAATCTTGTTTACATTTGGGATCTACAGACCAAGGAAATCGTTCAAAAGCTTGCTGGACACACGGATGTGGTCATGTGCACCTCTTGCCACCCAACCCACAATATAATTGCTTCCGCTGCTCTGGAAAACGATAAAACAATAAGACTTTGGAGAAGTGACAATTAGACCAGTTTAGTTTTATTGATTATATAAATTTAATTTCTCTCCTTCCTCTGGTTTCCCAACCATCCACCAATTATTGGTGAAAATGATACAATCATAAGCTAAATGTAATCTTAGATTATGTATAATTTATTAACTGTAATCACTCGCAATTTCTGATGTCTTATTAGAAGATTTTCTTCACTAATTCATCTAATTTGTGAAAATCTACATTTCCTGTCTGCTGATAGAACAGAAAAAAAGTTCTGATGACGAAAAATCTAATTGTTTACCGACTCGAATTATAATCATTCGACTTTTTAATCATCATGTTCAATATATTTCTTCATCTAAAGATCTACATTTTGTATCTCTCTCTTATCTTGTCTTTTTTTCTTTGTTTATTTTTCTCTCTCATCAATCATTATCATTTTAGATTTAATTGTTGCAACAAATCGAGGTGAAGAAACTAAATCATTGAGACTGATCAATTTTTGTATAAACCAAACATTGGAAATAAACAAAAAACTAAATTGTTTAACTTTGGACTTTAACCAAACACGGAACACTTAAAATCCCCCAGAGAAAAAGGGTCATCTTGATTAACTGATTTCGCAACAATCAAAAAATCTCCTTTTAATTTCCAAATAAATCCAAAGCAATTAGATAATAACAATTAAAAATACAACCGAAAAGTATTTACATACAAATTTCACAAGAGATCAAATCGATAAAATCAATCAAAATCAACTAAACGAATCATACTTCTAATCATTAGAACAATTTAAATCGAAACAATGAAAACCAACTAAACTTGATGACATTTAAAATCTAATTTAACGAGACTCTTAATAGTTTTTGTTGTTGGTTGATTGTTCTAACCCATGGAACAATTAATTAATCACATTTACAGGTTCGAAACTGATTGGATCTCAATTCCAATAAGTTCTGATTCCTTAATCGAGTCAATGATGATAAGACAAGGTAAAGGTTTCGCGACTAATTGTAAATCTTAAGCCTCATTGAAGAAAAACCTTGGCTGTCTGAGCCTCTAAACCTTTTGATCAGTTGAAGTTTAATCAACTAATCAATTGATCAATTTCAAATTTGGTCAATTTTTGGGAATTCACTGGGTTTCAATTGAATAGAACAAATTTTCAAACTATTGTAAGGTTCACTTTTGGCTGCTAATTGAATTATCAAATTGTTGTTGGATTGATTTTCGATTTCAACTGTTAATTGTGACAAAAAATGGAAAGAAAATTTAGTTTTCTACTTTTTGCCGATAGATGGAGTTAGTGGTTGGGGAAAAGTTCTTTCGGGTTTTTGGTTTAATTGAATGAAAAAAACGAGAAAATCAATTAATCAAGAAACTAATCGTTGGTCATTTGTCCGAATACAACTTGTTGTACAATCGTGAAAATTGAGTTCTTGCTTTTATTTAAATCATTTGCTCATCTTAGGTAGAAATTGATTGTATCAATTGATGAGATGAGTTGACGGTTACCAACTCTTTATCTTAATCTATTAATTTGCTTTCATCAACCAAAAACTAATCTCGATGGGCAAATGATTTAAATTAAAAGCACAAACTCAATTTTCACGACTGTATCGTAAGATTATACTCTTTTTGCACTCAACACTGAACTCCTTGCATAATCTTACCTGTGTTGTTGTTTAAAAAGGAAAAAGTTAATCAACAACATTATCTTGTTGTTAGAAACCAGTTCTCCATTTAAGGGTCGTTATAAATTGTTGATCATTTTGATTATTCAGTTTATTTGTTTCTTGCAATTAAGTGAATTTATTTAGTCTCATCTCATTTTTGATCATCATGTCAACTGTTGGTAAATCAATTGATTGTCGAGCTGCTGTTCTATGGGCACCAAAGGGACCGTTGACTGTTGAGAAGGTCACAGTTCGGCCTCCGGTTGGACTTGAGGTTCGAGTTAAAATGATCGCCAGTGGTGTTTGCCATTCGGATCTAATTGATTATTCAGAATCAGGAATGGCCTTGGGTGAGTCAATGTTCCCTTATATTCCTGGACACGAAGGAGCGGGAATAGTTGAATCGATCGGTGAAAACGTGACCAATGTCGCGATTGGTGACAAAGTGTTAACCATGTTTTTCGGTAAATGTGGTAAATGTCCAGATTGTGACAAAGGAATCGCCAATTATTGTGGACTGAGTTTAGCTAATGCTCAGGCCAATGTTATTACGAGATATGAAATACCTTTCAAAGTCAAAGATACTCCTTGTTTTCGCTTTGTTGGAACCAGTACTTTCTCAGGTTTGTTGTTAATTGTTTGTTTAATTCAGTTCAATTCTGAATGCTAGCTAGCGATAACAAGACAGATCATATTGTAAATTTGAATTCCTTTGGATTATTGGTCAATCAAATGATTGGATTGTTTTTGTTTCTATTTAGAGTACACTTTGGTTGAACAAGATCGATTGGTTAAAATTGACCAGGAAGATGTTGATCTACGAAAAATTTGTCTAATTGCTTGCGGAATACCAACTGGTTATGGATCAGCGACAAACATTTCACGAGTTACCAAAGGTTCAAGTGTCGCAATCTGGGGATTAGGGACACTTGGATTAGCGGCAGGTCTTGGTGCTAAGCATCGTGAAGCATCAAAGGTCATTGGAATTGATCTGAATTCGAATAAATTTCCAATCGCTAGAAAATTTGGTTTCACACATTTTATTAATCCAAAGGAACTTGAATCTGACAAGACAACTGTTGGTGCGATTAAGGATCTAACCGGTGGACTTGGTGTCGATCACACTGTTTGTTGCGTCGGTGCTACAGTCGCAATGCAAGAAGCCGTCGATTCGTTGGCACTTAAAAGTACATCAAGAGCTGCGTTAGTTGGACTTCCCGCTCCTGGGGCCACGATTCCCCTAACCTTATCCAATGTTTTCTGTGGTATCACAGTTACCGGTGGACTTTATGGAAACTTCAAACACGAACAGATCAAAGATCTAATCGACTTAGCCCGAAGCGGTAAAATCGATCTAGACCAATTCATCACATCCAATCGACCCTTGGACGAAATCAAGGAAGCATTCGATGATTTAACTGCTTCTAAAGTTTTGAGAACTGTAATCATCTTGGATAAAAATTACTCACCATGAAAACTAATCAACTTAAATCATTCCCCATGATCTTAATTATCAAAAAAAATGGTTTTATCAATTGAATGTATCATCCTCGTGAATCAATCTCTTATTACTAACACAATCTTTCTAAAATAAAATTTAAAAGAAACATTTCTAATTTCTCATTTAATTTGGTGGTTTTTCATTAATTTTCTTTAAAAAAATCTTATTAACAATTAAAAATAAGAAAGAAAAAAATTACAAAATAGTTACTCTATTAGTCAATAGATGTCTCTGGTTGAGACTCATTGTTTATCTTTGGGTTGAATTGATTATAAAATCTGAGGTGTTTTTATTGATTAATTGGGTTTCGGTTAATTGTTTTACTCTTGTAATTGTTTAATTGTCTTAATTGTGTTACTATGCCTACTCTTGAGATCAAGACCAATGTTGACCCTTCACTTTTAACTCCCCAATTGGCGAGTAAAACTGTCGAGATTGTTGCTAATGCCTTGGGGAAGCCAAAGTCTTATGTTGTTGTTTCATTCACTCCTAGTGTCATGTCCTGGGGCGGTGATTCTGGTCCCACCGCAATTGTCCACCTTGGATCCATTGGAAGAATTGACCGAGAGACGAACAAGAAAACTTCTAAAACCTTGTCAACCTTCCTAACTAAAGAATTGGGCATTTCTAATGATAAATTCTACATCATGTTCCATAATCTAAACAAGGAGGATGTTGGTTACAATGGAACCACTTTTGATGATTTAATGTGAATCCTCTTCCTCTTTTACTGATTAATGTTTCTGGTAAAATCTATTATAATTAAGTAACTCACAATGTGTTTATTAAATTGATGAAGAAAAAAAATTTCCGAGTAATTGTATTGTATTCACACGGAAGAAAAGTCAATCAATAGTTTCGTAACCTTTGTCATATCATATCAGTGGTAAGATAAAATTCTGGATTATTTTTCATCACCATGATCACAGCTAATTCACCCTGGAAATGGAGATCCTGATCAATTTAATTCTATCACAACATTGGACATTCTGAGTATCAAAATCTAATCCAATTTACAGGAGAAATGAAGGACAAATTGATGGAAAGTGAAGATTACATTAAGATTTCAACTCAATCAAATGAAAGAAAATCGGATTAATCAGAGAAAAGATTAATCTTTAAAACCTGATTGTTAATCCATGGAAAAGGATGAACCAGAAACAATCCCCTATCCAGATAATTGCTAAACAACTAAACCAACAATCAAATCTGAACCCGAAAATTAACCAGGAAAATGAAGCAACAATCACGATCCATAAAATCATCAGGAAAAATGTTGACCAAATTGCTGGTTAAACATTTTTGGGAATCTAATCAAATTAACTTAATTTACTATAAAAAAACATCTCTCAAACTTCAAGATGATTAAGAACTGGTTTAACTAGTCTATGTTTCTAGATTTAGACAATCAAAACCAGGAACTTAATCAGCGTCTTAACAATAACAATTTAAAATTGAAGGAGTAATGTCATAACTGTGAAGACAACGGAACAAAATTATAACTGGTTAATCAAGTTAATTATCAACAGTTTAGCTGTTTAATCATGAAAAGATTAGAAAAATTATCGGGCAAAAATTACAACAATTGAACAATTTGATGCCATTTAATTTTCAAATTATTCATATTGATCATAATTATGGTATCAATTACAAATTGGTGATTTAAATAATTTAATCATGTAATTGAATCAATCATTTTCAATCAAAGTCGCAATTTAATCAATAGAGCAATTATCCGTTTAAATAACAATTCAAATTAGTTACGTATAAATTTAATTGTAGATTAATTTAATGTAAACAACTGATGAGTTTTTGATTGATTGTAACATCACAATTAAGCAAAGTTATTAAAATAGTTAATTAAACAATTTTTCATGGGAAAATTGCAATCGTTATATCAATCAGCTAATCTTTGATCAACAAACTGTAAATAATTGGCTTTTGATCACAATCAACTTGTTAATTAGTATTAAGACATTATACTAATCACAATTGAAAGGAAATCAAAATAATCATTAAAACCAAATGATGGCAATTTAAATTGTTGGTTAAATCTTGATTTGAATTTTCTGACAGCATATTGTTAATCAACAATAATAAACAGAATCACAATTAATCAACTAGCCTTGGAAATAAAGTAAACAATTAAGCTTTTGATCAGAAAATAAATTGTAACCTTGTAATTTGAGAAACAACAATTTAGCAAAACTTAAATCACTCAACCAATTGGAATTTTTTTTCTCTCAATATGATTAATCTTAATTGTGATTATCGAAATTTGTTAACAACCAATGTAACAATTTGACTGTTACAATGGTTACAATTAACTTCCGATCAGTTTAATGATTAAACAAACTTGATTGTTGTCGAATTTCAATAGAAGTAGATTATTCAATTGATTACAATTAATGTGCGAGAAAAAAAGTTAATCAAAGGAAATGATTGAGAAAAATGATGATAATTAAACTAATTGTTTGAATCTTTTTATTTGAATATATATTTATATTTGATTCCAGTGATTTTCATGACTGATTATAAATTGATATTGTGGCAGATTAAATTGTGATAATCAGTTTTAATTGTTGGTGGTGATGATAATTAAGATGAGAAAGACTTGCATATTTGTCACAATTAAAATCGCAACTAAAGTAGTAGTATATTTATAAAATCCAATAGAAATAGAATTAAGAAAATCTTTCTCTTGACAATATATAAAAAAAGCAATTAGATGTTGGTGATTAACACAAGCACAGTTTGTAAATTGTTATCTTAATAATATAATAAATATTATGCTGATGAGGATAATGATGATGGCGTTGGGGGAGAAATGAGATGACAAAATATATAAGATGATTGATCATTTCCTCATCATCTTTTTGCCTTTGACTTTTTTTCATTTGAGTCTAGGGTTTTGTGTGTGGTGGTAACACTGGAGAGCGGAAAAACTATTTATAATAAATTGGCTGGTGACGATAATTGTATTGTCACTATTTTAGATTATCAAGTTTGTTGGGAGAGTTAATTGGTCTTGGAACATCATATTGATTCTCTTTGAGATCTTCATCATCTGAATTGTCGGAGCAATTGAAACTTCTTGAGCCTGGAATCTCAGCATAAACTGGTTCCTTTGCTAATGTTGTTGTTGTTGGTGTTGGTGATGGAGGTGTTATTGTTGATGATGGGGATAAGAATTTGGATCCACAATGATTATCGCCATCTTCATATATGTTTGAGTTATACTCTCGTTTGGATGTTTTTAAATCTTCATAGCAACTTGTTGGTGAGTTGAAAGGTTTCAGGAAATCATTTGGAAGACCTGAAAATTTATCGTTTGTTGCTTTACATGAGGATGAAGATGAGACCAGTTCAGGGTCTCGTTTGAATCCACTCAGTAAAGCGGCTTTGGTTGATAAGAAGGAGGCTGATGAAGGTGATGATGATGATGCTTGTGGAGGTGGTAAAGGTGGGGATTGTCCTGATGGTGACAACGGTGGTTTATAATCAGTTGCTTGATAAGAGTAAAGTGGATTATCAAACCGATCATTTGACTCTTTCCTTGATATGTAGGTGACAAAGGCAAGTTCAGAATTGAGCAATCGAAGTTCCCGTCGGTATTTTAAAATAAGAAATCCAGAAATAAGAAGAACAATTATAATCATGCCAATTAATAGAATTAGGGTTGTCGATGATGTTGGATTGGCACCACTTAAAATAGCCGATTCATTGGTATCAAGAATCTTTAATGAAGCGGATGACCAAACTTTACATCCACTAATATGGTCACAGACAACATGTTCCTCTGAACTTGGGTCACTGTAATTACAAGCACAACGGTGAGCACAATTTAATCCATAGGTACCATAGGGACACTGGTCAGAACAATAATCGCCAGTGTAACCGGGTGGACATTTACACAAACCAGTGGTCGAGTTACAGTAACCACCATGGTCACAATAGCAGCCTTGAACGCATTCATCATCATTTCCTGAACACTCAATTTGGCAACTGTAATTAAATTAAGAAAAAAGATTCAATTAGAGCGAAAATCAATTAGCAAAACATAATCAAACAATTGAATACAAGATTAATCAATTCTAAATAATCAATTTAATTAATACTTACTATTGGCCTTTCCAGCCTGGTTTACATTTACACCGACCTACAAATAGTAATCACAAAAAAGATGAAGATGATTATTAGATTAAATCTGATGAAGATGAGGTTCATTGAACATGTTAATCAAAACAATAAAGCAATCAAGTCATGGGAAGAACGGAAGAAAGAGGTGAACTCAATTTCCGTTAATTTATGATTCTAATTGTTATGACAGGTATCTCAGCATCCTCACAATTAGTATGTCAAATTTTACACAACACTGAGAGAGTTGAACAGAAAATAACAACAATCATCATCAACAATCTAGGCAATAAATTGGGTGTGATTAGAATGATAACAAAAAAGGAAACACTCCAAATGATAATGATGAAGAAAAAAAATGGAGTAATCAAAATATAGCAAACTAATTACAATCAATAACAATACACTGACAATTAGAACCTCAAACATAATCAAATCATAAAGTTAGATAAAGAAATTCAATAAAATCATATTATTATTTATAATCTGAATCCTTGATCCCTAAGAAAAGCTTAGCAATTAAACTTAATTGAAAGTTTACAATTTTAAATTATAATCCTATTCAGGAACTAGTTTAACTTAAAACCCTGGACAATAAGTCAAAGGTTATCAGGGTAACATCCAAATTAGAAACTGATCCTTGATCAGTATCATTGGCCATGATTTAGTTTGAAATTTAAAGTTCCTAATATTCAGGAAAACAATTATTCATTTTAATTGTAATTAGTTTGAAAAATTAATAAAAAAAAGTGAAAATATTGATAATTGACTGAAATTCAGTTGAAACGTAAAGTATCTGGTAAACAAGAATCTGAATTAATAACTTAGAGAGAAATTGATTTGATTGTGCAAAACTAGTTGAGGAAATGATATTTACTGTGAATACCCCGGAAAATTAGTCATGGAAAGTGAAACTGATTAGTCAGCATTGAATTAACTTGGAAATTATTATGAGGAAGAATTAAATTTCCAGATCTTTTTTTCTAGCAAAAAGGCCTGAAGACTTGATTATAACCAGTTTTCTTGTTTAGGTTTTGGGTTATTTTGTTTTAGATAGAGGTCAGAATACTTTGTATTTGAGGTCAGTACAAGAAGAAAACTTTAGATAATATTTATCATCATAGTATCTGACTGACAGCGGGTAACAACACAATCATTTACTGGTGATGGTTAAATGATAATAGAGACGAGAAAGAATAAAGAAACAAAGAAGAAGATGAATATGAAGATAATAAACAAAGAGATGAAAAAAAATAGACATCAAACTAAGACAGGGAAACGATATATTAATACCTTGATACCTTAACTTATAACAAGAACAAGAAAATATAATGACAAGGTAAGATGATGTGCTTGATTCATCACCTTATCAACAATCAAGGTGAAAAACTTTTTAAGATGAGGTAAGAAGGGAGGAAGAGAAAGATGAAAAGAATAAATTTACACCCTTGTATTGTGGATTGAATATTATTCATTGATTGATTTGAAATCATTCTGAATGTAAACACAAAGTTAGTGGAAATTTTGTTTCTTCTCTTGGATTTTTGATTGGTTTCTTACCGTTAACAGGATCACAATCACCATCGTTGAAACATTTACATTCATCGAGACAACGGAACCCATGAAATCTTCGTGGACATTTCTCAGAACAGTCGACACCAGTCCAGCCTGGTCGACAGATACATTCGCCCGAAATAGCATCACAACCCGCGTCGTTTTGGCATAAACAAGGTTGGTCACAGTTTTTGCCTTTTTTACCTTTGGGACAAGCTTCAATGGAAAAGTAGAACAGAAAGAAAAGAATGAGAATTAAAGATTAGAACGTTAATTGCAAGATGATGATGATTATGTTTCAAGAATAGGTAACTAAACATGAATGTGTGTGTGTTTGTGTTTGTGTGCTTTCAAGGGGCTGGGACAAGGTAATCAAGGGAAAGAGCAACAACAAGATGAACATCAGTAACTTATACTATCAACACACAAACATGATAATAATGTAAAGATGATGATAAAATTCAGGCCATCACTTATAAGTAAACTTACTGTGCTCTATTTTATATATGATCCATGAAGTCAGACAGAATCAGGGTTTTAAATCATTGTGATCATCATAAAAATCAAGTCCAAATAATGATGAATTAATTGTTAAGATGGTGGCAAGAGTTAAGAAAGGGAAGAAAAAAGATAATTAATGTTGAGATTAGTAAAATTAATCAATCGTATTGATGTAAACAAAACACAATTAACTTTTATGATTTAGTAATACAATCAGATACCAATCAGGGTAACATGTTGTACTTTAACAGAAAAAAATATATGAGAAACTCATTAATTCAACCTGAAGATTTTCAGATTGTCTAAATGAATTTGAGTCATTAATTGTCATTGAAAGTAATTAATTCACAATCATCTCACATAACATGTTCTGTTATGAAACAACAATAGCATCTGTAATTATTTTTGTCCTTGTTGATTATTGTTGTCACAATCAAATCAACACTCACAGAGGATATTGTGTGCAGAGATAATGATGAAAATTATGGAACTGAATTTGATTCACAATTAAGGAAAAGGATTCATGAGGATCATTTTTTCATCATTAATAAAATAATTACAATACAAAATTAATGAACCCAAGAGAGAGAGAGAGAGAGAAAGATGCAAAGAATTAAATTAAATCAAATTTTAAATACACTAACAACAGCAACCAAGTTGATTACATAAAATATATGATATGTATTTAGTGGCGATGATTTAATTGTTATTACAATTTAGTAATCGTAACTAGTATGGGAAAGAAGGAAACAACTCAAGGCTTACTTATATCACAATTAATTCCTGCCCATCCTGGTTCGCAATCACATTTTTCTGGGGATATACAACGTCCATGGAGACACGGGCTCGAGCAAACGGGAATACATTTATTACGAGCTTCGGCATAGCCTTTACAGCAAACTCGAGTTCGATTCTTTTCGTAATGAATTTCTTCCCTGTAACCTTCAACGTAAACGATTCTAAAAGAAGAAGAAGAGAACAATAATTAATTAATTACTATCATATTTTCTTGTTTGGTGAATTGGGTGAAGATAAAGAGAGTCAAAGGAAATGATTGATTTGTGTTTGTTTCTGGTGAGTTTATATTTACTTTGTCACTTCACATCGAGGTGGAAATTTAGAGATACACCATTTGAATGTTTTGGTTTCTTGTGGGACTTTGGCAGGTACTTTAACTATTACTGGAACTCTGGAGAAGAAGAAAAGAAGAAGATGAAAGATTAGAAGAGAATAAAGATTAAGGAATAGATTAAAGTTAAGTGGAATCACTTTTATGGAGAATATCTTGTTACTAAGAATTAATTTGAGATACTTACTCTTTTTCTTCAATACAAGTATTAGGCCCATCTAAGGCCAGAACAATGTTAATTGTTAGAAAGGTTAGAAAAATTATTCTCAACATGATTAAGGTGAGTTAAGAATGGTAATGATTAACAAAATAGATACACAGGTTAAAATTTGTGAGAAGAAATTAATCCAAATGAGAAACTTATTGTGTATTGATGAATGGAAATGAAGTAAAATGATGGATAAAAATGATTGATAGTCAATGGTTAAGGCACATAGGAAATGATGGAATCACTTTAATTGGTGACACCTTAATAGAAATGAAAGAAAAGAAAGACAAACATGGTGGTTAGTTAAGCGAATTGATCAACAGAATTGTAAACAGAAACATTTAGTGTGTTAATCCAAGCCGAAAATGTTTGCCCAAAATCACAACATGAAGGCTAAAGAAAACTTGAAAACAATCAAGGTGATTGTGGTTTAATTTTGATTGACACTATTATATTGGTCACACAGTTGCAGGTTGAAATTTTGATTAAACTGATGAAAACATTTGAATATCTTACCAAAGGAAAGGAGAGATGAATTCAGGAAGAGAAGAAGCAAAAATATCAACACAAAAACACTTGAGAGTTAACAAGAAGTATCCATGTTGAGAATGGTTAGAATTTGATTCTCCATGATTAACAGATTTAGAGTTTATCAATGTTCACAAATCAATTGATTAACTAAATAGAAACAGTGAGAAGAGGAAAAGATGTAGAAATAAAAAAAATATTAGAAAAAAAGTTTCATGTGGACTTTTTTGTTCTGATGGAATTGGAATCAGGTTGAAGAATGAGATGAATAAAAAAGAGACACAAACAGATGAGGAGGGAGAAGGAAAAGTAAGAAGACAGAAAGGCAGACAGAGAATAGAGAAAGAGATTTTAAAAGATGGAAAACACTGAGAGGGAAATAGATCAACGGGCTAAGGCGTAAACCAGCACAGGGGAGGCCAAAGTAATTGAGAATTAATTGTGAACAATTAAGAACTAACAACAGAGAAAACAAGGGACAAAAAGAGAAAAAGAAAGAGAAGTAAAAAAAGCGAATTTTAGAAAATGGAACAAACCGAAAATGAAAGATGAATAAGAATCTTAGATGAACCCGAATTAACTATTTTCACTTAGAAAATTCGAATGGTGATTAAAGTTGAGACAATTTAACTAATTTACTAATTAAATTGAGAGCCAAAGAAAATTTAACAACTGATAATTAAAAGGCAATAACAGAGAATTTTATTGATTTGCCGGTGAGGCTAGAAGAAGCAGCTTATGTAGCGCCAGCTTCTGATCATTGTTGGGTGACTTTCGATGAGAATATTTTAGATTCGGGATATATGGAGTGTAGGATTGAGTACAGTAGTTTGTCAGAATTGTGGTCTTTGTGAGATAGGAGTTGGTAAATAAGATTGTTGGAGGGGTTTGGAATGAGCTGTCTGAGGTGATTAAATAGGGGACAGTGACAGATGAGGTGTATGTGGTCATTGATGAGAGAGCCGCATTTACATATGGTTCCTTCCGTTCGGAAGTTGAATGAACCAAGAAGTAGTCTCGTTCTTGAATTGGCTCTTTTCCATGGGCTGTTCTTGACTTTGAGGATAGTATTAGGTGTTGGTTCGCTGGAGTATCTTGTTGCCCACTTGAGTGCAAAGAATTTCTCTTTGGCGATGTTGATGTTTGTATTTTTTCCGTGCCATTGACGATCGTTTCGGACAGAGGGGAGAATGATGTCCAGTCTCTTCATGAAGAAGGTGGTAAGTCCATTCAGGTGGTGGTGGTTACCGAACATGAAGCTCGCAGTAATTTTCGCAATTCTCATGAAGGTTGGTTCATGATGGAAGAGGCGGTAGTGAGAAAGCCACGAGTCTCTACCTTTGATGTTAAGGTTCATTCTAACAAAGAGGCCAGTTATACGTTCAATATCTTTCGCGAATTTGGTGCAAGAGATCATGCCAATGAGTACGATCGGGGCGTAGTGGTAAACTCGTGATTCAATTAGTGATTTGGAGAGAAGTTTGATAGTTGATGAAGGGAGAGATTTGATGATAGATGAGGGTAGGTGGTGTTCATTGATGGCCATGGTGAGGGAGTCCAGAATTCTGTCTTTGTCAACTGAAAATGTCTTCGTGGTGTCAAGGGGGCAGCCGAGCACAGTTAGTTTAGTCGATGATTTAATGTTTGTAAGGGATGAGAGAAGGTCAAGGTGATTGTTTAGGGTGCAGAGTTGACTTTTGTCCGGGGATATGGAAAGGCCAAGGGGTTTTAGATTCTGGTTCATCAGATTGAGTATAGTATTTATATTGTTTCGGAGATATTCAGGGGTGGCTTTCTTTTTCCATGTTCTGAATAGGACGAAGATGTCGTCGGCGTAGATGAGTAGCTTTGGTTTTAGATAGGATAGGGATGAGTTTAGGTTACTGATGAAGGGTTCTATTCCAATGATGAAGAGCAGGGGTCCAAGGGCTGACCCTTGGGGGACACCTTTGTCTTTTCGCTGGTAGTATACGGTCCCGTCAAGTTCATGGATCAAGGTTATCCGGTCTTTCAGATATGAGGAGACAGTGGCCATGATTGATTTGTCTTTGATGAAGGTGGACAATATTAGTTTGATCGGGAGGTGGAGAATCTCGTCAAAGGCACCAATTATATCAGATTGTAGCACAATCGGAATGACGGACGAGTAGTTAGTTTCAAGGGCTAGATGTTCGTGAACGGCAGTGATGACATTGGTAGAGCTTTTCGAGGGTAGGTACGCGTATTGATGATGGAACATGGAGGGTGGAATTTCGGCTGTTATCTTATCAAGCAGAAGTTTCTCAAGTATTTTGGTTGTGATACTGGCTACCTGGATTTGCCTGACTCGCTTCATGTCAGCTTTCGGGATCAAGGCGGTTCGGGTTATTTTCCACGATGAGGGGAAGAAGTTGTTAGCAACACATAGACCAATGATGTCAGAAAAGAATTTCGGATGCTCGGAGACGAGTTTTATCATGTAGGTACGGGTCAGTTGGTCAGCTCCTGGGGCAGTTTTGTTTAGACATTTAACAATTGCAGCAACATCAACAGTATCCGGGGGTTTAAGCGGCTGGTCGTTCGGTGTTGAGTTCGAGCAGAGATCAGAGATCGAGGTTGGCATAAAATTGCTGATCGTTTTAGCTCTGTTAATCTCGAAGTCAGCATGCGGTTCAGCGCAGTGATTCAGAAGCTTGTTTATGTTCTTCCAGTTTGACTCACAATCGGCGGATTCGAACATATTTGTGATTGCCTTTTTTATCTCATCATTAATCGTTCTTTTAAGATTCTTTAGCGTTTGGATATTGGTGGTAGTGGGGTATTTTTTACAGATACGTTTGATGTTATCGAATTCTCTAAGCCTAGCCTTCGAAACGATCTCACGTAGGGGTCGAGGGGAGTACTTCACAGTACTAATCGAGTCATTGACTATAATGAGCTGCTCCTTAAACCAATTGGAGACATAATTGTCAAGGTCAGTGATTGTTTTGACCAGTCCAATATCAGGAAGGTTATGAATGAGGGCTCGATTACTCTCATATACCTTCTTCAGATTGATTACTTTAAAGGTTGGGGGTGGCACTCGCGGTCCAGGGTTGATGATGAGCTCCATTGGTCGATGATCAAGTGTCGCATCACCGTAGGTGACGGTGAAGGTGGAAGAGGGCCATGATGAGTTGACATTGGAGGCGGCGACATCAATCCAAGAGAGGGTGCCATCGTGGTGTATATAAGTGTAGTTGAGAGGGTTTGGACTGGTCATCTTAAGTTTAAGAGCAGTTATCATTTGATGGATTATTTCACCTTTCCTGGAGTTGTTATGATTCAGTTTGAAGGACCATAGAGGGTGAGTCGCGTTGGCATCGGCTTGCCAAATGATTATGGTGTCTTTAAGACCTGACAGGGCTGAGGTTAGTCTATCAATTTCATGTTTGAGTTTTGAGATGGTTAATGATGGAGGGAAGTATGACCCTGCGATGGTGATTCTGAAGGGACCTTTTTTAATTAGGGTGAGGACAGAGTGACGAGCTATTCTAAGGGTTTTGTTGGTGTATCTGGAGTGGGTAAGGAGTGATACTCCTTCATTTGTGTTATGGGTGGTAAGCGGGGAGATCGAGGTGATGAGGGTCGAGCTGTTGGGCTCCTGGATGACGACGGCGTCATAATTTTGTAGAGATGAAGCTGTTTCCTGTGTCTTTTCTACGTTCCTATTGCAATTCATCGCCTTGATCTTAATCATATCTCCAGTCAGTTATAGACTTGATTCGATTAATTGTGTTCATGTATGAATGACACTTGTCGCTTTTGGGAGCATGATCGACTTCCTTAATTCCGCTGTGTGTGCAAAACAGGCAGCCGATGAGATTGTTATCGCGATTGCAGGAGCTCGACTCGTGACAGTTGTCATCAGTCGGACATTTGAAGCACTTGGGCTGGTTGGAACAAAAGGAGGCGGTGTGTCCAATCATGAAGCATTTGGAGCACGTGCGAACATGGAAGTCATCTTTGAACGGTGTACTTTGAGTTCCAACGAACACATAAGGTTTGTCATTGATGATACCTCTAGCTTTCCTGGACATTCTAACAATGATTCGCTTGAGTTGGAGACCTCTCCTGGTTTTTACATCAATTTGGTTCACAAATTCAACATTTTCTTCCAATGGAATATAATTTCTTTTTTTGAACATTTCAACACTTTCGATCTGATCAGGTTCAACAAGGAATGATATTTGAGGATCAAGCTTCTTTAGAGTATTAGCCTCAATTTCATCCCCAAGGTTTTGATCTTTGATGTGCTCATTTATCTTCTCCAGTATTTTGCTGTTGTCAGAGACTATTTTGATGTTTCTGGAACTTGATGATGAGGTGATTATTCGGTAAGAGGGGTCGGCTCTTGCGGTTTCAGAGATCTTTTTATGTATTTCGGCACAGTTGACACTTGGATTTTTCGGTTTGATTATAACAGTTGATGTGGTGGGTTTAGACTTGGTGATACTCGCATAGGTTGGTTGGTTAGGTTGTCCAGCGATTACTTTCTTCTCAAGGAGATCAAGTTTATCCATTATTTGTTGGTTGGTAACATTTGTTCCGCTGTTGTTTCCTGGATGATCAATGTCATTGAGAATGAGGTTGAGCTGAGAGGACCAATTGTCATTGAATTTCTTTTTTGCCGCTGCTGTTGTAGAGGCAAGCATGTCGTTGAACAATGACAGTACACGTGTCTTTAAGGTATCATTGAGGGGGGGAATCGGGGCCATATTTGGATCTCCCATTGTTAATTCCGTCACTTACTGGTTCACTAGCACTTTAGGTGGTGGATGACCTTTTTAAATGATTATTTAATACAATTAAATAATAGAAAAAAAAAGAACAGAGAAAGAGAGAGAAAAATAGTTAACACCCTTCGATTTAAATCGAAAACAAATAACCCATATAATCGATTCTTGAGAAAATCGATTTTGTAAAATTCTTTTAATGAAATGAAAGGAAAAGAGAAATGAAAAATCGATTTATTCAATTATGCAAATCGAATATAATAGCGCTCATAGAGAATTATAATTAGACAGAGAAAAAGACACGAGGGGTTGATGATAATCTCGCTTGTAAATGCGAGTCCAATTTCCTGATTGGTTGATTGTCTCTCGAAAACATCGAGTAACTAGAATTTCCTTTGTTTAAACAGCAATCGAATTTAGAACTTTTCTTCTCCATAGAGTTTAAAGATCCCTTGTAACCTCCTTCTCCATTTCTCTCTCTCTCTCTTCAAATTCCCTTGTCATCTTTTCCTCTTCGTCTCTCCCTCTCATCTTGCTCTTCTCTCTATTTATCATCTTCTCCTCCATTTTGATTTTTATCATTTTAATCACAAGAATAAAGTGTAACCTTTGATGATGATCAATGCGACCCAAACATTTTGTCAAGACCTTAAAATGATTGGTCGTTAAATTGTTACTCTCTCATCTTGATTGTGACAATTGCGTGAGAATTGAAAACTTTGACAATATTAATGATATTCAATAGTAATTTAAATAACAACCTGGAGAATGGCCTTGATTTAAATCAGTTCCAGTTGTTTGCTTTCATAATTAAATTTGATTCTATTGAAGAGTCAACACTTTTCAATAACTTTACATTTACATTTGAATATATTTCATCATCCATAAATCAAACTGATAACAATTAGCAACAATTTAGAATATCAATCGTCAATAATAAGGTTAATTCTAATGATTATCTCTTGATAATTTGGTAAATTGATTGTTTCATGTGACATTTGTATAACTAATTGGGTGAATCAAATAGATAATCATTAGTTATTAAGTCCATTCCTTGATCATCTCAAAGATTATATCTCAAAGGGATTGGGAACAATTAAGAGTTAATTTCAATAACAGAAAATTTTGTGCTAACAATTAATCATAACATAAATAGAATGATTAAATTGTCAATGATTCTCACAATTCAATCACATCTTAATCATCAAATTAATAAATTAATCACCAGGATAGAACAGAATTGAAACATTATGATAAACAATCAAAATTGAAAAATTATTTCAACAAATAATCACTTCTCATGGTTTAATTGTTTCGTTTCTTTTGCTTGATTATTAATCATTCTAATCAATTTGATCAATTGAACAACGATTGAAGGGTTCAATGAATTTGTAGTTAATTGTGATAGTTAGTCCGCTAACTATATCCAATATCATTTTAGTTTCAAATTTTAATCACTTTACCCAACTGATTAACTAATTGTTTGTCCATTCAACATTCAACAGCCATTTAGTAAATTTATTACCTGTAACTAATATACTAAGGTAAATGTTAACATATTCATAAGTAAACAATCAACATCGAAGGAATTAATTAAAGACACAACTGATTTTATTCCAGTTGTTGATTGTGAGTTAATTGTTTGCTCAAATGAATTATTATCGTTTAATAAATTGGTTTAAAAAACTTTCTCTCGAAATCCCGCTTTCCCCCAATGATTCTGACAATGCCACTGTAAATCTCAGAAATCCAACTTTTTTCCACTGGTTTCGGATTTTCATGAGCAACAACTTTTCCTGTGCTATTAATGGATATAGCTATATTACTAAAATTACTCAAGTTGTTTAAACTAAAGTAATAATTATGGGTAACTCGTGGGTAACACTGACCAAGGGCATGAGAATGATATGGATGATAAGGTGGATAAGAGTAGCCAGGTTGATTAGATGGAGGATTACTGTGATTCATTGCGGGTGGTGGTTGATGTTGATCTTGTTGCTGATGTGGAAGATGAGATGGGTTCGAAGGATGCGAGGGATGAGAAGATGGATGATTTTGTGATGAATCGAATGAATTAGATGAATTAGATGAATCTTTATTTTCTTTGCTATTCCCATTGATGATGATTTCATGTAAACTCATAGGTAAATGAACAAACTTATCGAGCGGAAGAGCTTCGATAACCATGATAATAAGAAAACACATTAACGTAAACTGAATAAATTTAGACATCTTCAATTCCAAGTGAAACTTTCAAATGAAAAGATAAAAAGAAATTCATGGAAACAAAATGAAAATCCAGGAGAATGGTTATTGCTATTGATCTACTTTTCTTTTATCTTTAATCTTTCTAGTCCTCACGCTTCGAGAAATACTAGAAATTAATACTCATAAATACTTATTTCAAAAGTAAAAAATTAAGCATCAATACAAATAAATTTTTGGATAAATTCTTAACTTGGAATATTTTTACGTCTTTGATTTGATTCTTTATCTCTTTCTCTACTTCTAATATTTAAGTTGATGATGGACAATTTCGAGTGTGATGTGATGTGAAAGAGTGATTCCAAGGCGAGTGGATGGATGGATGATGGGGATGATGATGAGGATGAGGATGATTAATATTTTGATGATGTACGACGATGTGAACGATCTACATGTACTTTGAATAAATCGTAGCAGAGATAAACACCATCGTAAAAAGCAATTGACTTAAGAGTGATGTCCAATCGAGAACGGGAATGATAACTAACTTCCATTTCAATTTTCATGGTACCTTCACTTTTAAATTCTCAATATCAACCATTTCCTTGCTACTTGCTATACAAATCATGTACTTCAATGTCTCAGGATCAAAAGGCAGAATTTTCGGAATAAAAAAAAGAAATAAAAAAGGTTGACATTTTCTCACAAAAACAAAGAAACTTTTTCCGTTCTATGTTTTCCTTATTTATCTTTTAATTATCCTCTGGACGGTTCATCTCGAGTCGAGATTCTCGATCATGAGATTTACGATCCTTGTTGTTAAACTGTCGAATTTGAAACCAATTTCCTTTGTTTTTCACAATAATTACTTTAATTGTCCAAATTGATTGCGAATATATCATTTTCTTCACGTTCTTCAATAGTTTCTTCTGATTTGATTGTGGTAATCGCTGGAGGTTGATAAACATAATAATCTGCTGATTCTGTCTGAGATAATCCTTTTTGAATAACATACAAATAGTGATGAAAATTAACTCCAATTGTATCAATTGATTTGATTCTCCAATCATATTTATCATTAGAGTAAAGTTTCCCTCGAAAATGAGGTTGATTGAATGAGAGAGAAATAAATTTTCCATCAGGTTTCAACAATCTACTAATTTCACTAAGAGTTTTATCCACTTTTTCAATGGAAGAAGGTGAAAGAGACCAGAGATTTTTTTCACCAACAAGAAAAGTGTCAATTGTTGCCTTTTCTAGAACAACATCAATACAATTATCCTTAATTGTCATATTGGTTGCATCCATTGTTAACCAATTAATGGATTTACAGGAATCACAATGAAGCGACATGTTTCCGACTACATTTTCACAATAGTCCATGGAGATAATCATTCTGTAACCATCATTGTAAAGCTTTTCACCGAGTAAACTATTACCACAACCTGTTAATAGAGAAATAGAATAGAGAATAGAATTAGATTAAAAAGAATAATTTTAAATTCAGTCAAATTGTTTCTATATTTTCTCATTCAAATGAATCATAACAAAAGAAAACAAATAATCACTTGTAAGGCAATTAAAGAAAGAATAGAAAAACTTACCTAAGATTAATATTGTATCATCTTGGTTGATATTCTCAGCAAGATGAGCTTTTAATTGTTGATAATCAACAAGCCATTCATAGACATTTTCTTGATTAAATCTACTAATCCAATAATCCTTAGTACCATAAGTTTGATTAGCTTCAGGTAATGTGCTCATCATTCAAATCACAAACTCAATTCAAATCAGTCGGACAAACATGAGACAAGTTGATTTTAACAATTGATTGTAACTAAACACACAATGAGGAAAACATAACAAAATTTGATTAAAAACTGAACAATTAATTCAATGAAAGAAAGCAAAACAATTACACTAATCAACTCACCTGGTTCGTAACTAATTAATATCTTGGATCGTTGAAATAGCTTTTTGTTTATTTCCACAGTATTGATCTTCTTACCTCTTAATCCTTAATCACCACGAAATTATCCTTTCTAATTAGTAAAAAATAAAACTAATTAAACTAAACGAAACAAAACATTTGATTCTCTTGATTTGGAATGAAAATAAAATGATGAGATTGTAAATTCTATTGTTTGAAATTCGCGCTTCTACTGTTTGTTCATGAGAATAACGAATGTGGAGCCTCTGGTGTTGATGTTTGGAACATTTTTCCAATATGAAAGTTTCAAATATTTTCATCTTTTAATTGTCATTTTTTTCACTTTACAATTTGGGTGTGTTTTTTATTTTATTTTCTAATTTAATTTTGATAATCTCCACAATCAGTGAGTCTTTTTTTTTCTACAAACCCTCCGTTGTACATTTCTCGGTGTTCTATTTGCGATAATCTTTCATGATGATGGACGAAATGACCAACAAAGAGGGTATCAAAGTTACTCTTTCTGATGCCATGGCCAATGTTGAAGTATTGGATGAAATTGAGCTGCCGGATGAGCAACATTGTATTCAGGGGCAAGCAAAGTCAATTGTTCACCATTTTAACTTGGATACAAATTTTGAGGATAAAAATGCTTTTGTCTGTGGTGTTGCCAAGTACCTTGAGGAAGCCAACTACCAATCTAAATTGAATCAAATGCTAGAAGAAGGTAAACATTTTTTTTCTGTTTGTTTTGTTGTTCATCTGATCAAATTGTCAAAACGATTCTTATTATGAGAGCTTTATTAATCATGATTTTTGTTTTCTTTTTATTCTATTCTATTCTATTGGTACTTTTTGTTTTTCTCAGGTGAAAAACATGCAGTTATGTTATATACTTGGAGATGTTGTTCTCGGGCGATTCCACAGCCAAAAGATAAAGATCAACCTAATCGATTGGAAATGATTGAGAAAACTGTTGAGGTTCTTGGTCCAGAGGTTGATAAATTGTTGGCTTTCATGTATTTCCAAGAAGCTGCTATCAAACGTTTCTGCTCTGAAATCAAGCGTCTTTGTTTATCTCCAAACAATAATCAAGGATCTGGTGGAGGAGATTCAAGCTCTAGCAAACGGAAACATGACACTTTTGTATCTGAGACTTACCTTTTAACTTTGGGAAAATTTTTGAATATGTTAGCTGTTCTTGATGAGTTGAAAAATATCAAAGCCTCGGTGAAAAATGACTATGCTGCATATCGACGAGCCTCACAATCTCTTAAACAATTATCTGACTCACATTCTCTCCAAGAGAGTCAAAAGTTATCACTTTTTTTAGCAATGAGGAATAAAATTCGTGACTCATTGAAAGAACAGTTAGAACAAATTTCTGGCTACGAAGAGCTTCTTGCCGATGTTATAAATCTATGTACACACATGTACGAAAGTAAAATGTATATGCTTCCATGGGAAAAGCATATGCTAGTCAAGGTTTGTCGATTTTCTCATTCTTTGTATCTTTTTCACGTATTCATCTTTCTTTTTTCCCAATTCTCTTTCAGGTTATCGGTTTTGGACTTTTCCTTCTTGATTCTAAAGACTCTAAGAACTGTAATATCAATAAACTGGACACAAAACGACGAATCAACTTAAGTCGTATTGATAAGATATTTAAATCCCTTGAAATGGTTCCACTATTTGGAGACATGCAAATATCACCAATTCTTACTTATATCAACAAAACTCCCAATTACGATCCAACTAAATGGCCATTAGCCTCTAATTCACAAACACCTTCAACACAGGCTGATATACTTCAACATTTACCTACAATCAGGGAAGATTATGTTTCTTACATATCTGAACTTTCTCGTTATTCCAATGAAGTGACCACAACGGTGAAAGAAGCACCAAGATCTGATGCAGAAAACAAGCAACTTCTTTGTCTTGCACTTCGAGGTCTCCAATTATTATCCGAATGGACTTCCCATATCATGGAGCTTTATTCGTGGAAACTAATGAATCCAACTGATCATCATCAGAATAAAGATTGTCCCGTTGAAGCCGAAGAGTATGAAAGAGTAACTCGATATAATTATAATGAAGATGAGAAAGCTGCACTAATTGATATGATCGCCATGGTTAAAGGATTACAAGTTCTCATGCACAGAATGGAAACTGTGTTTACCGATGCAATAGGTTATTCAATTTACGCTGAATTACAAGACTTTGTCCAGAAAACACTTCGAGAACCACTTAGAAAAGCAATCAAAAATCGTAAAGATCTAGTTCGAACTCTTTTATCATCTGTTCGAGATACTTGTGCCGATTGGGCTAAAGGGTTTGAAGATCCATTAACTAAAGGAAACAAATTATCTTCTAGTTCAATGAGCGAGGTTGACATGCAAGTTCCTCGACGAAATGTTGGTCCAGGAAGTACACAGCTTTATATGGTACGGACGATGTTGGAAAGTCTCATCTCCGATAAAGCGGCCAGTGGAAAACGAACCTTGCGAAAAGATATCGACGGAAATTACCTTTTAGCCATCGATCAGTTTCACAAGAACAGTTTCTTCTGGAACTATTTGCTCAATTTTAGCCGTAAGTAGTCAATCAACGATCGATTAAATTTCGATATATTAATACTGCGACTTAATTTCTTCATATTTATTTCAGAAACTTTAAGGGAATGTTGTGATTTATCACAACTTTGGTACAGAGAATTTTATCTTGAAATGACCATGGGCAAAAGAATTCAGGTAATTATTTATTTTCCTATTCTATGGATTTTCTCTTGGACAATAATTTATTTCTTATTTATTTTTTCTTCAATTGTTTTCAGTTTCCCATTGAAATGTCTCTTCCCTGGATTCTGACTGATCAAATATTGAAGACTAAAGATCCTTCCATGATGGAATGTGTTCTCTATCCCCTAGATCTTTACAATGACGCTGCTCACTGTGCTTTGTACAAATTCAGCAAACAATATCTTTATGATGAAGTTGAAGCGGAAGTGAATCTTTGTTTCGATCAGTTTGTCTACAAATTATCGGAGCAAATTTTTGCTTATTATAAGCATCTTGCTGGTTCCATTTTATTGGATAAAAGATTCCGATCTGAAGCTCAGATTCACGGAATAAAATTTGCTTGGCCTCAAGCAAATCGATATGAAACTTTAATGAGACAACGACATCTTCAACTTTTAGGTCGAACCATTGACCTTAATCGTCTAATTGCTCAACGTCTCAATGCCCACATGTTGAAAAGTTTAGAATATGCTATTCGTCGATTTGAATCCGGTGACATTTCTGGTATCATTGAATTAGAAGGATTAATGTCCGTTAATCGTCATACACACAAACTTTTGTCGAAACACGTCGAGTTGGACAGTTTTGATTCCATTTTCAAAGAAGCAAATCACAATGTCTCCGCTCCCTATGGAAGTATAACTCTTCATGTTTTCCTTGATCTGTATTACAATTTTCTTCCCACCTATTGTTACAATTCATCAACTAATCGATTTGTTCGAGTCCCTTCTAAAGCACCCAATCTCGCCCCTCACATGGACTATCATCGTGATCGGGCAGCTTTAATCCCGATGCAACAACCTCCGTACTATTTTTATGGTACTAAGGCTCTAAATGTGGCCTATGCCAGTATCTTTAATCAGTATTCAGGGTTTATCGGTGCTCCTCATTTTCGAGCCATGTGTCGTGTCCTAGGCTACCAGGGAATCGCTGTAATCATTGAGGAGCTACTTCGTATCATGAAAACGGGAATCCAAGGAACCATTGCTCAATATGTGGAAACACTGATGAAAGCGATGCCAAAATTGTGTAAATTGCCATTATATGAATACGGTTCAAGTGGAGTGTTGGAATTTTATCAAGCTCAACTTCGTGACATAATTCAATATCCTGATGTAAAAACAGAGCTTTTCCAATGTTTCCGGGAGATCGGTAATGCGGTCATCTTTTGTCTCCTCATCGAACACAGTTTATCACAAGAGGAAGTCTGTGACCTCGTTCAAGCCGCGCCCTTTCAGAACTGTTTTCCACGACCCTATTGTAAAGACCAAGAGAAACCAGAGACTAAAATAAAAAGACTGGAAGCCAAATACGCACCACTTCAAGTAGTTGCCAATATTGATCGTTTTGGATCAAACAAACAAGGTCAAATTGCCCGAGAAGGTGACCTGTTAACTAAAGAAAGATTAATTTGTGGCCTCTCGATATTTGAAGCTGTTCTAGGCCGAATTCGGGATATCATGGTAGAAAACGAGGAACAAGCCGCTCGATGGATCGGACCAACCGATGGTCCACCTCCGAATGGAGTCATTTATGTTGACGAGTGTATTGAATTCCACCGTCTATGGTCAGCGCTTCAATTTGTCTATTCGATCCCAGTGGGAGACGGCGAATGGACAGTTGAACAATTATTCGGCGAAGGACTTAATTGGGCGGGATGTGTCATGATTACCCTTTTAGGTCAACAAAGGCGATTCGAAACTCTTGATTTCAGTTATCATTTACTCAAAGTACAAAGAGTCGATGGTAAAGATCAAATTGTTCGAGGGATTCCACTTAAACGGATGGTCGATCGAATCAGGAGATTCCAAGTTCTAAATTCACAAATTTTTTCCATTTTAAACAAATATTTATCATCGCCATCAAGTGAAGGCAACACAATTGAACATGTTAAATGTTTCCAACCACCAATTCATCCAGCTCATGCATCAAATCAAGGTAACAATTAACAAATGAAATTCGATAATTTCAGTTTTCTTACTAATCAAATTTTCTTACTTCTTTAGGTGGTCCAATCTATATGAGAGCTGCAATCCTATTACAACAACATCGAGGTGCTGTCAATGAAGACACTGTTAATTAATCAACTAATCAACTCTTTTAATTATATAATTTTTATTGCTAACATTTTTTTCCTCAGAAAAAATTGTATCATTTATCTTTAATTCATCCCCTCAGAGTGTTTAGACTTCTTATATATTCCAATCAACACCTAGAACAATTAACTTATTCCCAAAGTCATCTATTGATTTATATAAAGTCTTTTTTACGTTACGAGAAAAAAGCAACCAAATCAACTTAATTGTTTGATCAGAGAATCATTTTTTCGTGATAAACGTAAATGATTAAATATTTTTAGTTATTTATTAATCGTCATTTACATTATCAAAACAAAAGGTAAATAATTAGTTTATCATGTTAATTTGATATTCCAATGATATAATTAATGTTTGTGGTTAACAATTATCAATGATGATCAAGTAAAAGGTTTGAGGATGAATTAAAATATCAACAAATTGAACAGGATTTAAGTGTAATCATTAAAAGTAAACAGATTACATTTTATCTATTCAATTAACAACAATTAGGTCAATAAATTGATTAGAAACATGATCATTTAAAGTTAATAATGATTCGTGTTGATTAAATTTGACTGACAATCAAAAATGTTATTCTGTTGATAATCATCCATATGAATGGAGTTTTGATCTGAGATATTGTTTACATTTTCACTTTTCATTTAAGTTAATTGTTGATCAATTTGGTCTAATTGTTTTTCTTTCTCTTTCTTTCTCTCTTGTGGCAGAAATTAATTCATAATGATTATTCTGGTTAATCAACTTATCATCTGGATCATTTGAATAAATTCAATTACAGTTTCCATCTATATTTTTTATCGTGATTAGATATTGCAGTTGATTAGTGATAACAACAAGTTAATTAATCCAGTTATGATTTTCTAGTCTCTTTCAATCTGGATTTTGGTTTATGTTACACTTTGGGTTAGAGTTTCAAAAGTTGATTTAAAATCTTAATTTAGTTAACTCAAATTGGCAAATAAAATCATATTTCTCGGTGTAAGTTCAACTAAATGATTAAGAAATTTAATCTAACCAACGAAATTAAATTTTGATTTAATCTTGTAATTATGTAAAATACAAGATGTTGTTGGTTCATTAAAAAACTTGATCAAATTGTTTCTCACCTCATAAGGTAATGAATTCCAGTCTAGTTTAAGATCACAATTAGTGATTAAAGGTAAATTATTTTCTAGTGTAACTGTAACCAGATAAACATGGCCACGTTTAAATTGATTGTTATTTGATTGATTACCTGTGAATATAATGATACCTTTTTGTAAAGCTTTTTTAAGATTATTTGTTGATTTGAATACCCTAATTAACTGAATTGAATAATAAAGGCCACCATTAATTTTAATCAAATTACGATCAGGAGCTCGAATTGAAAACAGGATAATTTGTTGATTGTTGCACAAATAATCAAGAAAACGATGGTCATTCGATGATGGGAAGGAACAATTTTTAAATTGATGAGACAGTAATTTAGTTCCATTGACACTTGGATCAAATTCAGAATAATTAACTTCACTTGAATGAAAGGTAATTGTTGACACAGAATTTAAATTACCTTCACTATTGCTTACATTATATCCAAATGTATCATTTACAAGTGACGGAGTTGATTGTTGATTAGAATAATTACCAAGAATCCAAAGAAACGATTGAATTTGATTTGATTTGATCACAATTGGTTCCTCTTCATCTGATCTTTTTGATTCCAAGTAATTTAAAGCTGAAAACATAATTAAAATCAATAGACACAAAAGACTAATGAAAAATATGATCTCTCCTTGTTTAGTCTTATCTTTTTTCATTCTTATGTAATTGTAAACTGTCCAATGACAATTAAACTTGATTAAACTCAATCAATCAATCAAAATAATTACGATACAAATTGAAAGCTTAAAATTAACAATAAGAAAACATTAACCAGCAGTTTCCTTTAGCAGTATAATCACTTTTTAATTGTTTTCAAGGTTTTGACTCTATCTTAATGTTGATTGAAGACAAAAGATATTGAAACAATTAACAAAAATATCAATTGATATTCTCTGAGATCTGACACAATCAACAGAAAAATTACAATTGATTGTAAAACAAAAAACAACAAACTAAACTTATTTCTTTCATTTCAATGAAAGAAACTTGTTCCTTGTCATTTAAATTTACAAACGAAAAATATATCTACAGGTAATTCCTGGATTTAACTGAATTAACTTGATGACAATAAAAAAGTAGACAAAATGAATTAATCAAAGGAACAGAAAATGATTAAACTTAATTTACCTGGATTGTGTTTCGGTTGCTTGATTTAAACAAATTACCTCTTTCATAGTAATTTGTTTACTTTCCAATACCAAGGCCTTTGCGTGAGTTTCCCTAAACAAATCTAAATTATCATTAAGCGGGAGCACCACAAGGAGAAAACCACCAACAACAACAATTAATAAATCACAATAAATAAAATCAACAATTTAAAAGTCAAAATGAAAACTAAAAATTGTCTCAAAGAAGCAAAACCAAACCAACACCACCGAAAGCGACACAAACCAATAGACATGAACACTTGAAACAACCGATTAAATTGTTACACCGGAATCACAATTAACTCATTAAACATTAGAAATTAACAAGAAACAATTACATCATTAGAAAAAGAAACCGTTTAATTAATTAGCAGAAGAGAACAAAGGATTTTAATTGCCCCAAAAGCCGAACAAGAAAATGAACTGTAACAGTTCAACTGTTACTTAGGGGATTCGATTAGAGAACAAAAATGTTCCACAAAAAGAATAGAATTTTCTTGAAGGTTTTCCCTTTTTCCTTTTCCTTTCTTTTTCCTTTTCTTCATAATTAAACCTTCGCCCGTTGGATTAACTTTATCTCTTTCTAATTAATTTAAATTATCCTTATTCTTGATTTTACCTCCTAAATAGTAATAAGTTTATCATTTTCTTTCTTTTCTTTCTATTCTCAGTTTATTCTGTCTGCCCAATTGTCTGTCTTCTTCTCTTTCTTTTTTTTATTCGGAATCTTTCATTTTCTCCTTGTTTTTATTTCTCACAACAACTCTTACCCTTTCATCATCATCATCATCTTCATCATCTATTATTGTTTTCTCTAGTTTATGTCGACATTTTCTTTTCATCAACATTAGCATCTTAATCAACGAATCTCTGTTTTTAATTGGGATGGTTTGGTACTTCTTCAATCGTCACTTCATCTAATTCAATTAAATTGTCAACATGAATTTTGAGAGTTTGTTTGATTACAACTGAAAGAGAATTTTCTCATTTCCTTCTGTCTCTTTTTGTGAGAGAAATTCTCACTTCTCCCTCCTCCTTTTTGGTGGTTTCGCTTTTTTTGTTTTCATTTTTTAAGACTAAAGAAAATAATTGAAGCAACGTGTGAATTATTTACCTTTTTTTCTTCATCTTCTTTTCTGTCTATTTTTCTCTCCTCTCCTGTCTCTATTCTGGTGTTTCTCTCTCCCTCTCTTTCTCTCTCTCTCTCCCTCATTTTCCCTTTATTCTTCTCACTCTCTTTCTATTTTATGTATTAACTAATCCATTTTGGGATGAATGCAAGTACGTTCTTTAATCGTTCAACGGCACCTCAATCTTCATCATCATCCTCATCTGCATCATCTTCAACCAATAGAACAACTAATCCAAGGGCTAATAGTACTGGTGGAATCTTTGGTGGAGGTAACAATTCATCAACCCGAACCACATCACCACCTACTGCAGATTCATCATCAACCACAACCAACAACACCAATGGGTTTAATTTTTCTTTTGAATTTCCTAGCATCAATCTATCAAACCTTACTGACACTTTCTCAGCAGCTCGATTCTCTTCACCAAATTTATCAACTTTGATTCCTAAACAACGATCATCATCAACAACACCAACCTCTCGCAACGAATCATCTTCATCATCTTCATCACCTGGACCCACCAACTCATCTGGTTCCCGAGTGATCATGGTTTGTGAAAATTGTGGAATTAAATTCCATTTTCTTAAACGGAAGGTCAGTATCTTTTACATTTTTCTCTTCTCTCTCTCTTTCATCATCATTCACTCTCTCAATCTGATTACTTACTCTGGTCTATTATGTAACTATACAGACACATAGGTGTGTATGTTTGTTTTTTATAATCAATCATCATTCAACATTTATTACGTTATCTCATAATCTAAACTGTTTTCTGGTTAATTCTTAATTTCAATCAACTATGATTATTGGATTATCTTTAGCCTATGAGTCATATTTTCTTCTGATTTGATAGCTATTTAATTCTACTCTATTTACACATGTTCAGATGTTCTATCAAGAGGTTTGTTTTTATCTTTTAAATGTGATATGATTTTAGAAAATGGAGAAAAAAAAAGATTAACTTGCACTCACTTGACTAATCAATTTTTTGATCATTTTCGCCATTTTTATTCCCACTAAATTTTATCTAATTTTACCTGCTAATCAGTTGATATAGTTACATCATTATTTTATTACGTTGATATGTTGACTGTTTAAATTTAGATTCATCCCCCATCACTACCTGGAACATCACAACGTCCGATTGAAATTACAGGTTCATTTTTGTTAAGTAATCTAATCGTGAACAATTGTCCTGAGCACCGGTTATCCCTGAAAACGATGATCTAACCTTGAATTCTAATTATATTTCTTTTTACATCAGAATTTCATTTGATTATTGACTTATTTTTGTCGATTGATCAGCTGAGAAGCGCAATTGATGCCTATTAATATCTTTAAAGAAAAGCAACATTGTGCTCAATTAATTCACAATGAAGCAATTGAGTTTATCTTTAAATGTATCTGACAATTAGATAATCAATATGGTTGATTAAGAAAGCAAAATCAAGTTAATCTTTATTGCTGATAACGATAAATATTAATCTCAGTAATTATAATCTTTCACATCTTTCATTTTGCATCAATCATTAATCCGACTAAACAAGATCTCATTTTATTTTGTGATTTGTATTCAACCTCTTACCTTTAACGTTTCTCTTTATTGTTTCAACAGAAAACTTGTTCGGATTGTAGTATGGATTACTGTGTTAATTGTTTTCCCAAAGATACTAATCATGATTTTTTCGCAAGCCTTCGTCGGACGCGATGTCGTCGATGTCGAATATTCAATATGCAACCTCTTGAAAGACATTCTCTTCTCGAACTGAGAATCAAAGATCTTAAATGGTATATGGATAAAAAGCGTATACCTCATCGCTTTTGTAAGGTAAATTGTAAACTGAATTGTTTTATCTATCAGCTTTTGATTATAATCTCTTCCTCTGGTTACAGGAAAAATCGGAATTGGTTGATTTAATTCTTCGTACTGGTGAACATGCTAGGCGTTTATACTCACCACCCAATTCTTATCCCACCAGTCCTTTAAATAGTCGAACAACAAGCTCAAATACGACAAGCTCAAATGATACACCGAATCGTGTTCACCGTCAAGGGACAGATGACAGTTGGGTATTCGTTGATCCCGATGATTCTGGTTACCGGTCATCATTTGATGTCAATTCTGCTTCACAAGAAAATGCTTCTGGAGCCAATACCAATAATACTAATAATACCAATACCAATACCAACACCAACAACACTCCATTAATTACTTCATCAAATACTACATCAGCTACTGGTAATAATAATAATATTAATGATACTAATAGCTCAACAAATACCACAACAAGTGCAACTACATCTCGTTCAACGGATCATCAAAATGAGGAAACTACGTCAAAGGAAAACATTTCCTATGAAAGTAACTCAACGTCCAATCTCAATGATTTTAAACCATTTAACATTGATGATTTAAACAGTGAGGATCAGATTCGTGATCTCAGTATTCGCCAAATTAAATTATTGTTAACTCGTAATTTTGTCGATTTCAAAGGATGTTGTGAGAAAGAAGAATTGCTCGAAAAAGCCATTCGATTGTGGAGAGATGTCAACAAAGCCAAAGAAAGAGGTAATTATATCTTTTTAAAGAATATTAATTGTTACAATTTTGTCGCTAATTGATTTTGTTTATTTGACTTTCTTTTGTTCTTGAAATTTAAGGTTCTGAGGATTTGGATGATGATAGTGCTTGTAAAATATGCATGGAAAAGTTAATCGACTGTGTCCTTCTCGAGTGTGGCCACGTTGTTACTTGTATTGATTGTGGTAAACGTATGAACGAATGTCCAATTTGTCGACAATATGTTGTTCGAGCTGTGAGAATATTCAAGTCATGATCAAGAAAATTCTCATCGGAACAATCAAATAATAGAAAGAAACAAAAGGATCTCTTGTGGCATCATGAACATTTACCAAGTCAATTTCCAGTCACCATCATCAACGATTTTAAAATAATTCACTTTTCGTTGAGAAGGAGACGAGCAAATACATTCAGAAAATATAATTATTTAGATATAAAAACACCACTTTTGATCTCGAGAATCACTTTTGCTGAAGCTGACAGAAGGAATCGTTCAATATTAAAGGAAAAGTTCATTCAAGTGCCAATATATATTTAGATGATACTTAAATATATAAATATAATAATTATATATAAACATGGATACAAATGAACCCAAAATTTATAAGTAATTTGGAGAAAAAATTGAACAATTGAAGATGATTATAAATGCTGCTGAATAACCCCAGTGATTTTGAATTTCCTCAAGTTAATTTTATCGAAGTGATTTGTTATATCAATACAAATATCTAAAATACTATAAACCAATTGCTCTGGATAAGTTTAATCACTATTTAAATGATAGTTAAAAATTTGTTTGTTAAATGTCATATTTTTTTGGAGAAAATATCAAACAAATTAAAAACTTTCTGCTTTTCTTGTTTCAATGATCTTGTCAATCAATTTAATTGCTTCAAGTTAATCCAACTAATCATCAGGCATCACACCAGCATTAATCGATTTTCCAATCAATCAACTTAATCATTGATTCGCTTGAGATGCGAAATTAATTGTAAAGAGTAAATTAAATATCAATCATAATGTTTTCCTTTGCACTTTAGCATAACCAATGATTAGATTTGTTTCTAATATTTTCTATTTACTGGACCAGTTAATTACTTTAATGATTGTGATCTATTAATGAGTGAAAGTAACTGTCAATAGAGAGAAGTTAAATCAATTAACATCAATCTTTAACGTTTTTGCTCCATTGATTAACCTTTTGATTCATTGTTTCAATTTAATGAATTTCTAATGAATGTCCTTTAAATTATAGCTTTGAATGTGTATTGTAATTGTTTGATGATTACAATTGATGCAAAGTCTAATTTTTAAGCCGAAATTTTAAATTATGAACATAATTTATTATATAAATTATATAACTTTGAATGTCAATTCAATCATTTTTATCATTTGGTTTCATCTTTTGCTTTTTCACATTGATCAAGATGATTACGTTTCCACCCTTGGTGTTAATTGTCACGCAATCTCTAGTCAATTGTTTGCTTCGTTTCGTTTAATTGGACATAATCTCGGAACGTCAACAAACTCAGTCCCATAGAAAACAATTACGGTCGCACTTAGAGCAATCATTGTCGCCCAAAATAGCAGGTACATCAAGGTGATTGTTGAATGTTCTGTAAGTTAAATCAATAAGAATCTCAGTTAATTACGATTTAATCGTCTTGTAGTTTGTTAGACTTACCAGTTGGAATGAATAGACTAAAGAAAAACATAGCAGTTGACCCAAGGAACATACATGGTAACTAAAGAAATTAATTGATAAATTGTGGTGAGAATTGAAATGAAATTCAGTCGAAAAGTTAACTTACTGCTAAATATTTCCAATCTTTTCTCGCTTTCAATGGACTTGGTGAAGATTTACCCTCGTTTTCATTGATCATATATCGCCCGAGAAATAAATCGATAGCGTCCTAGGTTTAGGGTAATGAATTAAATTCTGGTAAATTACTGATTCAATCATCAAACTTACCTGTCGGAATCCATCGGTAAAATTATTCTTATAATATCTGATGAGAGAGTTGATTCCATCACGAATTAGACCCACTTGAGTTCGTTTTCCAGTTCGAGTGTAATCAGTTTTAAGAGCTCCCGTTCCAGCATATTCAATGCTACAAATATCAGCATTATCAGCCCAAACTATTTGATTAGAAAAGAGAAATCAATAAAATCGAATTGATCGAAAAATAATATTGGTCAAAGAAAAAAATTATCTAATTCTATTCACCATTTCGAAATAAACTGTAAAGAGTAGTATGATCTTCGATACGATCACCATGACTGATGATTCCAAAGCGAAGTAAAAGATCAGCCAAATTTTTCTTGGCGATTAAACTTTGGACTACATTGGTTCGATCCAAACTGTCGATACAATTGGTACGGAAAATTCCTTCTTGTTGAGATTGAACGGTTCCATCAGAGAGAAGGAGAAAATAACCGAATTCTTTTTGCTCTTGGGATAATCGTTCCATTAGAATATTAAGTCGATCCCATCGCATTTTACCACATTCCCGATGGAACTCAAAATGCTCATATCGAACCATAGGATTGTTTAAACTCTCACAGGCAACTCGTAAATTTCGCTCCAGGGCAAGTTCGGTTCCCTTTAAATCGATCAGATTGACTAAAACGGTTTTACCATAAGTCATAAGAAGACTTTCAATGTGCTTTGTGATTACTTCTTGTTGCATTTGATTGGAAACAATTACAGGTTGAGGTTTGTATCGTAGGTTTGGATATTGTTGCCATACCAATGGTATAGAGCCACGAATTTGAACATGACTTCCACGATTGTTTTCCCATTCAACGATCTGTTCCGTTTCAACGAAATTAGCAACATTCCCCTGGAGATCAGCACCACGACAGAATAATCGAGTTCCAGCTCTGTGGTTACTTCGTCGTGAAATAACAATCCAATGGAAAACTTTCCTATTCAGAACAACCGAACTTATATTGATAACTAAACAGAGAGAACAAAGAAAATCAACAAAAGAAAATTCAAATATTCAATCTAAATGGTAAAAGGAAGGAGTGAAAATTTTCAAGGTTCGAGGGTTTTTTTTCTCGTCTTTCGAAATGGTTTCAACACCGAGAAAAGTTCAATGAATACAAGGTTAATCAATCGGATGTTGAAGGGACCTTATTTTCCTTGCTTGTTTGGTAGAGAGATTGATCATTATTATTATTACTTTAAACTCTAATAAGACCAAATAATTGACAGTCAAAATTATATAAGAATCACTCCTGATTGATGATTAATGGTAAATCTTAATATCTATTATAATACTTACATCCATGCATCAAGGGTAAACAATATTTAGAAAGCTCCGGTTGAATGAGAAGAGGTTTCATCAAATGGTGATTCCATAGAAACTTTTGCTCAGCCTGAAAATGTAACAATTAGATAGAATCAACAATTTAACCACGATGAATGGATTAGAAATCTTAATTTTCGATTAACTTACTCTTTCAAACAAAGAGGTTTTGATGAAATCTGGTCCAAAATTGTACAATCGTTGAAGAGAATGGGTGAGATCGTAAGAGTACGAGAAATAAAAATACGGAGTTTGGAGGACACATTTAACCATATTAAGGTAAGAATTATTATAATTAACCTGTTCCTCAGTTAAATGGAGGGTATTACGAGTGTAAGAGATAACATCAGTATCTTCAATCCGATAAACTGGTTGATTGTAAATTTCACCAATTTTAACCGATCGAGTGATAACAACCAAATAAGGACCAGCAAGAAGATTAACTATCCCAAGAATACCTTGAATCTGTCGGCTAAACATCCCTTCGACATTTAATTGTCCAGTATTAGTCTCAAGACCTACATTATGAGAGATCCTATCAACAACCATTAGCTCGGTATCATTACCAATTGGATGGATATAAAATCTGTCAGTTCCAGTGATGCTAAAAGAAAAAGAGAAAGAAAATAAAATAGAATAGAATAAAATTCAACCTCAAATATAAATTACAACACAAAATACATAGTAAATAATACAAGATAAGTCATGAATTAACAATCAACAATTAAAGAGATTGAGAAAAAAATAACAATCAAATCAAGAAAAAAAAGCAAATGAAAATTTTAACAAGAAAAACACAAAATGATTCTTGTTTCATACTTACAGCATCAAAGGCCCATGAGTATTGGAATCGCTTTTAATCATATTGGTCATCTAGATTTCGACACGATTAAAATAAATTCAATTAGATTTAATCACAATTAAAGGTTCATAAGGAAATAAAATCAATTTAAAAGTGACAAATTCTAAAATCTGGTTCTCTGTCCAGAAGAAAAAAAAATTTCTATTTACACAATTTCCATGGAAACGAGTGACTCATTCGCGAAAACGTGTATCTTTTTAAATTGTTTTCTTTTCCACTAATGTTGTTTACAATTAATTCTCTTGATTTGTAATAATTAACTATGAAGATTAATTTAAAAGAAAGGTAAGTTAAGGGGGTAATTAAGTTGATGACTGTTGATTAATTGTTGGGTTTTCATTTTTCTAGTTTTAAGGTTCAACATCGGATCCAAGCTTCATTCACTCATGGTTACCTTAGGGTAAGTGATTTTGATTGTTTGGTTTTTTGTTTGTTTGTTAATTGTTGATCCATTTTTGACTTTTGGTTTGTTTTAATTTGTTTCTTTGTAGATTGATGATTCTGGTGATCATATTTTAACATCTACTGGTGATACAATTAAAATATCTTCTGTTTCTGATGGAACTGAGGTTGCCAGTATTAGAGAGAAAATTTCTGAAGATGTTGAAGATGAAGTGATTGATTTTGTCACTGGTCATCATGATGGAGTGGACAAAGTATTTGCTGCTTATCGTAGTGGTCTTCTTAAAGAATGGACTTGGAATAGTGAGGGTGCCAACTTGAAAAGAACATGGAAAAGTCTTCATACTGGTCCAGTTTCTACTTTAGCCATTGATGGTGGAGGAAAAGGTGATCTCTTAGCTTCTGGTTCCGGTGATACAATTGTTAAGGTTTGGGATGTAATTAAACAATATTGTACTCATCATTTGAAAGGATGTCGAGGTATCATTTCCTGTATTCAATTTTACACCAACCCATCAGGAACCAAGATGATCAGTGCTTCGGGTGATCTAGATTATTGTGTTAATATATGGAGATTGGAAGATAGTGAACTGATTGCCCGTCTCGAAGGCCATTGTAGTCGAGTCATTGGGATACAATTTTATTCACAAGATGATAAAGATATCGTTATAACTGCAAGTCGTGATATGTTGGCAATTGTTTGGTCTATTGACGATGGAATATCACTTCGTAAGATTCCTCTTTTCGAAGCTGTTGAATCAATGGTTTTACTCCTCATGGCACTGAAACGGGTTTTCTTGATGTAAAAAAGAGTAAGGGAAAAATTTTCCTTACCGGTGGACCTAAAGGTGTCGTCAAGGGTTGGGACACTAGCACTGGTAGCTGTGTATTCACTCAGATTAATTCAATAACAGGAAAAACAAAGGAGTCAACCGATAATGATGATCAACAACCAAATGAATTTATTATCCAATGTTTACTTCATCCTGATCTATCTAAATTAATTGTTGTCTCATTTGAACGAAATATTTTATTCTATAATCTGGCTGAGTTTAATTTGGTTCGACAATCGATAGGATTTATCGATCAAGTGACAGACATTAAATTCGTTGGATCAGAAGAGAAGCACATTGTAGTAGCTACGAATTCACCGAATATGTTTTTATTTAATCTCGAAACAATGGAATCATTTATAATAAAAGGACACACTTCGAACGTCCTTTCAGTTCAAGTTTATCCACTGGCCAAGACGCTTTTCGCAAGCTCATCGAAAGACAATGACATTCGTCTCTGGGAATTTAATCCAATTACAATGTCAGCAAAATGTTTATACATCGCCAGTGGTCATTCCATGTCAGTTATATCTATCGGTGTTCCAAACAAATCAACCAAGTGGCTTTTCTCTGGATCCGAAGATACAACCATGAAAGTTTGGAAACTTCCAAACAAGATAAAGATCGACGATGACTCTGAAGAAGCTCTTTCCACTCTGGAAACTGTAAAAGCCCATGATGGTGATATTAACGCTATCGCAGTTTCGCCTAACGATCAACTTTTAGCCTCTTGTTCACAAGACAAAACGGCAAAGATTTGGTCATTCGATAGCAAATTAAGTCTTGTTGGTACCTTGAAAGGTCATCGCAGGGGCATATGGTCAATCTCTTTCTCACCGGTCGATTCAATTGTTGCCACCGGATCAGCTGATACTACGATTAAAATCTGGTCTCTAAACGATTTCAGTTGTTTGAAGACACTTCAAAGTCACGAATCATCTGTATTGAATTTTGTTTTCGTCAACAAAGGTCTTCAGATAATTTCCAGTTCATCTGATGGTAACCTCAAACTTTGGACAGTTAAATCAGGTGAATGTTCAACAACCTTAGACGGTCACACAGCCAAAATTTGGGCTCTAACAATCAACAGTGATGAACAATTAATGATTAGTGGCGGTGAAGATTCACAGTTGATCGTATGGAAAGATGATACAGTTGAAAAGATTGAAGAAGCCGCTAAAAAGGATGAATTATTTATCGCTAATGAGCAGCAATTAATGAATTACATTCAACAACGAAAATGGACCAAAGCATTGAAATTAGCAATTAAACTGGATCAACCTTTCCGAGCTTTAAACATTATCAAGGAGATACTTTTCAGCCCTGATGAAAATAAATTACAAATCCTTGAATCGTCATTAAAAGGACTACGAGAAGATCAACTAATATCGTTAATTAAATACGCAATTAACTGGAATACCAATAGTAAAAATAGTGAAGCAGCTCAATCAATTTTTAGAGTAACATTAAACCTCCTTGGACCAGAAGGGATCCTTAATTTATCCGAATCAAAGGAAATTGTTGAAGGATTTTTATCATATACTAAACGACATATGAACAGAATCAACAAATTAGCTGAACAAATTACCGTTATAGACTTTTTGTATTCTAATATTAAATTAGATTAATTGCTACCAATTAATTTGAGAGGAAAAAAAATTTAAAACCAGAGTTTTCCTTGTAAATATTACATTTTGGACGAAAAATATACAAAAATGAAAAGATATTAACTGTAATTTATTGTTTTAATTCAGTTATTAGACAATTATTTTGAGAAAGGATCAATAATTGTAACTGATTCCCTCTAAATGGTTTTGACATTTTCAACAATCTAATTGCTTCTCTCCCTGTTTGTTAACCATTTCACTTTCAGATGATTTATTGACCGCAGTTAATTTAACATCTCCAGTAAAAGCATAACCATTTGCTTGATTAACTTTAATTGCCGTCGATGAAACACCCATTCGAGATCTTGACCATTCTTCCAGGAAATTTTTCGTTGGATATTCAACCATAAGCGCTAGAATCACAGCCGAAGCATAACCAAGAATATAATTACCAGAAAACAGAGCGAGCTATTAGCAAAAAAAGAGGGAAAACAATACTAATCAATTATTACCAACAATTAACAACAATCAACTTACACCAAGTGAAGTAGTTGCATCTAAATAAACCCTATTAGCAAGGATCAAATTTGAATAAACAATATATTGAGTTAAATAAGCTCCATAAGTTAATCTTGATAAGATGACCAAAAATGACCAAGACAATATTTTATCAACAACCGGAGCATTTCCGGTAGTGATTGAAAATATAATCCAGGAAATAGCCATCGCCCAAACTGGACGATGAAGTGACCCATAGATAATCGCCTCCATTTTATCAAAATCATATGAATTGAAACGATAAGGCATCAAAAGAATAGCCAACAAAACAGCAATTGAAAGTATCCACAAACTAATATTAAGTGTCTAAGAGCAATTAACAAGCAGAAAGAAAAATTAATTATTAGTCCAATTACAGGTAAATTAATTTACCTTGTTTATTTTTAGATTTCTTTTGGTTAAAATCAAAATATCGCCAAGACCAAGGCCAATACAATAAGCACCGATTCGACACCAAGGTTTAATATAAACGTGAGTATAATAACCGTTGACCATTTTCGGGTGCCAAACAATTGTCGGTGTTAAATCTTTCTCTTCGATAATTAGTCCAGTAATTATCATGGATCCAATTGTGGTCAATATTAGAATAGTCCAACTTAACCATCGTTGTCTAAAAGGTTCGAAATTGAATTAGAACTTTTCATCGCAAAGTGGATTAAATGATTTACCTTGTGAGGATTAACAAGGAAATGAACGGAGCTAAAAGATAGAACTGAAAATCATTGGCAATGTACCAAACTGGACCTAAACACTGGAAACGACATTGATTATTATGAATATGATTAAATCGATCGAACTATTTAGAACTTACCTCGAATCCAACCATATTCTGTGAGAAGAAATTATTTACAAATAATAATAATTTCCACCAATCTCTAGAACAGGTATCGGTAATTTCTTGTGACCAGAGATACCAATTAGGTCCAGAGCCGAATCGCTTCCAAATTATTGACAAAAGAAGGACAATTATCATGGGAACAGCTAATCTTGAGATAAGAGAGATTAATTAATCAAAGTTGATCATTAAAATGTAACAATTTTGATTATAAAGGAAAAGTTTGAAACAAGAACAAAAAGATTACCTTAAATAACGGTAAATGTAAGCATTAAGAAGGTAATCAAAGGCCATTTTGATCTGTTCTCTTCGTGATTTCCCTTTGAATCGAGCAGAATAAGATCCAGCCTTGTCTAGAATATGATAAGAAACTAAAAGGCCACTAAATTGCCGAATCATAATTAATTCCAAAGTAACTGAGGTGAAACAAAGATCGACCAAAAAAGTTTACCTGATAACGAAAAAAGTGTCAACCCAAGCCGAAGAGTTAACAACGATCTGTGTCCAAAACTCTTTGGCTCGACTATCAAGTTCCATTGTATCAACTGATTAGAGAAAAATTAGAGAGAACAATTGATTAATTAATTTTCATTCACTAAATTGTCAACCAATTTACCTGCAAAACTCGCCATCAGAGCTAAACCATAATGTCCAAGGAAAATGAAAAACATTGAGATCGCTTTGAGTCCATGAAGACACGAAATTGAATTAGCCGATTCTTTGGTATTTAATAAACTCGAACCATTTTTAATCACTGAGAAATTGATTGTTAGACTGATCAACTTAAATTTAGGTTTCATTTTGTACTTTGAATGATACCAATCCATTATTGAGCCAAACAATACAATCCAAACAATTAGTAATAAGAAACCTCTGAGAACCAGAATTACAAATATAATACAATTAAAATTAATCTTTTCCAACGATTAACTAATTTCTCATTCCAACGATCAACTTACAGAATGATAATCTCATAATCATCCCAAGGAAGCGATGAACCATCATCACAGTTATTTATTTCCGTAGGAATTGTCTTGCCAATTTGAATTGCTTAGTAAATAAATTGTTAGAATACGAAAGTTAATTGTTGCCAATTAGATTTTCTTACCTCCTTTAAGTGTTGATATTATCGAGCTGATATCGTCGTTAGTACATGTTGATGGTAGACAAATGTGAATATCGGGATCCATTAGATCAGCATTTGAATCACTAATTAACGATCGTAAATTAGTTAATTCTGAGGTCTGATTTTGATAAAGAATCAAAGTAAACAAAATAACAATAGATTAATTGTTAAGTTAATCGATTACAATTGATTACATTTTACCTGCAATTGTTTGAATTGAGGTAATTGTTTCAATTTCAATATTTCAGTGGGCACATTGTTCATTAACTTTTGAAGGGGAATCCGTAAGTGACAATAACGGGTGGTCATTGTATCTGGTAGACCAGAATATTTAGATTTATATGGACGAAGGTCAACATTTAATTGTAAACATTGATCATATGATCCAATGAATCTCATTTTCCCCATGAAAAGTCCCGTCGGGATCTTGGCTTGTGAATCTAATACTGGAAAAATTTGATCACAATTAAAATCTATTCGAGAAAGTTAATTGCTAAAGAATTGACCATAAATCGAAGGTCCAGTCTACTTACAATTATATGTCCAAAAAGATCCCTTTTCCAGTTCAGCGGAAAATAATCGACGGAATTGTGAACATGGAACCGACAGATTGGCCTTATTTAGAAAACCGTCGATTTTGATCTTAATCATTTCGAGAGCGAATTCCATCTCGTCGTTTCTCATCATTCGCGTAATTAAAGCCTTTCCAAGTACATCGAAAGCTTCATTGTTGCAATTAACTAATTGTGAACCAAGAAACCATGATAACCAATGAACGGCAAACAATTTGATCATTAATCTACCCATTAGTTAATAAATTGTTAATCAATGGTAAGAACCTAATATAAGTTAATATGTAATATGTATAAGATTGAAAATCTAAATTAAATTTGATTGTAAAGTCCGATGAAAACTAAATTTAGATCAGATAACATTAATTATAATCCACATTGACAAATACATTGTTTAAAAGAAATGAACAATTAGTTAATTAAAAAGAAAGAGAAACAAAAATTAAATTAAATTAACTTCTTAACTATTGATAAGCATGAACATAATAGGAACAAAATTGTCTGGTTAATTGTTGATGATGAGGAATTAGCAATTAATTAATAGACAGCAAAGGAAGACAGACTAATTAGTAATAATAAAAGGGAAAGAGAATCACAATTAGTTTTAATTGTTGAACTAAAAAATGATTTGTTAACAATCAACAATTAACTCATATGTTTTTCCTCCTTTGATCAAGTTACCCAAATAAATCTGCCATTAAATTTAATTCTTGCCAACAATTAAATTCAATTCTTCAACTAATCACTACCTACCCACTTACACCTTTTAATTAACACAATTAACAAATATTAAAACTTCACGTAATTCATGAACAATTAACTAATTATCTTTCCCAAATTTTTGTTTCTAAATTAATCAGGACCAGGTCAAAACAATTGAACAATCAACAATTAACAATAAACAAATGGATTCACTCTGGTTAATTCAGTTATCAATGGAAAACAAAATTTAAAACAATCAACTAATCAAGTTAATGAAAAACTTTCAATCAACCAGAATATTAATTAGCCAATAATTAAATCATCCTAAGCAATTGTTTCAGTTTACATTATAAACTTTAATCCATCTCCATGGTCATTTAATTAATCCATTTCTTTTGCAAACATTTCCATTGCCTAATGATGATGATAGTTAATTAATTGCAATTATGACCCAGTTGACCTCTAAAATTGAAACTAAATCAACACACACACAGAATAGTAAACAACAATTTAATCAATACCTTTTTCACCAACAGCCTGAGGTGTTTTCTGTATAAATTGAGTGAAAAAAAATTAAATCCAAAGGAAATAATTTCGTTATCTTCAAAATTGATCAAACTAAATCAACTAATCACTAAATTTGATCACCATCATGGTTTACCTTTGGTATATAAATGGCCACTCAACCCAAAGGGCCAGAATATTTGTCTATTTACATTGGAAACATTAAGTTGATTAAACATTGGGAACAATTTAAAAATCAATATGAAGCTTATCCTATTTACCGTTTTCATTATTTTCACAGGTTTCATAACAATTCAGGGTAAGTAAACAAATAGACATTTAATTTTTTACACTTGTAGGTAAACAATTAACTGATTATCTTCAAAATCTGACAACATTTAGCTGCTGATAAAAAGAAACCAGCAAATATCCCCGATGAATTGGAAAACAACGCCACGGGCTCGTGCGATGTACTGTTCAATCAAACGGCCGCTCTGGTTGAACCCGTGCTACTTGTTAATCGTACAGAATGGCCTACGACAATGGACGCTGTTAATAAGCATTGTGAGTAAGTATTTGTGGTCAATTGTCGCTTGGACACACCTTAATTCATATTCTCTTTTGTATTATCAGTCTTGGAGCGACAGTTTATAAAAGTATGAGGAAATACGGTAAATGTCTCAGTGGACTTTCACGTCAAGCGCTGAACGTTTTCTTACATGGAATGAAAAACTTCATCAAGAGTATCTGCTCGAACCCCACGAAGAAATCAAGTAATTCCGAGTATTTAGAACAAAAAACTTTTTTTTTCTAAAACTTTCGAATTTCAATTTATTTTAAACTTTTTCTTTAGGTACAATCGATATACTTTCATGTGCTTCGAGTGACAGTTTAAAAGGTTGGAATAAGTGTTTATATCAGGCTAATCGTCAGCTCGACTTTGCTTCCGACAATTCAACGGGAATCGAAATGGTTGGAAATGTTTGCTGTATCTACTCATCGATGCTCGATTGTGTCACCACAAATACTAAATCAAGGGCCGATTGTGACGCTAACCGGGACACAACAAATTTCCTACGATCGTCGATCTCATTGGTAATGAAAGATGTCATGGAATTAATTTGTTCCCGTTATTCAAACCAAGAGGAATGTAATGTTAATAATCCCAAAGGTGTGTCCATACTGAAGGTCATCGGAGACGATACCAGTTACCGTGTTGATGGAGCCTTCTTATTGTCGCCGTTGCTCAAAACTGCGGTCAAATTAGCGGCCGTTGATGAGTCCGAAGTCTAAAAGTCCGACCTTCCGATACTCTTAATCTTGAATCAATTCTAATGATAATTTGCTTCCTTCTCATTGTGAACCAACAATTGATTCAATTTTTTGTCGGTCAATCAATTAATTCAATTAACTCAATTATCGTAAACCTGAAAATTGAATCAATTGAATGTAAATCAATTAATCACAATTGAATCAAATTAACTTCTAATAATAAACTTATCCATTCATCTTTCTCTCTCAATCAATTCCAGTTAATTATCATCGTGATTGAAGGTTATCATTACAATTAAATTTACTATTGATAGACTTGGAAATAAACCAGATAAATGATTAAATTGTTAAACTAAATTAAATCTAATGACCTTAGATTAGCAGATTATATTATCTTAAATCAGTAAATTGTCATAATCACAATTTGAAAAGTTTATAATTAAAACAAACCAAACTAACTAGTTAGGTAAGTTTATCAATTTTGATTATCATCAAAAACAAACTGGTTAGTTAATTTAACTGAATTAAATAGCAATCAAATACATGGACCTCTGTCAAACCAACGTTAATCAAATTAAATTGTATTCAGTTTTTTTGGTTAATGATAATAATGTTTAATGATCAACAGAAATATAATCAACAATTTAATTTAATTGTTGAAGGAAAAACTTTACCTTCTTTGTAAAATTCAAATGATGACATTGAATTAATGGTACTAGTTAATTGCGAGTTAATTTAGTTTCTTTGTAATATAATTTAACGAAAATGTCAATTGTTAATCTAAATAATTCAATTAAATTAAACACTAACCAACAATTAGCGATAATTAATAAACAAAATGTTTAGGAAAGTTTCACCTTGGACCTAGACGATTTCAAACAATTAACTAATTAAGTTATCAATTGATTTTCTTGGATCTTATTGAAAAGCAAATTAATTGTCACTATTTAAATGATTTAGTTGATTGTTAATTAACTTTAATTCAGATGAAAGTGTATCAATTATATGATAAAAGAAACTTTTTTTTTGTTCAAAAAGGTAACAATTGCTAAAGAGCTCATTTCCTCCCGTATTTCAATTTATTAATAGTAATTAACTAATTGTGTTTTGATTCAATTATAATGACGATGATGATTAACTAGGATAATCAAATTGTTGGATTTGCCCAGAAAAAAAATGAATCAGTTAATTAGTGTGAATGAAAACTTGAGCTTAATTAGTGATAAGAATTGGATCAAATATGATTACAAGTGACAATTTGCTAATTGCTTGTGATTAACAAGGTGGTTAACAAGTGATTGAATCAATAATGAAATTGTCAACAATTAAAGTTAATTCGTTACAATTTATTTGGATAATTATTTTCATTCAGGTAAGAATTGATTTTCTTATGATCAATGTTCAATATTTTTAATTGTTACCTCTTTGTTTACAATTAAGGTTCAACGTTGGGATTAAGTGTTAACTCATCATCTTCTGTGTTAATTGTTGATAATCAAGGTGATGATAATTCAAATGATTGGATTCCAATTGCAACAACTGAGCGTTCATGTAACTGTAAATTCAATCCGATAACAACAATTAAAAGTGATTTAACTGTAACAACAATTACCCCCAATGATTTAATCAATTTAAATGATTCAATTGATGAAATTAAATTAGTATCAAATAAAATTACTGTAATTAAGGATGGAAACAATTATGATCATGACAATATTTCAGTTGTGACTGGTACAGTTACCACAATTAAGGATGATATTGATATTGAACTGATCGGATCAACTGAATTAACTGTGACAGTTGATTCAGTTGATTCAAATTCTGGTGAAACTGAGGATGAAGTAACAACAAGTAAATCAGAAAGTTCAACAATTAAAACATTAACAACAATAAGTGAAGATGAAGCCGAAGCTGAAGTGACAACTTTGAAACAATTAATTACCACCGAGAAACAATCAACTGTTACCGAAGATCCTAATCAAGAATCAATAGAACCTTCAACAATTGTGATCACTAAGGTGGAGATTGATGATGAAGATAAAGTTGCCACCACTGATTCAGATTACCAGGAATCAGGGAAAACAACAACAATTAAATCAGTTGATTCTTCAACTGAAGCAAGTGAAAGTGGTTTACCTTCAACCCTAATTACCGTTAGTTCAACAAATGAACCGACTACAATTGTAGATAATTCTGATTCTGATTCGGATGAAGATAAGAAGGAAAATGTAACCCCATCAACGAGCGATGGTGAGGGTTCCACAACTTCCATGGTGGATGAAGGGATAACTCAAATTTCTGAAAGTGATAAAGAAGATGAAGATGAAGATGGTGAAAGTGGTGGATCGACATCACCAGAGGGAAATGAACAAATGACCACTGTAAGTGTTGGGGTCAGTGTAATACCTGTGACAGAAAATGAGAGTGATGAAGGGATAGAAACTGATTCAACAACTACGAAAAGCGATTCTGGTGTTAGTCCAACTGATTCAGTTACAACGGAAAGTCAAACTGAAAATCCTTCAACACCAGAGAAAATTGAACCTCCGTATGAAAAGTCAACTGAGACACCAATGCCCGAAGAGGAGAGTTCTGATCTACCAACTTCCCCGCCGATGACCACAGTTTCAGTTGAAACTCCGCCTGATTTTCCCTTTTCATCAACAGAAATCCCGTCTGAAATGTCCACAAAACTCCAGGTAAGTTCAGAAGTACCTACGGAACAGACAGAATCGGAAATAACATCACCAACTTCACCACCAGTCTTGTCAACTGAGCTTTCAGCTACATCGGAATCGGGATCAGAATCAGAATCAGAATCAGAGTCTACAAGTGAAACTTCAGATGCTCGACCAACTGATTCATCCACAGATTCAGTATCAGAACCAGAGCCAGCATCAACTATGACACCATCTGATCCAACCGAATCTCAACCAGTTCCTCCAGCTACATCTTCGTCAACAGAAATACCCTTAAAACCATCAACCCCTGATTCGACAACACTACTCACCGAAGAACCAACAACTCCAGACTCACTAACTGAGCCACCAGTCACCATATCACCTCCACCAGAGACTCCCACAGAACCACAAGATGGATCATCATTACCACCTTCATCAGAATTACCACCAAAACCGTCAACTGATCCAACATTTACAGTTACAGCAACTGATAATTCAAACGAAATGACAACATCATCCACAAGCACAGATCAATCACAATCAACACCAACAACGATGAGCTCAAATAAACCTGAACCAGAAGGAAGCACAGCTCCAACACCTACTCAGCCCTCATCATCTCAATCGACCGAAGCTGAATCAACAAATGAACCAGAAAAACCCTCACCAGCACCAACCGAATCAACACCAACACCATCAACCCGAATAGTTCCTAATGTAACATCACCAACACCGACAATTACCCAATGTATTCAACTGTCATCATTACGCAATTGGAGATATGATTTACTTCATCGATTGGCCCAAACTCAGTACCAAATAATTAAACTTCGTCTCAATCTACCCCCAGAATCACCGCTTCGAAAATCGAACACCTTTTTCCGTTCAATTCGTTTTCTCCGACGAATGTCCTGGTCAATCAATCGTCGTCCCCTCTGGCTAATTTACAATGCTCGAATTCAAACACTTCGACTAATCAAAAGTGAACAATCATTCAACTTGTTCGGGATAAATGTTCTAGTTGGTCTTTGGAAGCGTCGATTATGCTGCTTCAATCGACTTCTAATTGAATGTGGTACAATTTCATTCAATTGAATAATCAATCAGACGAAAAACTTTCGGTCACAACAATTAACTTAATCAGAAATAATAATAACTGCCAATCAGTTAATCATCAAAATGTAACAAAAAATTGATTGAATTGGTCGTAACAATTAACTAATTACCCTAATCACTTATGTACAACAATTGTTAACAAGATCAAACAATAAATTATATAATTAAAAAGCTCAGTTGACAATGTGTATATAAGATGTTAAATCGTTAATCACAATCACAATTACAATTACAATTACAATTAATTTCTCCTTGAAAGGTTAAACAATTTATATTGAACAACAAAAGAGGTTGTTAACCAACGACAATTAATAAGATGAACTTTAATCAATCTTGATTGTTGTTAATATTTCCCTAAATTGTCATGTTAACTTTAACTGAAACATTTAGTTAATTCAGTGAGATGATCAGTTGATCAGAGTAAATTTAACCAATATGATTAACTATTTGATTCAGTTTCTTGGACTATTATTATTTTCCAATAACGGTGAGTTTTTTTTAAAAATTTATATCCCAAAGATTAACACGATTAATTTACTAATTGTTTCAATAATTTAAGTTATCGGATTAAGTTCAAATTCACCATGTTTATCATCGGTAAATAATCACAATCAAAATGATCATAACGATTTACCGGCCTATGATTTTATCCGTTATTTTGGTTTGGACAATTCTGATGGCTTCGATTTCCCTGGAATAAAAAAAGTTAAAGGTTCTAACGATTTCCAGACCGCTTATCGATTATCCCGTCGAGCTGACCTCAGTTTACAAACGAAGTAAGTTCAATATTATGTTGATGATAATCGTAAAGTTGTAACAATTAACTAATGAGCAAAATTTTGTCTTTCAAAGGAAAATGTTCCCCTTCGGAATTCCCACTGAATTTTCATTCGTTTGTTCATTTCGACAGCGGCCCTCGAAAGCGGAATCATGGGATCTGATACGAATCTCTGATTCCACCGGATCTTTACAATTGTGCCTGAAATTTATTCCTTATCAACGGAAACTTGAACTAACTTTACCATCGTCATTATCGTTGGTTAATCAAGGACCCAAAATTCCCGATCGAATCGTTTTCACCAATGTAACATCCAACGACGGTTCTTGGCATAAAGTTGGCCTGACATTGAGGAAAAATCGAGTTACTCTGCATCATAATTGTCTTGAACATAGTCACCAATCAATTTCATCCATTGATAATATTGACAATCAGGGTAATTTAATTGTCGCTAAATTTTCAGATGAACCAACAACTGTACCTGTAAGTCAACTGGTAGATAATGTTGATTGTAGCAATTTACTAATTCATTTTGTTTACAGATTGATCTTCAATGGATGGTCCTTAATTGTGATATTACACAAAGTGAGTTCTTATTATTTAACTAATTTTGATCATCAATCTTAATTATCTGATTGTCGCAACTTTTTACTTTTAGGTGCAAAGGAAACTTGTGATGAACTACCGGTTAGTTGATTTTTAATTCATTGATGAATATAATTGTTTAAGTTAATTGTTGATGATAAATTTTTTAGGACACAATTGAGCCTCCAAAGTTCATCCCAATTCCAGATGAGTGTCGTGCTTGCCCTCAGGGTCAACCTGGATTACGAGGACTCCCAGTGAGTTTTAATCAGTTACTCGAAATCAACAAAGATAAAGATTGAAGTTAATTGGGTATCATACTTAATTACAGGGTATGAAGGGTGATCAAGGGCTTCAAGGACCTAATGGATTTGACGGATCAAAGGGAGATCAAGGGGAAATGGGTGAACCTGGACCGCCAGGTCAACCAGGTCAAAAGGTAGAAATTTAAATTCAATTTAATTCAACAGTTAAAATGAGATATTAAATTGTCGTATTTCTCTGGATCGATACTCGGGATTTAGGGGGACACTGGATTTACCGGAATTGCTGGTCCACCCGGAATAAAAGGTAATTTACTCATGATGGGATTTTCAGATGGACTAACTTATTAATTGTTAACAATGATTAGGTGAAAATGGTTACCCAGGTGAACCAGGACTCACTGGTGATAAAGGAGATTCAGTGAGTTTGACACTTTGACAGTTTCATGTCAATCGTTTTTGATTCATTTCTCTTCAATTTAATGACACAGGGCTCTCCTGGGTCGCCAGGCCCTGAGGGACCCAAGGGCGATGTTGGTCCTCCTGGGCTACCAGCTGAACTTGGATCAAGGGGCGAAAAGGGAGATAAAGGTAAGTCTATTTACAGGGGTTTTCTTATGTTCAAAAAGTAAAAATTGTTTCTTTGTGACAAAAGAACATAAAAAATCAGATAAATATGAACAAAAAATTTTGAGAATGTGAGTTTTTCTCAAATTTCAATACAATTTTACTGATATTTCCTGGATTTCTCATGAATTCACAATCAAACAGATTAATGAATCTCGAGTTTCAAGTCCATTCATTGAATAGTCGCTACCATAAACAATAAAGATCCAAATACTGAGCTTTGAAGTTCAAGAATTATTAATAAATCATCTTTTTTATTCCAATTTTTCTTCATCAAGGTTCACCAGGAGAACCAGGGGATTCTGGTGAGCCAGGAAAAGATGGATTAGTAAGTTGATAAAAATTTTCCATCGATTTATTATTAATGATAATCTAATAACTTATTCAATTAGATGGGACCAGTTGGACCCACTGGCCAACCAGGGGAGGCTGGACAACCGGGTGAAAAGGTTAATATTCAATCTAAAAGTTTAATTAATTATCAATTCCAATGGTTAATTTATCAATTTGAATCAGGGAGAGAAAGGTGATTCCGGACCTGTTGGTCCTGTCGGCCCTCCAGGGCCACCGGGACTAGTAACCACAGAGGAAAACGGGAATCAATCAGTTGAATCAATTACCGAGGAAAGAGTTCGACAAATTTGCTTAGAGTTAATTAAAGGTTTGATCACAATCTGAATTTCATTGTGTTGGATTTACTCTAATTGATTGGAATTGTATTTTCAACCAGAATTTGAGAGTAATCTTGAACGTAACATGGGCGAACCAGGGCAACCTGGGCCTCCCGGTGAACCAGGAACACCAGGACTCCAAGGACCCCCAGGACCAACGGGTCCACAAGGTTTACAGGGTAAACCAGGAAGAGGTAGAATAGGTAGACCAGGAGATTCAGGGCCACCCGGTCAGCCAGGATTACAGGGAGAAAGAGGTAAACCATTAAAGGAATGAAAAAAAAATGAAATTCTAATAAACTAATAAAATATTTCAGGTTACCCTGGTTTACCTGGTATCCAAGGTCCAAAAGGTTCCCAAGGTGATAAAGGTGATCGTGGGCTCGATGTATGTATTTGAATTGGATGAAAATAATCAATAGAAGCAAAAAATTTGATGAAATAATTTTTTCCATAATCAAAATTTTCTAGGGAATCGCAACTGAAGGACCAATTGGCCCACCAGGTAATCCTGGTCCTCCTGGTCAACCAGGAATTGGTGTCCAAGGTAAGTCTGAATAAACAGCAATCAAAGTTAAACAACTGATTAAATCCCAATCCAATTAGGACCCACCGGTGAATCTGGCCGACCTGGACCTCCAGGGCCACAAGGTTATCCAGGTGAACAAGGGTCACCAGGTTACTGTGAACATTGTCCACCAATGGTCATCCCAACCCAAGAAAAAGGTCCAGGTTAATAAAGGTGATTTAATTATCATCATTAAACCAAATCAACGAGATAAATTATGTATTTAAATTTTGATATTATCCAAAGGAATTAAAATTTTCATGGAAAATTTAAAAGTAACATTTTAAATTTGGATCATTAATTATTAATACAGTTAATAGTAATCACCAATCAAAAGTAAATGTAATTAAAGGTTTAATTTAAATCAGAATGATAATATACAGTCAATTGCAACAATCTAAGGTAAACACAGAGATAGTTTAATAATAATAAAGGTAAAGAAAAAAGTTTGTCAGAAAATTAATTGATTGTCGCAATTAAATGTCATCAGCGTGAATTTCACCTAATTGTTTTGTTGCTTTAATTAAAGGTGACAATAAAAAGGCTCCAGTGACCTTATATTTACCATCAGCAATTAACTTCAATGATTCAGCTCTCCCAGCGTTATGAGCATCACAATCCTCTTTGGTGGCGTAATTGCCACAAAGTAATTCAGTTAAATCTTTGACAATTAAGCTCAATGATGATTCTAGGAAAGTCGATGTATCTTGACGACCTGGCTTAATGCAATCGGGCTTTGATCCGGTGGAAACGGAAACACATTCAACCAACGAGGAGTAGGTACAGCAGATATTACCGATCATCGCAGGATCGGTGGCATTTGAAGCGGTAAAATCGAGCTGTTGATTAGCGGTATTGAGACATTTACTCCAACCGGTCATTGTTTCATTGGAAGCACATTTTAAAATTTCAATTGTTTCTGTTTTTCCACAAAAAAAAGCAAGTTAATTTAGTAATTAAAAGAACAATTTAGAAAATGGAAAACTAATTAACACTTACCCATCTTTTTCTTGCTCGATAAGCAAATGTTTTGCATGAATTTTTTCAATCCTCGAAGGAAAATTGTGACCGCTTGTCGGGAAAGTCCATTTAAACACTTACCATATCGACGGACATTCTTGTAAACTTTAGTTCCCAATCTGGTTGATTAACATTCATCAACGATAATTAATCATGTGCTCATTAAATATACTTGGATTTACTTACTCGCAGTGTTTAGTGACCGCGTCCATGGTCATAGGCCAAGGTTGCGTTCCCACCAACATAGCGGGTTCGAGGATTGCTACAGTTTGATTTAAAGCCGATTCACATTCTGATGATGTATCAACTTGAGTTAATTTAGTTGTTGATTTCTTTTTCTCAGCGGCTACAATTAAGATAATAATTGGAAACAATTAAACAACTTTAAGTTTCGAGAAGAAAAACTTTTTTTTCCTTACCATTGGTAATTGTGATTAAAGAAAATGAAATTGTCACAATTAAAATTAATAAACTACTTTGTGTCCTCATTGTGATTGTTACAATTGTCACTTAAGTGTTTCAACAATTTCAATTTACCAGTTAAATTGTGATGATTGAAGTTAGAATCAAACTAATCAAGTTAACTGTGATTGTAAAACCTTTTATATTCATGGTAAACTTTATGATGACAATCTAATTGAACACAGAGAAGAAAGTGAAAGTTAATTCCCAACAATTAGTGTACAATTTACCCCAAGGGGATTCACATATTTACCATGAATTCAGAGACGATGATATTTAATATACTTACATAAACAATCAACGTCAATTATTATTCAATCATTATCTCTGGAAATCATTTAAAATTCATTTTCAACAATTAACTTTTACATTTTACATCAATCTCCAAACAGATGATAACAATTAAAGGTTTCTAATGATGATTAAGATAATAATTATCATATTGATTAGGGTTTACAATGGACATTCAACTAATCAACTAATCAAATGATAAACAATTCAAATTAATTCTTAAATTCTTATCAAATTGGTGATTAAATGATCAAATTGTTAACAATCAAATGATTGTAACCAAAGTTACAACTTGTATGTGAACAAAAAAAATCAGATAACATTTTAATTAACCTTGATTGTAGTTGTTAATCAACTTTAATTGTGAAATAATCACGATGGACAAATCAAATTAATTAAAACAACATCTACTTTCATATGTTTGCAATTATTTACTAATTTAAATTAAATTCAATTTCTGTCTGATCAAGAAACAATCTAATCACTTTCCAAGCAATTAATAGTAACAATTAAATCAGCTGATTGTTGGATTGATATTGTGAAAAGAAAACGTGATTAGACTCAGTTATTCAACTTTATTTTTAACTATTCTGAAAATCTGAAAGATCAAGTTGATTATCATTGTTTTAACTTAATGATTGTCGACGATTAAGTTAATTGTGATATCATGAGAAAAGCAAATTATTCCTGATCAAGGAAAGTGATTAAAACTGATGACTGATTCTAATGATTTATAAATAATGATAATTGAAACTTTTTCTTTGTCTTTTTCGTGTCACAAATTAGTAGGAATCATTTTCGATCATTTTAATTGTCCAAAGTCAATCGATAAATTTTCTGATTATTGATCATCACTTTAGTCAATTGTATCCAATTAGAGATGTAAAAATATTAATTCCAATTGCTCGATGAAACTTGATTTAACCGACTACTTATTATGAGACCCTGAGGGCTTTTTCCTGTTTCTATTCACTTCTTATTCTGAATTGATTATCAAGAGAATCAGTTAGTTGATAATAAGATTCTGGTTCCTTGTTGATTACTGCTAACACTTCAATATTTAATCTTCCACTAATCATATTTATAAGTCCCAATAAATTGACTACAATTAACATCATCTAACTAATATTGTCCAATTGTCCATGAATTTTGCCAACTAGACTAAACATATTATCAAAAAGTAAATGGGAAACCCTTGAGGTGAAATATTTATCATCATCATTTCCTCATCATCATGATGATATTTATTCATCAGCCATGATTAAGTCGCAGCCTTTGATAACTTAATGATATTATTAACAATTAGAGGTTAAAGTTTCAACTTGAAAGCAATTAAGACCAAAAATTTTTCAAGCAAATAGCAAAATGAACTTTAATTTAACTTTTAAAATTGATCATTGATCTGCAATTGTGAACAAAAAACAAAATCTTACAAATTACAAATTATAATTTATTCTTTACCAATATCAGAATCGTCGGACAATTTATTAACAATCTTAAGAAGTGGACTGATCAGATAAGCTCCCTCGACCGGAATTTCGGCTAATCCAGCGGCTTTAATCTTAGCCAAACCCTCGGGATTATTTGCAATACAATCTGATTCGGATGAATATTTTGAACAGATCAGTTCGATAACCTCTTTAAGAACAAGTGAAAGTGAATGTTTGAAAAATCTTGTAGTATCCGCTTTGGTGAACAACCGGGAATAGTTCCAGTTGAACGTTCGAGACACCCGATTACCGTTGAATAGATACAACAAACGTCACCCACAACTCCAACAGAGGTGGAATTAAAACCGACGAAGTTCAACTGTCGATTAACGGTGTTCATACAGTTATTCCAACCTTTAAGTGTCCTCGAATCAGCGCATCTTAAATCATCAATTGCCTCTAAATTATCAAGAGAAAAGAGTATGTATAAATACAGAGAGATTTAATCCATTTCAAGCTCTATTGTTAGAGTGATAATCTTATATCCAGACTATTAATATCTTCAATTTACCTTGTTTCTTTTTCGTTGAGTTACAAATACTTCGGATGAATCGCTTTAGGCCATGAAGATAAATGAGTAAAGTTTGACGAGCTAAACCCTGTAAGCATTTACCGTACTTTCTGACTCTCTTGTAAACATCAGTTCCAAGTCTTGGGATAAAAAATGTAAGAGGAAATATGATTATGATGAAAAAGAAATCGAGATGATGATGATGATGATGAAGAAAACACAACAGGAAACATGATCACAAAAATGGAGTAACTGATTTTACCCTCAAGGATTTAAGATCAATTTGAAAATTTTCGAGAATCAGATTAACATATTACTATTATTATTCAGAGAGAATTTTTTTATTCTTCACTTCATCTGCATGTAACTCTTTCTCCATGTGATTTTCATCTATTCAAGTAAATATTGATTCTATTCCATGACGGAAACATGATGATTACGATCAATGTGTAAATAATAATAAACATGAAACATGAAACATGAAAGTTTCGAGTTTAGTTTTTCTCGAAAGTAACAAAGTTTACAAATATTATCAACTAGAAGAATAATTTTCAATCAATGTTATAAACAATTCGGGAACAATTTACTCACTTGCAGTGTTCATCAATCTCAGCAATTGTCAGGGGAAACTTTTTACTTCCAATCAAAAGAACTGGTTCAACCAGAGCCGCTGTTTCATTGAAAATAGATTCACATGATTCAGTTGAATTGGTGAAAATATCGTCAGAATTTTGTTTCTGTTTGGTTCCTATTCTCAAATACAAATCAAAATGGAATAATTAAAATTACGAACTCACAAATGATCACAAATCGTCAATAAGTTAAGCAAATGAATCACATGAATTACCTTGAGTTGAAACAATTACAATTAAACAGAATAAACTAATTACAATTGATGAAGAAAATTTCTTGTTAATAGACATGATGATTAGGTGAATTCAAATTCGTAGCAGAAAAAAAGTTCATCCGAAAACAAAAATATCGAAAAGAAAAAAGTTTCTTCTTCCTTCCAATGATTTTCTCAAACTTAATCAATGAGAATAAGATTTGGTTTTTACTCTTTAACTGATTTAACTCAACTGATTGAAACTCTTTTTCATCACCACGATTAATAAATTAAAATCCACTGATTAAATTGATGATAAAATGAAACATCAGAAAATATCATTGGCCTTGGAAATTTAAAGTTATCAGTTCAAAAGATTAAAATTCTGATGTAATAATAATAATGATAACGTTTGAATCTCGTTTCGTCAAGGTAACAATTTACCTTTGGTAAATAACTTAACTGATGCCCATTAATAATTAAGACAATGTTGCTTAGTAATTAATCACAATTAAGGATGGAGAAATAAATAAATAAATTTTTACATTGGTAACTTTTAGCCCGTAAGGTTTATTATTGTTTGTTGTTGATTATCAATTTTGAATCGAATAATCTTAATTCACCTTTAAAAATGAACTAATATTAACAATAATAATCTTATCACAATTTATAATACAAACTTTAATGTTGATGTTGATTAAGGGAAGAGGAAGTGGGACTGAATGAATAATACAATGTATTACATTATATAAAAGGTGATCATGATCAGTGTATCATGATCACCTTCAGAAGTTTCTAGAATATTCAACAATTAAACAATCAATACGATATGACCATGATATTCATGGTCATCATCATAACGTCCCAGACGTAACAATTACTAATCAATAATTTTGTTACATTACCCCGTCCTCTAGACGAAAGGTCTCTCTTTCGTTACGATATCGATTAATTTATAAGCACAATTTTTGCATTTAATAAGCACATCGAATGCGACAAAAACACCAATACAATATTATTCATACTTAATATTATCCTTTACATATTCAGAGTTACAAGAAACTTGATTATGTTCAGAAATTATAAACAGAAGAACATCTTCAGGTACATCAAATTTAATTACATTAAATAAAGCAGCAAATTCTAATAAACATGCACGAGCTTTTTCCAAAATTTTGGCTTGTTCATCAAATTTACCGTTGATTTCGTCTTCAATTCCCGAACATCGAAAATATGCATATTTCATCAGTAATTGATTACCTTTTATCCTACCTTCGATCTTTTCCTTGACTGATTTTGGAGCAGGTCGTTTCAACGTTTTCTTCAGCGTTAATATTTGATCGATGGCAATCCCTACCACCTTTACGAAGTTATCATTTTTATCCTTCAACACCTCAGAAGTCATCTTTTGATTACTGTTAGAAGCAGAAAACAATTAATACAATTAATAACAATTAAATAACATATAATATAGTAACATTAACATTAGTAATGTTAATTTACAAATAATTCATTCAAATAACAAATTCTCTCAAAATTTTCATAAACATTAATCCAAGTTAGAATGAGAAATTGCATTAAGATCTCCATTAACTTGATTATTACATAATTAATTATATTGAAACTAGAATTAGGTACATAAAATTCCCATGGATCCATCGGCCACGTAATTTAAGAACCATCTCCCTTGCCACCAATAGCGCAATGAGTTGGATAAGGAGGAGGCGACTGTTGACACAACAACCAGTCCACTGAGTACCATCTCCTACTTTTAAATCGAATTTCTAGTTATCAATAAAACTAATTAATTAAGTTGAGAAGCTAATCTATCGATATTAGCTTCCATTTGATTTATCTCCTGCACCAGCTCATCCATTGAGTTACCTGAGCTCTGATAACTTCTATCACTAGCTCGTCGATGAGTAATTTCAGCTCGTTGTGCTCTTTGGAGTAAATCATGAACCGAATTAATTTCGAATTGGGCAAAATATTGAGAAATTTCAGGCTTGATTCCTCGGACGATCAACCTTATAACCTTCCTCTCATCCACTTGAACATTAATTCGTTTAAAAAGTTTAATTTGTTCCAATATAAAAGACAAAACTGACTGATTTTCCTGTTGTCTTCCTTGGTACAGTTTATTCTCCAACAATTGAACGTAATTTGGGTTTACGAAATCACCAAGTAACATCTCTTTCATGGTACTGTAGTTGACAACATTTTTATTTTTGACATAAGATAAATACCAAAGTTTGATCGTGCCAGTTATAAACATTGGAAATCGTTGTAATCGAACATCATCATCCCAACCAACGGCCATTGTTTCGAATTCGAAATTCTCAAACCATTCGAATATATCTTGACCGTTGTCACCACTCAGTCGATATACATTTAGACTTGGCTCCAACAAGAGATTATTTTGCATGATTGACTCTTCTCTTATTATTTTTTTTATAATTTATAGTCAATCTCAAATATTTTATCGAATTATCTTCTGAATGATTTCAATTCATTACATTAATTGAAGTAAACTTCATACCCCAACTTGCTCTATAAGCTGTTTTAGAATTATTCCATGATTTTCGAATGTAAATTTATAGATTCAAAGTTGAATTAGACTATCAACTCTGAGAATTCGCAATCAGTTAGATCAACCAAAATTATTTTCACTTATAAACTTAATGTGAAAAAAAACAATATCGAAAACTCAACGTTAATTATTATCAAAATAAAATCACAATAATTACGAATTCGATCCGCAGATCCTGCCTGGGTCGCCAAATGAATCGAATAATCTTAATTCACCTTTAAAAATGAACTAATATTAACAATAATAATCTTATCACAATTTATAATACAAACTTTAATGTTGATGTTGATTAAGGAAGAAATGGACTGAATGAATAATACAATGTATTACATTATATAACAGAAGGTGATCATGATCAGTGTATCATGATCACCTTCAGAAGTTTCTAGAATATTCCAACAATTAAACAATCAATACGATATGACCATGATATTCATGGTCATCATCATGGTAACGTCCCAGACGTAACAATTACTAATCAATAATTTTGTTACAATTTCATGGGGACATTGAAAGCTAATTACAGAGTGAGAGACATTAATTGTAAATTAATTAATGAATGAACATGTTTACAATTTAAACTAGAATATTAATTAGATGAATAAAAAGTTTGTTTACAACAAATTAACGTTCAATCAATCAAGGGTTTTTTTTTCATTTCTTGCTAACGGCGTACAATTAGTGCGATCAATTGATTTCTACTTTTCGAATTGGTCAACAATTAAGTGAATATCAGAACTGGAAAAAATTACACTCGAAAAGTGGTACAGTTGGCCAAATAGAACCATTCGTTAGACCCTCAGGTCATTTTTTGGACATCGTTAGTCGTTGACTGTTCATTATCGAGATCGTCAAGGTTATTCTTAGATTTTTCAATACGATTTCATGATAACTCATTGGTGGAAAGTTGAAAGCTTAGATTCATGAATAACGATTAAACATTTAGTTCTAAAGGTAATTTTCGAGTGGTTCGAATGAGTTAATCTAATTTTCGATTGGAAAAAGATACTTTTAACTCAACTGACCTTTGGGAAAACTGATCCTTAGCCATTGATTTAAGTGCTATTTTAAAGTGAAATAAGTTTTCAATTCATCTGAGTTTACAATCCATCTCATGTAATGAGTAATTCAATAAGTATTGATCATGATTACTCTTGACATTTGATAGAAAACAAAAATTAAATTTACCAGTTAGCCAATTTAATTGAAGATGATGAAGATTAGACATAGATTTAGTATAAAATAATTAATAGACATTAATTAGAGTTAATAAAAAATTGAAAACATTGATTGTGTTATTAAATTAAAATAGCTTTTAATGTTATTAGAAATGTGATATTAACATTTTGAAATAAAAGTCTCGAGGGCAATGGAAATATTAGTATCAGAGACTAATTAATAAAGTAATTGAGACGCAATTAGAATATTTAATATAACTAATTTACTTTCGATACATTGATAGTCATTATGATTATCATAAACATGATACTGAAAACAAAGTTCAGTCAATAATAATTTTCAAATAAAATCAGGACAATCCTTTTTTTGGAAAAAAATTTAAGCTAATCAAATATTTATAATAGTTGTATTAAGAAGGTGGCTAATCAAATTGTGATGATTATTAAATTAGAGGTGGATTATTATCCAACTTCACCTGGACACACCCAACTGAATCTCTGATAACACTTCAACAAGAATGAGAGAGAGAGAGATTAATCCAACCATTAACTTTGAGTACATTAGAATCATTTTGAAACAGTTAACATGATTGTTAATCATCATGATCACGCTGAAAACGGTTCATGAGAAGACATTGATAGACAATGACAAAAGATGATGATGAAAATCACAAATAATCATGAAACAAGGTGATAGATCCTGAATATCATGTGAGTATTAAATGAGCTTGAACTTTTTTCACCTCAACACAACTGAACTTTCATTTTTTCCTCATGAAATATGGGTGAGAAAAGCAAAAGCCTTTTCCTTATAATAATAATCAACTGTTAGTTTGATAATCATGATAGTCTATCCATCAAAATGATGACACACAAAATCATCATAATTTCATCATCATGAAAGCCATGAAATGTAAATCACAGGAATGAAAACCATTATGGAATTTCAATTTTTCAGAATTTTTTTACCTGAATATTTTTTTCCTTCCCAAGTAGAAAAAAAAACAACCAAAATAATAGAAAAACTTAATTGAGTTAATGAAAGGAAGACGAGTTGCATCATTTCCGTTTCCCCTTTTCATTTGCTAGGAATTTCTTTTCTTCTCTTTTTCATAGTAACATGAATATACCCTGAATCTCCAATAATAGGATGATGTTCTCAATTATCTTAGCTCCCAAAATCTCTCACCTCCCAGTATGTGTATCTATTATTATTCTTCTCTCTCTCTCTCTCTCTCATTTTTTCCTTTCCTCCTCCCGATCTTCATCATCAATCTGATGTCTATGGACCTTCAAGGCATCCAACCATGGTCACAATCAATAACCTTTTCCGCTCACGTACAATAATATAACCAATGATACTTGAGAGTTGAGTTTCTCATGAAGTTACCATGGAAACGTGCTAAGACTTTCACTTTTCCTTTTCTCAGATGAAACTATTTATATAATAACATTATTATCATTAAGTTTCACCATTCTAAATACATCACTTAAGGTATAATACATTTACACATTACTATATACTAGTAGTAAGTAAGACTGTTACTTATGATCCATGAATATCTCATGTTAAGGTAAATTTTAATCTGAAACTTTAACTCAACCAGAGTGCACATGAACTTATTATGAATAAGCTTAATGAATTTACAATGAATATTTAAATTGTCAAGAAAATTTCACTATAATTCAGAAAAAAAAACAAATTCTCATTGTATTAATAATAAGATAATTATTATTTCTATCATATTATTTGTAGTAATTACTTTTCTATATGTTTACCACCAAATGATACAATCAAAATTGATCATCAAAGTCAATCAATTAAAATTTAGTTTCCAATTTGCCTTAGAAGAAAAAAGAAAACAGATTCTGAAGGTTAATCAGTTGATTTCACAAAGTTTCCTCAATCTTTATCATGTTGATTGGAGATAAATATCATGAGGTGAACAAATGTAATTACGATAATCATGATGACGATTGAAACAATTTACTCTGATAATCAGAGACCAGGAAGATACAAATTAACTTAAAAAGGTAAAAGATGAAAACAACAACAATGATACAAATAACAGAATATCTTTTCCCCCCTGAATACCTTGAAACATTCAGTTTGATTCAGTGAAGAAAAAAAGTTCTAGAGTTAAAATCGATTCCCTGATGAAGGTTAAACTAAAATGTTGCAAAGAAAATAAAAGTAAAAATAATTCTGTAAGTTTGTCAATTGAACAGAATGAAAAATAATTCTGACAACTAAACACAACAAGAATTGATTCAGAAGATTCTCAGAATTCTCAGGATTCTGGTTACCATGAAAAAGATGACAGAGAGAGAGAGAGAGAAAGTAACTACTATGATGGAGATAAATGGTAACTATTGGAATATGAAGGAGCAAATATAATAGAATAGAAAAATATTTAGAAGAAAAAAAAGTTTTCGAAACAAAATTTTTCTTCATCATTATAATCATCATATTCTTGAAAGATTCTGAACAAAATTCTTGAAACAAATAGTTCACTTGATTGAAACGAAAACACCAAAAGCTCAGAACATAAATAATCAATGAAATCAGAGAATAAGTTAGAACTTTTTTACATTTCGAATTTCCAATTTTTCGAACAAAATTTTCTCCAGTAGTATTAATTAAGCTGGCTTTGGCTCATTTCATGAGCCAAAGCTCAGCAGTTTCATGAGTGTTATTATTTGAGGAAATAAATGAATTTAATAATTTTTATATTCATTTAATCATAATATTTTATATTAGATTAACTATTAAATCATAATTTTTTTACGATTCATTTATGATAAATGAAATTGATTAAATGTAAATATTAAACTTAATATTCAATTTAAAGATTTTTTCCTCAAGTTTTATATTGAAATATACTGAACTTCACACATTTTACGATTCGAATTAATTTCAATTTAGATTAAATTTCCTGAGTAATTAAATCATATACCGATTTGTATAAATACGAAACTGAAAATTGAAAAATTATCATTCGAAGTTTGATAACCAAACAGAAAAGAACGATATTAATTGATCAAAGTTTGAATTCATTGAGTTCGATTTCTTTTACATGAGATTCAATCTGAATTAAAAATGTAAGTATAGTTTGAATTCAATAATCAATAGATTATTATGTATAATAATTCTAATCATTTTTGTTTGATTATTTTTTCCCCTTTGTGCCAGCTTATTGTGCTTTCATCATTGGTTTTTTTTTTTACACCTGGTTATCGATAACGTTATCCAATAATCCATCAACGATAAAAAGTAAGGAAGAAAGTTATCTTAAGCTAGATTGAAGAGTTTGGAATGAAATTCTTTCAGTTTATGATCTCAATGATAATTTATCAGAACTTTTCAGTTCTTTTGATGAGTTTTCTTTGAAAATTCTTTCAGTTTATGATCTCAATGATAATTTATCAGAACTTTTCAGTTCTTTTGATGAGTTTTCTTTGAAAATTCTTTCAGTTTATGATCTCAATGATAATTTATCAGAACTTTTCAGTTCTTTTGATGAGTTTTCTTTGAAAATTCTTTCAGTTTATGATCTCAATGATAATTTATCAGAACTTTTCAGTTCTTTTGATGAGTTTTCTTTGAAAATTCTTTCAGTTTATGATCTCAATGATAATTTATCAGAACTTTTCAGTTCTTTTGATGAGTTTTCTTTGAAAATTCTTTCAGTTTATGATCTCAATGATAATTTATCAGAACTTTTCAGTTCTAGTCATGAGTTTTCTTTGAAAATTCTTTCAGTTTATGATCTCAATGATAATTTATCAGAACTTTTCAGTTCTAGTGATGAGTTTTCTTTGAAAATTCTTTCAGTTTATGATCTCAATGATAATTTATCAGAACTTTTCCGTTCTAGTCATGAGTTTTCTTTGAAAATTCTTTCAGTTTATGATCTCAATGATAATTTATCAGAACTTTTCAGTTCTAGTGATGAGTTTTCTTTGAAAATTCTTTCAGTTTATGATCTCAATGATAATTTATCAGAACTTTTCAGTTCTAGTGATGAGTTTTCTTTGAAAATTCTTTCAGTTTATGATCTCAATGATAATTTATCAGAACTTTTCAGTTCTAGTGATGAGTTTTCTTTGAAAATTCTTTCAGTTTATAATCTCAATGATAATTTATCAGAACTTTTCAGTTCTTTTGATGAGTTTTCTTTGAAAATTCTTTCAGTTTATGATCTCAATGATAATTTATCAGAACTTTTCAGTTCTTTTGATGAGTTTTCTTTGAAAATTCTTTCAGTTTATGATCTCAATGATAATTTATCAGAACTTTTCAGTTCTTTTGATGAGTTTTCTTTGAAAATTCTTTCAGTTTATGATCTCAATGATAATTTATCAGAACTTTTCAGTTCTAGTCATGAGTTTTCTTTGAAAATTCTTTCAGTTTATGATCTCAATGATAATTTATCAGAACTTTTCAGTTCTTTTGATGAGTTTTCTTTGAAAATTCTTTCAGTTTATGATCTCAATGATAATTTATCAGAACTTTTCAGTTCTTTTGATGAGTTTTCTTTGAAAATTCTTTCAGTTTATGATCTCAATGATAATTTATCAGAACTTTTCCGTTCTAGTCATGAGTTTTCTATGAACATTCTTTCAGTTAATGATCTCAATGATAATTTATCAGAATTTCTTTTAGAATTTTCTCATTAGAGCTATATAGTTTATTTTTGCTTTTTATTATTTAAGAAATGGTTGAACCGAACAAAGTGGACCCTAAAAAGGATTATTTGAAATCAAATCCTGAGAATAATGAAACTGTCTACAAGTACGAACTTGAACAAATAAAAATGATGACCAAATTGGTTCATTCGGGCATCACAACTGATCAGCTTTTCAATTTATACATAACATTAAAAGAAGACATGAAACCTTTAAACTTATCAAAGGATAATAATGGTGGAACTGACGAATGGGTTGGTCTTCCAAAAATTCCCGAAAACAAAGACAAAGATGCTAAGGATAAAAATAAAGATAAAAAAGTTAGAATTATCCAGCTGATAAGCAATCCTCCAAAATAGTCCATATGACAACTGATATTAAGGAATTTCATGGAAATTTTAGTTTTCTTTATGTCTTCATTTACTCTATTTAGGTTTTTTTAATTAGTTACTATTGTTATTTCTTATTTTATTCCATTAAGCGGTTAATTGCAATGTAATTCAATTCAACCCAAAATAAGATTTTTTTCGTCTTGTTGACTAGAATGGCTCAAGTTATGCTACCATCAACTTCAACTAAGCAAAAAGGTCAAAAGCGTATCGCTAAGAAAAAACCACCTCAAGATGAAGATATTGAAATTTCTATTGATCTACCGAAAGTTGTTAAAGAGACAGAAATGAAACGTAAAATTGATGAGGAAATGCGAGATGATGACTGAAACGGATGGTAGTACCACATCATCTGCTTCCAGCGGAAAAAGAAATCGTAGAAATGAAACAGTTGCGGCAATGGAAATGGATCTTTTCAATATACCAGGAAATCGTAATAAGCGACCTTCATCTGATTTCAATGTTCAAAATCAATTCAGAGTTTCGGACAATCTGGTTTTCACAAGCTCAACTTATAGTGGTATCAGGACAGGTAAAATTAGAAAATATTGGTTGAAAGACGGAAGCATCAGGTCTCAGCGTATGGTGGCGAGATGTTGAAAGCGGATATACCGAAATTTGTATCATGGTTACAAAAACCTATGCGACATGGCAAGAATGATGAATTGGTTGACTGGATTAACGCTCAATGGAACTATTAAGAAAACTTTTTGTTTATCAGAGATTAGATGTTTTAGGTTTTTTCAAAATTAGTAAATGTATCACTTTTGTTTAGATGTAGACGAATAAACTAATAAGCATTCAAAAAATTTTGTCTCGATTTTCTGAACATTTAACTGGTTTAATAGCCAAATGATTTATTCACCCAACCTTTGTTTTAACGTTTTAAAATAATTTTTGATTTTTTTTCTTATCTTTTCAGATGACTTCAATTTATGAAAAAATATCGTACATGAGATCCAACCCTAAAAAACTGAATGATTATTTCAATAAATTCATGATAAATCGTTGGAAAATAAATCAAAAAATGTCACGTCCTGCTCCAGCCTCTGTTAAGGAATTTTTATTGAAAAAGAGTAACACTTACGAAGCAATGCTGGAATATTTGAAAGTTCGATGTGAGGCCAGTCGTAACATTGATGGTAAAAAGGTCACTGGTCTTCTTGTTTCAGCTGCTCGTTTATTCGAAATCTTCATTACGCATTACAACGAGTCAAATATGGATGAACCATTTGAAGATTTCAAATTCATTGTTGATGATTTTAATGCCTTGTGTTCGGATATCAAGATTGTCCCGATTAAAAAAGAATAAATGTATGAATTTTGAAGTATTATGCATAGTCTTAGTTAAGAATATTTCTTGTCGAAAAATTTATTGTTATCATAACACAAATAGAGTTTTACAATAAATGTCATATAAGATGTAGATATTATTAATATTTTAAAATCTAATGTTATTTTTTTTTAATTAATCAAAGTTATTGTCTAAATCTATTTTTATATATTTAGTTTAAATCAGAACAAACTAATTTATCCTTCGAAACTATCCAAAATTTTAATTTATTCCAGTTGAACCAAATCCTGCGGTTCCTCTTCCAGTTTTCAGCAAAAATAGATCACAAGAAGAAAGCTCATAAGCATTATATACTTCGCAAAATGTGACTCTAGCTATCCTCTCACCAGCACTTATCAAAACAGGCGTCTTAGTCGTGTTAGTCAGATGTAATTTCAGCTCTTTGAATAAACTATTTTCCACAACATTTTCTGACGTATCAATTCCATCAATTGTAAACGATCGTCTTCCTGTGATAAATCCATAAGCATTTGGTCTAAAGTCAAAGCTTATTCCAGTCCAAACTATAGTACGAATTGAAGGTTCTAAAATTATATCTTTTGGTGCGAAAAGATTATAAGAAGCAGCGTTTTTACTAGCCAACTCAGGTAGCTTAATGTATCTAGCCTTTCGTGATACCAAGATGCTTTTTTCGTCGGTATCATTTTCGAGTTCAATAGGGAAAATGGTGTTGAGTTCGTCATAGCTTTTGTCGTATTCTTTCAATCCCAGACACGGCCATATTTTACAAAATATAATTTGCGCAAAACGATCTGCTAACTTAATTGTAAAAGGCAAAGCAGAGTTATTAATAATCAAGACTTTAATAATACCTTGATAATCCGAATCGATTATACCAGCACCAACGTCGATCCCTAGTATGGCTAAGTTCGATCGTGCAGCTAAACGTCCAAAATAGTCTAAATTCGTGGTGAAATCAATGCCAATGTCTGTTGAAACTAAACGTCTTTGTCCAGGTGGAATCGTCATACACTCAGCAGAGAAAAGATCGAATCCAGCTGCTCCATAACTTCCTTTTTGCGGTAAAATGGCCAAGGAACTGAACTTTATGTAACGTATAGGACTTTTTTCACACTTTAAATTTTGACTAGAAGATGAAGGTGGAGAAGAAAGAAACATTTTCGGTTCAACTGATTGTAATAAGAATTTTAATAACAGTGATTTAAAAACCTTTTTGAATCATTCTTTTATACCTCCCTGATCTTGATATTTTTTTATTTTTTCTACCGAAGATAAAATGACTGACAGATAATCTCTATTTTTTAATTTAAATTCTTGAGTTATAAAACATTTATTTCCTTTTTTTGATTTTCCTTATTCTTTATCTTATTTTTTTAATCCTATTTTTTACTTCATTTTATTACCTTATTTTTCCTCATTATATTACCTTATTTTTCCATCATTTTATTACCTTATTTTTCCTCATTATATTACCTTATTTTTTCCATCATTTTATTATCTTATTTTTCCTCATTTTATTACCTTATTTTTATTTCATTTTATACCTTATTTTTACCTCATTTCATTACCTTATTTAATATTTAATTTTCTTTTCTTTATTTCATTTCCTTATTTAGAACCATTTATTTAATTTCCTTATTCCATTTACTATTTTATTCACATTATTATTTTATTTCCCTTACTTTATTTCCTTATGTCTATTCGAATTTTATTGCTCTATTTTACCTTGAAAATAATCTTCCATCTTCCAGAATTTTTTCGCAATTAAACTTTATCACTTAGTGAGACGATCAAAAAGTATAAAAGCAAAGACATCTTATGAACAGTTTCATTCTAACTTTTCATTCGAATGAATGTATTAACCAGATGAGTTCTCATTGCAGTTAATAATCATTGAAGAAAAGATAAATAATATATCCATTTTAATATACATATAGATATATATATGTATATATATATATATATATATTAAAATGGATATATTTACTAAAAGATGTAAGTTTTGTCGCAAAATTTACAAAAAAGCTAGTAACTTATTATTTCATGAACAAATATGTAAAAGCCAGCAAACATTCGATCGTATAAATTTGAACTTTGATTTACCATCAAGTTATGTATTACAGAAACATGCTTTCAATAAAACGTTGAATGTTTTTATGAAAAAAGTTGAGAAAAAGTCATTTGATATTGAAACAATTCTCCAAAAAGAAGAAAGAAACATTAAATTGATTTTTGAGCAATGTTTAATACAATTTAAAGCTATCAAAGCTCAAATTGGTTTATTGTGTTGTTTTTACAGATTAGAAAACAATGAAACTGTTTGGATAGAATCCATGTTTAATTCAAGCTTGAAACCTCTGACAACAATTAAATTATTTAATGATTTTATTGACACAAGTTCAATGGAAATTTTAATTGACTTTGATTCCTTTACAAATAAAGGCAGTGGATGGAATTTGCTTTCGGTAAAATGATTGAGTTGAGGATTGGTAAATATCAACCATTACAGGAGGATGTTCACAACAGAAGCTTCCTCAATCTTTTATAGCAAAACGTTGTTTCTTACAACTAGATGTTAAAAAGATTGTTTTATGTGGAGTGTTCTTGCTTGTTTACACCCCGTGAAGAAAATGGAAACAGAATTAAAATTATACCCTATATGTTTCCAAATATGACTTCACTGGGTTTCGAAACTTCGTAAGTTTGCAAAAGTCAAATATTTTGAACGCAAAAATGATGTAACAGTTAATATTTACACATTAACATATGACTGGGGCAAGACAATCCCGATACCTCTATATGTTAGTAATATAACACGTTCAAAAAAAGTACATTTATTGTTATTCAATGAACATTATTATCCAATAAGAAATTTCAACCGGTTTATAGGTGAAAAAAACTCACGATATCATCATTTCTGTGATAGTTGTTTGAATGGATTTCCATCATCACTAAGTTTACTAAAACATGAACAAACTTGTTATCAATTCAAATCTCAAAGAATATTATTACCTGAAATAGGAAGCAAACTGAAATTTGACTCTTTTGATAAGCAATCATTTTTTCCTTATGTCATATATGCAGATTTTGAAACTCTTTGTTGTCCTAAAAATTCAGATTTGAATCGACAAACTTTTGAATATCAAGAACATAAGCCTTCAGGCTTTGGTTATGTTATAGTAAATTATAAAAATGAAATAACAAACTATCGATCTTATCGAGGAGAAAAGTGCGGATATCATTTCTTGAAGACATTAATCAGTGATGTTAAGACGTTATTAAGTTTAATTGCTGAAAGAGAAAGAGATTTCTATATGAGTGAAGAAGATACTAAAAACTTTGAAATTACCGATGTTTGTCATATTTGCAACAAAGAAATAATTAAAGGAGAAGTTAAAGTAAGGGATCATGATCATTTTACTGGAAAGTATAGAGGGGCAGCTCATTCTCCATGTAATCTGAAGATGGCTACCCCAAATTACATACCAGTAGTATTTCACAACTTGAAAAACTTTGATTCACACATAATCTTAAAAGCAATAGAGAAAGAAATGTTTACTAAAGTTAAGATTATTCCACAAAATATGGAAAAGTATATATCATTCAAACTTGATAATATTTGTTTTCTTGATAGTTATGCTTTTCTTGCTAGTTCTCTAGATGAGCTTGCAGGATACTTGAATGATGATTTAAAAAATTCATATCTTTTACAATTATTCAACGTCAAAGATCTAAATTTTGTCTGCAAGAAAGCTCGATTACCGTATGACTATTTAGACAGCTTTGATCGATTCAATGAAACATCACTACCACCTATATCAGCGTTTTATAATAAGTTAAAATTCGAAAATCTCGATCCAAAAATTTATCAAAATATGTGTGATCTTTGGCAACATTTTGATGTAGTTAACATCGGACAATTTCAAGACATTTATCAGAAAATCGATGTAGTTCTATTAGCAGCTGTTTTTGAAAATTTCAGATCAATCAGTGTAAACCAATTTCAGTTAGATCCATTACATTTTTTTTCTTCGCCTGGTCTTACTTGGTCAGCTGCTTTAAAAAAGACAGATGTCGAAATTGATTTACTAACAGATTTAGACATGATAATGATGTTTGAAAAGGGTATTCGAGGAGGTATTTCTTCAGCAATGACCAGATTTACTAAAGCGAATATACCAAATTATCCTGATTATGATAAATCACAAGAAAATAGTTATATTACATACCTAGATGTTAACAATTTATACGGTTTCGCATTGCAACAGAGTATGCCTTATTCAGATTTTCGTTTTGTTAAAGAAGAAAATTTTAAACATTATTATCATAGATTCGTCACAGAGACTATAACCCATGAAAGTGAGGAAGGAACAGTTTTTGAAGTTGATATAACATATCCATCATTTCTACACGATGATCATAATGACTACCCGCTCGCTCCCGACAAAACAAAAATTGACGATAATTTGTTGAGTGAAACTCAACATGAAATTTTAATTTCAACCGGTAGGAAACGAACAGTATGTGAAAAGTTGATTCCATCTTTTCTAAAAAAGTCCAAATATGTTGTACACTATAAAAATTTAAATTATTATGTTAAAAAAGGTTTAGTAGTTACAAAGATTCACCGAATCATTTGTTTCAAACAAAAACCCTGGCTTAAAGATTATATTGTTCTTTGTACAAAAATGAGAATGCAATGTTCTTCTCCTTTTGAAAAAAACTTTTGGAAACTCATGGTTAATGCAATATACGGAAAATCTATTGAAGATGTCAGAAAACATTCAGATGTTCGTTTAGAACTTAATAAAAATGGTGTTATGAAACAACTACGCCGTCCTATGTGCCAACGTTTCTACATTCTTGATGAAAATAAAGCCCTTTTCAAGCTACATAGAACAAAATGCTTGTTGAATAAACCAATATACATAGGTTTTTCGGTCTTAGATTTTTCTAAGCTCCATATGTATCAACTTCACTATGATATATTCAAACCAAAATATCGTGATAAAATATCTCTTTTATACACCGATACCGATAGTTTCATATATCATATAAAAACCGACAATGTTCATGTTGATTTTATGGATTTAAAATGCATATTCGACTTTTGTGACTATCCAAAAAATCATATTTCCAATTTATACAATGAATGTAATAAAAAAAAACTCGGATATCTAAAAGACGAAATGAATGGTAAACATATTCTAGAGTTTATTGCACTTAAGCCTAAAGTATATGGAATTATTTCAGAAGACAATATCAAAAAAACAGCCAAAGGGGTACAGAGGAGTGTGTTAAAAGACAAAATCACTCTTGATGATTATAAAGAATCACTTTTTGATCATAAACTATTCTTCTTCGACATGCGATACATTCGTAGTCAACAACATGATATATCATCTATTCAAAGCAACAAACTAGCCTTGAATCCCTTCGATGATAAACGTTATTTGAAACCAGATGGCGTTACAACATATGCATTTGGACATCATGCAATTCACCGTGAATCCAATAAATGACGGTAAAAACTAGGTAAGTGATCATAACCATGAACGGTCTTATTTCAGCAACATTATTAATAATAACTTTAATCATAATAATAATTTATTCTACTTATTCACCTTATTTTCTAACTTATAATGCAACAAATTTATCCATCTCTTAAAATAGTAAATATCGCCTCTGTTTGGAATCTGCATCATCCTGTTAAAATTGAGGGAAAATCCGGTAAAAAAAAAAAATTTAATGCTGATATCATAAGAGATGGTAAAAAGAGACTTCTTGTTTTCGGATCTGGAAAAATTATTGCGACAGGATTTAAAACTATCAGGGACGCGGGAACCTTTATCAACAATATCTACCCAGAAGCAATATTTGAAAAAATATCAGGATCTTGTGCGGTTATAAAATTTGATAAAATAATAAAAGCTTCAGAAATATTCAAAAGTGATCTGAAAGTTTCATATGAGCCTGAGTTATTTCCTGCTATAATGTGGAAAGAAAATGGTACAGCATTCAATTATTTCCATAAAGGCTCTTTAGTAATAACTGGAGCGAAAAGTTATTCACAGCTAAATAAATCATTAGATCTTTTTTGTAAACGTTTTTGCTTTGAAAAAGAAAAAGCGCTAGAAAATACAACTGTATAAGAAAAAAAATTAAAAATTAATAAAAGTATTTTAAACAAACTAAAATGAAATTATATGATATTTATTTGAAACACCCTTTTACAATGATTATTGCTGGTCCGTCAGGATCTGGTAAAACGTTATGGGTAAAGAAATTTCTTGAAAATGTTTCTCGATTTTCATATCCTATGCCTGCGGAATAACTTATTTTTATAGTGAATATCAGGAAATATTTAATCATCTTAATAATGTTAATTTCATTTCTGGATTATCTGAAAACATATTAACAAGTTTAGATGGTGCTCAGCCAGAGTTGTTTATAATAGATGACTTAATGAATGAATCTTCAAATTCAAAAATTGTCTCTGAATTATTCACAAAAAAAAGTCATCATAAAAACTGTTCAGTGATTCTTATTGTACAAAACTTTTTTGTTAAAGGGTCTGAAAGCCGCAATATTTCATTAAATTGTAATTATTTTGTTTTATTCAAAAACCCCAGAGATAGATCGATTGCAACTAACATTGCAAGACAAATGTTTCCTTCCGCAATACGGAAATTTCGAAACATCTTTGAAGATGCAACTTTAAAGCCTTATTCTTATCTTTTCATTGATACTAAAACACAAACACCAGATGAAGTTCGCTTGCTCACTGATGTTCTTGGTGAGAAAAAATTTGTTACTGCTTATCAAATATAGATTATATAAGATTTAATCTTAAAATCATTTATTATATCATTTGAAAATGACTGTTCAAAGTGCGATTTCTTTTTACCCTGTGCTTAAAAAATTAAGTAAAGTAAAGACTGATAAGAAGAGAAAACAAATACTAGATAAATGTCCGTGTAAAATATATTCAACAATAAGTGATATTAGTAAAAATATCTTGAAAGGAAACATTCCCCTCAAAGCGAATCAGAAAAGAAGACTTAAACCATATAAGAAAGTTCTTAGAAAATTAGGAAAAAGTTCTTCTTTAAAAAATAAAAAAAAGATAATCATACAACATGGTGGTGCTCTTCCAGCTCTTTTAATTCCTGCAATATCGCTTCTTGCTGATATTGTAGCACGTAAATTTATAAAATGAACACTTTGACTAAAATGGTTCTTATTTCAGAACGAGAATATAATAAAAAATGTCTACCAGATAATGCATCAGACATAAAACCAATATTAAATGCGAATTTAGCTGACGAAATGAAAGTTAGATTGATAAATCAAATTGTTCATAGATCATTAGAGAATCGTGAAAAGAAACTTGAACAAGATGGAGAAATCAGAGATCAAATAAGCGATTTCATCAAAACCATGATATTCAACATAAGTTACCAAATCAATATCTTAAAAAACCTGTAGTTTATGAAGATGAAAATGATAATTTTAATGAAAGTATTACATCACCAGTTAAAAGTTTTAAACCAGTAGCCACATCAACACCATCGGTCAGACAACAAGATTTTGATGTATCAGATGATAAGTATGAGAGTATTTTACCATCAACATCGACACAATACGATTCGACAGAAAATACGCTGTTAAATAAAACCTCACTAAATTTAGCTGAAATCGAAGAAGCTATAAGAAAGATACCAGGTCTGGTTCAGGACGATAACATACTTAGAAACGATGGAACGCCTATGCATAACTCTAAGTTGAGTAAAGTTTTACCTTTCCTATTTATGTTTAAAAAATCTGATTTGACTAAAATTCCAACACCTCGTGGAGTGCTACGAGTTCTAGATGCACTGCAATCATATCCTGATTTAATGAAAAAGATTGATAATAGCAGTTACCTTGCAAAAAAGAATTTACAAAGTAATATTCAACAAACATGGAAAGGACTCTCAAAAATATCTACTTCACAGTAAAAAATCCTGGCTCATTAGGAGGTATTAATAGACTCTACAGAGAAGCGAAAAAATAAATCCTGACATTTCATTTGAGACTGTAAAATCTTGGTTAAAAACAAAACGCATATAATCTGTTCAAGGAAGTAAGAAAACCGTACCCTAGACTACCAATTATCGTAACAAATATTGATGAACAATGGCAAATCGATTTAATGGATATGTCATGGATATCAAGAGAAAATAGTGGTTTCAAATACATTCTAAATGTTATCGATTGTTTCAGTCGTTTTGTTTGGGCCAGAGCTTTGAAAACAAAAAAATCAACTGATATCATCAAAGCATTTGAAGATATTTTATCCAAAGGGCGTGTACCTCAAAAAATTCAAAGTGATCAAGGGAAGGAGTTTAAAAATGAACCAGTTAAAAAATTCTTCAAAAGTTTTAACATAAATTTTTTTTACGCAACTGACGGTGAGATTAAATGCGCAATAGTTGAAAGATTTAACAGAACATTACGCAATAGATTATATAGATATTTATATTATCAAAATACGCATAGATATATAGATGTCCTTGAAAATATAATCGATGCATATAATCATTCCTACCACCGAATAATACAGATGACGCCATCTGAAGTCAATGAAAGTAATCGTTCAAATGTTTTAGCTAATATAAGAAAGTCTCATCCTAAATTCAAAGATAGAAGAAAACCCTATTCAATTGGTGATACAGTTCGCATATCTCGTGATAAAGAAAAATTTGAAAAAGGTGCTACAAGTACATTTACTGAAGAAATATTCAAAGTTGTAAAAGTGAAAAAATCTCCACAAGGATATATTTATCGACTTTCTGACTACGAAGGTGAACCGATAACATCAATTTTTTATCATTCTCAGTTATTACATGCTAACGAGCCTGATCTATTACAAGTTAAAGTATTAAAGACGAGGATAAACTCTAAAACTAAGAAAAAAGAATATTTTGTGAAGTGGATTGGATACCCTGATAAATTTAACAGCTGGGTTAAAGATGTGGAATCAATCTGAAGAACATTTTGTAGAAGTGGTTTCTAATGATTCACTGGACCATTTTCCAGAAAATACCCTTAGTAAATTCTCGAATAAACTACCATATTCATTGAAGTTAGATGGTGACTGGGTAGTTGGGGTACAAGAAATATTTTATCCTGTTGATGTTAGACCATCGTCATTTAAACTAGAAGTTCAACTGCTATCTAACAATTCTGTTACTGGAAAAATGATAACCGATATCGATTTAGAGGAAACAGACGATACACATAAAATTATCGAGAAAATAAATAGAGCTCTCCTCGATTTATATAACGATAATACAAGCAATAAACGAAGTAAAAGATCAGTTGAGCAAACTCTTGATAATAAACAGATTGGTGATAATAAATCCAATGTAAACGAGCCTAATGAAAAAAGTAACTCAGAAACGAATTCTGAAAATTTGCAAAATCAATCTTCTGTTAATACATTTGAAACTATTTGGTCACCTGAAACTCAACCAAATGTAGATATTAACACCTTCGTAGCTGAATGGGATGCTAAAAAACTTAGAGAATTGTCAGACAACGAAAGAAGAAATATTTTCAAAACTTTGAGAGAAAAATTCAAAGATAAAATCGATTTACAAAGTTTATACAATGAAATGGACAAGTATGAAAAACAGACTATTGAACAACAACAGCAAATCGATAAATTACAAGCATCACTCAAGCAATTTGTTCAACAAGTTCATGATTTACAAGATCAAATCGGGAAAAAAGCTTCATTCAATAATGAGAAAAATTCAGAAATCGAAAGTATCACAAGACTCAAAGACAATACCATTCAAACATTAAGAGGTCACATTCAACGTCATGAAGAAACTATCGAAAATATACGGAAAGAGATTAGATTAGAAAAGAACTCAATCACAATCTTAATATTCAAATAGCTAAACATGAAAGAGATATGGAATTTTCAGAAAACATATCAATGATTCAGAAGAAAGACAGAAAATATACTTAAGCTTGAGGAAAATAAGAGACAACACGAAGCGTTTTAGCAGAAACAATAAAAGAGAAAATGAAGAGAAAATACGAAGAAGAAATTGAAAATTTGAACAAACAAATAACTGAGCTTAAAAAAGTCCAGAATGAGAGTCAAAAAAACTATGAGATGGAAAATAATCAATCAATAGATGTAATATCTAGTAAGGTTGCTGAGCTCAACAAATGTAATGATAATATTACACTTTTAAATACTAAATTCAATACATTGATAGAGCAACGAGACAAAGAGATCAAAGAAATTAAAGCTTATAATTCTACAAGAAGAAAGAGATAATCTTAACAAAATGAATATTGCTAATAATGATACTTTGATCAATTAAAATTGAAAATAATGAACTGAAAGGAAAAAACCGAGTTGCTATTCGAGTTAGAGAATAAAACTAAAACATCGAACAAATTCTGAATGAAACAGAACGAGTTAAAAGATCTTTGGAAGAAGAAAATCTAGAGTTGAACAACAGGGAAGATTCTTTACTGCGATTATCCGAACTTATTATCAGTAAAAGTAAGGGTAAAATATTGAGAAACCCACTGATATAGAATCAGTTCCGGTATCTCCTATAATGATGGTAAATAATCATTTTCCAGGAGTGCATGAAGGAAATATATTTGTTCCTATTTTCCAGATATAAATTTCATTTCTGCTCTAGGATTTGATTCTAATTCGTATTTGCAAATGCTTCAATCTTTCAACAATGGAGCTAAATCCTTCACTGTGAATAATTGCAACCTTAATTTGCGTTCTCATTTAATGTTTATTCATTCAGACATTGTAGCTGAACATTTTGTTGAAATAAATCTGCACGTGTTCTGAGAGTTCTTCCATTAAAACGAGGTGATAAATCAGAAATTGTTCATGAGAGATTTCAGCCATTTTATTATCCACTAAGAACTAACCGTATCGATGATATAAATTTTTACTAACTGATGAGATGGGTAATCAAATAAAATTCGCATCAGGCCGAGTTCTTATTGGTTTACATTTGAAAAGAGTTTGAAACTATATAAGAAAAACTGTAATACTAATTAGCTATTGAAATGAAATAAAGATAAAATGCAAAGAAAAGTTTATTGTTCTTGTGATTCTAATTTCACCACTTTTATAAAACTCAAGCTGGTTCAGGGTTTTGATATCAGTGTCTATAGAGGTTTTCCATATCAAAGAGGTTATGGTATTGGTACTTTAATCAGAAGATTTGGAATACTGATTCTCAAAATGTTTGGTAAACATGCACTAAAAACTGGAGTAAATGTGGGACAAGATATCTTAGATAAGAAAAGAAATATCAAACAAGTTTTAATAGGGCTAAACAAGGTTTAAAGGAAGCTGCTAAAGAATCATTATCTAAAACATCTGATTATATAGAGCAAAAGGCTCTGGTGTTAAACGTAAAAACATATAAGAAAAGAAGTAAGAAAAGAAAAGTAAATAAAAAGATATTTTTGACTAATATGGAGTATCTACATCAATCATCAATGCCTGCAAGTAAAAGTGAACTTTCTATATTCGTTGTTCCGCCCACCCAAGTCGCCATTGATACATACTATGAAGTTGACTATAGACCAGCTGCTAGTTTAGAAAACGGAAAGACTTATGAGCTTAATATTCCTGCATCTGAAGATTTCACTGACTTAAGTGCTACAATGGTTCATATTAATTTGAATATTTTGAATGATAAAGGTCAAATAGTGGACAAAGAAAATACAGTTAAACTTGTGAATAACTTTGGTAACGCGCTATTTGAACAAGTTGATCTTATTCTAGGAACTGTCAATACTTCCTTAGCAAATAATATGTATCATTATCAAGCTTATCTTGAAAATTTATTATACCGTCATCCTTGTGAAGCCGAAAAAGGTGTTATCAATAGGAAACAAACGTTCAACCTAATAAAACTTATGAACTATACTTTAGATTAAATGCCTATGTGTACACAAGACAAACTTCTATTGAATGGTGTACCCATCATATTTAAGTTCACTAGAAGCACCTCAAGTTTTCCTTTAATTTCAATTACTGATACAAATTATTCTGTTAAAATTAACGCCTTTTCTCTGATATTGAGACGGGTTAAACTATATCCTGATGTCCAAGTTTCAATTGCGAAAACTTTAGAATCATTTGCTAAATATTTTGTAACTAGATCTGATACAAAAGGATTAACAATTTCCAAAGGAGTTTCTAATGTAACAATTGAGAATATTTTCATTGACAATTACCAAAACGGATCATCATTGGATTCGTCGATGATAAAAGTTTGAGTGGTGATATTCAAAAAGATCCTTGGAAATTTGACCATTTCAATATTAATCATATCTGTTTAAATATTGATGGTGTATTATATCCAAGTATCCCATATACACCTAATTTTGAACAAGATAATGCGGTCAGAGAATTCGTTGATCTATACCGTGTTCTTGGTCAAGATGATGGAGTTCCTCAAATGAAATTAGACTATGAAAAATATTTGAAAAGTACTGTTCTATTTGCTTTCGATATAGGTGGTGACTTAGGAGCAGAGACTGGTGTATTATCTTTAATTAAAAGAGGAAAGGTTAGATTAGAAATAAGATTTTCTAAAACATTAGATAAGTCTGTCAAAGCCATTATTTTTGGACAATATGATAATCTAATAACGATAGACAAAGATAGACAAGTAACAATAGATTACTAAAATGCTTACGAGCATAGATATTAACAATGCTTTGAAAAAATATAAATGGTTTGGTGGTGTTTACCCAATTGATCGTTTACCACATCTTACCATAAAACCTAAAGCTTATGTAATAAACTTAGATGAAAGCTATAAAGAAGGATCACATTGGGTTGCTGTACATTTCAATAACTATGGTCGTGCTTTATATTTTGATTCATTTGGACGTCAGCCTGATGGTTTGATTTTGACATTTATAGAACGTAATGCACCAAATGGATACAGCCATTCATCCATGAAATATCAAGGAAATGATTCTACAGCGTGTATATTTTTGTGTCTTATTCGTAATCTTGGTTAATAGAATTAGAAAATTTTTTCATTGTTTAAAATTTGTAAACATTCAATGAATGAAAAATATTGAAAAATATTTTGACTAAAATTTTAATGAAGATGATTATTAAAATGTATAACCAATTTTAAATGAATAAAGATACTGTTGAGCTTTGGCTCATGAAATGAGCCAAAGCCAGCAGTTTATTACTACTCTCCTAATATAATTTATTGGGAAATTTTGATTATCTTTTTTTTGTAAAATTTTCCACTTCAGGTAAACAATTTATCGAATTAATTTTTTGACTCATAAATGATTAATCGAAATGATGAAATTGAATTAATTTAATTTCCTTTGGAACAATTAGATTAATTAAGTTAATAATTAAGTTTAAACTGTTAATTAGTTTTATAAATGAAACGTTTTTTTATTAATTGTTATAATACTTTCTTGCCAATTGTATTCAGTTAATTGTGTAAGTGTGAAGGTAACAAAAATTTAATTTATGATTGTGTTAATTGTTAGTTAATCATTTGCTTTGTGCTAAGTGCTCAATATAATATATATTCATAATTACAGGTTGTACATTTGTGATTAGTTAATTTAGTTACAATTAAATTTCAATTTAAGGGAAACAATCAACAAATCATATGTTAATCATGATTAATAATCATTTGTTTTCAATAAAATTTACAATCAATAAAACTAATAATTGATGTTGCTGATTGATGAATGATCAACAATTAATGGAAACAAATTAAGAATCAATTTAATTAGATTAAATTTCACTTAATCTGTTGAACAATTAGTTGGATTAAATCGTAACAATTTAGTTGATTTTTTTTTGTTGTTTGTTGTTCAATTTCTTGTTTATCCAGTGATGGTAACAAATCAAGAGACAATTAAAATTGCCTCGAGCAATTAAACTAAATTAAATGATTGAATAGAAAACAAAAAAACAATAAATTATTCAGTAAACATTGAAAAATTTATCGCCTTAGGCTGTTACCTAATTGTTATCATAATCAATGCATACGATTAATTTAATTGTAACAATAAAAATGGTGGTTTGATTGTCTTTGGGTAACAATTAAATTAATTATTTCACAGGTTTAACCAATGTTTTGTTTTGTTTTTAATAACAATCAAAGTTAATCACAATTAATGCACAAATATTTTTCAATTCCAACAATCAATCAAATTGTGTTGGTTAAAGGGCTTAATTTTTTTTCCATTGTTTAATTAGTGATTTAATTTAATCAACAGCATTTTAAATTGTGATTGTAAGAAAATAAACTTAATAACATATCATAATTATCATTAATCAAAGTTTCTTGTTGTTGTAAGTGTTTAGTTAATTGTTATAATCCAAATGATAATCAACATTATCAATTAAAAGTTTGTACACTTTGGTTTTTTTTTAATTGTTATTATTTGAATTTTTAATTGGCAGTTTGATTTGTTAATTGTAACGATGATAAAAACTGCCAAGAGTTGATTGATTTTTGTTGTTTCTCTGGTTTCTGATTAATTAAATGATAAATAATGTAAACAAATTGTTCATCTAAATTGTTACCAATATGAATATCAGTTAAATAAATTGTTGTCATCGAGATTGTTTCAATTTAACCCTCAGGCTAAATTCAATGCTCAACAATAACAACAACAATTTGACAATTAATTGTTGACATTATCTATCATTTTTTCATCTTGTTGTCTCATATTAGTTAAATTGTGATTGGTTAAATGTTTGCTAATTAATCAGCTTTGCTTTTAATTGCATATCACTTGGAGTAGGTGATTAGGTTAATTGTATATAAACAATTTACAATATTATCATGAAATCATCTTGATTATTATTATAATTGTTAATCATTTCATTTGATTTTTGTTTAAGTAAATTTTTTCAGCTCATTCAAAATATATTAATATCTTTGTGTATGTGTGTATATATTAGATATTGGAGTAATTAACAATAATAAATTAATTGTTCAGTGTTAATTTGTTTAGTGGATTCATTTGATTAATACTTTTTCAGTTTGACTTTTTGTTTTTCTCAATCAATAACATTATAAGTTATAGTATATTAATTTAGATTTGTACATAATTGCTCAACAATGTTAATGATTATCAGATGATTTCAAGATTAATAGTAAATTATTGATATAACAATTAACTGTTGGAAGATTAGTCTTGAGTTAAGAGTGTGATAATTAATCCTAATCAAGATTTGGTGAATTAACTTTCATCAAGTTTCAACTCTAAAACAATAAGTGAATTTAAAGTGTTAATAAATTGTGTGAATTATCATCATGATTAACAGGAGAAGAAGAAAAAATTAAAGGTGAGATGTGATAACAAATTTTATAACAGTGATGATTATGGTATAGATGATAAGTCATGAAGATGATGAAGATAAGAGATGATGAGAGAGAGAGAGAGAGATTCTGAATTGTTTAAATGAAACATTCCATTTTCGATGCTAACTTGGATTCTGTCTCCACGTTATCGTACATTTCGAGCTCATTTTCCATCTCTTTTGAAAGATCAATCAACTGTTTCTCATGGAGTTTTTTCAACTTCTCTTTTTCCTTATTCTGTCTCATGGCGGCACTTTTACGCTCTTCGATAAACTTTTTCGTATTGTTGGAATTTTTCTCCCTCAAGCGTCTTTCTCTTTCTGCTTTATTCCGAAGGGTTCGATCTTGAGCAACCTCTTTTGCCGTTTCAACGGAAACTTTGGCCTGACGTGTTTTCATCTCCTTGTTTTCTCGTTCAAATTTAACCTCCAATTGTTTCATCTGATTGGTTTGAGCAGCAACTAACAATTTCTCCAGGCAATCACCTAATTGTTTCCTATTTTCTTTCATCAATTCTAACTCTTCTTTACGATGTCTCTCAACCATCTCGGACCATTGTTTGGTTTGATCGATGACCATGTCTTTGATTACAGGGTCATTGGCTAGGTCATGATTATTTTTACCATTCTGTTTAACTATTTTATCCACAGCGGAACATTGAATCTTTTGGATACCCTGTTTTTCCTTGTGATGCTTTTTGCGTAAACTTTCAATCATCTTATCTTGTTTCTTAACCATCTTCAGGTAAATCTTATCATTTCTCAGATTTTCCAATGATATTGGTTTCATTTGAAATTCTTCAGCTTTCTCTTTTTCCTCTCTCTTCTTGTCCGAAACGGTCACTGCTTGGGTTGTTTGAATGTCCGTCTCCTCGATGCCCATTGCCTTCATTTGGGCCATTCGTTTCTCTTGGGCTGAAAGGAAGGCTCGAGGATCGGACAAAGCATCCATTAGATCACCAAGTCCATCGGGAACATAAATTTTAAGCTCAATACAGATAAACAACATAGGCAAGGACATTGGAAAGTTACCTTCGGTTCGAAGTGATATATGACGATAACCCGCCTGCAGGCCATCCATGGGCAGTATCCGTTGACCTAACATTTTACCATTTTCATCATAAACACCTATTCGTATCACAGCAAGATCGGGTAGAACCACTTTACGGAAAACAAAAGGCTCCTCATTGTAGACCGGATTCAGACCATTATTTGGTACCATTCGAGTTCGAAACTCTTTTCGAATGGTATCTGTTGGTAGACCATACATATCAACCTCTACATAAGTTCCAACCTTTTTATCGGATAAAAATTGGCCCGAGATAACTCGAACTGAACACTGAGCGGCAATAACACCATCTACCGGAGATTCAGCGAAAGGATCAAAGGTACGATCTTTACGCCTCATGAAATCGGGTTTCAATAAGTAGCCACAGCCACCATTGTATTCAAATTTACCCTGATTCAATTGCATGGGAAGATCGGAAGTTTGAAAATTAAGGGCGACCATTTGACAGCCTGCGTTCCAAAAGATTTGAGGTAAATAATTGGATGAATCGGCACGGGTTCCCTTTGGATAGATTCGAGATAATTGTCGCTTATTATAGTTGACAAACTCAATGGCCTGAGATTTAAGATAACCCAGTGCAGCGGTTTCCGCGAAAGAGGACATATGATAATGGATATTTGATTCTTCGGCAGTTTCGAAGCCTTGAAATTTAATGGGCTGCGTGTAATTAACTAACGACGATAAATATGGATGGACATGGACTGTTGCTCCAGTGTATTGATAATTTTGTAGAGCTAATTGCTCGGAGGCACTTCTTTTTATCTAAATTAACCAATATATAATCCAAATATTACACAAAAGAAAAAGAAATTAATTAATTATCCAAAATGACAGAGATTACCAACAATTAATCAAAAGCATAAAAAAGGATAATATATTGTTACCATTAGTCTGGGGAAAAAAGTTCATCATTGAGACTTACATATTGAATTCTTATGCTAAAAGCTCAGGCTGATGGTGAAAGTTAATAGTTGAAGGGTAAAACATTAGAGAAAAATTCTGATTCAATTTAATCTGCAGATATAAAGTGATTACAATCAACTGAACTCGAAGAGTCGGTTTATTGATAAATGTTTATATTCATGAAATAATGAGGAAATTGTTGGAATTCAATTAATCATTAAAAATTAATCATCAAACAGTAATTTCAGGAAAGGAGAAGCAGAAAATATAAACAAAAGATTCAATTATTCATGATGATAATTGTAAATCGTAACATAAAATGTAAGCAGATGAAACAATTATACATCATGAGAACAATTGAAATTGTAATAGAATTTAATTACGATCAAAAGTCAACAACAAAAAAAAATAATCAACAATTTATTGATTAATTGTGAGAATTCAACAGCCAATAATAATGACCGTTTCTTGTAACGAAGAAAAGAAAATAGCATGAAATTCATGATGGAAAAAAACTTTATCGATTGATTTCAATTTATATAACAAATAGTTATCATCATTATCATCAATGATAATTGAATATTCATCAAGTTTCATCAGTTTTTCAACATTTCAATAATAATAATCAGCTTATAATAATATTAAACGTTAGCTGTTATCATGTTTATATTAACATGATAATGTATGGATATAATTTATAAACCAGAATTTTCTGATAAGATAACATAATAAATGGCAAGTATATTAATATATAGTAAAAAAGAAGCCTAATAAATTGTTGAGATGATGAAATACTATAACAGTAATCACAATAGTGATACGAATGATAATATTGAACAAATATCATCATCTTTCAGGGAGGGAAAAAGAAACCACTTCAAAAAATCAAATTGAATAAATCACATCGAGGGAGAGAGAGAGAGAGAGAGTGAAAGTGAGTATGAGATTGAGAGAGAGAGAGAGAGAGACAGGGAATGAGGCTAGAAAACTGGATTTACCTTTTAAACTTAGTGAGGATTTAACAAATTTACAGTTAAACCTGTAGAAAGACAGAGTATTAATATTAGAATAGCAACAAAATTTCCTCGACAATACTGATTTCATGGTGTGTCCTATGAACCATAAAACTACTCAGAGATACAGGGGGAAAAGCTGAACTTTTCAAAGTTCAAGAGACAACAACAAAAACAAAACCCAAAGGTGTGAAAAGAAACAACAAACTTACAAACATAATGGTAACATAAACTTACCATTAATGTAAAGGAAACTGGTAGAAAAAATCTACTAAGAGATAATTCAGTTCATTTCATTCAGATAATGATGGTTACATGGAAATTTCAATTGCTAATGAATATCTAGGATGAAAAAGGAGGTATTATTATTTTCTCAAACCATAGACATTGATAAACATAAATGAAGTGGAAGTGGAGCTTTTTTTAATTTGATAATATTCTCATTGTTCATATTCTCCAATCATAATGAGAGTTTATAATCAACAGAGAAAGTCCATGAAATTAATCAGGAAAACTGATTTTTTTTCTTTCTCATCCCTTTCATTGGAATCAGGAGATTTCTCCCTTTCTCTAACCTTCCATAATCTTCCACCTTCCTCCTTCATTTTACTCCTACGATTTTCATAATGATGATGATAATATAATTAATAATTAACAACATTATGCTCTTACTTGCAATTTATATTACAAGATAACATAATCTGAATGGTGAATATAATGAAATAAAATGGTAAAAGAAGATGGAGAAACAATTGGATGAGGAGAAAAAAGTGCATCCAGAAAAGGTTAAAATTATCATATTATCGTCATGATTACTATGAAAATCACCGAGAGAAAGTTAATATACATAAACACACCGAAAAATTATTGTTGACACGAAACAGAGGAAGACAATGAATTCAGGGAGTAAGAGTCAAGTTAATAAACAATGTTTGATTGTTGATGGTTACAATAGTTGAAAATCATCATCATGTTCATGAAGAAGATGATAAATGAATAAATACATGAAGTGATTTCATCTATTGTAGTTCAGTAGTGAAAAAAGTATTGTATTTGTTATATGAGAGGAGGATGAAGAAAGAAAGAGAGAGAGAGAGAGAGAGAGGAGTGGGAGGGAAAATGATCAAAAATTAACAAGATTAACTATTCATTATTCAATTGATCGATTGATGATTCAGTTTTTTCATATTCTCTCTTCAAGAAAGAAACCTTTTTATATACCAGGAATGATGAACTAGTTTGTTGCCAAGCTCAAGATTCTGATATTCAGAATCTTTACAAAGCTAAATGAAGCGACTAAGAAGGTAACAATATTGGAAGTTAAATATCATTATGGTTTCGAGGATGATGGTTGAAGATAAAGAAAATAAGATGAAAGAAACTCACCTAAATCCACTTCACTTGGAACTGCATTTGGATCTTCTTGTTCATCGTCATCATCAGCTTGTAATTGACCTTTTTTCCATAATTCAAGTTCAACTAAAGAAGACGATAATATAAAAAAAATGATATAAAAACATTAATAAACGAGGAAAAAGAGATGATGATCATTTAGATGTAATATTATCATCTAAAGAAATCAACTCATCTATTAGATATAATAGAATAAATGGAGGAAAAGAAAAAAAAGAAAAAAAGAAAGTAGCTAAAACAGGAAGTAATCAGAGTGTAAACTTCTGAGACCGGAAACAGAATTGATAAAAACAGATAACTTACTTTTTTCCATCTCTGGTTTAAGTCGCTTATTTTTTATTAAAATTTTCCTCTTAAGATCATTGGGAGTCGGTAAAGGAACAGTATTGTCAAGCTGGAGGAAAGTATCAAGTACAATTGAGAATAGATAAATGTTGATATGAGATGATCATAATTGTTGTTGACAAAATTCATGGTGGAAAAATCATGAAAAAAGAGATAAAAGAAATAAAGAGAAAGAACAAAGTAAATTAATTATATCAACCATTGGATTATGTTTGTTTTATCCTTAATTGTTCATCATCATGTTATTTATTTAATTTAATTCATCACATTTTCCTCTTCAACATTCAACTAATTATCTTATTAATAATGTTAAAGAATAATAAAAAAAAACTCACAGGATAAGACGGTAAAGGCTCTTTAAGAAGGAGATCGCCCAGAATTTCATCACAGTATTTGGCTAATTTGTATTGTTGCTTTTTTCTGTAAACATCATGGATGAAAGAGATAGAGAGAGAGAGAGAGAAAAAAATATACAGAATCAGAATTAATTCTGTTAACCAAGTGATTTATTGACAACCTAATAGTTTATCCAATAAATTCAGTTCATATTAATTTGCAGAATTTGAATGTAATACTTACGAACAGTGGTTCTCAAAGGAAAGTATAATAGGATATTCAGATGTAACGAAAGCAGTGTCACGAATGGCATATATCACATCCTATTAGAAGATAAAAGAAGATTATTAAGTAAAAAGAGAACACAATTTAGGAAGATAAGGATAATAAGGTACAGTAGAAAAGGTTTGATTGATAAAGAAAAACAAACTCGAAATTAAACAACTGAAGCCTTTAATTAAGATGGATTAATTAAGCATTTTTTAAGCACTCGATTCTCCTTCAAGCTAAATACCATGATAGCATGTTGAAGGATGTGGAGGAGGAGGTGGTGATGGGAGAGAGAGAGAGAGGTAAAGGATGAAGAGAGTTTATTATAACAGATCTGATGATCCTGATAATTCTGTTAATGTTTCAAATAAAGTAAAAGGAGACAGGGAAAAGGATCAGAGTCATGGATCAGTTTATCCGTTTTTTCCTAATGTAAACAAAATTTGATAGGAAACAGAGAAGAAGATAAGTTTGAGAGAGAGAGAGAGAGAGAGAGAGAGAGAGAGAGAGAGAGAGAGAGAGCTTGAAAGAAGAAGCAAAAATAGAATAAAAAAGAAAGTTATCTGAGAAAAGATGGTTCAATGAAGAATCAAATGAACGATGAAAATGGAATCAAATTCAGAAGCGATCATCAAAATTCTATCAGAAACTGACTGAATCATATTAAATTCTCATTGTGTTATTATTACCATTAGAATGGAAAGTAACGGTAATATTATAAAGAGAAAAAAGACACTAGAAGAGACAGTAAACCAGAAAAAATGTCTCTTGGAGAATAGAAGCAAAAAAACAAGAGGAAACTTCATAACAATGGATTCGTAATGGTTTCGAAAACCAGAATCAAATGATAAGCATAAATTAATCGGTGATATGTATTCATTGACCATTATCATCAGGATCAAATCGAGAAAGCGAATTAAGTACACAATAATTATCCTATTGTTATCATGTAAAGCTACTTGTAATCATCATCATGGTTAACTATCATTTCGCTCATTGAAAAGTACAATTTTATGTAAATTCAATCATGTTAATTGAGAATCATCATTATTTCAAATTAAATGTATTCAGAACAAGTCTATGTAAATATTATCATTCTCATCCTTCATCCTTCATCCTCATCATTTTTGCTACTCTGTTATTGTGTTAACTCTTCATCACCATCATCATAAAATACGGTCACATCAAGTACATATCAACAATATAATAACAATAATAGTCAACAAATAAGCATCACAAACAAAATCAACATTAACAATGAAAATATCATGTAACATCAAGATAATCATAGTTATGTTACCAGAAAGGAAAATGTTTCAAAATCAGAATCAAAATCAAGAGTAAGAGAGAGAGAGAGAGAGAGAGAGAGAGAGAGAGAGAGATGATATTTTTAATGAGAATCAAGAAATATGAAATACAAAATAGAAAATATTTCATATGAATATAAAATATCATGAGGGGTGAAAAGCTCAATGGTGAAAACATGAAGACAAAATAAGAAAAGTTATAAAAATTAAAACTAAAAGAAAGAGATAAATGAAAAAAAAAGTTCTGAGTAATTCAAATTGAAACAGGGAAGAGATAGAAACCTACAGAATTATATGTAAACTTTAAATTTTAGATTCTCCCTGAAATGTTGATGAGCTATGGGAAATGCAGTATATTAAGTGTATTATATCAGAAGAATATAAGATATATAAATAATATCATGAGGAATGATAATCATGATAATAGAAAATAATCACGAAAGTAAAGAGGAAGATTGAGGATGAGAAATGAAGAGAAACCTCAAGATTAACTTTGTTTTCAGATTCTAAGATGAATTATCTGTTTTTTTACTTCTTGTCTTGGGTTAGGTTATCATGAAGTCTTATTTTTTTCAGTTTCATTCTTCATCACCATGGTTAATGTTAAATTGATGATGATAGAGATGAAAATAATAAGTAAAAAAAAAGATTAATGTCTAAATAGGAAAGAGATTAACATCATTATAATCACAGCGACAGTTATCATAATAAATGTTTAGTTACAATTATCATTATTAGGATAATCTATTGATTAAATTCATGATAAATTAATGGCTCAAATCACTGTAGTAATTATGAATGCTAGTGATAATCATTAAGGATAACGATACGTTAGAGGAAAATTAGGAAATCACCTTTATTTTTTTGTTTCTTCTTGTAAAAGCGATTAACATTACAACTTAAATCTACTGAGTAATGATTAAGTTAATTGTTTTAGGATTGAGTTTACCTGAGTGATTAACATTTTACAATGAATCAGAACTTGATTCACATTGGTTAATAGTGTAACTATTAAACGTTAATGATTGGAAAAGTTATCATGTTTGTTTACATTGATCAATAACCATCAATTGTATTGATCAAATTAATATGATTAAAAAAGATATAGATATCAGTGTATATAAATTTTTTCCCCTTTTTTGACAACATAAGTTAATGTCTAGTTAATCATTGTGATGGTGATGATAATCATCATCATCATCATTTACATCATTAATTTAATTTGGTTTGACAGGTAACTAAATTGACAAGGAAATAAGGTTAAATCATCATCAATTCATTGATTTAACATTTATCATTTAGTTTATTGTGATTAATCAAATCAACAAAGGTGATAATATAATATTAAATTATAACGTCCAAGTGATAAATTACTAATGATATAAATGTAGTGAAAATTGACTAAATGATTACAATTAACTAATAAATTGTCAAGATATACATATACATATACACAAGTTACCACCACAATTACTGATAAAATTTACTAATAATAGTATAACTTGAATGATTAGGATGATAGAGAATCAGAAAAAAAGTTGAAATAAAAGTTAATTGGTTCAGGCAAACAATAAATCAATCTAATAGTTAATTAGATTCAACTTGTGAAATTAAAATTAAATTAGATTAGCAGAGTAACTATGGAATCAAGTTGATTTTCCAACTTGCTAATTGAAAGATATTCACTTTCTCTCTACCGTCAAATTTACATTGATTTAGTGAAAAGTTAATTAGTTGATATAAACTATTAGAGAGAGAGAGAGAGAGAGAGAGAGAGAGAGAGAGAGAGAGAGAGAGAATTGAAATAATCAAGCAATATTTGAGAACATTAATCATAGAGAAAGTAATTAACTTTTCTAATACTTTAACTATTAATAAGACACAATGGATAGAAAAAAAATTAATAATAATTAAGATCTAATCTAATTGTATCAATAAATAAACAATCAAATATCAGTATTAAAAACTAAGTGACAATTAACTGTACATGTGATCATCAATGAGAAGCTGATTAGAGTAAAACAAAAGCAATAGATGAGTAAACAATTTAAAAAAGATAGTAAAAAAATAACAACAACACAAGAGTAATTAGAAACGATTCAATGATTAGATAGATTAGTTAATGAATGATGAGAGGGATACTGATAGTGAGAGAGAAGGTTAAATAAGTATTAACAATGTAATAACATTGATTAACACCATAATTGTCAACAAGAAATATTTAAAACAAGGGATAAAAAAACCCAACAAGTTATTGGAAAGAGAAATTGTCTTTTTGTTGTTGAGATAATTAAAATTAATCTATTGATTAGTTTGTTTGGCTCGGAAAATTATCATAAGGATGAGGATAAACTTGTTCATCTGTGATGATAAAATGATTCCGTTACTTACTTTAAAAAGGATATCTGTGCACATCGCTTTTCCGTGGGTAATTATTGGTTCTTGATCTTCACTTTTACCATCCCAACAATCGAGTTCGATACAACGGCAGCCCGCTAATAGAACCTGTCGGTACATTTCAACGGACGATTTACCACCAAATTGTCGACCGGTCAGGTATGTGTTATGAGATGAATTGATATAATAATGAGCAAGTGGTTGATCCATGTCCATGTAAAAATCTAAACGATCAAGGAAAACGGGAGCATTTTCATCGGACATTAAATAACGTATAAGGCCATCCTGGGATATTTTACCCTCCGACGAAAGGTTTGTATCGGGTTCGTAGGTTGATATAATTTCACGGGCACGTTTCTCATCGTATAGAGGGTAAAGTATTTCATTTAATCGTGGATCTCGTTGTTTATCGTTAAGAAAATCAACCAATTGACGGAAACTAATGTGTTCAGCTTTTCCTTGGGTTATTGAATTGAATAGTTCTTCGATATCGTTTCTTGGACATATTTTATGGTACAATTTGTAGAAACGGTCAAAGGTCCATTCACTTGGTTCGATAAAATCATTCTTTTCATGAGGTAATCCAACCTCTTTCATACATTGGTAAATATATTTTTCCGTTTTACCGGAGGCAAAGGTTTTGGATACCGATCGTACCGGTATCTTTGAGTTAACATCAACCAGAAAACCTAATTTCATCCAATGTTTTTGTAAACAGGTTCGAGGGCAAACATTATTGGCTTTATTGTTATTTGTAATTGAACGTAATCCTGATTTCCAGGTTGATGCTGTTTCTGGATCCGGTGTGACAACATGAGTATAATTGATGTTTACCATATCGGTTCCAGAGCAAATGGTTAAACTAACCTGGTCCAAATTGTATTGTGAGGAGACTCGAGAGGTCAACTCGGAATGGAGAGACGGATTTTTTGGAACCCCACCTTCCCTGATATCATTAACTTGGCACAATTCTAATGCTTGACCCTCTTTACCTTCTGATTTCCAGTAGATAAAAAATCCATACTCATCGACACGAAATAAGGCTCCAGTTTCAACAACTATTTCACCCTTTTCCTCTTCCCACATATCAAAATAACATCCACTGGTCAGGGCTTCAGGAACTGGTCTTGACCAGTCAAACTCCAAGGCTTTGGTCATTTGGTCAATAGAATAAAAATTTCTCTCTCACAAACAAAATAGAAAACAAGAACAAACCAGAAAGAAAGTAAAGAAAAATCCAGGGAAAGGAGAAAACACCAGAAGAGAAGAAGAAAAGGGTTAACACACACAGAGAGAGAGAGAGAAAGAAAAATAGAAGGAAGAAGAAAAAAAAGAGACAAGATGAGGTAAGAGTAGAATAGAAAAAAAATAAGGTAAAGGGAATAAAGGAAAGGGAAAGGGAAAGAAAACGAAGAAAACCCAACAGGAGAATAGAATTTGGATACAAAAAAAGAGAATAGAATATTGAAAAAGAGGGAATTTGTGTTTTAACCAGAAAACACACAGATGATGAACTGTTATTGTTGAGAATGTAACTGTTATTTGGATACAATGGATTCACTTTCCTCCTCCACTGGTGATGGTGGTTTATGGTTATATTGGTGTAATAGTTGTTCTTGGTAACCGTTAGTAAAGATGAAGAAAATAACAAATTAACAGAGAGAAAAAAGTAAAACACCAAAGAATGAATAATATTAATTACGATGATGATGATTAGGGTGATGGAGAAAAAGAGGTTAACTTGTCACAGGTAATAAAAAGGTAAAGGTTTTCATTTTTCTCTCTTTTCTCTTCTTCTTCTTCCAAATGGATTTTCTCACATCATCATCATGATCCTTCTCATGGTTTTCTTCTTTTCTAACTCGAGAGTATCTCACATCTCTTTTCTCTTCTGCTTCTTCTTCTCTTCTTCCTCCTCCTCCATTTCATTCCAATCGCTTTCAGCCTGCGCTTCTTAATCTTTTTTTCCTCTTCCATTATTTTCCTCTGTCTTTTCCTCTGTCTCCTTTTCTCGCCTTCTCTCTTTAATGTTTACTTTTATTCGAATATCCAAACTACGCCCCCATGCGATTAATCATAGAAATTGAGGGAAAGAGAGAAAAGAAAACAGAGACATGGTGACATCTTCTATCTCTCAATGTGACAATTTAACCTCTTGTTTATCTTAATCAATGATTTTCTTTTCTCTCCTAATTAATATTAATTTTTTCTTCTTTTTTCTTCCCAACTTTTAATTTCTTCCTCTAATCTTCAGTCATCACCATTTAATTTAATTCCGCATTCTACTTGAGAATTAGAATAATCTGACTTTTATTGTTCTTTTCTCTTTAAGACTTTTCCTTCTATTCCAGTGTCAACTAATATTCTAACAATTTTATTCTATTCTCTTCTACTTTTACTTCATTTTTCTCTTTGTAAATTTATGTCTTTTCATTGTCTTCTTCATTCATATCATCATAATCATCTCTCTCTCTCTCTCTCTCTTTTGTGTCTTCCCTTGGATTCTGATTAAGCCAATGTCAAGATATGATAACATTTTGTATACAAATGATGTGGTGATGAGATAAAATCTTTGCAACATCAAACAATTTTTCTACTTCAATGGTACAATGGTGAGTCTATGGCCAAAAAATGGTTTTAATTTCCACTCATGAAGCTTTTGGTTTATATTCATCATTGGAACACTAAAAACTTTTATCACCATAACCATCGTCATCACCATAAGTCTCATCATTGTCATAATCATGGTAATGATTATGTTAATTATTGTAATCATGTTGGTTAAACTGATAATTAAGACTTGGGTGATGACAAAAAAAAATGAGAGTAAAATTTTGGGTTTCAATTAACTGAAATCACTGATCGTCCTTGTAGTTACATGATATTAACCCCTTATGATATTATGGTGGTGAATTTAAGTGACATTTAGATGGATTCATGAGACACTAATCATAATGATATTACTATGTGATTATTTATAATATTAACAAATGATTTACTTCCTTTAAACATTTTCTTTTCTTTCTAATTTCAGGTTTGACTACATTATGGGTTATTTGATAGGCTTCACAAGAAGATAAATCATCATCATCATCATCTTTATCTTCATCGTCATCGTCATCGTAATTCTGATCATCATTAAGGTGACATTACCGGATTCCTTTTCAATACTTTAGAATCTCAATTTTCTTTAATTTTTTTTCTCATATTTTTTTCTTTCTTTTCCTCAATAGATTTTTTTTTCTCCCACTTCTTGGATAATAAACCTTGACTTCCGTTGGCAGAAAAAAAAACTCAATAACATGAACCAGGAAAAACTAGAGGAAAAAATTACAGAGAAAAAAGTAAACAAATCAGATCCAATTGCATGGTAATGGTTGACACATGTAATTAAAATTCTCTGTCAGGAAGATTCTTGGTGACTCTTGATTGTACCGAATTGGTGTCGGATTAGTTGAAGATTCAATTTCCATCATTTCAATTGAATTGTTAACAATCAATTTGATTTTGTTTTTATTTTCTTTGTTCTTTTTTTTTTCTTCAGTTTTTGAGTTTTCTCTTTCTCCAAGTCTTATTACAAATTGGATAATATTATTATTCTCTCACTGAGTTTATCATAATAATTATAATAATAATTGAATTTATGGATAAGTTCATTTTCATCACCATAAGTTTGTCAGAAGATTAAATTACTCAGCTCAACATGGATAATTATCAAGGATTAAATAATGTTTGTTCACCATCGTCAAAGTGATTGGGTTCTCATTGTGAGCTGATTATCACTTCTCCTTTTTTGCTTCCTTTTCTTTGCTGTTTTGTCTTAATCACAGCAAAGATGATAATGGTTACACCATAGAGATTGTCAATCATGATCAGATAATCATGTTGAAAAGACACGTTGGGTTGATAAGGAAGAGAAAGAGGGAGAGAGAGAGATAGATAGAGAGTGAGAGAGTGAGAAAGGCAACAAGACAAGGAAATGGAGCAAAAAAAAATAGAGTCAACACTGAATGTTGATGTTAATCTTGATATTACAACGAAATAGAGAAAAAGATGGTAAAAGATGATTAAGTTCCAAATTTTTTGTTCGAGAATCGAATTGGAAGTTTCTTCTTTATCATGCTTGGTGTTACTTCAATCAAAAGTAATTCCTGTTTATCGGCCATAAATTCAACTGCAGCCAAATGAGAATAGCGATCAGAAGTTGTCCACGAAGAACCATTGTAATGATACAATCGATCCTGATCATAGGCGATCAGCCCATTTGGATGAAAAGTTAATCCGATAAGTGGAACATGTTGACTTGATTCATTGTATGAATATTTGGTAAATTCAGCTGAAGAAATTGAGAAACTCATAATTAAATGGTTGGCAAATGCAAACCAAATGAGATCCTTTTGATATTGGTTAAATTTAAGGCAAGTTGGTTGTGATGATAATTTAAATCGATGTACCAACGACCAATCAGTTGTACTAATCAATGAGACTGAAAGATTTGCTAATACAACGACAATATGTTCATTAGAAGAGGCCACTTTTACTAATCGATGTTTATATTTAAACTCTTTCTCCAATGTGATTCCCGACACGGTTAATTGAAACATGTACAATTTAAGTCCAGTTGAAAGAAGAAGATATTTATCACCGATAAACTCAATTCCGGTAATTGTTTCACCGTTAAGGTCACAAAGAAGCGGAACTTTGGTCACAGAATCATTGGCACAATATAATATTCTAACTTTTTCCAATATCGAATAGCAAATCCATGGTCCAGAAAAATTTGATTGGTGAATTAAACGTTTCGATTGTATATTAATCAATTGGATGGACCTTCAACCAAAGGTACAACATTTGAATCTCCAAATGAAATTATTTCATTGCGATAATCATGGTAACTGTTGTTGTTATTGTTATTATGATTGGTGTTGTTGTTACCACGATTGTTATTGTCAATTGAGCTGATTGAAGTGTTTAATTGGGCAGTTGATGTTGATCCGGTTTCCCAAATTTGTAATGATTTACTGTACTGGAAAAGAAGACGATTCTTGTCAATTTTGATGAAATTGTTAAAAACTGGCGCTTGATGGATCTGTTTTTGTGGAAAAGCGCAAATTTGGGTCAAATAACAATCGAAACCACCAGAGATTAGCCAACCCTTACTAGCGACAAGAGATCGAACATCGTTACTGTGAATATGTAGAACCGTTGATTGGACTCCTTTACCATTAGAATCAAGAGTGAAAGTGACTACATTTGGATCGGTTCCTGATGAGTAAATGACTCTATGTGAATCACCCGATTTACCAGCTGATTGGGTTAAACAGAGAACATCAGCTTTATGGGAATTACTTTGATTAATTAGAAGAGCATTTTTACCATCCCAGAAAGAAGTGAATCCCTTTGAATCACCAGAGATAATTGTAAAATCATCGGCAATAGTTAAAGACCAGAAAATTGTATTCTCATTAGATGAACGGATAACATTTAAACAATTTCCATTCTCATAGTTCCAAATTTTAATTATCCCAATTGAACCAGAGATTAATTTCTTATCACCTTCCAAAGGTTCATACCAAGTGACACATAATATTCGAGCTTTATCTCGACTCATCGTTTTAACAAAATCGATTCCATATTTATCATGTTCAACTATTGCAACGTTAAAGATACAAATGTAACCCTCCTCGGTACCAACAGCGACAAGAGTTTTATCCTTATTAAATTGTAAACACCAACCAGCACCAGAGACCAGTGGATATCCTTGGTGAAGTACATTATTGACCAAATCAACCTGATGAATTTTACCATTTAATCCACAAGCCCATAATCGACCATCAAATGACCATCCCAACGATTCAATTGAACTTGGATCATCTTCATCTTCATGGATAACCTGACTTAAAGTTGCTCGATGGTCAATTGACCAATCCCATATTTCAATTAGAGAATAGGATATTAATGATTCTACATCAATTGTAGATTGTTTCAATTTAGCTGATGATGGTGTCGATGATGATGATGATGATGATGATGATGCTGGTGGTGGTTGTAACGTTGATGAAGAAGATGATTTAACATCTAATGGTAATGATCTTCTAAGAACAGCTAATTTATTTTCTTCTGGATTAAAGGCTAAACAATTTATGGAAAATAACAAATCTGGTTCAAAGAGATTAACACGATGGGTGACAAAACGATTATTCATTCTCACGGGCATAACAATTTGGAAGAAAAAAATGACAGAAATTAAATTAGTAACAATCAAATTAAATTGTTGTTCAGAAAAACAATACAAATTCAATCACATGGAAATATTCACATGCTTGTTGATGAAAATTTTAAATTTCGAGAAAAAGTGGCTCCATCTTTTGTCGATTTTGTTTACTATTCGATTAATCTGTTAATCGATTTCGATTATTTTTTTTTAATTTGGAAAAGTTAATTGGAAACAATTAGAGAGAAGAACAAGTTAAAAGAGAAAAGATAAATAGAAAAGGATAAAAAAGTAATTATGATTATGTTTTAGTTTTAGTTTGAGGAGAATTAATTTCTAAGGTAAAGTGTTTGTTTCGTTTTCAAATGTATTAGAAATTGTTGTTGTTTCAATTTCCGATTACAAAAGTAATTAGAGTTAATTGTTCCAACTCTTCTACCATTATGTCTAATTGAAAATGGTAAAAGTGTAACAATACAAAATCTAAACATTGAACTTGATGTAAGTTGATTGATCCATGGAGAGATAAGTTAAACTCAGAACATGGAACTGAACTCCGCAATCTCCATGGTAAATGTCTCACTTTTATCTTCTTCTCTCTCTCTCTCATTCTCATCATTTTCTTCAATCACTGTTTGAATCATCATCATAAATTCAGAATCTTCATATTCAGTTACCTTGAGAAAATAACATTCAAATCAATTGTCCATCGTAAATTCTTGTGGTCATCATCATTTGTGTTCAACTTTTACCTGGTCAGTTTGTGTTTGTGTCCATTGGCTTAGCAAAGGTAAAAAAAACTCCCAACTCTTTGGATGGAAACAATTATCCAATTAACTAATCGGATTTTAATCGGATCATAATCAGTCACAATTAACATTTATCATTAGCGTTAATCGTGTAAATAAATCAAGGGAAAAACTTTTCACATTACAATCAATGAACAATAACAATGCCGATAACATTAGGTCATTTTAATTGTTCAACCAAGTAAGTTAATCAAACATTTTTAATACAAACACAATTAACACAATCAATTGATTAACAATCCATCCCAATGTTAAATTAACATTCAAAATGTCAAAAATGATTTCCAATCAATCAATAAGTTTAATTGTATTTCCGTCAAATTTTTTATTCTGATTCCCGTTAATTAATCAAATCAATCACGATAGTTTTAATTGGACGAGAAACAAAATCAATCCAATTAGTTAATTTATTACCATGAGCAACAATTTAAATCCTCAATCAATTGTAATTAACATGTTACTTATTTATTGCATTTCAATTACTTTGCCTTTCCAACTGATAAACTATAAAATCAAATCAATAAATTGTCCAATCAGTTATTTTATTTGATCAAAGTGACCATTGGTCATAATCATCATAAGATAATATTGTTATATACATTGATTTAGATAATTTCATCATAAGAATTCAGAATCACCATGGTTATCACAATTATGACTTTGACTATTAAATTACTTTTTATTAGATAATAAACAAATAAATAAGGTTAACCCTGTATGAGAATCACATGAATCTGAATCTTATCATGAATTTCAAGCTAAAAATGAGCTGAAAATTTTATGATTCTTGGAGTTAATTGATTGTGTAGATTTAATTATCTCTCCCGGTGGAAATTTGGAAACATTAATCATGAAAGAGAATTGAAATTATTGCAACATGAAGAAAGGGACAGAGACAGAAAAAAGTTCTTAATCAGAAAAGTTCAATTCTCCATGAAAACTGCTCCTAAAAGCTAAACTAAATTCTGAATTCCAAGTTTTCAGTAACTTTCGTAATCGTAATTATCATCATGGTAAATGAACATTATCTAAATTATGTTCATTTCACCTTAAAAATCCCAAATGAATTGAGAGAAAAAAAGTTCATTCTGATGATTAAAATAATGATTCAGATAATTTAGATTCGCAAGGTTAATAAATTTCATCCTCATCCTCATGAAATTGGAATCAAAGTTTCACCAACTCTCAAAATTAATTGTAATTAATTCAGTTTGCAATTAGATTCATTAGTTAACTTTTATGTTTTATTTTGATTATCATGTTCAATTTAAATTGCTCCTTTAATTATCCAAGTGAACAGAAAAAACCAATATAATGATGATTATCATCATGAAATTATTATTACTAATGAATGAATTCATTACAATTCAATTTTCAGAACTTTTTTTCACCATGGTAAAAGTATTAATACAGATTTATGAAGAGATAATTTAATTTTCATTTCGATTCATTAAACTTACTATAAAATAATAATCATAATAATATCAACAGCTCATTATCATTACCAGAACTTTATCTTTATGGTATTTGAGATGAAAACAAAGTTCTGCGTATCTCATTACCATGAGATTGAGACTAAAGTATCATGTTCATGGTGAAAATATTCACTAATCCATCAAGGTAAAGCTTCTGATTCTGTAAATATTCAGAAACTTATCTTTCGCTGTTTTGTTGATTGTTCAGTTATGAGAAATGAATTAGAACTGAAATATGATAGTTGAATTTTCCAGGGTGAGGATCGAACTTGGTTATCGAGTTTCTATTAGGATATTTTTGAATCGAAGAAAAAAATCTCTTCATAGGTACAAAGAGAAGAAGAAAAAAGAGAACCAGAGTAGAAATCGAAAATATTCAACTCGATCCAAAGTTTTTTTTCGAATTTTTTTCTCTCTCTCGTTCTATTCTTTTATTTTCTTTTTCTTTACTTTTTCTTTGGCTTACAATCTAGACCATCGAATATGAAAAAAGAAAATTCTCAAGATGATGATGAGAAAAAGTGGAAGAAAACGAAGATGAAGAGCAAGAGAAAGAGAATTGAGGTGGTAAGATGAAGATTGAAAAGATAATTCCAAGGGATGTAACATTGATTAGAACTCGAAAAGTAACAACAAAACCGTAATAACATCGAGATGAAAAAAAAGTCGAATAGAAAAAAAAAGTTTCGGTTTCTGTATCTTTTTGCTTTTCATCATGTGAAGAAAGTGGACACAAAATGGACACAATACACACATGCAACCTTCTAATAGAGATGATAAGCAAAAGGATGACAAATGATGACGAAGAAAAAAAAAGCTGATCATTCTGATCACGGTTGATTAAAGTTACTTTTTGATTACAATTAAGAACTAGAATTGACATCACTGAATCAATTTATCTTAAGGTAGGGGAAAAAAGTTTCTCTCACCTTTTTTTCTTGCTTATTGACAAGATGATGACGATGATGATGATGATTGAAGATGATGATAAAGCCATTTCTATATCCTCATCAATGTTGATGATCAAAAGATGATAACTGGATCCAATCAAGACCAGGTTAATGATGTTGCAAACGAGAGAGATGATAAAATAATCCTCACTCAGGAAATGATATTCACTGTTGATGATTGACAAAAGGTGATGATAAAGTTAATAATCAACAGAAAATGAACAAGATCTGTTAACTTACCTTGATGATTTCTTTTTATCATCTTTACCTGAAGGGGAAGAAGATGATAACTGACAATTTCCATTTCCACCCACATAACCCACCAAAGACCAAACAATGGGAATGATGTCAATCCATTATCTTATTTCCTCTGCTTTTTTTCAAATTTCATTCCATTTCCTCATCATCATCCTCATCATATTTTCATCTTCTCAGGTATCTCTCATCTTTATCTTCAATTTCATCGAGTGTTGATCATCACCATCATCATGATAAGATGATTTTCACCCAAGAAATTTCATCAACATCTTTTTTTCATCATAACAACAAACAAACAATTTATGATAACCGTTTCCTCCAGTTTATTGGATGAACTTTTTTTCCTCATCATCAACATTATCTGTTGGAATCATAATGATGAGCATGATAACTTTATCGTCTCTCTCACTTTCTAGATTTAATTCTTGAAACAGGAAATATTTTTTTTCAAAAACTCTCAAGATGAGAAAGGAAAACTTTTCTCTCTCTCTCTCTCTCTCTCTCTCTCTCTCTCTCTCTCTCTCTCATCTTTTAAACAATCGAAGATTTTGACTTTATAAAAATACATGAAACATGAACTATTCTGAGGAAAAGAGATAGAAATATCATGTTGTCAGAATTCAATGTTGATCCTTTGATTATGAATTCAGGAAAAGTAATAAATTTCATGGGAATTGACAAGAGATAGAGTACAAAAAACTCACCATAGAATTTCAAATATTAAAATAACCAGAATTTTCATTCAGAATTCAAAATAAAAGTGAGTGAGAGATAAAGAGAGATATATTAATACAATAGCAAGGTAGTAAATGTACTAGATTGATGTCACCTCTCAGTGTCCCTGCAGTTGTAAATAATGATCATGTCGATGAAGACGATAACATGATAATGTTGAACATTAACAAAATGGAGTAAAATTCATTGATGAAGAAGGAGAAAGTTCTGCTTGAAAACTCAGAGTTTTTCATGTTAAACTAATTTTGTAGCTTTAACTGTTTACACACGAGAGTCATGTATCTCAACTAGTGACTGATCATCATGATACTTTAGATACTTATATGAGATTCTGATAAAAGATGAAGATAACGGTAAAGGATAAAAACTTTGAGTTCACCAAATTATGTAATATCAATGCCTTAGAGGTAAAAGAGGTTTAAAATGAAGATGAAGATGCATCTTGATGAAATCAGAGAGAGAGAGAGAGAGAGAGAGAGAGAGAGAGAGATGTTGCTGAATTCTGAAGATAAATAAGGTAAAGTGATTAATTCTGATGATGATTATGATGATTAAAGTAGAGATGAAGTGAAACCCTTTGGATATAATTTGGTTTCCAATTGTTTCCATTCATCTTTTGTATTCATATTCAATCAGCATTTTCATTGCAATTACGATAACTTTTGTCATCATCTTTTCATCTTGCTTATCATCATCATCTTCAATAATAATTGCTGCAAATCTAATAACAAATAATAATAATAATAATCTAAAGTAATTATTGTAATGACAAGAATAACAATCAAACGTATCTCAGGTGAAAATCTTCATCTTTTCCTCTTGTTTCTTATTCCTTTTCAAAGATTATATTCATTTCTTT